AAAAGACTGAGAGATAGAAAAACAACATCTACGATCTATAGATATTTTTCTATGCAGTGTAAACTTTGATTTATGATTCGAGAGTCTAAAAATATTTTAATTAAAGTTACATTTAAAAAAAAAAAAGAATAAAAAATCAATTAATTTTCGAGGAAAAAAAATCCAACAGCATAATATACTTTTCATTCCAGTTGTTAAAAAAACGTCACGTGATATAATTGGAACATCATCGCAATCACTTGTTAATTTTTCCTTTATTATTCTTTCATTCTCTCATTCTTTCTCTCTTTGCGTCCTATCACCCCTCCCCCATTCTATCCTTTATATTCCAATGTCTCTTGTGTAAAGAATATATGTATTAAACGAATAGCAAAAATATCTTCATGGATGATAATTTTTTTCGTAATGATATATATAAAGATTGTAAATGAAAAGAAATGCTCAGCTTTTAAACGGTGTCATTAATATTAAAAAATTCTCTTATTAATTATTAATAATTTATCTAATTAAATCAATAATGCCAAATTTTTTCATACAAATAGACATTGTGAATACTTATTTATCCTTGTAGTCAGATGCATCTTTTTTAGGGATTTGCCCATTATCCAATTTTATTCCATTGGTTTTCAGTGATTTATAAAGTCTAAGTATTTGTTTGATTATTAAGGGTGCACTGTACTGCATATATATATATATATATATATATATAGATACTGTATAAATTTGTATAGGCTGCTTATAAATTTGTTGCATTTATAATCACTTATAATATTACCAAATACACACACACACGCACACATACATACATACATAGACATTCACACCCATACACACCCACCAATATATATAACACACACACATATATATCTATATATATGTAGTATATATTCATATATATAAAAGAAAAGATGGAGATATGGATAAAATTCCTTTTTCTTTGTATAGTTTTTGCATAAATTTGCATAAATTCTGTTAAAGAAAGATACTTTCAATCACCGTCGCTAATAACGTTTCCATCGCCACTTCAAAAGTTGATACAGTAGGGTAAACTAAGTCAATGTAATTTCCGATTATATCAGGTAGATGGCGCGTCGGGTAATTTTTGCAGTCCCCAATGTGTAAATCCTTTATATTTCATTTTTTTGCTATTGTTCTTATTGAGTAAGATTATCTACTTTATCGTTTTTTGACGTATAAGTGAATGACAATAAAAAAGTAGCAACTTGAAATGATTAACGATAATCGTTGGGTAACTCGTCTGAACGTAACGTTCGCTCGTATAGTATGTTTGGAACGCTACGAGTGACGCCAAGGTCGAAATCGTGTTGTTTCCATAGCTACAGTTTTGTTGCTAGCGGCATATGCTTTGGTCGAAAACACTTTTTTGGCTAGGCTATTAAATATAATAACTATAAAAAACTATAAAGTATAAATCATGTTCAAAAAAATGGTATCCACATGTTACTTTATTTATTACGGAAGAAACTATATTATAGATTTTCTTTCTTTGTATATATAAATGGATATTTGACAGTTGAAAGCTTTATAGGACGAAAGAGAGTTTTTAGTAAATCGAATTTTAAAAGGATCAAGAGATAAACGGCGATTTATAGGGGTGGGGATGGAGCGGTACTGCTCTATGTTAAAAAGACAACAAAATAAACCAGGGTAGAAAACTTGGTACACAGCGCGACGTAGATGGTTGAAAGAGAACCCTGCTCATATGACGTCATAAAATCGATAAAGATTCTACTGCAAAAGGCGTTATTTTCCAGTTTTACCGTGTTCATTTGCGAAAAAGAAGGCGGTTGGTGGAAATATTGAGGCCTATATAGATATTTCAGTTTGTTATTATCTATTTCGACCGGAGCAACTGTAAGGAATATGGATAAAAAGAAAATCAACTCCGACGATGAGGTATGGGAATACTAAGGGAAAACATTATATTATCATGTATTTATTTAATAATATTAAAAACTTGTAAAAATCGAATTTATTTAATTTAAACTCTTCTCTAGTTTTATATTTAATTTTCTAATTGCTTTATCTTTCCTAATTGCTTGTAATCGTCAGAATCACTCGGGATTAGGGAGAAGAGCTAATTCTTTTTCCCTGTTCCTCATCACCAATATTACAATTTCATAAATTATTTAAATATGTCTCTTTTATAATTTCTGCAACGTCCTAAGTAACCATTAATAGCTTAGGAAGTGCTCAAAACAAAATTTCACTTCGAACGTATAATTTAAAAGGGTTGCATCGCAGTTGGAGGTAGAGTGTTGTTTATATGCGTCTGTATGGCAACAAATTTTTGGTCTTTTTCCCTTTTTTCTAGGTTGTTGGATGAGTTGTTTTTTTCCAATAAAGAATAAAAAGTTGCGGTAATAGTGCAAACAGAATGTGAACAGAACGATGTGCTTATTATTATTTCCGGATAAAATCTATATTCAATCAGGGAAAAGCTGTAAGAGAATCTAATTGTAAAAATATCATCTATTCCTCTAAGAATAAACGCTCCGTATCATATAAATATAACTGGGGAAAAAAGCCAATTGGTATTACTAGATTTATCAGACTTTCCCAGCTTTTTAGTCTATTAGCCATGGATAAAAGGGTGGAAAAAAAACTTGATATAATAGACTGGTCTTCTTCCCTTTTGGATTTATAATTAACTGATTTTCAATCTTTATAATGGTAGACGATAGTATATTGAACTTGAAAAATCTGTATGAACTTTTCATTGTCAATCTGACAGCTCAACTTAATTTGTTTCTTTCAATCTATAATTCTCTATTCTTTTCCTTATAGTTTACAATTTAATTGTTATATAAAAAAACGGTCCCGATTCAATAAATCCTAATTAAAAAATAATGCTTAAAAATTGTATTCCTTGTTCCGTGACTAGTCAATATTTAGAATTTTTCACTTTGACCTCAATGGACGCCAAAATCAAATAAACAAGAGAAAATAGTCACGTGACAACAGAGTAGCAATAATCCTCCCTCTCTCCCTTAATAAAAATTAGTATAAGCATGGCGCTAGAAACAATATGCTCAGTATTATCAAGGTGGAAAACGAAAAAAAAACTAAACGGACGACAAATTAAAGGATTAGTTACTGTTCGTGACTTGAATTATAATCGCTTATCAATTTTGCATTCCACTAGACAAACAAGGGTAGAGTACGTTAGCGATCAATTTCGATATACTCTTCTTATAAAATAAAGAAAGAAATCGAATCTCTCCCTCACTCCCTCTATCTGTCTCTGTCTTGCTCAGCCTGTCTCTGTCTTTCCTTTTTGCTTATTCTTAATTTCCACCCTAACTTTCCTGCAATTTCCCATGTCGATTTCTTTTGGTCTTACTCCAATTAGCTGACCCATTGATATATATAAAGCATTTATAAATATATTCAGTGTTTTTCGGTGGTATTTTGCTGAAATGTTTGTACGGCTGTTTGAAACCGTTAGATTCTTTCGTTTCTTCTTCAAAGGCCTAGTTGAACGAGTTCGTTATAGTCTTTCACCAAAGTACAGGCTTACTGGAAACTCTTAGACGCACTCTCCTCTCATCTAAGTACATGTATGGGAACGTTGTATCATTTTGCTGTAGATAACAACATAAAAACTGTCAAAATTTTATAGCTCAAACAGTACTTCAATTTATTGTTTACTATCAGTTAATAGTATATTTCTCCAATATTATTTATCTAACGAATAAACTAAAGATGTATTAGTCAATAGGGAAACAAACATAGTTTATTAATAGCTACTTACGATGTGTAAAACATAGTCTTGTAGCATCCTTTTCATTAGAGAGTCAAGAATTTATATTATAAAACCCCGTTTATTAATGACGGATAATTTCATTCAGATAATTTTTAAACTTAAAGATTTTGATTTATTCAATAGAACAAGACTTGAAAAATTATCAATAAATAAATATATATATATACATATATACGGTACTTATTAAAATTTAAGGTATAATAACAGTAATTAAGATAATTCTTTACATTCTTTGATTTAATTAGTATTCTAGATAATTATATTATTATACATCCTTTCCCATATATTAAATATATGGATATATATAGTACATATAAATAGTATATATGGTATATTATTATTAAAGGCAAAGTAATATTAAAGAAATTACTATTTGAGGTAAAAATATAACAAGATAGCTAATCAAACAGTAAGACGAGCAACTTTAAATGCTTAATAGTATCCAGTGATTCTTCTTTCATTTCTTCTTCCATAATTAGACTAAGTATATTGATTATTACATAGATATTTAGACCGTTGTGTACTTTTGTTATTAGTTTATTCACACTAGCAATCTGCTGCCTTTTCATTATTATTATTTAAAGCGGGGATTCATTTGACTATTGATTTCAATGAAAGATGATAAGTCTTTTAATATCATTTTATTTCTATACCTTCTAACTAAAACTTTATATACATTTTTTAACAACAAAGTACCAAGTTTTAATTATTTATTCGATTGAATTAATTGCCTTAAAAATTGATCCTGACTCTACCATTCCTTTGTCCATTTTGAAGTGAGAACGTCAAGTCGTAACATATTCTTTACATTTTATTATTTCTGTTTGGTTTTAAACTGCAAATTCAATGTCAAACTAAGAGGAAATACTTATAAAAGAGGATAATCAAGAAGATAATATTGATATTAAAAATCTTAATATATAGATTGATAGAATATCATCAACATTTCGGCTTTTCTATCATTTCTTTGGATTTAAAATTTGTTTCTTGTTTCGATAATGATTTTAAAAAATATCTAACTGAAAAGCTGAGAATATATAGCCAAGAGTAGCATTTCCCTAGAATGGGGGCTGAAACGTCCATGATGGACGGAGATCATAATAAGGTCAGTTTTATTTTTACAATGTAAAGCAAAACACCAATTAAATATAAAGAGTTGTATGTTTAAATACTATATATATATATATAGATATATATATGTACAATATACATATCTGTATAAAAATTTGACTATTGTAATTGCTATACAAACCTCCATAAATAACTTACTTTCATAAATTTTCAATTAAAGTTGAGTTAAATTGAATTTCAACTGTTAAAATATGAATTATTCACAAAAGAATAAGTTTTCTATTAATTACGAAACGATGTATCATTTTCATCTAGTGTGTAAGATGATCCAGGAGAGTGGAAAGGCAAATTATATTAGCTAATAGCCATACGATGTCGCTGTACGTTACGTACCTTATTCGCCAAGTCAATCTTAACGACGCACCTGCAGCATAGAAATTTTCATTACTTTGCGATAAGCCTCTTATGAGTATACTGTATTTAAGAAATTTATCTAAAGTTAAAACGATATAAATTAAGGAATATATCAGTACGCCTTTTTATTTGTTTGTTTACTTTGCAACTTGTATTATCGTTCCTTTCTAAGATTATATTAATATTTGTATATTTATATATTTTTACTTTAAACAACAAAAACAACAAACAAACAATTAAAAAAACGTATTAAAAGAGAGAGTAATATACTTGTTTTGGTCCTTAACTTTAATGCTAATATATCGTAAAGTGGAAAAGAAGTTGACGAAATTCTCATTTTCTCTAAGAAAAGTTGATAAACTAGAAATATACTATGGTTGAATTTCATGTTCATGAATATCAACCAAGTTGTCGAATTGATAATGCAGATGGATTAAGTGGATTTTGCATGTGGTGTGGCTGCATGAGCGAGGTGTTCACAATCGTTATTTTTCATATTCTTTAATTTGGATATTGCAGTATAGGTATGGAACGTTTTGTATATAATTAAAATAGTGATAAAAAAAAGATATTCTTAATCTTAAGATATGCAAAATTTTCATTTGAAAAGACGCTTCATACCTGTCAACTTCGACGCATTATCCAACAATAGTTCAATAGATTTTCTTTTTCTAATCCTTTTTATCATAATTGTCAATTCTTGTCTTTGCTTTTAAAAAGCTTTCTTTTCCCTTCGAATGAAACAGGAACTCGTCGGAAGCAGTCCGAGTCAGAAAAATTGGCGTGGAATATTAATTGCGCTACTTGTTATCCTCGTCGTCTGCTCTTTGATCGTTATTGCTGTAATCTTAGTTACTCCGAGTAAGAAATTCATTATATAATTAATAAATTATCTAAAAAGAAAATTCTTTCCATTTCTTTTTCTCATAGAAACTTCAAACGAAAAATTAGGAAAGCCATTCACATTTGAGGATTTCTCGGACGGTCGACTCAAAATTAAAACCTTCAATGTAGACTGGTTGGGCAGTAAGTAGAATTTAAATTATATAATACTTTATCATCATTCTCTTTAAATTGCCTTTTAACTATACAATTAGCAACACTTTTACGCATGCGCAACAAAAATATAAAATAGTATACTTAAAATAAAGAATATATTCAATTTTCTTTTCTTCAGACTCAAATAAATATTCTTATCTGACAAGAGAAAATGAAATAATGGTAAACGATGTAGAAAACAATAAATCGTACTCACTTATGGATAATGCAACTTACGTAATAAAACACCATTAACAAGATATATATATTTAACCCATTTGCTAATTACCTATTCACGATGCAGCATTTCCTCAACATTTCCTCATACAAAGTTTCCACTGACCTAAAATATATTCTTATCGCGACGAATTTAAGTGAAGTAAGAATAAATAATTAATAATTCTCTTAAATGGTTTTTTGCTAGTAAATCCGTTCATTTCTTTAGATTTTTCGACATTCCTATAAAGCCTTCTATTCGATATATGATGTTGAAAATAAGTAAGTTTTAATAAGAAATTCCTTTCATTATTTTCCTTTTCGTTTTTTTTACACTTTGTTATTTTTTATATGTTTTAAATATCTGTTAAACTGTCTGTATCGTTCTCTTTCTCTCTGTTTCTCTCTCTCTCTGTCCCCCTCTTTATCTCTCTGTTTCGCTGTCGCTTTCTCTCTATCCTTCGTTTCTCTACTATAGGCAAAGAATAAAAAACTTTCCCTCCATGCCCAATAAATTAGCCTCAATGAAAAATAAAAAATTACAACACGCAGATTGGTCGGATGATGGGCATCATCTCGTATGTAGACTTTTCTTTTAAACAAGCAACTTTAATCGAATTTTTGTTTGTTTATTTTAATGAACAATTAGACTTTCCTCTATGAAAATGATATCTATTATCAAGAGAGTCCAGAATCTACAGCAGAGAGATTGACTGTTACTGGCAAACCTAATAAAATATTCAACGGAATTTGTGATTGGTTGTATGAAGGTAGCAAACTATAAGAAGTAATTGAATAAAATGTATATTAATTCCTTGCTTGCTCTTCAATTATCAGAGGAGATCTTATTTAGAAGTAAAGCTCACTGGTTATCTCCAAATAAAAAGAAGATCCTTTACCTAAGTTTCGACGATTCTAATGTTGCTTTACACAAATTTCCCGTCTACGATAAGTCAAATAGAGAGAACGAATTCGAATTTAGATATCCTAAAGCATCTGATAATAGAAGCAACGTTAATCCTATTGCCGATGTTCGAATTGTCGACGTCCATAATAATAAGGCAGAGCTGCATTTATCACCGCCAAATGAATTTCCAAAGTAATTTAATGTTTCTCTTTTTCTGAAGATCAAATTACATAATATACTCTTATTCTAATGCATTATCATTGTCCTTTAGGAGTCAGTTATATATTGCTAATGCTAAATGGATAAATGATGAGAAAGTTCTAGTTATTTGGCTGAATCGTGAGCAAAATCAAGCGATACACGCAATATATTCTGTCGATTCGCATAGGCCAACAATTATCTTTCATGAAAAATCACCTCATGGCTGGATATCAGTTGTAAGTATAATATACTAATTAAATAACTAATTAGTGTTTATTAATTAAATATATAAATTATTCTTTTAGTCTGAACTGTTCGTTTGGGATGACAATAGTTACGTAACAATTATACCAAAGACAGAGGGAGACGACGATTCATGGAAGAATCTGGTTGTATTAGATACAAGAAAAGTTAGTATTAGCTGCCAAAAACATAAGCAGAGAGAAATACTAATGACATCTTTTCATTATATAGCAAAACGACCAAGTCGATAATATCCCTACGTTTATTACTAGTGAAAAATGGGATAAGCAGGAAATATTAGCCGTTGATAAAGAATCGCGATCAATGTAAAATTAATAAATATTCATTGTATATTATTTAAGTTTTCCTCTAATAATCAAATATTTTGTTTTCTTCATTTAGTTTCTATTTGGGAAACAATGGCGATCCTCGTAAAATGCATATTTTTAAAATATCTCTTAGGGACGATAATAGTGTAGATTACGGACCAGTTTGTTTAACATGCAATAAGTCGGAAGATTGTACATATCATTCCGCGCAATTCGCCAGAAATGGCAAATATTATATTGAAAAGTGCGGTGGGCCAGGTGTTCCAATCTACACTTTAAAGAGTACTGTAAATGATAAAAGTAAATATCGAGAATATTTTCTTACCTATTTCAAACTGATAATAACACCGTTTACCCAAATAAATAGATGTCATTCTTGAAGATAACGCCCCATTGAGGTCAAAGATTGAAAGTTATGCTTGGCCGAGGAAAGAATATCACGAAATAAGAGTGAATAGGGAAGATGAAGAGCCGTATAGTTAGTTATCTTTCTCTAACTGAGCACATAATTCTTATCATTTTCTTGTCCCATACCAAACGTTTCGTATCATAATAATACTATATACTTGCTATGCGTGTCTATATAATATTTCTCTATTGTAATAAGCCTATAATATATAATTTATTTATACTTTCAGTAATCTACACCTCTATAATACTTCCACCACAACTCAATAAGAATCATATAACAAAATATCCTTTACTTGTCTACACGTAAGATTTTATTAATAATTAACGATGTAGTTTTATTGCTAGTTTGCTTCCAGTTACGGTGGTCCTGATACTCAACTAGTTAAGGAAAACTTTCAAATTGGTTGGCATACATATCTTAGCAGTGCAGAGAATACGATATATGTTGAAATTGATGGACGTGGATCATCAGGCAGGGGTCAAAAATATTCTCATATATTGTATAAGAAGTTAGGAACGTTGGAAGTTCAGGATCAAATTGCTGTCACCAGGTATATTGTACCTTTTTAACCTGGATATGAAATATATTTATAAAGCTCTACTATGTTACAGGTACTTTTGCGAAAAGTACGAATTTATAGACCAAAGTCGAGTTGCTATCTGGGGCTGGGTTAGTAATTAGTTTGCCTTTTATTATGATTAGAATATTCTTTCGTACGCAATATGTCATTACAAACTCGTTGAAGCCAAATAGTATAAACGTATATTATACATCCGGTAGATGGGGCTTCTTTTAAACAAAAATAAAATGGGAAAGAAAACAAGTTTTTATGCTTTACCTGTCACGAGTCTTTTTTTTGTTTCAGTCTTATGGAGGATTTGTTACCACCCACGCCTTAGGGGATGAGCATTCTAACATTTTTAAATGTGGTATTGCGGTAGCTCCTGTTACTGATTGGCGTTATTATGGTAAAGATAATTAAGAGAATAAAAATAAACATATAGATTAAATTAATTAAAGATCTGACCTAATTCTCTACCTAAACCATTATTTTTTCTATAGATACAACTTATTCTGAAAAGTATTTAGGCCTATATAAGAAGAACGCCGACGCTTACGCCAGAGCAAGCGTCATACCTAAAGTAAAGAATTTCAAAAATAAGAAATTCTTTCTTATTCATGGGACTGCTGATGGTAAATTAATATAAATACTAATCGTATATCATAGCTTTTTTATCAATTTCATCATATATTTCTCTCCCTTAGATAACGTCCACTTTATACACAGTGCTCAATTAATGAAAGCCTTAACCAAGGCTGAGATACTTTATAGGACTCAAGTATGAATAATTTATTAGATGCCTAAATACTAATATCTAATAAACCAGTTACCAGTCTTTTAATAATAATTTATTACACTTTTTAGATTTACCCTGATAAGAATCATATGATCTCTGGTCGACATACAACGAAACACTTATATAAAACAATGACAAAATTTTTAAAACAAGACTGCTGGAATGGTGGTGCACCTAGAGAATATAACCCTGAAGCTAAGAAGGGAAAGAACAAATAATCTCGAAATATTGTTCAATTTAATACGATTCACATACTATATATTATTATATAGTATTGTATACTATATTCTATGTTTATGTTCAAAAATAATGTACTATAATGTATTGTTATACGTTTTACAGTGTTAACTACTTTTGAATTATTTTTTAGATATTCAATAAGTATGAAAGGGTGAAAAACTGTATTTAAATATAGGTTGTGTACAGAGGAAGAGAGAAGTGAAAAGGAAAGTAGTACATAATCTGCATTTAATATACAGAACAAATATATACATACGTATATATATATATTGTATATATGTACATTCAAGTACATAGAGTAATGAAGATAAAGAAGAAAAAACAGCGCAATAATAACGCATTTTTTTCTACAAAATATTTCTTTACTTTATTTAAATATTCTAATTCATTCTACTGCAGAAATATGAAAAGAATAGACAAATTTACTTTAACCGACTTACAAAAAAGAGGAGGGCAGTCTGTAATTTGCATTATAAAACTATTCTAATAAGTGAATAATGTATATATTGTATATTAAACATTGAAGAGAAAAACAATTCATATTTACTGTTTATTATCTTAAATATGTTTGTTTTTATGTTTTTTCTTTTCTTGTTTTTCTTTTCTCGAAATAACGAAATTTAGGAAAAACAGCGAAAATTAGAAATAATTAATGAAATAACAGATTTTTCTTTTAGATAACTTTTTTCCAATTATATATTAAAACTGTAATGGTTTGTCTTTGTATTTATGGTACAAACGTTTAATTATACAACGCACAATTTTTAATCTTTAATCTATTTAATAATTTTTAATAATTTATTACGATGTTAATAATAAAATATTTATATATATAAAGTACTATATTCTTTAATATTTATATTAAATTTCTATTGTATACAATCTACTTTTTGTATTTTTACATTAATGATCTTGCGGCTATTAACATCAAAGCTGATTATTTCTACCTGACCTTAATCCAAAAATTCCCGCTCTAACGAAGGTATTACAAAGCAGCGTTCTTAAATAGTAACAATGCAACTATCCATTAAATTGGGTTCATATTTCAAACTACAATATATGTATAGCCATTATACTTTTATTCATTTCTATTCGTCAAAAATACGCACACTATCAAAAATATGTAGAAATAGGGAAAATATCTCAATAAATATTTCGATATTATATAGTAAAACCATATTGCACTGTTACTTTTTAATTTACACTTTCTCAAATTTTTAACTTTAATTTCTATTGGTAATTTTCGTAGAAAATTAACCTTGTACTAGATTTTAAAAATTCTACACGTTCTCCCTTTTTAATACTACAGCTTAGCAATGGAGAGAAATGTAATGAAGTATATAAGGTAGAAGGCCACACTAATATTGAATAATACATTTGTTCACTTTTTGGATGAAATATTACTTAATAAATTCCATTTTTAAAGTAAATATACTATTATTATATTGTTAAACGTTAATTTTATATAATTAGCTAATTTACATAGGCTATTTATGTCGACAAAATAAATTTAATATTGCCCTTTCCGTAACTTTCTAAACGGCCATTTTTTTTTCTTTGACTAGCTTGAAGATAATGTGAACATACTATCTTCTAAAATAGAACTAGTTTATTTTTCTTTTTTTTTAGCGACAGAATGGCATCAATAGAAAGACCTGATGTTATCATCATCTCTGAGAATTTAAACAATGATTGGTCTAATTTCATTAAACGATCCCTTCCGTATTATATGTCGGATGAAATTTTATTAGATAAAAGAAGAATTTTGGAATCACAGAGCTTAATTCATCATGCACAGTTAATTCTTTTTATTGTTTATGATATAAATCATTCAGATGTTCATGAGGAAATCACTAACATGCTGGTTAAAATGTATTCGAGTTTAACTAAAGGAGCTATAATAAGATTTCATGACTCTAATAGATATTTAACAAAATTATTTCCTAAATGGAAAGATTTTTTCGTCACCAACTCTAATAAAAACAATTTAATTACTGACTTGACTAACATTTTACAAGCTGCCGAGCCAAAACCACCAATACAACAAGAACCGCCAAAACAGAAAAAACCGCCAAAACCTCCAAAACCTAAAACTAAAAGTAAACCGTTCTTGTGCAGAGCAATACCAAATAAATTTTATGCTCCCGGTGTAAGTATTCAATTTAAATAGAATAATAGATTTTGTACTAATTATTCTATTAAAAAATTTCAAGCACTCTAATAATTCTTTAACGAAACAAGGAGAAAATCTAGCCGTTAATTGGACAACTATCGTATTTGCAGAAGAGATACAAAATGAATTTAATTTCTATTTGGAAATAAATAATACACCGCCAATTCTTTTAATATCAAAAACTATAAATAAATATGCAATCCAAATTTCGTTACCTAGTGAGTTATCTTATGTATTGTTTTATATCTATATAACTATATTTAAACAGCATTAAACTATGTTGGAACTGCCGCTATTCGTGTCCATCAAACGACCAAGGGAAGTGATTTCGCCAACTTGAAAATTGAATTTTATACTCATTCACTCGATTTTTTAACGATTTCTCAAATTTATTTAAGTCAGATGAATGTTTTAATAAATTTATTAAAGAAAGAAAAAGTTTCTTCTGAAACGATTGATGATGAACTAAATGCGGATCTTCAAGAAGGAGATATACCGACTAGAGCTTTTGAACAATTATTTGAAATTTATAATCAGAGTGAAGCAGAATCTCAAAGCAACTCAGAGTGCCCTTCTCTTTTACATTTGGCCGCTAAATATGATCTAAAGAAAGTGGCAAAAACGCACACAAACTTACCATATTTCAGGTAAAAACGAAATTTGAAAAATTATCTTTCATTAATCTCCTATTCATTTATTTAGTTCAGCTCATAATCTTAAGAATAAAGATAATATGAATCCTGCAGAAATTGCGACAAAGCATAATTTTCGTGCCTTAAGTAAACTTTTCGATGACCGAAGCATTTACGAGGAGAAAGCTAATTGTTTTTATGTGGCAATGGCTAAAGAAATGTTTTCTTCAAGTAAAATTATTACCGTAATACTTTTTTATATGATAAAAAGATTAATAAGTTTATTTTTGGCAGCCAATTACGAATACACATATATTGTAGAATCCAGTGATGAAGATGAATACGTGAATATGCCTCCACCCATTACAATGACAGAAACTCCTCCTGCCCTACCGCCACCATTATATCCGAGGAAACCGAAAGTAGAAATATCAACGCTTCGTAAAAAATGGGAAAATAGGGAAATTAGCGACGAAGAGGCAATTCAAAAATATCAAGAGCAAAGGCCAAATTCAAATTCAGAAGTAAATTTAATTAGAGAATCGAATAATGGAAATGTTAATGATTGTTTTATTTATTTTTTTTTCAACAGCCACAGCAGGAATTTTCCCCCTTAGCCAGTATTTTAAAAATCAAAGAATTAATTAGACGTCGAATATTCTTTAAAACTTAACACTTGCTTCCTACTTCTTGAATTGTGTGTCTCTCTAATAAGCATAAAAAAAAATTGACCCAATGAGTTTCTACGACAGATTTACTATAATCAGCAGATGAGCTACTCTTTGCTGAAGTGATTATGATTACATATAGTGAGCATACTTGACAAAACTACTAATTCAAAGGATTTGTTTTAAAATACCGAAAAATTCAAGCTTTATCTAACTTTTAATTGATATAAAAAATATTCATAGTTTTTCAATAAAACTCTATCAAAGAGCAGTTAACTTAAATATTTTCTGAGAGAAAACTCTGATTAAGAAGGAAGCTTCTTGATTCTGATGAAAGGTTGATGGAATAATAATGTAATTTCCCGTTTCTAGGGTAAATCTTGCGCAGACTTCTCTCCAATTAGTAAAATCCCCTGAATCTCCAATGTCTCTGTTATAAAGTAAATATTCTTTATCTAATCTTTTCGGTTCATCAACCTTATAAAGGCAAAAGCCAATTTTCTTTCTATTTTCTACTGGTCGTCCCTTTTGACTATCGTCGATTTGCATTAAAGCTATTAAAACACTGTAATGGCAAAACGATGTTCCTCTTTCTAGCTCACCATCTTCTATTTCATCCTCAGCGTCAGTACTATCCTCAAATATTGTTAAACAAAACTGAGGATTAATACAAAACGTATCCATATTATTTATACAACCACCAGCTGATTTTCCTTTTATCCATTTGCCAGAAATATAGTCATATTTTCTGTTAAGGTCTGCCGAGCCATCAGCATTAAAGTCAGGACCCAAAGTGCAGATTGTAACCTCAGTAAAGTAACTTATAAAATCAGGGAGACTCATCCAAAATTCCCCATCTTCTTCTTTACGTTGCCCTAAAATCTCCCTAGTCCTGTGAGATAATGTTTGCCAAGCTATCGAGCTGTTAAAATAAACGCAGAAGGAAAAGATTCAAAAAATTTGATTACTATTGACAATGAACAAACCTATCACTCCAAGAACCAGTCCATTCTTTACCATTTCCCCAAGGATTTCTTATTCTAAATAATCTTATTTTATTTTTTTGGTTGTCTCTTACAATTTCTACTTGAGTTACTGTGTAAGTATGGTTGGCTAATAAGCCTACATTCTCAGTATCTGTCTCCCCTTTTTTAGCGCTGCAGGTTACAAAAGCATCCGATTTATACGCTCTTAACAAATATTTAAAAAGGTTAGCTTCTTCCATTTCTTTAACTGAATATTTTTCCGATATGCCACCTTCGTTGATTAAATTATATACAGTATATATAAATATAGATAAATTTATACATATATGCTTGTTAAATATTATTCAATAAATGGAATAGTTGTTTTTACCTGTTAAATCAACTAGGGCATCTTTTGAGAAACCACCTTCAATATTGGCGTACTGACCATCATGAATTTTTGCGTATGCTTTTTCTAACAGAGGTAACCAAAATTCGTTTTCTTCTAAACATCTTGCATAGTGCAATTTACCGTATTTTACCGGTAATAGATCGTCAATAACAACATCTTTCCAGGTGCCAAATCTCCAAAATCGAAAATGTAGTAGGCCTGAATAGTTTTCTCCGTAAAGTGATTGATTTGGCGGTAGTACTTTATTCATGAACATGGAATGATGAGAAATAGCCGCACAAGCAGATAAAAACCAACAGTCCCCCAGATTACCTATAGTATAGAAAATGTATGTCTCAATACGGCTTTTAACGCGTTGAATGTAGCTGAAAAAGATGAAAAAGAGGCAGATAGAAAAGAGAGAGAGATAGAGAGAAATGAGGTTTCTCGTTTATTAACAACCTTGAAGTACATCTTTTTTACAAACTTCACCAACAAATAACTCTGGTTTTTGGCCAGCCTCTACCAACTCAAAAGGCCTTTTCCAAGATATTTCCTCATTATTTGTATATATAAAGTCGGGATCAACAAAGAGAGAACCTTTTAAGTCATCAATAATCTCCTATCAAATACAATTTGAAAGTTAAATTCTTTCAATTCAATAAAAGTTTTTAAATAATGTTTACCATAATATTTTCAGGCTGAATGTACATGCCAAACTTACTATTCTGATACCTTTTGGTATTCTGAAATTTTGTTTCATTCCCATCGTAAGCCTCTACTTTCCCAGATTCGCAATTTCCCATTTATTAAAAATATTTTTTATTCAAGCTTCTATTTATCGACACGATCGACATTTTCGAATAAGCCTATCTAACTAGTTGCTAAGGGGAACTAATATAGGCTGGTTAATAAGAGACCTACTGTACATTCCTTTTTTTTTTATTGATTTGGGTAACTTCAGCCTAAATCTAGGTCAGCAAAAGTGATTTCATAAATATTGTTAAAACAAAAAAAAATATATGTGTAACGTTTATTTAATACGATTTAGACAGGTTCATTAGCCTTTTAACTCTTATAAGATTTCCATACTCTGATGTATATTTACAAAGATATATTTATGTATATACTGTCTATAAACTAATTAGTTGTAATTAATTAGCTTCTATTTTTACAGTACCTGTAATTTTTTATAACAACATCGTATGTGTAAATACAAGTTATACATGTATATACTGTATATCTTGAAAATCTTTATTAATTGAAATAATAAAATTAGGAACCGTTGAATAAAAATATATCTTTTTAAATATATTTACAAATAATATAGAAATGTATAATTTCTTATTTTCAACAAACTTAATATATATAATAGTATATAATGGAAATTTTTCTCTTTAAATGTTCAACTTTCAAATAATTCATAATTGAAATAAAAACGAACGAAATTATTTTTTAAAGTAAGCCTTGGTGAAGCATGGCTACTTTTCAAGGGTAATATTAATAATCATGCACATTATAGATATATTATTGCGTTGTCTCTCCAAAAAAGAAAAAGATAGTCAAGGAATGAGTTAAAAAAAAAAAAACAATGTTCAATTTAAATGAATAAAACATGAATAATAAATACGATGTAGATCATTTTAGAGTTTGTTTTTTTTTAAGTAACAATCATTGGTCTTTCCTTTTCCTAAAACAGAGATTCAAAATTGGTTTAGGAGTTTAACAGTAAAGAGCGCATGAAAAATAACGTCCTATGTAGTCGAAAATATATGTAATTCAAGGCCTGCTTAGATAGAAGATTAACAAAAAACCATATATTCAAGCTGATTTTATAAAGAGTAAAAATATTGAACATCATGTATCTAAAACTGAGGATTTGATGGAAATGATTGCATTTGTCCTTGTCCCCCTCCTCCGCCTCGTTCAGATAAGGCTAAAAAGGCTAGATTTCCTTTTGGGCATTTATTAGCGTAATGGCCCTTTTCACCACACTGAAATTAATTTTGTTTTTGTTATTAAAATGTATAGTAAAATAATTAAGCATAAAAAAATAAAAAGAAGAGAATAAGTACCTTAAAGCATGTAACTTCCTGGAGAGGCCTTCTTTGTATATTTATTTGCTACAAACGTAAAAATATTAGTTGTTTTGCTAACCTTCTGACAAATTACAAATTACCTGTGGGTTTGTAGGTTTAGTACAAATATTTGATTTGTGTCCTACATCTCCGCAATTATGGCATACTATATGCCCAATTGAAATCTTACTTTTTTGATCTCCCATGATAGGTAGATCGAAAGTTGGGCTAAAAATTTGAAAAAATTTGATGATCATTGATGAACTATTAAACAATAACTATACTCACTGAACATGCTTACACTCTTTACCATTCGGACAAAAACCTACTAAATAATTTACACACATTACTCGTCTGACATGTCTATTCTTACATTGAGCACCTGCAATGATATATTTTCATTGAAAATTTTCAAATTGTTTCTTAATATTTGATATTATCTTACCATGTCTACAAAACCCTCTGTCATACCAAGGGCAATCTTTCACTTTAGACTCGGGATCGATATGTTGAAAAGGGCATTCTTTATTACTACATGATCCTAAAATAAAATACATTTATAAATTAATATTTATGATTTGAATGAATTTCTTGTTAAGTTCTTACCAAATTTTGCATAAAAATAACACTCAGGCATTTTGCTCATGTCGTATTCGTGACGAAATTCACAATCATCCCCTTTTTTACATAAACCTCGCAGCCAATGCTTACAAACTACAGTACGATCTCTTCTTGTGTGGCGGAATGGACACATTGCTCCCCGTGAGCACAAATTTTGAAGGTAGAATGTACAAATAGCAGATCTTGACTCTGAAAGTAAATTTATTAGGTTTCTTTCAACGGAGGAAATAAGATAATATATTTTTTGTCAATAATTATAACACAAAAAGCGTGTACAATCGCGATTAATAAAGGTTTCTGGCTAATATCAACTTGATTAAGCCGGCTCCAACAATTACTCACTGTCCATTCCGGAAAAGGGCAAGGGTAATGCTCCCTTTTGCTGCTCAAGAGCAAGTTCCACATCGAATTTGTGGTTTGACACATTTGCAACAACATCTTGCATCATGTACGAGACAAAATTCTAATAATTGGCAAGATGTTGATGTTCTCTGAATTTCGACCAAATCGATTTCGATTCGAGTGTGAATAAAACCGATTCGGTGTCCAGATGAAAAGTACGGTTCTGCGTTCCTAGTTGAACGCTCCGTCGTATGGTAACTTATTCCCGTCCCGTTTTGATTATAGGCCTAAGATTATTCATACTTTATATACAAAGTTATTATGTTGCCTTGTCAAAGTAATTTTAGTATAAAGTAGATATTAATACTAAGCGAAAACCTTTGAATACATAAATACAAACGTTTTTTGACAGTTCTTATTTTTTATAGGTTGTTGTCTGAATTTTTGGTCTCGTTAGGCCTATCGAAAAATTCCAAGTTTTTTATCATTTCCCCACCTCTTCTCAAAGCAAGAACACATTTTATCTTTACCTCTTGCCTAAAAAAAAAAGAATCTTTCGCAGGTGATTCTATTCTAATAAATTTAAACTTAACATAGTGATTATGGACCGTTCAACCAATAATCTGGACTTGGAGGATGTTAGTCAGGTATATATTTGCCAAATGGACGCCCTACTAGGTCTATTGTCGGAAAACAACGTCCCGAAAGAGGTGATAGACAACTGTCTTTGTTCCGCTCTACTCTCAAGTAATTGTCCCGCTTCAGGAGTGGAACAATTATTCGACGTATATAAATACAATGGTCAGTAGATATTGTTCTTCCTACTTTTCTGTTTATCATAATATTCAGTTTATGGCAAAGCAATATACAAATAGGCCAAAATTATAAATCGGACTACCACTGCCCAACGCTCGCTCATCTTGCCGCAAAATACGGTCTCGCTCAGCTGTTTATCATTTATAGGGATCTAGAATGTTATCAGTAAGTAAACAGATAAATTTGATTAGACTTCCTAAATTCTTTACTACAACTTGTCTATCTAAACTTTTCCTTTATTAAACCATACTTTTGGCATTATTAGTCAGTTTTTTAAATAAATATGTTTATTATTTAAAGATAACGCTTAATATTCTATTCTCAATTTAGGAAAATCTCGAGATTGACCAATAAGGAGGGTTTCCTAGCTACGGAAATGGCTCCAAGTTCAAAGTTAGGTAGGACTACTTCTTACGAACAAGCTATGGAAGCTGCGAATAAACCCAGCGAGACAAACGTTAATGATAAGACTGCGGTTGATGATTATTACGACTCCCTGAATACTTATATGGTTATGTCTCCAAACCTCCATTTATCACAAGGATATGGTAAAATATATATTCAATATACTTTTATAGATTATTTGACAAAAAATAGGCTGAAATTTTTAACATTAAAGCTAATATTTAAATGAATATTATAATATTTTTTTTATAGAGAATGTATCGGACGAACAGGAAGATAGTAGGGATACAAATACAAAGCTTAATACACAAGGTAAAATAGATGGGTGAATGAACTTGTATATTATTTTTACATTGGTACTTGGCTAAACCATTGCTATTCCTATTTAGACAAAGAAATAAGAAAAGCACCATCCTTCGATAGTATAAATGGAAGTAATCAAAGAAATAGCCAATTAATCAAACATCGTCGAAATTCAGAAAATTCTAACCGGTTTATAGAGCCGCCTACCCTTTTACCAATTCCCCAAAATAGGCCAAAGAATCCACTCGCTGCCCTTAAGAAAAAAATTATACGCTAAAATTCGATTATTTCATAGTTATACGTTTGAAAGATGTAAGTGTAAAAAGAGATTTTGAAGGTGACTTAAAGATTATAATTAATAAAATCATCAAATTCACGTCAATAGAATTTTTTTAATTACTTTTCGCACTCGAATTTTGGAAAATTATTCATGCGAAAGCATTTCAAGTTCGTTTCTCTCATTTTATTTAATCATTGATAGATAATTATACGAGCATAAAATACTTGCACTGTCCTACCACCTATAAATTATATTCTTTTAAACTTATATACTATTAATAGTTTTGATTATTATTATTTAATATTATAATAATGGCATACTGTACATTTTTTTCATTTTTTACACTCAACACTCTTGTCCTTAAATCAATAAGAAAAAAGGGTACCATTGAAACTACGCAACGTTGAACTCCCAATTAGTTCTACGCATATTGACTATAACAGGTTAATGACCTGTACTAACTGTAACCGTTTAAGTAGGGAAAAGAAAGAACAGAATTAATAATAATCATAAGTTTAATTTTGCGTACGCAAATAAGATATTGACAAAAAGCCAAGTCACTTAAAAAAAAGAACGAGTTGAAATATACGGAGTTACAAAACTAATTAGAGCGTTTTTGTAGTCTCTGCAAGCCAAAGTCTAAAATCGTTAAAAAGCGGATATGAAAGAGAAAGAACATGTTGCTTAATGGTACTCAACACATTTAAAGACGATATAATTCTCTTTAATTTATTAAAAACATTTCTTTTCATATGTATATGTATTAACAGTGAATATATAATATTTATTTATATATATTATTAATCCATATATTGGTATACAAATGTATATACATATCATACAGTTTATACGAATATTTTACTATTCAAAATCTTATTTCGTATTCAATTAAAAGAGATAATCAAGAAAAAAAACAGAGAGACCATTCATTATCATTTGTGTAACATTTCTACTTTTTTTATCACTTTTATCTTTTTGGTCCATTATATAGGTTACTCTTTATTTACCAATTTCTCTTTTATAACAACAATAAATTTGAGGATTTTTATTTGATTAGAAAAAAAAGAAGAAACACTTGAATTCTTCAAAAAAATAAAAAGGAAATATCAGATATTCCTGTTAAAAGTATTCGCCACAATTTTGTTTGTTTTCTTTATAAAAAAAAAAAAAAGATGGGATTGCAGGCAAGAAAAAAATAAGAAGTAAATGACAGGTAACAAATCAGAAAGGTATTCATCACGATAGAAGAAAAGATGAGGGTTTTTGATATATAAATACATATAATTAAAAAAAAAACAGAAAACAAAAAAACCAAAGAAATTCCTTTTCATTTTCAGTCTCTTCCAATTTTTTTTTCATTTCTATACAGCACCTTTAAACAAGTGGATGGTAAGCACCTAATCATCCAAAATTTGTTTATTGCACACACACACATATATATATATATATATATATATATATGTCTAAAGATAGATATACATTTCTCTTTGTTCAACCAATTCAAACGGCCGAAACTTTCTCTTCTTCGTCACTAATTACTAAAAGGGAAAAAAAAAAGTTACTAAAAACATATGAAGAATTATAAAAAGCATTTAGACAACATAAAAACAATGCATGCAGGTGTTTTTTATTGTTTTTTTTTTAAAATCTATCGCTATATATATACAATACAGTGTATATATACTATATATACATATATATATATATATACTCTACATAAGTATATATAAAGCTAAGTGCAAAGTATAAAGTAGAAGTGAGTAATACTCTTTTACTAAGTAAATATTATGACACCTAAAGGACTTAAATATAAACAACGATCCTTATACCAGTGAAAATGGTTAAGATTATTTTCTGGATGGTGACTTCTTTCGTTTTGTGAACATTCCTAACCATTCTTTATAAAATTATTAAAATTTAATTATAAATCTAAATGTCAATTGAAAACTCTCTCTCTCTCTATATATATATATATATATGACAATTTAAAGTAAAACTTACGAGAAGAAAATTTCGGCTCTTCGGTTTTCGGCATTGGAGGTGTAGCTGATGAAGCCCTAGGTCTAGTGTTTGGTACCATAAGGGTTGCTTTTGGCATATCCTGACTAGCCGATCGACCACATTGGCCTAAGAATTTCTTGTGTTGCAAAGCCTCTTCGTAGCAAGGTAATGCAGGTCTGCTTGCTAGATGTATAGATAATATTTTGTTTTAAAAAATTCCATTTAATTAAAAAATAATAAAATTATAAGGTAAGAAAAAAAATATTAACATAAAAAACGAAAGTGTTTTGTACGCTTACGGCTGAATTAAAAAAAAAATTGACAAGCGCTTTTTCTGTAAGGCCTTTTTAAAAAAAAACAAGCACACTCTCTAAGGTAAAACAGCACGAGGCCGTAGAAAATCTGCACATCAAGCGAGTTAAATACGGAAAAAATAAAACAAAAATAAAATATATGAAAGTTTTGGAGGAGTTCGCAAAAAAGGAAAGCAACAAAATACTCCGTTCTATTACCTGTTTGTCTAAAACAGGTTTCCAAACGCCTAACGGCGTCGTTGTAAGAAGGAAGACGTGGTCTAGATTCATTAGTCTGGCGAATATTCGATGCTGTATACGTTAACAAAGCTTCTAAATATGTCCCTTCCGTGTTTTATATATATATATATATATATATATATATGCTTTTCTAAATTTTCTGTTTTATATTCCTTTCTCTTCCGCTTTTTTTTATCGATTAGAAAACGAACAAGAGGTAAACGAATATGAAAGCGACTACCCTTTCCACATATCTACGTCTAGTAAACTATTATACGATAATTACCGTGAGCTTGGTGGGAACGATCACCGGCTTTCTTTTCGCTGTTAACACTGCTGCAGGATTCTGAATTGCGTTCTCTATAACGTCTCGGTGGAACAGGTGGAGGTTGTTTAGATGGGGAGTTAGCTGTTGAGCTAACGCTTGAGCTCTCCATCGTCAAAGTTAGCTTGGGGGGTGGAGGTGTAGTAGGTGAAGGCGGACTCTTCGACTTTCGAGGAACAATAGGGGAAACAGTGCTTGTTGGAAGAGGGTCGTGCTTATTATTGTGAGGTTTAGTCTTAGATCTCAGACCGATCAGCTTATTCATGCTATCCAAACTCGTTACTCCTGAAAATAAGAAAGACTAATTAATTACTTAATTATTAATACTAAAATTAATTAGGTTCAACAAAAAAGTTCAAGCAATACAGCTATAAAATTATATATACAATAAAGACACATTTGGTGAAAAACTTTCATGCAAAGCAAACATTGATGAGGACAATAAACGTAATGTCACGAGTATGTAAATATATACACTAAATTTGCTATGAATGCATTCTTTGTAGTTTTTTCTGTTTTTTTTTTTACAACACTTTATAGAAACCTCTTGCATCCGACTTTAAAATATTATCACCAAAAGTCCAACTACGTTTTCTTACCACTTCAGCAGGACCTAGTCTATCAGCTAAATTTGGAATATGGCTTAGAAATTATTCGACAAAATAATTAATGTAATTTTAATAGAAAAAGAGACATTTAAGAAGTATTGATACAAAAAAAAAACAGATAATTAAAATAATAAAATAGGCAATTATTTACCAAAGGCATTCGGAGCTAAACTTGTAGCTGAATTTCTGGTTGATCTGGATTGGATGGATGGTGATGACTCTCTCTTTAATCCTCGTAGAGAGCCTAAAAGAGAAATCATTTATTTTATCGTTAATAGACTCAACAGGCGGAGGGAAAATTTTAATTAAAGCTGAATTATTGACTGATTCTGACCTTCCTTTGAATCGCACTGCTGGGCCAATTCCTTTAGTTCTTCATCGTCCTCAATAACCTTTAACTTCTCTAAATAGTCTCTAACTTTTCTAACCATTTGCCCCTCTTCATATATTTTTTTTAGGTTAGGTGCAGTTGAGGCTTTTCTTTTCCTTCTTATTGTCGCTACGGCTAAAGCGGCATTCGATGGAGCCGATAGCGATCGAGATCCAAAGGCGCTGAATACCCTTTCAGCGTGCGCTCCTGTCGTTGGTAATCCGTGCATAAACAAAGTGTGCATAGGATTTTGAATGGTTGCCATGTTTGATATGTGCCGAATCTCTCTTGCTAGCATTCTTAATTTTTCAAAGTTGATCAAACCCTCGACAAAGTCATCATTACCGAGGTGAATGAAAGACAAATCCTTTTTAAATAACGGAAAGAAAGGTATCATGGGTGGTTCTATTCGCTCGCTATTGACCAGCCGTCTATAATTCGAGAAATTACGTAACGGCATGAACAATTGTCTTAGATCTTCCAACAGGTTTGTGTACTTTCTGCTAACTTTTTCCCAAGTTGCGTTCAACTTCGATAGCAGTGTGTGGTCTAATCCACTAACAATGGCGAATACAGAATTGAAATTTTTCAATTCCCTACAATGGCGTGCAATCTTTATGAAATGTTTTATGAATTTTACCCGACGCACAAGATTCGTTTCTTTTAGGATTTCAGTTACCACCCAAAGGGTTTCCTTATTCACTAACTTTACAAAGTCCATCAAATTTGGTGTTCCAAAAACGCTACCTTTGTCAAATAAATCATCTATGTATTCAGTTGGGTGAATACTATTGAAAAGTCGGAAATCATTTAAGGTTAACTGAGCTGCTATTTCAGCCGGATGCAATTGGAGGAGACTGGTTAAACCTTCTTTTAACAATTCCCCTTTTTGTTCATCTGGAATTAATGGCTCCGTTTCTGTATTTTCCTTTAAGTAGTACCTTCCGTTAAGGCTGCTCCTCTCTGCTAAATTATCCAACTGGTCAGGCAAACGTTTCTGTTTTACAACGTCTTCTGTTTCAATTGTTACGATGCATAAAGAAAACTTTGTGCTCGGCTCAGTCATTCCGAATTGTTTCAATGCCAACATAACAACCTGCTGAGCCGTCGTTTCCTGTCAGGCGTAATATAGTACATTATATTATTAAATATGGTTTTTTTTCTAAAGGAAAAATCTTGTTTACCTTTTGTATTGGTAAATATTTAAAGGTTTGATCAGATCTATAGACTTTAATAACGTAATCAGGAAAAGCTCTAAATTCTGAATCGTCAAAAGCACTTAAATCTGGATTCGATGTCGACAATTGTATACTGCCAGAAGAACTCAGACTCCTTTTCAAAGTTCTCCCCTCAGGCTTGTCTGTGACAGCTTTTGGTCTCCAGTATAATTTCATTAGTGCCTTCCGAATTTTCATTGCCTTGCTACCGCTTATAAAACTCTTTTTTTCTTTGTCAGTGGAATTTGATTTTAGTACAGACTTGACGCCTAACGCCTGCAAATCTGGTGCAGACAACCTCTGAGGTCGTGTTTCATTTCTATTCGTTTCATGAGATTCTATAGAGAGACCTTCCAAATTGACATGCGTTGATTCTTGCAGGAGATCAGTAAATGCTAAAAAGAGAAAAATGAATTTATAGTTAAACAGAAAAAATTACTTACTCCCATTAGGAGAAGTGTAAAAGAAACTGAGTTAAGAATAAAAGAATTAGTACTAGGGTTTCAGGCAAAATCGTTGGGGGAGGGTAGCGAACCAGCAGTAGTGAAAATGGGGTGAAGGAAATTATAAATGATAGATAATAATAAAAATGGGAATAATAATCAGTTAGTTAATTATTTAATTATGAAATGATTTTTTTGTCTGTTTATCTTTTTCGAAAGCATGCAAGATCTTACAATTTTTATCCTTATTATCCTTGAATAAGGACCAAGGTTTCATGTATCGTAGGAGAGCTGTAAATATTAATCCACAAACCACTTTATATTAAGGATTTCTCTAATACAAAACAAACTTAAGGGCGTTTAGAAAACAAGGTGTTTTTTTGAAAATATAATTACTACAATAATAAGTGGAAAGGAAACGTGGAAAAATTTACTTACCCATTAGATTTGATTTGACGACCATTGATAAGTGAGTGGACCCTCTCAGAATTTCTAGAGCTTTTTTATGGGTTATCTTATCGAAACTTTGGTTGTTGACTTGTAAAATTTGATCACCCCTCTTTAAACCTGCCTCGTGAGCTTTCGTATTTTTCTGCACATTTGTAATAAAAATTGGGGCCCCCCTTTCTTGACCTCCGAGTATGTGAAATTGTAGGACTTGATTACGATCCGATCGTCTTACCACAACATTCCTAGGCCTAGCCTTAGCTGCGCACGCAATATTCAACAATCTTAATTGGCCTTCCATTCTCTCTTGAGTTAAGAGATTTTCAAATTTTTCTAAAAATTCACTCATACCCGATTCACTTTCAAAGTCGTTGTAGTGATTATTTACCCATAACAGAACAATTCTAGTTACCTGGTACAGAAATAATGAACAAAGGCTTTCAATAGATTCTTTTCTTATTATATTACCCTTACCCTATCCCGCAGTCTCTTATCGTCAAACCACGCTAATAGCTTTGAAGTTAGTTCATATGGAGATGACAAGAACGTTCGGTAAGTTAGTAAAAAGTCTTCCACGTATGATGGATCGGTATTTGAAATTTCCAACAAGTGATCCAAGAGTTTATCTTTTGTGCCCTATGTTTCATTGTTATGAATGATACAAAAAAACGAAATTTATTCGTACCAATTTGCTTTCGAATCAAATTTTAACTAACCCTTATTACGGTGAAGTCTTTTTTCGATCCACCGGCAACCTGTTGTTCAGTAACGAGAACTACTTTATTATTCTCTTCGTGCCGTATCGTGTTCTCTTCCCCCTATTTTAATAGTCACAAATATATTCAATATGAAAATAACAACAATACGATAAAGTAATGATAGATATTATAAATAGTATGTTATTTTTTATTTTTACCTGAGTTAAAATACGATAATAATTCTCTTGATCGATGCAAATAAATTGACAATTGTCAACTTTAGTTCGCATAACTCCAACATGCTTTTGAATTTCTTTCGAAGCAGATATTCCAAAGCTACAAAAAAAAATTGCGAGGTATGGATTTAGATAAAACAAACTAGAGTGCATTCTATAACCATAAATTGCACTTACGATTCACCCATGTTATAAGTAAGGACGGTTTTATCGGGTTTTATCACTTCGACGTGTCCATTCAGTATTACGGACCAAGAATCCAGTATTTCTCCATCTTCTAGAACGGTCATATTGGCTTTGTCTACAACTGCAAGAGCCATTACTCTACACATTTCTCTTCTAATAGCCATTGTCATATTGGCAAAAGCCGGTAAATGTTTAAAATTTTCTAACAATGTTTCGATATCATCGTCAGTCCTTTCATTTTTAGATTTTTCAAATATTTCTTGTACATTATCCCTAACAGTTGACTAAAAGTTATTTTGAACGATTTTTTTAGATATTGGTCATTTTTCATGAAATTTAAATCTCCTACCCCGTCGGAACTTTCAACGTAACCTTCCTCGTCATCAGAGTCTACAAGAGTTTCCGTCAATCCGGATAAATCAGCAACTTCACCGCTTACACTACTCTGCATCATATCCGAACCGCTATAGGCGCTAGAAGTATCGGAAGCATGAGAATTCCGCTTACAAGCAGCAGTTCTAGCAGCTTGTAAGCGATGTTCGCCATCCTTATTATAATCATTTCCGTGTACCATTGTTAATTCGTCTGGTCGTAGCTATTATCATCACATAGGTTTTTATATGTTTGTATATAAACGTAATTTATACATACACAATGGTATGTATAAAAAAAAAACAAAAAGACAGAAAATTGTTTCAAAGCCTTACATGATCGATTAATCCGTCCGTTGAATGAATTCGGTATCTGGTCAACCGTACATCGCAATCGTCGCCGAAGCATTTCTCTATCATCGACCGTCGGTTCGACGCCTCTTCAATCTGTACATCCGGGTAGTCAATCTGAAAAAAAAACACACGGTTAAAAACAAAATTGAAAAAATCGTGAGCATGAATAAAGAGTTCTAAATAAATAGCTCAAAAACTATCAATACAATAACATACTATAATATTGTAAAGTTGGGTAATACTCACGACTATCATATCCGAACTATCCAATACTAGACATTGATTCATTCTTCTTCTACATTCGGCTGTCCTCTTACCGAAGCTAGAAGGAAGATATTTTACTTTTTATCATATGCTAAGAAAGAGAAGCGAACAACTAAAAAAGGTGAAAAGAAGAAACGTACGCAACTTATACAAGCCTATAAACGATTCAAATATTATACTCAATTGTACAATAGAGCCCCTCTAAAGTCTCTTTCAATAAATCAAATGGTGATATTTTTACAAAAATTCACAACCGCGTTTGACAAGCGATAATTTAGCAGAAAGAGAAAACCTTGAGCAAGTGACACAAAAGCTGAAGCGTTGACATTCGCCATTTTCTTAAAGGCGCTGTTACGTAAAAAAGAACATTACGTTGACGAGTGTCTTCCATTTAACAAAGTCGGTAGGAGAAGGCGGCCCTTTTATCGAAAATTACGCACTTGCCACTAAGTAAAAGCGTTGGAAAGAGATTACCATCTCTCTTCGAGGGGGTAAAAAAAGTTGTATACAAAAGGTGTTTGATTTAGGAGAATGGGTCCAAAACGTACTTGTTTAAAACATTAAATGCGAACAACATTTATAATTAGAAAAGTTACCATAAGAAAAAGAAGAAGAAAAGAAAAACTATTCCTTTTTTTTTGAAACCGTTACAATGAGTTACAATGGACTAACAGCCATCGGCATGTTCAGACTAATATTAATCTTAATAAGCACTAGCATCGCTCTTTAAAACTTGATGAGTATGCAAAAATATATATAAGAATAGAAAAACATAGAAAATTGTAACTATTGTCAGAGTCAGGTGAAACGAAGTAATCGGGTGAATTTTTTCGTATTAGCTCTTATTAAAAATTTATGAAACACAAGACGTAAATCAAAGGAAGTGTAAATATGGTAAAAATAATATCAAGAAATCAAAACAAATACAACAGTTGCTGGTGAGTAATAAGCCTACCTCGTCACTGGTCTCTTTACAACGACAAGCACCCCATCTATTTCTTCAACGACATCATACTGATATTCGATTGGGCAATTGTTATTCGCCAATACAATATCCAAATCGAACATAATTCAACTTTATATACGAAGAATGAACGTTACGAAAAAACTATAGCACTCGACGTCTTCGGCTTTAATGAGAATAAGGGTACTGACAACAAAAGAAAAGCGAACTGCAAACGCACTCTATAAACCCATTTTTAGCGGCGTTGCGAACATCACCGTCATTTTCCGCGTATGAACTATGCATTTAGATTATTTTTCTAAGAGAAAGAATGACAGAGGGAGGAGAAGGAGGAGGAGAAGGGGGGGGAGGGAGAGAATTTATAAAAATAATAAACAGGCGCTGTATATTTTGTATTCTAAAATACCCTATATATCAAATTGAGGGTGATACTGAAAAAAAACTTATATAAAGCGTCGAAACCAAACCTGACAGTGGAAGTGATATAGTGCAAAGAGAAGAAAAAAACAATCAACAAAAAAAGATCCAAAGTACCGCAGATGGCGCTTATTCTTTTCATAAATAACATAATTTTTACTGATAATATCGAGAAAAGAGTTTTTATAAGAACTTACCAATTACGTGGGAAGTATAATTCCTTTTCAATTATAACCAAGCCGGATAATAAGATATACCAGCAAGTGCTCAACTCTCCCTCACTGTTTTTAAATTAAGAGAAAGGATATAAAAAAGAATGAGCGAGGTGGATATTCGTCAGTTTATATTGAGTAGTAGCTTTTATCGTTGTCCGCTCAGTTAAGCGTTTTAATATTACGATTCATTAAGTATTCGTACTTACTAAAATAGTACTTCGTTTCCATCATAGCTTTCGTATCGAGAGTTACAGGCCAAAGATTTCAAGGCTGGTTCCTTCAGAGAATTTAGGCAGCTAAAGGTTCTCAAGTTCTTTACTATAATATCTAAATCCTGTAAATAAAGATAGCAATGAAAAGTGGATAAATTGCGTTAAAACTTGTAAATAATTATTATGAATAATCGGTCATAACTGCTCGATAATAATAGGATTAGTAACGAATGGAGAAAAGTCAATAGCCATATTTAGGTCAATAGAATTCAGTTCGGCCGCTAAAAATTCAATCACAAACATAAAATTCAAACAGCTGCCGCACGACCGAAAACAAAGTTATTACTGTATTAGTTATATACTGTATATATACATTTGTTTTCTCTCTCTCTCTCTCTCTCTGTCGCTTTATCTCTCGCTCTCTTTTCTGGCTGCTTAAACTACATTAAATAAAGTTTTATCGTAACAGTATAGCTACTTTTTTAGTTCTCTTTTTTATGCATATAAATTTTCAGCCTTTTGAAATTCAATAGGCGTCCTAAAAGTTTTCTTGGTATTTAAAAATTGTAAATAAACGAGTAAACCTTATATAAACATTTATTATACGCAAACAATAAGATCGACGTTAAGTTAAATAAAAAGCAACAGCTGATATGTTTATTAACTTCTTATCTATAAGCAACATTACACGCCACTCTTGATTGACTTGCATTGATTTTACTTATTAGCATAACAGAATTAAGGAATTAGTCATTTAATTTACTTTTCAAACTATTGGATAAACTCTCTTTTATACTATGATTAACATAATAGTTTTGCATCATTAGTAATATCTTTGCAAAATTTTACTCGAAATTTTATATTGTTACCTCTTTTGTCCTTCGATCGCACGGTTTGCGGAGAGCTTGTAAAAACTTTTCGCTAATTCCATTTTCTTCCATGACTTTCTTTAAATCTTTGATTAATGAAACATATCGATCCGCCAGCCCAGTCTTTATATTGTAAAAAGCTTTATTTACGTTTGAGCTTGAAATTGGACAATGCTTTAAAAACCTATCACAGATTGCTGAGTATTCGTTAAGAAATGTAAATAAAATAAATTTAAAATCCTTAGATATCCAATGGCTTATGATCACATGATGTTTTAAAAACTTGGTATAATCGAAAAAATATCCGGCGTCAATGTAAGTCTGCCACCAGAAAGTAGTCGGGTACTACTATAAACCGGAAAGTAGGTGTCATTTTCATAGTTGTTTTCGTATAAACATATTTTTATAATTTTTTGATTTTTTAAACTTCTCAAGTGTAAATAATAATTGTTCAATTACCATTTTAAATTATACGAAGTTAACTGGCGCGTTCTTTGAACCGAAACGTTATAATAGCCGTAGCATATTTCCTTACACATATAATATACACAATATGACACAATGGTCTTAACTTTAAGTCCCTCCCTTTATATTGTACACGCCCGAAATTAACAAATGTTTCACTTAACAAAAATAAATCCGTAAAACTATACACAAATCTACATTATAAATATTTAGATATTTGGAATACTGTACAGATATATTTCAAGTATGAAGTATATGCACTATATACGGATACATAAGAGCATATGTCGACATTTATGCGTATAAATAAGCTTATTTATTCATATTACGCCCACTAGAACTATTCCTAAAGCTGTCAAGAAGGATTGGGTGTAAATCTGAACACATCGACTTCAATATCAACTGACTTCTGCTTATGAAACTTATAAGTCTGAGGAATATTGAATCTCAATTGAGCAATTACTTCGGAAGAGTATCCCCATTCACCCATTTTTGATAAAATATACTTTCTAGTGCTTGTTTTATGAAAGGAATAGATGGCTGAATTACTCATCCACATAGCAGCCTTAAGGAAATCCATATCAATACCAGAGTTATTTTTTGTTCCAAATGGTGGATTTGTAATGACCGTGTCGAACTTTTTGTGAAATTTTTCGTTATCAATTACTTTTAAAACATCCATTTGTAAGAGATCAACATTATCAATTTCCATATCTTTAATATTCGTATCACACACTTCTAAGGCGTCAGAATCAATATCAATACTTAAACAATAATTGCACCCTAGAACAACAGCACCAATTGAGAGAACGCCGCAACCACACCCTAAATCAACTATTGTTTTTTCGTTAATGTCGTTCCAACGACTCTCAATTGTATGAAGTACGGAAGCTGTTAAGGAAATATGGCACAATTAAATCATGACCTAGATTTAAGTTATCTTCTTTTTATTTCTCTCTTTTGAGAGAGATATTTTTGTATCATCACCTGATAGATGAGGTGTTGTGGGATATTGTTCTAATTGAACCTTTGGATTATTGAACGTTTCCACTTCTTGCAGTATACTCTCCAATTTTTTTAATTTCACATGTGCCATGAATTCTCAGCGGGTTTATCAGTAACAAGGACCAATCAAAACATTCAAAATTAAGGGGTAAAGCTGAAAAATCTGGGGAAAATTGGAAAAACACGTGAAACTTGAAAATGTAGATGGCGTTAAAGATACGAACGGTGTCACGTGACATTGTTTACTTGACTACCGCTACAAACAAGGCTGAAAAATAGACTTTTCCTGGAAATTTTTATTGTGTACATCATAATCTAAAAGTTTATTTAAAAAATAATTGTAAAGGTAACATTCGAACAGAACTATGATATTTCTTTGAATATGCAAATTGGATAAGAAAGGATTTTTTTCAGAACTTGAAGGTATTTGCTACAGCTTTTAGCGTCATCTATCGTACAAGTGGTACATCCGGGATATAGACAGGCATTTTGGATTCTTTAGTTCGTTATTTCAGATAATTTTCAATTCGTTCATATTCATATTCAAACATTCATTGGCACGAATATGATTCAATTGCTATAAGGAAGCTTGAAGATAGTGAACTGCTGCATGACAATAATATTTGAAGAAATTTACTGTTCATTTTTAAAATTGAACATTGGTTAAGATATCGATGAACTAAAGAATAACGAATATACAAGAAGAACTACGTTATTCAATCTAAGCGAGATAATTAGCAAAGTGAAATAGGATGAGATCTGTCAAATTATTTATTGAAACACTGACTGGTGGAAAATTCGAACTTACTGTTCAACCAGAAGACACAATTGAAATGGTCAAAAATAGAATAACAAAGATCGAAGGTTTGTCAAAGTATTTTAAGTCCTTTATCCCTTTTTCAAGGATGTTACAAATACGAGATAATAAGAATAACAACTTATTATTCATTCTATTTAAATATATAGTTAGTTACAAAGAATCGATAGTGTATTTTATAGAAGAGTTGCATAATACTGAATATTATAATTTAGTCGTTACGGTGTTACTATTACACATGAAAACAACAATAGGAATAAAAAGAAAACAATTTTTTCTTAAAACTACCAATGACCGATTTTAATCCTGTTTAAGTACTGCTTTCTCTAATAATCAATATATTTGCTATTAGCATTCAATACTAAATAAACGTATTATTTTTTCTTCAAATATGTTAATATGCTCTTTTTTTTAACAGGAATATCTGTTCCACAACAACAACTAGTCCATGATGAAATGGAATTACACGATGAGAAACGAATATCAGATTATCCTGCACTTTTTCCCAGAGCAAAATTGCGTTTAATGGTGGCCATGCGAGGCGGACCCATAAATACCAGACGAAGTTTGTATTGTTTTTTCATTTCAACGTTATCTAATATATGTCCTAATTCTTATCGTATTTATTATTTCTTTATTAAGTAATTGATTAATGAAAAAAGAGCTGACTGTTTGGAATATTGAAATGGTTCATTTTCGACTGCGCATATATATATATATATTTATGTTCTTAATGTTTGTCGAACGTGAAGGCCATTCTCTAAGTTGATAAGAACTTTAATCTCTATAGCTCTATAATAATTTGAGTCTTGTTTTGTAAATAATATTTATTTTGTTCTCATTTTTAACTATTTTTAGTAACAGTGGACGAAAATGCTGTTCTTGCTAGAGATATTGGAGAATGTTTAGATTCAAATGAAGATTTTCTTGAAAGATTAGAACGACTATCGGGAAATCAGCTTCCTGTTACATTGGTTGTCTTGCATGATGGGAAACATTATAATCTTTTTCGAATAGTCGATAAACCGGATTCACCTTATAGTAGCGATTCTCTATCAGCAACATCTGCTTTAGCAGATGATAATGATATTGCTGAATCTTTTAAGCTAGACGATGAAAATGAAACTACGAAGGAAAAAGTTCGTCAATTGAAAATACAAATGGAAAAATTAAATTTAGGGAAAGCTAATAAAAGTATTCCGATACATGTACCAAGACCTCCGTCCACATCTTCGAATAATAATAGGACTAATCTACGTACTTTCAAAAATTCAAATACAATGTCTTCCGTAAATCATCATCCGACATATAACAATAGAAACGTTTGTCTGCCGCCTCTTCATCAAGAAATGTATTTACCTGACTCTAAGCCAACTTCCGCAATGTCTATTCGGGAGGGAGCGGAGGGAGTACCTCCTCCTCGTTCAGTGCTAGAGGCCGTTCGAGAAGAAAACTCAAGTCAGAGTAGAAAAACATCTGCCTCCATTTTTCTCGAAAGTTTAAGTCATCAAGAAGCTAGAGGCTTATTAAGACAAGCATCTATAGAACGTTTCGGTTCTTCTTACGAAAGATTTGGTGGTTCAAATGTAACATTTACTCCAATGCCTCCTTCAACGCGACTTTCGGCACAGTCCAGGAGTACTTCTGAAAAGAGATTGTTGGTTGGTATATATTACTCTGTCTCTTTGCTTATATGATCCTACTTCCTCTTTATCTTTCTCTTTCCGCTTAAACAGTCCTCTCGGTTACGAACTTTCTCTGGATCCCAAAAAGGTCGAATCTTATCACCTACTCACCGACTACCACCTGTCAAACAGAAGAAAAAGACGAAACGTTGTTTTGTCTGTACTAAGAAACTGGGTCTAGCAAATAGTTTCCAATGCAAGTAAGTAATTCAACTCGTGTCCTAAATGAAAAAAGGAACCTAATTTGACATCTCTTTATTTTTAATTACATATTTAATGAATATTCATTGAAATTTCTCCCATTCAGATGTAATAATTTCTTTTGTGCCACTCACCGATACGCTGAATCGCACAGTTGTCCTTTCGATTATAAGACAGAGGGAAGAAAGCTTATCGAGAAGAATAATCCAGTTGTAACAGCACCCAAGTTGCCTAAAATTTAACAACTCCAAGCTAAAGTTGTCTGTGATAAGAAAACAAAAAATAATGATAAAAAACTGAAATTATAGAAAAAACTGTTAGATTTCTATTTCATTTTTTTCTTGAAAGAACTGATCCTTCTAATTTTTTAGGATGATATTATTGAAAATCATTCCAAAAACAATCTCATCGTTTGTTTTGCTTTTTGTGGAATGACTGTGATGAACCCTAATATTTTTTTCCCTACATACACACGTCCCTATTAAAGAAATTTATCAGTCTGTTTAAAATAACAAAGTCGATAGTCTAAATATGACAGTACAGACTGCTTAGTGTCATAATTCGTCTAGTACATGATTCTGTCCTTATTTTACAATTATTAATTGATTTTACAGTTTTTTTTTGTGACATAGACTGATTATTTATGCAATTACGTTTTTTTTAAAAAGAAAATTTCAAAGTGAAGTTTCCAATCTATTCCAAAAAGAACCGTATAAGTTTCAACAGCATTACATACTGGAATGTACAACTACATATACCTTCAGTATCATAACAATTATATACTGTTTTACAGAAAAAAAATTGTTATCACAGGAAAGTTGTACCCTTTGCAAACAACATTTTATAGATGATGAAGCCCCAAGAGGGTAAAAATAGCAAACAAAATATAATTCCATGATTTGATCCTTTTATGATACAATTACTCTTAATTGCATTCAACACTGTGCTCCACATTTTAGTCTGTTCCGGTGGAGTGACGTGATGAGCATTTATGACACGCGTTGCTAAGCCACAACCTTTGATATGTTTGTTCTCCAGCATTCCAGGTAATTGATGATAATGAAGACCTGCTTTAATTCGAGCCAGACCGGTTACAGCTACATCTTCCATATGGACGTAGCGAATTTTACGAACAGCTTTAATAATTTTGTGTAAAGCAGATTGAGAGATTACATATCCTGGACCAGAGCAGTATATTGGATAATAAGCATCTGGATATACATACTCGGGAACGAAAAATTTACTTGACTGCCTTCTATCTGGCCAAACAGTAAAGCAATAGCCAGCAATGTAGTTAGGTTCGCGAATGCCTTTCAAATAATCGACCAAAAGATAAGGGTTGTTATAGGCGTCATCATCGGTTTTCAAAACATATTTAGGAGAGCATTTAGAGTCTATCCAATTTAGTGAGGATATACTTTTATCTGTTAACTTTTTGTAATGGTCGTCTACTCTCGTTTGTAAAACATCTCCAAATATTTTTGCTTCATTCTCAACAAGCGTATTAAAATTTTTGTCTTTGTGAACGCCAAACGCAAACATTGTCCTTACTTTCTTACCTTCGTGTTCTTTAACACTACCCCAAGATTTTCGGATGGCTTCCCTAGCGTCTTTATTTGCGTGATGAGATATTACTAATATTAATAAAAATACATCTCCAGGGGATTTACAGAACTTGGAAGATGGTTGTAGCATAAAATCATTTGACACTTTCGTACAATTTGCACAACTAATGTCTGGCACCAGATGGTAGATACCAAACTTATCTGTTAGGTACATTGGCCATGGAGTTTTGTAAATTACATACCATCCTAACCATATCGAAACAACTGATGTCAACGATATGATACAGAGGACTCTTCGCCAAGCTATTCCAGTTGTAGTATTATACATATGCAAATTATATCTTCTATTTGAAATTTATTCTTTAAAGTAGCTTGTCGATTATTTTAATCTTATCGTTACCAACAAAAATTCTCAAACAATCATTGTTAAATGATTTATCAGCTCTAATTACTTTGTCAATGTCAAGGACTACTTTATAGTGCCAGCTATCTTCTGTTAACTCGATATTATTACGCGTACTTTTTTATTTTATAGCTGATATATTAAATTTGCTATTCTATTTCACCAATTTTATAAGTTTTTATACGCTAAATAACTTTTAAATGTAAAAATTTGCAATATGAAGTGTCGATAGAGGAACTATATTCTTTTGTTACTAAGTTATAAAATACACAACATCGTGGTTAAGCGGTTTCGGTTCTTATTAATAAGATTCGAACAGAAAGTATTAAAATATGACAGAAGAAGATAAAGAAGGCTCACCTCCTGTTCCAAAAATAGAGGTTAATGATGACCAAAGAGAAGAAATTGATAAAAAATCAGAGGTGGGGAGTCAAATCGGAAACAACCTGGACGATGATGATGAAGTTAAAGAAGCCGAGGGCGACGAAGACGAAGAGGGCGAAGGTGTAGAAAAAGGCGAAGATGAAGGTACCGAAGGTGAACCCGACGAACTTTCAGAAGAAGCCACAGCTCTAAAACACGAGCTACAAAAAATAATAGTTGCTCCTCCCATGAATCCAAAGTAAATTTAAATATTTCCTAAAATAAGAAAAGAATAGAATAAACTACTTTTCAAAAGTGTATTAACTAATAATTAAAAAACAAATACTTCAGAATAATGGAAGATGACGAAATTGTAGATCCAGAAAAATATCCAGAGAGCTATAGAGTTAACACCAACAAGGAAAAGTTGTGCTTACTGTATGCTGCAAGTTATACCAGACAATATGCTCAGATGTATGCCAAGAGAAAACCCTTACTATTAAAGCCTATAAACGAATGCGGTGTTGAAGTTGGTTTACATTTTATAATAAAACAAATACATCTTCTCTTTCCTTATTAATTAAACCTTTACTCTACAATAGAAATTAGTTTGTACAACGATAAAACCAACTCTTCTTCCGTATAAACCATTATACGACTGGAAAGGAGCGGCAGAATTCGTTGCAGACTATCTTGATTTTGTAACTCTTGATCCGGAACACGAACCGGTAAATTCAATCTATATTAGGTTATCTTTTCTATTAGTAATAATAATATATTTGCAGCCGAAGCGTTTGCGTTCTCCAACAACTATTTTAGAATTTCAGAGGGCTAATTGCTTTGAGTATTCAACACTGTTGGTATCCTTCCTGATAGCTGCAGGCTATGACGCTTATGTTGTAAGCGGTTATGCAACTAGGGAAATTTGTATTATGGATGAAACTAGAGAGGTTTGTCCTTTATTAAGTAAGAAAAGGGAAGCATCGAAAAAAGAAGAAAGACCGCCTATGAAGCGTTATCAAGTCAGACCTCCGAAAGATCTCCAATCAAAGTTTGAAATAAAAATGAAAAAACGTAGCGACGAAGCAAAGGAAAAAGAAAGAAGGAAAAAGTTAGAAGAGGAAGAAGAAAAAGATATCGAAGCTCACAAACCTCTTCCAGACCCTTTATTTGGTACTCGTGTTCATTCATGGGTCCTTATTTTAGCGGGAAAAAGGGGGGTAGAAGAGAATTTTTTTATTGAACCATTTACTGGTCTACCTAAAGCTGTCGACGATCCAGAATATCTAGGCATTGAAAGTATTTGGAATAATAAGAACTTTTGGGCAAATATGCAATCTTGCGAAGATGGCTTAAAGGGCATACAATACGATCTAGGAGATATTAGCTCATGGGAATATATGTTTCCCTCTAATGAAAAACCGGAACTAAAGTTACCGGATGACGAATATGCTGCAGATAATCTAGAAATAGAAGAAGAGGAAGAGAAAGATATAGAAAAACATTTAGATATACCAAAGTCTTGGGTCAAGACGATAACTTTATCTTTAAGAGATTTTCAAACACGGTGTCCATCTGGAAAAAAGACAAAATTATACAAAAGAGCTAAGTTAGAAAGATTTGCTCCATACTTAATGGATGATGGTATTGTAAGCAGACTATCTTCGTTTTCTGATAGAGAGCGTTAGTTTATTGATAAATCTAATAAAAATTTGATGCTTTATATGTTAAACATATTCCAACAGTCATTGACTTGGAGGAATCAAAGGAGGTATACGAGCACAGAGCGGATAAACTCTTAACAAGAGACCGGAATCATAAGACGAATTGGATTACAGAAAACTTTTCACCCGGAAGACCAAAGCATTTAAAAAGTAGGTCATTCCCATAGAGGGAAAAAAGCATAAAAAAATTATTACTTTTTTTTCACTTTCCAGAGCACATCTATAAAGCCACAGAATCGGGTCCGGAGAGCGAAAGGACAATGATTTTCTTTCATCACGCCAGAGTTAATGGCCTTGAACGTCGTTTAGAAACTCCTACAGAAATGACAGAACACTTTAAAGATAGAGAAGACTTTCTCTTCTATCGTCATGTACTTTTTGCGCAACGTACAAAAACTTTTGGACCTGCCAGTAGTGGAACATCACCAAGAACAATATTAGTAAGTAGAAGTCAATAGCTTAAGTCGACATCTGGTGGATTTTCAGATAATTAGCACCCTCCACCGCCCCCTCCCTCCATGTCTCTAAAATATTTAGTAATTGAATTTTAGTTCTGTTAATTAGCAATAGTGTATTGATGTAAATTCATATACTGCTAAGAACTTTCACCTAAAGAATTTGTCATTTCATTTTATATCTATTTGTACATTCTACAGAGAATCGTTGAACATTACCATAGGAACGAGAAAGTTCCCGCTGATGAAGATATATCTGTTTTGACATTTAACTGCGCCGACAAGAAAATTTCGATAACTTATCATACATGCGACGAGAAGATATCTGCTTCTACACGTGAATTTACAAAACCAGATAACTGGGATGATAAGACGGCACCTTTGATCTTTCATGAAGCAGAGATGCATAGCACATTCCAGGTGGGATGAGGGACATTTTATTTATAGTTTAAAAGAATTAATACCCGTCGCAATCGATCATTAGCCATTATATTCGAGTTTAATTACCTTTACAGCTTTTCAAATTGAAAACGTGGCAGGTGATTACTGTTGTATATGTTGTATGTAAAAAAATTATCTATAGGCTGTAAACCTACAATAAAAACATTTACAAAATTATATATATATATCTGTTGTATATATATATATATAAGACCAAAAGGGAAATAAGGCAGGTATTTTAAATTAAAAAGGAGGTTAAAAACTTAATTGGATATGGAAAAGAACTGAGCACATCGTACCAATACACACACGATCCAACGTAACCATGTCGTTCGATAACTTTCTAAAAAGATTTCAGCACTTGAATATACTATATATCTATTTATGGCTACGTCAATTAAGACATTTATTTGATGTACTCTTCTACTCTTTTTTCCAGGTGAATCCTCATGATAGAAAGAAAAAACAGGTTGAACTCTACCAATTGCTTGAGGACCTACTAAAAAGGGAAGAAAAATCTAAGGAGAGCGTTCGAGCTTCGGAAAAAGAGGTAAGTCGTGTAGCTTTTGTTCTCAATTACTGGTTGGTGAACGGCTTCATTTAATACGCTTTTAGGTTAGAGATATTCTTGAAGTTAGACAACAAGAAGACTTCAAGGTCAACTTAGATGTTTCTGTATACGACGTACAAAGAAACGATAAAGCGAAGAAACTACGAGAAGAATTGGTAATATATTGGGATATTTTGTATTTTAAACAAAGAATGCGCTAATAAATATTTTCTTCGACTATTTCTAGGAGAGACGCGCTGCGGAGGAAAAACTTCGGCAAGAGGAAATGGAAGTAGACTACTTAGCGCCGTTCCTCTCTCTTCTTGATGATCCAAATAATATTCAATATAGTGATGCTCTGAAATTAAGCGAGGAATGCTTAAGAGACCTAAAACATAGATTAATCGACAAAGCAAATCTTATTCAAGCCAGATTCGAAAAAGAAACTGCCGAGCTGCAAGAAAAACAACAATGGTATCAAAGGAATCAAGTTCAAATGCAAAAAGACGATGTTAATAGCTATTTAGCCTATTGTAGCGAGGCCATGTTTAAAATACATATATTACAATTAAGATTGGATAGGTGAGTAGTTTCTAGATTAAATTAATGAAAGTAGCTACTACTCTCTGCCCCCCTCTTATCTGTTATTTTTCCCTATTCTAATATAGACATAAGGAACAAGCACCGGCGAAATATATGGAATTGCAGAGGAGATTAACCAACGATGCTAGATTAAGAGATCATTTAAAAGGAAGTGCCCTATAAATACACTTTTTTTGTTTTTTTTTTACAATAAAGCAACCTTTGAGTGCAAAATAGCAAAAATAAACTATCAAATTGTGTACTTTTGCATATATTGTTTCTTTTTTTTTTTAATAGAGATATAGGTATTTTATACATGTAAATGTATTGTATAAACAGTGTATTAAATATAAATATATGCACTTTTTAACATACATTTATCAACTATTCTAAAATAGATTATTAAATATACACAAGTTTCTCTATTGTTTACATTTATAATTAACAATAAATAGGCCATTTAACGCTTATTTATCTCTCTAAATATTCATATCATAACTTCATTAATATGCAAATATTTATTCAAAATATTTATATTTTTTATATTCTTAACGAATAGTACAATATGTGTATCATTTCCTTTCGTTATTGATAAAATAACAAGATAAGCAGAAATATTTCTATTTTCATTTCTCAACCAGTTCCCATTCTAAGTGCGCAAAAGTTTTTGCGCGGCATATTCTAGGCCTATTGGGGTGTGTCTAATGAATTTTAAGAATAAAAAATTAGTGGTACATGCAATTTGCTATTTTTACTTTGTATAATTAAATTATTGGAATGTTTTTGTGGCTTTTTAACTTTCATTAATGGATTGAATAATTCGAAATAACTGAAATAGGCTTCTTTTTATCGATGTAGTATAGATTATTCAAAATGTCCACTATAGTGGGATCGTTCATTGGTTGACTAATAAACTGGTTCGTATGCGTAAATCGATTTTATAGTTTCCATTTAGAAGGAGGAATACTTATCCGATATTGGTGTCAAAGGCCCTACGCATGCGCGCTATATTTCGTAGATTCTTGGCGTGGTAGGATTCCGCGTATACGCTAAATATTTACGCTATTGATAAACTAGAAGACTGTGGAAGTTACTTTGACTAATTTTATAACATTTAAGGAAGTTACTATACGTGGAGTGATTAGAAATATATGATCACAATAATAAAATAGATGCTGAATCGGCGCTAATTTATTTCATATTTACATCTGTAAACAATCTGACTGTGTGAGTAAATTGAGAAATCTGATCTTCGGACGAAGCACCACTACGGTAACATGTTCTCATCGACTTCTTAAGTAAGTATTGACTTGAGAAAAATGTAGATAGTATGTTTTATGGCACGACCCCGCCTTGAGGTGTTTCCCGGCTTGTATATATAACGTCTTTGACGAAAAACTTAGGCCGATATGTAAAATGATTCATTATGAAAGACATGACCCCTGTAGAGTCGCTACGGGGTGTTTTACACGTTTAATTGAGCTTTAAAAAATTCCCTTAAAATTTTAGAGTAATTTGTTGAACTAATTAACCAAATGCGTCTTAATAATAGAACATCTGCTAATAACTCTTTTGATTCCCAATGGGTATTGACAATTACCTGCATTTAGTCCCTTAATGTTAAAGATATGCAAAGAACAGTAGGATGCTAAATAAATAAAATTCTTCACGACGTGTTGAAACTTTTGTTTTTAAACTACTTTTTCAGCACAAAAGAATATGTCAGAGTTATTAGATCTACTTCAGAATCGAATCGGTTGGCCAACCAAGAAGGATATAGAAGCAATAGCTAATGATGTACCAGCTGTCGAATTTAATGAAGAAAATTTATTGAAAAAATGCCCTCTGGCCCTTCTCTCTCGCTATCTTGTTCCCACATCGGATTATTCACCCTCTTCCTCTTACACCTTCACAGTTCTTCTCAATTCTCGTGTTCTTGTTCCTCCTCACGAGCTCTTGGCTGATGTCTGTACCAGATGCGCTCTGAATCAAAACGAAACAGCTACAATTGGCTTAATCAAACTTTTGGCTGAATGGACTGATATTTTCCCTTACGATTTTATCGACGAAAAAGCTCAGCAACAATTAAAATCAGCATTAGGTCGAATTGTAACATTATATCCTTCTTTGTGTTCGGACATTTCAATTCTCACCAGAACTTTGCACGCTAAAAAAGCGGCTTGGAAAAAATATGAATCTCTTTTGGGAAAAATTCAGGAAGAGAGCGATATGAAAAAAGATTCAAGTGCCTATGTCGATATCACAGAGCTGTGTCCGTCAACGCATATGATGGCGAAACAATTGACTCATATTGAATTAGAACGTTTAAGTATGATTGGACCAGACGAACTAATGAGAGCGCTGCTTCGTAAGGATTCCGAAAAAAATAGGCCTAAAAATTTAGAGTCTTATATTGCTTGGTTTAATCGACTGAGTAATATGGCTGCAACTTGTGTTTGTAGTCGACCAAAACGACGAGAAAGAGTAAAAATGTTGGACTATTGGATGGATGTCGCCAAGGAATGCATGCAGCTGGCCAACTTTAACTCTTTTATGGCCATTGTGTCTGCCCTAAATACGCCGCCAGTTTCAAGACTTAAAAAAACATGGTCAAAGGCGCATACTGATAAGTTTGCAGCCCTTGAGAAACATTTAAGTCCAATGTCGAACTTCTTAATATACAGAACTTCGTTAAAGGCCGCCCTCTGGCGAGCGGCCCACGCACCGGCGCCGGTCGTCGTTCCGTGCTTTAGTGTTTTTGTTAAGGATGCAGTTGTACTAGCTGATAGTGGATTAGGTGGCTCATCCGTCCCTTGGGCAAGGTGGTGGGCAGTATCACAACATGTAGCTCAACTCGTACAATGGAAATCGGTCGAGTGCCCCTACGACCGGCACCCGACTGTTCTCAATTATCTGCTGACGAATCCAATTTTAAATGAAAAACAACTCGATGTCGCCTCATATGAATGCGAGCAGCCTGAGAACTCTACTGAGAAAGAGGCGTTCAAGAAACTCAAGTATGTCACGCACTTGTTCATTCATTCATCTATCACCCAATCATTTTATTTTTTATTAAAATGTTTTTTAACCCTTTTCAGAGAAGCTCTTCGATCAGCAAAGAATCGTGAAGTGAATATCAAGTCGTAAACAAAGATTGGAAATTGTTTATTTTCTTCCCCTTTTGGTTATTTATACTTTGCTTCGTGAAATACTCGAGTTTTTCTTGCAACTAGAAACATGTAACATACAATTTTTGTAGATGGCGCTAGTAAACGCAATTAATAAACATAAACATTGTAATTATTAACAGAATTTATCGTTGCAATCCATCGTATAATCTTCCTGTTATCAAGACGTTAAAAAAGCGTTTAAGTTTTAAATAAAAAGTAGAAGTATCAGGAGGATTCTGCCCATATAGGGTGCTTAGTGTAGTGACGCCTTTCCCAACAGCTTGAAATTGCTCGTGCAGTAGCGTTAAACACCAAACGCAAACAGCTACGTTTCCAAGGCATAGACAAACTAAATATGACTGTTGAATGTAGCTTTCAACGAGAAAGGCAATGAGAACTTTTGATTTTACAAGGATTTTCAATGCATTGTAGCACAAGAAGATAAACGTCGCTGCTGCGAAGAAAGTGCAAACTATGAAACGGACAAATAAAATATGGTTATTTCGCCCTATGCACTTGTTTAAGAAGATCTGTCGATGATTAAAGATAAGGGGGAATAATATAACAGATATAGTTCGACATATTAATTAAAAATCGTTATCTTTACACTTACACAGTGGTGATCCATACGCTCCATACATTGGTTGCATAGTCGGCAATGTTTCGTACCAGCCAGCGGTATTAGCTGTGTCGAAAATGCAAAAGAACCTTTGTATAACTTCTCCAAACTATTTAACGTCAGAAAAATATGAAGGAGATTTATATACCTCGCAGTCAGAGCAAAAACTTTCGGGCTTAATAAGTCCCTTAGCTATGTCTAAACAAGTGTAATCCGAACCATCCTCCTTCTGCGCATTCTGCTTCAGTACCCCTAACGAGAGCGATTTTTAAGGTTTCGAATAATTAATCTCTTTCAGCCCTACTTTACCTGGATCTTTCCAAAGAAGAAAAACGAATGATAAAGCTATGAAAGGAATGGAAATCACAGATCCAGCAGTTAAAATCGGATACAGAGGTGAGACTACTGGATATACTTTCCAGAAATAGCCGATAATTGTATGTAGAAGACCTCCACCGAACATACCCAGCCTATGAGGATTTGGCCAACCGCAGACATGATTTATCCTTCAGGGAAAAGGAAGAGTAAATTATATTTCAAAATTCTAACCAAATCCTTTTAAAGCTCTCAATCCAAACCTTGCATTTTCTCGAGAATAATGGAAGCCTAGGTATCCCATTGCCATCGTTGTGACAAGTCCTTGGGCATGGAGCGCCTCTCCTATAATCACAGCGAAGAAACATACTGTCAACATCAAAGCCAACCCCCACCAATACAGTATAGGCCCCCTTACTTTAGCATCTTTCAGAGGCATCTTCATATGGTGTGCTAACAGATTAATAGTCTCTGTATAGCTGCAGGTGAAGAATCAATTAGGAGTAATATAAATCCAAGATAACTTTATAGTACCAATACGTAAGCATAATCATTTCTTATACATTCGTATGTCATGGTCACAATACTATGATTAGAAGAGAGAAAATTGTACATTTTTTAATTAGGCTTTCATGCAGAGACGAAGCTAAACCGTACACGTGATACATCTACGTGACACCATTATATTCCAGAAAATAACTAAGAGAGGGAACGGAGAGAAAAAACAGATAGACAGATGCTATTTTAGCTTCCACTACAAATTCTTTAGTTTTATAAATAGTTATATTTACCTAGAACCCAATTGTAAAGGACTTCGACTGTGTTTATTTTTTTAAACAAAAATTTGAATAATTAACAATTAGTCTTTTATAAAATTAAACTTATTCTTACGAGCCGGGAACTTTATCCTTAGCATTTTTTGCCATGTCGATCGGCTTAGATCCTTCATTATTAGTTATGTCTAGTAGACGAAGACCTCCTTTCTCAAGGATAAGGAAAGCAGCTGTCGATAGACCAACTTGACAGGCAACCTATACGTTAAGACAAATAGGGAAAGGTTCAAGCATCTATAAACTTTCGTTTTCTTAAAATAGCTATGTTTTTAATTCTAATTAATTACATGAAGGGGAGTATTTCCGTATTTGTCAGCTGACGATAGATTACTTCTCTGCAATAAAAAAAGAGAAAAAACCGCTTCATTGTGATATTCCGTCCACCAATAAAAAATGCTGTATACGTACATTATTCTTTAATAAAAACCGCAAGGCGGGAATATTCCTGCTCGCAACGATGTAATGAAGCGGAGTTAGTCCTTCGTTGCAAGCAGTTTTTGTACAAATTTGATGCATTTCTACTAGATAGTACATTGCTAACCTACAGAGAAATAGAATTATGGAGATGATTTATACAACACGATTATGAATATTTTTTTCTAAGAATAATTGTGTGGGCTTACACGCTTCCACCAATGGCCGCATGGTGCATGACGTTTCTTCCAGTTTTGTCCTTTGCGTGCAGGTCACAACCGCTTTCGATTAAGGAATGCATGCATTCGATGTTTCCTCGCTTGGCAGCAAAAAATATAGGCGTATGCCCAAAATCGCTTTCCGCGTTTACGTCGCTTCCGTGTTGTATGAAGAGAGCAACCAAGTCACGATCACCTTTCAGACATGCCTTATGCAACGGTGTGAGTCCGCCAGGACCTAAACAAAGGATTAACACAATAAAGTTAGAGGATAGCAAAAAGATAGCTTTTTAATATTCCATTGTAGAAAGAGGTAGATAGAGGGAAGAAAGACCGAATGAGTAAGTAAATTTTGAATGAAGAAGGAAGACGATCAAGACAGTTGAGAACTAGTCAACCTGTCGTGCAATAAAATAATTTCTGGCCGCCGTCTTTGAAGTTGTTTATTCTTAAGAGCGTTCGAAGTATACGTGATGCGGGAAGAGGATGTACTAGAGAATCTTCGCCTCCGGCAGGTCAAGACCTCTGCGAAGGCGTTCCGGAAAGTCGTGTTGAACATAGTGTAGATAATTGGATTGGCCAAGCTGGAGAGATAGCCAAGCCAAACAATTATGGCGACGCCGGTTGGTGAGAAAGAGCAATTAGTCTGACAAACAACAGAGAGTATGTTAACAACGAAGAAAGGCGTCCAAAGAATAACGAACACAGAAAATATTACTCCCAATACTTTAGACGCTTTCTTTTCATTGGAGGCAGTTCTTTTTGACATTATTTCACTTTTCCTTCGCTTGCCAGCTAAAGCTTCTTCATCTGAACCTGAACCTATAACCCTACCATGGACGGTCAGTTGATTCCGGCATAGAATTCTCAGGGTTAGCACGTAAGTAACTAGCATTACAGCAAATGGAATGTAGAATGCGAAGACGGATCCATATAGCACGAAATCGCGTGACTTTGGTAAGCAGTAGGTTCCATCATAGACAGACGTCGTTCTCATTAGACCTAAAACGCAGACAGGACTCGATATCGCAATACTAATTAACCAAACAAAAAGGATCTTTGTGAGAACCCACTTGGCGGTTTTATTCCTACCGTACTTCATTGGATACTTAAGACTAAGCCACCGGTCCAATGACATAGTACACATATGCCATATGGATGCTGTACACATTAGAACATCGGCTGTTAGCCAGACAATACAAACGCCTATACCCAACGTCCATTTACCGTCGTACAAGTCAACGGCAGTTCTAAGAGGCATAACTAAAATTGCGACAAACAGATCGGCAACAGATAAAGAAACCAAAAAATAATTCGTCATATTTTGAAGACGCTTATCTCTATAAACTGCAACGCAGACAAGAATATTCCCTGTACATGTAGCAATAATGACAGTAGTAACAGCTAAAAGTTCCCAGTTCCGTTTTGATTGTTGGACGGTAACGTTATTGAAGGGCGTCGAAAGATTCTCCATCGCCAGTGTGAGGCCCGAATGCCGATTAATGCGGCGTCACGAGTCTAGACGTCGCTGACTGGCGTAGGAGTGTGAAAAAAAAAGTGCTCTTACCTTTGCTATTCACTATAGATGGATCATTTTGGACCATTTCATTTATATTCTGAAAACTCATACAATCCACTGCCGCATGAATATCCAGAACATAGCCAACTTTACCATCTTCGTAATGCTGCAGTTTACCACCTGGTAGCATGGACATAGGGAGTCCTTGATTACCGTGACCCATATTGTTCATTTGAAACTGAACTAATTTTTTAGCAACTGCCTCCTTCTCTTCTATTGACATGTTAGCAAGCGTGACAGGATCTAACTTGGGCATGTTTCGCTCTGTTGTTTGACATTTGTTCGAGCATGGTATAACATCATTACCGTCTCCAACTCCGGTGCTCTTTAATGTAGGCTGATCCAGATTCTCCTTCATTTTTTTTGTTTGCGTAGCGCTTAGATCTTTTATTCAAACCAATACTTTGATTGTAACGACGGCGAATTTAATCAAAAAGCAATAATTTACTGACGGTATTCCTATTACAAATGACGTCAAAACGGATTCCCCTTGGAGACGCAAGTTAAACTGTAGAGTATTAATAATTAGTTTTTTTCTATACCCCCTATCAGTGTCGGCCTATGGCAGCAATTTCCGATTAACTCGTCTGGAATTCTCAATTTGACAAACTTTAAATGCGTATATGTAAAATTTCTCAGCCTATGCTTAAGCTTTTATTACTTTCATGAAGTAACAAACAAATAAAGGCATATCAATACATATAGCTCTCTCAACTCTGCTTCTTTTTTTTACTATATTAAACACTTATATAAACAATCTTTTTACTATAAACAATATAACTATATAGATAGATAGATATATAGATAGATATAAGATATCTGGTATATATTAAATATAAATACATTGAAAAGAGTGCCACGCTAAGAGATAATGAAGAAAGCGACTATTCTGCTTTTGCCGGACGACCGGATATTGAACACGCTTGTTCCAAAGTAACGAGGTTTTTTACAACTTAGAAAAAAAACTACCTCATAGATTGGTTAATGCATTAAACGGAAAACGCTTAGTAACAACATATTGATGGAAACGTTATCTACTGCTTAATTAGATAGTGATTGATACAAGAGAAATTAATATACACTTGCCGTAAGTGTTTGGCAATAGGAGGAGGGGCGTCGATTCCTATTTATGGGCTCATGTCAAAAGGTTAAATCTTGAAGAAACTGGGTGCTGCCATCTTTCGTTTATGATTGAAAACGCATTTTTTTCGGTTCACTTAAAGTTAATAAATAAGCGTTGAAAAGAAACTAAACGAACGGAAGTGGGCTGATTTATTGGTTGTTCAGTTAACCGTTTGAAGAATTTATGTATTGTTTTCTAAGCGGTGTGTGTGTCTCAGACGAAAGGAAAAGGCGTATCAAATTTTATTAGAGGGGAACAAGTAAAAGGGGAAGAGGGGTGTCGGTTTGAACCGGTTTGAAAGCTGATGGAAAGTCACAAATCTTGTTTTAGGAAAATATCGCGTTAAATAGTAAACAGAGATGTGCATTAATAGCCTAAGGCCACTTGCTAATACATTTTCGGGTCAGTAGAAAATAGGTCAAAGCGTACTTTTCTTGCATAAAATCTTACATGTTTCGATTTTAATGAGTGTATAAAGCTACACGGAAACATATAACCGATTTTATCCGCAAAGTACAACTGCCAATACAACATTCTGTTTACAGAACGCGTTCTATCGTATACCACTTGGAAAGTTTTCTAGAAAGAGCGTCCAGGTGACGCCGTACGTGGCGCCACCGCTATTTTTTTCCCGCGCAAAACTTCATACGACTCACAAAAAACGCGGTAAAAACCTATGAATAATATTTTTTTTAAGTCTGGAATATTTCGAAATAAGGCGTCATCAACTTACTACCACCGTTGTGTATATCAGTCAAGTTAAAGCTTGTTTCGATCAAACTATATACGATATCCTTTGTACTATTTTTTAAAACTATTGTATATTTGCCGCGTTCGAACAAGTCTTGTTCAACAACACTTAAGACTGTATTTCAAAAATATAATATTAGCCAGAAAACTTTAGTTATAAATACATAAATACATAGATTCGTCTCATTCATCATTCGCATTCATTCTTCGAGACGTATACCATATAAAATATTCAAGTTTCCCAGATATGCATAGTTCATAAAAGCTAAAATCCTCTACATTCTTGATAATACATTTATATACAATTACGGCAAACGTAATATGACTTGTCGCAAGAATTCATCAAATAATTAAACACGCAGGAACAATTGCAGAGAGCACACAAAGTTAAGACATAATGCATCAGTCATATTACGAATTAAAAACCAAAGTATGTAGTATATTACATGCGAACACAAATTTCACTATACTTTCAGACTAGTAGTTTACAAGTAAATTAATTAATATTACGCGCTTTTACATCTATAACATCTCCATTATAAAAGGCATTCCAAGTAAAAAATGATTTGAAAAAAAAACAAAATAAAAATCTCCTGATGGTCGACTAATTCGGCTCAAAAAATCTGAGGGAAAAGGGCAGCTTGTTGGGCAGCCTGTAGAGCGACAAGACGTCTTTGTGCCGCAAGAGCAGCAGCTGCGGCTTGAGGACCTTGATTGAACGGGCAGTGGCTGATTGTATGGGCCCGCTCTCCGGTTTGTAGACATAGCGGACATCTGTAGTGGAATAAAATGGGACAGGTAATCCTTCCTTCATCGTCCTTCAAGACGTGATTTGTATAGACCCATTCCTCTTCACCGTTATTCTTGCAAAATCGGCAGTAATTGATCTTGCTGCGTCTTTTCGATATCGGTGTCAGGCCAGCAGCAACTCTTTGCCTTTCTCTATCATATAGGAAAGCTTTAAACGCCAATTGCGCCATTTCAGGGGTTGGCTCGATACCAGGTGGCAAAAGATTCGTCAATCTGCTCTTCGCCGAATTTTTGGCGCCAATTCTTCTATCGAATGGGTCCAATTCCCTTTCGATACCGTTCGACATGAAATCTTGTTGGGCAGCCAAAGCATATGGTTGATTCAGAACAGGTTGTTCAGGAAATAAAGCCTTTGTCGATTGTACTCTTCTAGCCATTTCTTGCATATCGTTCACCTGGTTCGCTCCATGTAAGCCCATTTGAAAATCAACGCCATTCGACCAAGTCTCTTTTGGCGGATTAATAAGCGGGAGCGACAGACCACTGTCATTACTATTAGGACGAGGAGATTCTGTTTCGCTGGAACTCGAAGTATTACCAGACGAGCCGGCTTCGGAAAGAGTCACTGAAAAAGCAATTGATATCAATATAAATAAACGCAACGTCCGCGCGAAAAAAGGAACTATTAGCACGTGCTCTGAGTAATATGCAGAATATACGATAAATATATTCATATTACTAATGTACCTGTATTATAATATACATTTAGTCATATTATACTTACAGCTTTGCAGTATATTCGTTAAATCCATGTTAAAAGCACGAAATTTCAGCAGAGAATTGAAGACTGGCGTACGCTAACGGACATAGTACGATTTTGGCGCTACGGAGCTAGAAATCCCGCTTTTTTTCGAACTATACGATCGCTGATTGGCTGGCGTGCTTGTTGGGCGACAAAGGGAATTTATTTTTTTAGACTGGTGTCATTCCACTCTGAATAGTGAAAGTTCACGTTAGGGTTGGGAACTGGTTCCCATCGCGTCTCAACAAAGAAAGCGTCAACAAAGAAGCACCTGCCGGGATGGAAGGCGCGAAAAAGAATCAAAATAAGATTTTTGGCGGGAAACAGTTATATAATCAGGTTATCGAAACTGCTGCTTGATAGGGGATGAGTAATAAACTAATAATCCAGAGCATAAATCTCAAATGAATTTAATAATTATAGGGTGAATCAGCAACAAGCACTTTCTAATTTTCGACAAGGGAAAGTGTTCAATCGTATGACGTCATTGTAATGACTAAATGTGTCAGTAATTAGTCGACTCTATTAAATGATCGTAAAGCAATTGGTGAGCACTGCAAAGCCGATTAAAGTACTCAAAATTCAGATTTGTTTTTTAGCACGCTGGTCGAAGATAAACGACGAGTGTTTGATTGTTCAAAATGCTTGCGCGTCCATCGACGGGTAATTTATAACATCGAAAACAGACGATGAGTTGTTTTCCCGCTTTAAATTTCATTAAAAATAGAACGACAGATGCTATACGGGCGGCTATAATTTTCGGTAATTCGCTCTGAAGTCTATGGCACTGACTCAAAAAAGCAGTTTAATTTTATTCTACTATAAAATCTTTAGGATATGAAAATTGTAAACTAGTTATCGAATTTCACTAGGCCTGTGAATGAAACATAGGAAGTAACAAAGATAATGTCAGATACGATAACAAGAGAGCAAAATTTCTGATAAAAAAAATATAGCTATAAGTGGTCTACTTGGGTTAATAATAACCATACTACAAATTTACTTTCTCTGATTCAGTTCAGACGGACTTGTCTATACTACTCAAGTCTATAGCAGAAGGCGCACGGGTCATATTTACCTCTACACTTAGACAGATGGCGCTATATGCGACAGCGATAATGAAGAAATCGGCGTTCGTGGCTTCAAAAGAAGTAGTCAACTTCAATTGACAATTCGGTGTATTGTTGAAATAACAACTATTCGTAAAATGCTTTATTATTCTAGATCGTTGATCTCATTTACTATAAAATTTATCGTTTCTTGATAATAAAAAAAAAAAAAAGCTAATGCCATAAAATTATCTTTTCTCATAAAACATAGCAATGAAAAGTATTGGTTTTTCAACTATCTATCGTAGTAATTGACCAATGACACTTAACGCACAGTGTATATAAATATAACTCGGACTTAAACAAATTCTACATGCTCATGAGGGCGTATCGTAAGGGTAGAAGGAAATCAAAACTAATAGACATGGTGGTATATTCCTACATTTTTTTTATACCTTCTAACAATATCACCTACATAACCTATCATTAAAATTATTTCCCGCCTTTTTTCTCTTTTATAAATACCTATCCCCTTCTCCACTCCCTCTTTAAGAAAGAATAGAATTATTTTATTTTTAAACAAAATTAACAAAAATCATTCCTATTCTCCCTCCCCTTCCTCTTCTCGGTAATAATAACGAAAAGTTGTAGCCTTTGTTTGTTTTCGAAGGCAAACGTAAATATACTATATAATATGAAAAGGATACTTTGTTTCTAAACCGTATCCAGTTACTTTGTATAAAATTTAATTTGTAGCAAACTTTTAGATAAGAAAACTTTTTGAAGTATTTCCTTATCTTATTTTTTTATTTGTTTTTTTCTTTTACTATAAACATATAAAAACACTAATAAAGTTGTCATATTCATTGTAAAAAAAGGAATGAAAGAAAGAAAATTATTAATAACTCTTCTATTATTCCTTTAATAAATATTTTAAAATAATTGCAATAGTTAATTTGTGTTTCATTTCATTGTTGAAATAATATATTGAACTGTTATTATTAATAGGTATGTTATTTAGCATTAAAACGCAAAGAGGTCTATTGAGAGATAGAAAGAGAGAGAGAGAAGAAGAAGAAATCGATTATAGCCTATAAATAAACAATAAAAGGAATAGTCTAAAAAAAAAGTAAAAGAGGATAAAAATAAAAGCGAATGGATAAAAATAATCTTAAAAAAAAACGTTATGCTCTCTGTAAAGGTAGTCCGTATATTACCGGTGAAGCTCCTGTCAAATATTTTAGATTGCAATTCTCTCTCGCTTCATTACATATAAAGGGCACAAACTCTCCTCTTTCAGCTAAACTGATAGACCTTATCTGTTCTTTCGTAAACAAATCGATATCCTTATCCGTTACTTTCCACATATTGCCCATAATGCTCGAACTGGAATTAGAACAAATAAACAGTATGCATAAGGAAAATTTGATATTTACCAGCCACTGCTAAGATAGTTCAAGACAGTTCGACCGCTGGCGTCGAACTCTCCTTCAGTGGTTAATTGAACGCTGCTGCAGCCCATTAAAATAGCCATTGATTTCGTTTTCAGGCGATATAGTTCCTCTTTAGAGAAACATTGACTGCCGGATCCATGTCCGGCATACAGAAAGATATCTTTGCATTCTAATTCCCTCTTTAATTCTTCCCAAATTGGTAATTTACCACTTGCGCCATTCCAACCCAAACTTTTTAAAAAGGGTACTAAATTTTCTTGAGATTCTGTTAGAGTATCGTCTGGATCAACGATATAATATGCATTATCGAATTGTACAGGTTCCTTATTCATCAAGTTGTAATGCTGAAGTACGCAGTTAATTGATGGCATTCGATAAACTTTGATTGAATCTCTACAAAAAGGCATATTTTCGAAAGGAATATGCTGTAGTTGCTGCAGTTGTTTTCAATGATTAATTATTAGTTTGTTTATTATTATCATTTGCAGACATTACCCTATCTACTATCAAAATTAAAGGTTTATCAGACGAAACAGAAATATCCATTTCCAGAAGGGAATCTACAAATTTCCCATTATCTACGCATAAATCGTTGTACTCGCAGTAAACATCAATTAACCAACTTAATTTGGTTCTCGTCAAATAACTAGAGCCGTTCATTAAAACCTAATAAGAATCAATAGTTAAATTAAAATTGAAAACATTTAATATGCACATGTTAGAATGAGATTAATTAATTAATTATTAACCATTATGAAAGGAACATGGTTTATCAGATGAAACTCTGTCGCTAGTTTTCGTGCATTTTCTTCCAATTGTTTATTACTGATTTCATTCAAAGGGAAAGGCTTTATGAATATTTTCACCGAACCAAATAAGAACTCCTCTAAACTTTCTAAAATAATCTGGGGGAGAGGTTGAGAGGAGGGGAAAGGAAAACAAAGAATTGAGTTTTATATAACATTTGTAAGTAACACTTTCGATTCTCTTTAAAAACCTTTACTTCTTCGTCCAACTTCCGCCGAGTCTTCCAAAAAGAATCCTTATCAGTTAAAGTAGTAGAATAATCTATTTCTTTTATAAGGTATTTAAATCTCTCCAGTTTCTTTTGACACTATTCAATAAATTATTAAATAAATGAATGGATAGATCTGTGTAATTGTTCATAATTACCTCTTTCTGTTCGAATCCGCCTATTGGTATGATAATTGGTCGACAACCATTGTGATAACGAGTTAAAAATAATCTCTTACTTGATTTAGTAGATGCTTGAGCGACGCTTAATTGACAAATACAGTAATCTGTAAACAATTTAGTTGGTTTCTTTGTTTACAAAGATTGATAAGAGAGGAGCGGGAGGAGAGAGAGAAAGAGAGAGAGAGAACTAACCTTTGGGAAGGTTTTGAATAAGGTCTTTGTGATCTTCAAGAGTCTTTCCGAATTTTGTAAACCTTAGGCTATTTAGATAATCTTCCGTTTGGAATCTGAAAGTTAAGCAGCTGTCAGTATCGCATTCCCCTCCACTTCCATTCGAATATGAAAGAATAACTTTACAATAACTAGTCGATTAATTCTTTAGTTAAATGTTTTTTAATCACTTTCATCACTATACCACTATTATTCGTTGTACTTAAAACATTACATAACTGGATTATTTTTTCAATAATCCGATAGAAAAAAAAATAGATAAGCCAAGTATGTTGAATAATAATAATAATCTCTTTCTTATTGGTAGGTAAAGTAATACTAACTTGAATTTCTTTGCCATTACGGAAGATAAGAAATGTCTATAAGAAATACTATGGATCTCTGATAAAAAGAAGCTTTTTTCAAGATCATTTTCAGATAATAGGGCTAGCGCACTACAAACATATCGATACAGCACAATATTAGGTTCAATTTTAATTAAATTGAATAATTTAGTAAGAATATTCTTTGCCTTCTCCTGTTCTGAATATAGGATAGCTGAAAAAGCGAACGAAAAGTCAAAGAAAGTTATCTTAATAGTTGGAAATGGCCTGAGGGCTACAGCCAGAAATTTTCTTATTTTGTACCGTTTTTAGAAGAATCTGTAACCGATATGGTAGTTTCAGGTGACGTTTCCAGAACATCGTCTGTCAAATCTGATTCACTCCGGGCTTTTTCAGGGTCCTTATCGTGTTTCATTGGCTGACTCTTGTCCTATAAAAATAATTTACATTAACACTTGCTTATTTTTATTTCTTTGATTTTGCTTAAGTAGTTTCGTTTTTTTTAATAAACAACCTCTTTAAAGTTTTGTAGACGGCGTCTCTTTCTTTCACTCTGTTTTTTCTTGTATCCCAAAATAGGACTAGGAAGAAAATCGTCATTATCTAAATCGACGTTAAAAGTCATTTCCTCCTTTATTTCTCTTTTCATATTACACGTAACCTTTTCGATTCTATCTAGATTTGTTGTTTTCGGTGTTCTAGGTCGTTTTGGTTGTGCATTGGTTCTCAATCTGTTAAGCGTTGGTGATAAAAGTCGTTTGAAGTTTTCTTCTTTTATTATATTTCTCTCCAGTGTCTCTATTCTCAGGGGTTTTAATTCCGGGAACACTGCAATTGCCTTATAATATAACGCTTCCCCTTCGTATTCATTACATAGCAGAAAGGTATATTTTTGAAGTTTGACTAGCTTCTCTGTTCTACGTATATAACTTTTAAAGCGTTTTGCATTTCGAAAGAGCCAAGCTGTCTTTAAATGTAATAGGTTTAGTTTTATCAGACTTTCGTGATACATTAGCGTTGAAATTGACGAATGAAATTCAATATTGTCGTATTTATTAGCTTTGTCTAATACAGATTTCATAATTTCTACGCCTTTTGTAGTTGTCGAATGGAAGATCATAGCTAGAGGCTGTAAGTATGAAAGAACTTCTCTTTTTTTCAACTTCTTAATTGAAAATTCTACTTTATTGTAGTAATAGTTTAATAAGACAGATTGGAGAAATACGTCGCAACATGGATTACAGCAGCATGAATCATGATTGAGGTAATCTGGTTTAAAAATCTTCGGTCGAGATATTACAGATATTTCTTCAATTTCTGACTGAGAACTATCCTCTTGATCATATTCGTCTAGAGGTTGATTCCTTACGGCTAAATCGCTATTGGAACTGATATTTGCATTGTTATTTGGACTCTTCTCTGATTTAACGTTTGAAATAGAATCAGTTGTAAAAGTATATTCCAACTGACGCAAAGTTATCGTAGCTGATTTAAAGCGATGAGCAAAAAGTTCAAATTTCACTCTTAAATTCAAAAATTCGGCTAACCTATTGGAGATTTAGACAATATAATCGGTAAAAAGAAATTATAATTTGATAGAACCATAAGGGTAAACAGAGAGATGTCGATAGAGAAACAGCTTCTGTTAAATAGGCTTCGGTGTATCGAATGTTACCAGTATTTATCATCCACTTTATATAATCTCTCAAACAAGCAAGGCTTAGTGAGAATATTCTATACTTTTCCTCTCTTTTAATTACTGGATACAATAGAATATGTTATGTATTCTTTCTTTATGAAGTAACATTTAACGAGTTGAGCATCAACTTACACATCCGATAAGAAGTTTTATCCTTTTTAAAGCATAGCTTAACCAATTGTAAGCACTTTGAAACGCTTTTATCCAAATAACAACTTTTTGTTTCAGTTCCTTCCCTCCTGAGTGTAACAATCTGCTTTGGTTAAGGAGAGTAGTATTTAGACGGGACATATGTGATTTAAATAACAAAAGAACCTTGGCGTTTAATAAATAAAGCCGAATTTGAAGTGGTAAAGTTACCAAGTTTTCCCAGAAACTATCCTTGTACCTTTGGCTTATATTTTTTATTATTTTATAAGCTGCTTCATTCTGAATAGTGATTATTAATACTTATATAGTTTTGCAGGTGTAATCCTTTCCATAAATAAAACTGAAAGTACTTACGTTTCCCTTGTAAAATTCTAGATTAGCTTTTGTCAGGGAGAATTTTATTTGGGTAACTTCTCTTATCGACTTTTTTGTCTCAATTAATTGTTCAGCTTCTCTTAGACATTCATCTGCTAATGTCAGAGTGTTTTGTTCGCAAAATAAATCGACTATTCTCAATAATATTTCCAAATGACTATAGAACAGACGGTTATCTTTTCTCGTTCTAATCGCATTGAGAGCTATAAGTAGACCGTCTAATTCTCTATAAGGCTGTATAAGAAAATAAGAATGTAAATGTTTTTTCTTCATAAACAAATTGGGATTGGAATTATTTTTTCCGTAGTAAAAAAGAAATGATCATACTAATTTTAACAAGTTGAATATATCCCCTGACTCTATAATCTGGGATATTGTTTCTTTCTTTTCTCCTAACAGAGAAGGATTGATTTTTCGCCATAATTCGATTATATCACCTAATCCAACAATTCTCTTATATTGAACACCTACTGTAACAACAGGATTTAATTTTCCCTCTTCACTATTCTGATTCTGTAAAAAATACGAAAATTACATACGCATGTATATGTATGCAAACATAAATAAAAAGTATTATAATCAAACCGATAAAAATTCGACATCGTTAAGAAGAAATTGATTGAAACGTTTTAAGGATTCTTCTACCATTTTCTAATTAAAAATAACATCTGTAAAGGAGATGTAACCAAAAATAAAGACATTTATTTAAAATTGAAAGGCGCGTTTTTTCGTCAATATTAACGTTTGCAGGTCCGCATTAAATTTTTAAATAAAAACTAATTTTAAGACTTTTTTTATATTAAAATGAATAAAAAAGCTAACAATTTAAATCTGCTATGTAAAGTGTCATGTTTGTCCCTTAAGTTCTTCTGAATAGCCAATGATATAAATAGATTATGTATAATACGGTATTGAAAATATAATTTCTCCTACTGCACAGGTAAAAGAACCAACAGTGTAAAAAGGAATTAAATATCAAGAAGCTTTCAACCCCATCTATCGGTAATTATTTTTTTTTATCAATACTTAATTTTGATTTACCAATCGACAAGAATATATATATTCAATTTCTTTTACTCTATACAAGCATCAACACCGTTATTATTGCTAATAGTGTTACCATTAATAGAAATTATTATAGTTCGCCTCTTTCAATTATACACGCAATATGATAAGAAATTGTATATTATTATACTAAAGATCTTTTGTTTTTTTAAAGTAAAAGATGCTTAATTACTGAAACTACACCTTATTAATCTTGTGTTATATATCCTCAAAACTAAAGTAACTTTCTTAATAACAATAGAAAAAATGGCTCTATAAAAAAGATTTTAATCATATTTCTGTATAGTTTAGAATTGCGGAAGAAATATCATGGGAAAGTTTAATTTAACTTGATGTGAAAGTTATTTTTATTCTCTATCTTCTCTATCTTAGTTGAAATAATGAAAAATAATATTCTTTTAAACGTTTCCTGTTTCTTAATTAAAATAAATGGCATGTTATATTTATTTAATATGTAGTCTTCTATCAATATATGATCATCGCTTGTAATTTATAAAAGCGATAGAATAAAAAGACTATAGGGTGCTAATGTATATTTAATAACCAAGGCAATCGTTTAGGAGATGTCACGAGCTATCTTAAGATTAATCACTTACCATCTTAAGGCTTTTCTCAATCAATTAATAAAGTTTAGAATATAAATTTTAAGTACCATATGATAATAATAGACAACAGATCACGTAAAGAGAGTATATATCGCATATATAGTAATATGTTTATAGGAAAATATATACTGTATATATATACATTATATATATATATATACATGTTTAAAGATAATATAATACTGTCGCAATATTGAATAAGAAACGAATGAATTAGTATAATTAACGCATTGGTAGATGCTTTGCTTTAATCTTATAAAATTTTGATTACTCTCTAAGATGACACAGTAGATATTTCTGTAACCTAAAAGGACGCCTATATTAAACTTTAAAAAAAGGAACAGAAATGGTTTTTACATCAAAGAAACGTAATTTTTTGAAGACTTTAATTATCTCATTAATAGAGAGAAAAGTTATCAACACCTAAGATGAATATAAGTTTGTTACCAGAGATTGTAATTATCATAAATATATCATATATTCCCCAAGTAAAATTCCCTCTATGATATCATTTATATTCTAAGATTTAATAATAATCTATTGTGAAATGTCATGTATACGGTACGTGGAAAAAGGGAAAAAGAAAAGAATAGAACAGAAGGATTAACGTGTACAGTATTAAATAATTGAGAAAACTATATTTAGAGAATTCATCACAAATCTATTCGATTAAATATTAATATTCTATTAGATTTGTTATTCTTTCTTTTATAGTATTTTAGACGACGTTCTTTTTGCTTAAAAAAAGCATATTGTTATATTACAAAGAGGCAAAACTTTAAATTCTAATCTTTTTTTTAGTTATAAATAATATAGATAGTTATTTTAATAAATATAACGTATGTATATGTTTATTGATTGTGTTTAAAAGCTCTTTTAGTGCTTAATATTTCAAATATTTGTTGCCTTTTATGATAGTTAAGCTTTTGCTTCTATTTTTATTATAAAGTATTCCAATGATAAAGACAGATGATTTTTTTTCTTCTATTCAAATAGGAGGATAAGCAGACGCAGTAGACGAAAGAAGAAGAGGGAATATAATAAGCCTAACAAAATGTCAAAATAGCAATTATATATTTAACATGTAATTATTATTATTCATTCATTCTAAATAAAAGAACACTAACAGAATACGTCTATACATATTCTAACTTACAAATAATATTATATATTAATATTCGAATATGGTTCTTAGGTAATAGCAAAGTTATAGATGTTTTAATAAAGGATATTTAGTATATTTCTAAAATTACCAATTATCTCCGTTATAATAAACTACTATGGAACGTATACTCCTCTTCCTTTTTTTTATATAATTCTCATTGAAATACCTCATGCTTTTGAAATATCTTCTGGTGGAATAATTATTTGAATGTCATGATTTTTTTTCTATTCTTGAAAACTGACAAATAACACGGCATATAGAAGGGAAGGGAATATAGAGAATGGAAGAGATAGAAAAGGTGGTAGACAGACAACCTCGTAGGTTGATATGTGAACATGCATACAAACAAAGAGAGAGAGAGAGAGAAGGAGAAAGAAACAAAGCTATTTTAATTTTTTAAGGTATTCTTTTTACTCCCTTTTTATAGTATTATGTCTGGTCTATTAGAGATGCGAACGGTTAAAAAATGGCTTCTATATACATCTAATAGACCACCTCCACAACCAATGTGTTATGCCTTTGGGGTCGATTCCATTTCCAGTGTGATTGATAAAATTCTCATCACATTCAACCTTGCTTTTTATAATTGCTATTCGAAGAAATATGTTCAATTAGTTTATTCCTATTGCATATTTTTACTTTTCCCTCCATTGCCTAATAAAAGAATATTTATAGTAATACGAGATTGCCCATTTCATTTATGATATATATATATATATATATATATATATACTGTATATATTTAATATAGATTTATTTATACCAATATACATTAAACGTGTTTAGCGATCTAACTAGATACATAAAAGACAACACGCTTCTGAGAGGCTAGATAAGAAATAGGAGTCGTTCAAAGTAAACTAAAGAGTGTTAATATGAAAAGAAAATGTTTTCGTACAGACTTCACGTGGTATACGACTTATTTAATGAAAATATATCCACCTGGAAAGATTTTCAGTAATAGTTGTCTTTATTCCCCATTTCTTTTGTTTATCATTATACACTTAGTAATGATAACGCTTAAAAGGGGCGAGATGCTCATTGAGTTTCTTTAATGGGATGAGGGGTAATACGCCAACGTTCCTAATGTACTTAGGAGTTGTAAACCGGAAAAATTTGGCGAGCTGGGGGTTTGTTGTTTAAAACGTGCGTTGGTGCCTCTAAGCGTTTTCCAGAGATGGCTTCAACAAAGGCGAAAGATTAGGTTAGAAAATGAAATTTATGGTCCTTAAAACGTCCTTTAGGCAAAGTCTTTAAATATAACTTTTAGAACAAGAAATTCTACTTACTGTTTTTCATTTACTGTAAGCAGACAGAACTACTTTTATATCACCTCACTACACGAATTACGACGCAAACAACCACACCATAGAGGTTGTTATTTTTTTCGAATATAGTGATAATCTATTCTTAGGGTGAATCCATTGAAAACATATATCTATTTAAAGCTTCCATCTAATGGATCTAATGTGCAACTTTTTTGTACCTAAGTGTTTAATACCAAACCGATTAAAATAACGCTAATCATTTTTCAGCTAGTTATCGTGCTCCATACCCTACTAGAAATCACATAATGCAGCTACATTCCTAGAAATACTGGTATCTATTTCCAAGAAAAGACCAGTGCAAACTTACAAAATTCGTATAAAAGGCTAGGAGAAAGAGAAACAGTAAAAGAAAAGAAAAAGGATGTTTTAAAGTTAATCAGATGAAAAATATAGATTGATTAAATATTTGAGAAAGATTGGTATCGAATTTTTTAAGTAACGGATACCAAGTACTTAGCAGGGGCAATTTTACGTATCAGATAATCTTTCCTGTCAATTGTAAGCCAGTTATTATAAGCAATATGTGACGGGTGAGGAATGATGGTATTGACTTGTTTACGAAGTAAAAAATAAACTTTTGTAACATGTTCTATTAATACTTATCATTAAACTATGAAAGAAACTACAAAAGAAAAAAAACTGGGTTAACTAATTATTTTCTCGTTGTTTTTTTTTTTTTTAAATATTCATGTATGAATTTTTTTTCCCTCTCCCCCCTCCCCTCCCCTCCCCTCTCTCTCTCTCTCTCTCTCTCTCTCTCAACTGAAGGATGAAGATGTTGCACTGACGTGCAGTTGTATATTTATATATAAATCTAATTTCCTCTAATAGCATCTCAATTGGAATTTCAAGATTTTATTTTTTTTCAGATCGATTATGATTTCACAACGGACAATTAATTACTTTTTTCTTCTGTTTTTTAGATAAAATGTTCATTTTTTCTTGTTTTTTCGTTCCAATGAAATAGTAATAGTAATAATAATAGTAGTAGTAGTATTAGTATTTAGAAGTAGTAGTCTTTTTCGATTTAATATCTTCTCTTTTAAATATTCTTATCTACTTAGGTATGTGTACATCTTCTAAGGATCCGGCAGTTTTCGGCAGAATCTATACAAAGGAATAGATATGTAATTATTTAGTTATTAATTATAGATGATTAACAAAGAGAATAACATACGTGGCATTGGCATGTCGTATTTACTCGAATGTAATTCAACGAAATTGATCCTCCGTGAAGTGGTTCAATGAATGCCTGAACAAAAGATGTTTGCTGTTTACAGGACGATAAGAATCTGTACAGATAAAGGATAAATTATATGTATTTATGTATATATTCAAATATGTTTATAGGGAATGTTTATCTGTTTGTTTATTGTGTTTGTTTGCTTTTTTTTAAGCTTTTCTTACTTTTTATGATTTATTCCGTAACAGCAGTCGGGACATTCTCTTTGCAGTTCTCGATGAGTGATTGAATGCCAATTTGAATCGGTATTATTACACTCTTCCACGTAAAAATACTGTTCATATTTGGCTCTAGGAAAAGGAATAGTTTTTGTAACTTTTACTCTCTCTTCGTTCAATGTTTCAGCTGTATCCAATTGAACCCATTTAAAGTTACTAGGGCAAGCCGCCATTTCAGTTAGTGGTACTCTATTTATTCTTTTCTCTATTTTCTAAAGAAAAAGAATATATAGTAGAACAAAAATCAAGCACCGCATTTCTAAAGAGAATCTTTATATAATAAGAAAAATCAACTTACTCTTCATTACTTTAATGAGTTTCTCCCTCTTTTAAGTAAAGTAAGTCTGCTTACCTTTAAATAGCTATGTTTGCTGTTGTGTTGAGGTACGATTACGGATCTGGTTCTATGATTGATATTTTCCTTATCCTGGAGGAGAAGCGACGACATAATCGAAGTGAGTAGACTGAGTCTTGTATTTCTCTCCTTTGCTATGATTTCATCTGAAAGGAAACGTTTCTCTATTATAAAGGTTTCTTTTAATATAAGCTATTCAATTGCTGCCTACCACGTTTGACGTGATCCGAATGATTCGACGTCAAATCCACATTATAATCACTCTGGACTGAAAAGTACAATATATTAAAGATATTTTAAAAAACCTTGCTATATTGTTCCCTAAAAATAGTTTATAAGGGCGCGGTAAACTATAATAGATCTTAATTAATTGGTTTTCCAAAAATAGTGTAAAAGGTCATTTCATCTCCCAATCTTGGGTTGAGAATTAAAACACTCCTTTATATTAGTCAGACTGCCTTTTTTTTTTACCTATTCTTTTATTGTAAGTGATAAATCCTTAAAGGTCAAAAACTTTTCAAATTACAAAAGTTTATAATAACTAGTTTGCCAAAAAACAATTGACTTTGTCAATCAAAATTGAACTTAATCAAATGAGAAAAACACTATTATTACTAGAATTCAATCTATGTAAATAAATTATACATTCTATTGTTTATAGCAGAAGTATAATTGAAAAGAAGGATGGGCACTAGAAAGAAGAGATAGAAAAGTAATGAGAAGACAGAGAGAGGTAGTGATATATATATATATATATATATATATATACACGTTTGAGGAAGGGAGGGAAAAAGAGAGACAGGGTAAGAGAGAGAGAAAGAAGAAAGAAATGAAACAGAAATGATTGAAACATATTGAAATTAGACAAGACATTTCAAAATGGTGTTCTTTTCCTTCATTTATAATCAATTAATTTCTTTTTAAAAAAAAAAGACATAATAAAATTTTTCTTGTTTTATTTTTTAGAAAAGTAACAAAACCATCAATAAAAATCCTTGGATATATATGTTTATATATATATATGTATATATATATTCATTATATACGCTAAATATCCCTTTATTAAAGCCATAGAAATACCAGATACTTACTGCCTTGGAACTGGAAGGCAAGCGTCGACGTAAAATGTAGTGTCGTAAACGCTGCCAAAATAATTTTATTGGTATTTTCCGGTTTCTGTATCATTACACAATCTTTTTAGTATAATTTTAAATATTTTCTCTTTTTTTTTTCTTTTAAAATTTTCTTTGAAGTTGCCGATTCGTAGACGCAAAACCAAATGAAAAAGGCGAATATTGTCTTCCGTTTGTTTTGCGCCGTCTGGCGATAATATCTTTTTTTTTTAGTTTATACAAGATTTTCCCATCTTTTACCTTAATTTTACCTTTATTTTTGATTTTAGATAGAAATAAGTTGTTTTTAGACAATTTTTTATGCATATTAACTAATATTTTTTCACTCTTATCGAATCTCTCCTTTGGTTAGCCGTCTATCCTCATTTAATATAGTACATAAAAGAAATGTCACGTGATCGTCTACCAAAAATAGTTATCTAAGGTGCAAATTCAGCGATGGTGATAAATAAGGTCATAGACCAGATTAAATGATAACGTCAAAGGAATATATTTGGTTAAAAGTCACGATATATATACATTTATCCATCGTTTGGATGTATGAAGAATTAAAAAGTGCTGGGAATATAGATAAGAGACAGTATAAAAAGATTGTATATTAATAGTAATAATAGTAATAATAATTTTTTGAATAATAATAAAAACAACTTCATAAAAACGTTACATAAGGATAAAATTAATAAATCCCTATAATGATTGAATGTCAATAGGTATATCAAATTGTGTCGATATTCGTTTAAGCTCTTCTTCGTAACGTACGTTTCTCTCCACAGCTTGTTTATAATTATATTTAAGATCTTCTATCTCCTCGAAAAATGCTGGTCCAAAATTTTCCAATTCTTTATTTAACTTTTAAATTTGATGATGGATATAAAAAAAAAGGAAAAAGAATGCTTTAACAAAGAGACAAGTAATGATTTATCACGATTTCGCTTACTTTTCCTACTCGGTTGTTTAATTGATCCCTTTCTAGTTCAACTGCTCTTAATTTAGTTCTTAAATCGAGATTATCCTCTATAGTCTGGTCGTGAACCCTTAATTTCTCTACCATTTCGTCATCCCGCTAAAATAAAATATATAATATATTTATATATTAAATACTTAATTATTGATTTTACTATATCTTGCATATCTCCAGTGACCGTTCTTCTTCTCAAATTTCTTATTTCTTTCAATAATTCGCCTTTTTCCTCTTCTAAACGACTAACGTCCATTCTGTTAATTACGATCAGGGGTTAGTCGGTATCAAACCATTAAGTAATTATTTAAATACACTCTACAACTGATCCCATATATAATTTATGGAACGTATGGAATTGTATCAAATTTACTCTCTTCCTCCTTCTCTTGTTTTTTTATTTTCCCCGTAAAGGATAAAGATTGAGAAGATGACAAAGATAAATTATATCAATTTTGGAAATAAAGGAAGAATAAGAATAAGAGAAATACATAAGATGAATATTAAATTAAGTTTTAATTAGTTAAAACACGCTAAAATGTATAAATGAATAAAAAGAGGAAAAGCAACGAGAGAATCGAACAATTAAACCTTGTCTGCTGTAATAGAGATAGGGTTTCCCCATCAGCGTGGGTTGTTGGAACTGTTTGAATTATTTGTATCTGCACAAAGGAAAACCTAAGTTTAGTAACAAATTTGCAAATATGAAATATCTTTTTGCTCACCTGTCGCTGTAAATCTCTATTATCCGTAATAAGCTCCTGCTCTCTCATGGCCGCTTCCCGAAGAAGAGCCTTAGAATCGGCTAACACCTTGTCCTTTTTTTAATTAGAAATTTTTCTCATTATATAATTAATCTCAATAAATTGTAATTATATTCTATAATTTTAGGATATTAATAACAACTCGCTTGTAAGAGAGTTATATTTATCCTATAAGGTTAATAGCCTTATTTCTTACCTTCTTCTCTAGATCTTCCTCTAATTCTTTTATTCTAGTTTCATAGAGATGAGTTGTAATGTTTGCTTTACTAGCAACTTTCGATTCGCCCCCATGCAATTTAGCCTTGACCATTTCGAGATCAGAATGCAATCTATCCCTATTTCTCTCTACTTGCTGAACTTGCATTTTCAGCTTTTCGTTAGTTTCGATCTCTTTTCTTAACTCTTTACGTAATTTTTCATAATCTTGCTTTATTCTTTGAACAGCCATTTGCTGGCTTTCGTATCTCTCGGACAGAGATGCTCCGACTTTTGATCTAAGTTCTTCCAGTTGTTCCCTTAAAGCGGAATTTTCTTTTCCCAGACCTTTCAATTGTTCGGAGTTCACTATTCCAGGTGTTTTTTTCAATCTTTCATTTTCTAGTTGCAATTTTTCAACAACTTTCTTAAGAAGGGCAATTGTTCGCTCCAACTCTCGAGCGCTTTTTCCCGACTCTCCAATCTGTCAGAGAGAATTAACTAGTCGTGAAAGGATAAAAAGATTGATCCTTTTTTTTTAACTTACCCTTCTTACGCCTGATGGGGGTGTCAAAATTGCTGTAAGACGTTCAGTAGAACCTGACGAGTTCATACTTAATTGCTCTTTTTCCATTTTCAATACGTCAACATATTGCTGTAGATCGTGAACTCGCTGACGTAATCTCGGTACGTCTTTATTTAGTTTTTCTATTTCTAATTTAAGTTCCACATTCTCTTCACTAACTTTAATAAAGTCTCTCTGTAATTTTTGTTCTTTTTTCTGTAACGTTCTATGTGCAGCGGATGAGATGGTTTCCGAATCTCCGGCCATAGTCCGTCTTGTTGCCTCCTGCTCGTAGGCGTCTAAACGCTCAGAAAGGAATTTATTGCGTAATTCGATTTCTTGAACTGTCGTTTCCTTTCCAGCCAGGAGTTGACGCTTCATTTCCGCAATCTAAAAGTAAATTTTTCTTTAGTAATAGAAAAAAAGAGGGAAAAATTTATAAAAGAACTCTGACATTCTATTCCGTCTTTCCTTTGACATGAAAAAAAAAAACGATTAAATGTGCTTACTTCTTCTTCTAATTCAAAGTTCCTCTTCTTATACTCTTCCAAGGAGTGCTGCTCTTTAATACTAGATGGCGCAAAAGCTGAGGGTTTAGTTTTAGGTTTAGCGGAACCGGAAGATTTTAAAGATGAAATTCTCTTTTCAAGTTGTTCTTTTTCTTGATTGGCTCTATTAGCGAAATGTAGTTAAATTAATAAGTTGAAAGTATGAAATCAGTTAAAAGTTTAAATTCATCACCTATTCAATCCTTCTTTGTATCTGTCGCAATCTTTGTGCAGCTTCTCCACTTCGTTATCTTTGTCCTTTAAACGAGTATTTAGTCTATCAACCATTTGCTGCCATTTCTTAGTTTCCTCCCATTTCGCTACAGCCTCAGGCTGATTAAAAAGATAAAAGATTGTCGTTTATATGGATCAGAAGAAATTACTCTTAAATTATCAATTATTGTTGTCAATTACTTTTGTTTGTTCGTAAGGTTTTTCGGCGGTCATTTTCCTTTTAAGTTCATCTTGTAATACTTTATTTTTTCGGCGTAACTCTTCAACTTCTCTCTGATTATCACCAGCAACGAATCCCTGGAGGTCAGTGTGGGGGTGTGAAAGGAAATTGATAAATAGATCTAATTTTCCAAACGTGTATTTCATACTAACCTGCTTCCTTACATTACCCATTCTACGAATTTTATTGTCAAGATCATCAACCTCCTCTTCTAATTTCTTTTTATCGCTTTTAAGCTTTTTTACCTGTTTCTCCAGACGCCCTGTTAAGAGATAATGATTACATATCCGGTTTCAGTAGAAAAAATTTGACATTTTATTAAACTAATTTTACCTTTATCAGCTTCAAATTCTTCTTGTGCGAGTGCCATATGTTCACGTTCTTTTTGGATGATCTTATTTGATTTCTTCAAAGAGATTATCTGCTTTTCTAATTGTTCAACTTCCTCTTGAAGACCTTTTGTCCTCTTATCAACAACCTTCTCTATATGAATCTCGGTAGACGTTTGATCTGCGTAGGCTTGAACTTCACTTTGGGCTTGTTTAACCATATCCGATCTCAAGTCTTGAAGAGTTTTACTAAGGGTTGCTTGCTGCTTTTCTTTATCTTTTAGATCGGATTTAAGTCGCTCAACTAGTTGTTTCATGGCAGTTGTGGGGGCTTTTACATTTTCCCTCTTTTGATGCTCGATTTCCTGATACAAAATAGCAATTTGGTCACTTTTTTGTCTAGCTTCCTCTTCAATATTATCCAATTGTTCCTTTACTTCCGACAACTCCAAATTATGGTTTTCTCTAATGGAATCTATCTCAGCCGAATGAGATTTAATTAGGTCATCGTGCTTACATTTCCACGAGTGACACTCTTGTCTACACTTAGCTAACTTATCTCGCAGGGCAGCCATCGAATTATCTCGTTCAGCAACTTCGTCTTCTAATTCATTCAATCTACGTAATTGTTGATTCGTAGGTAGAGTGCTCTGATCTATTTTCTCTGTAGCAGCCTTTCGTAGTTTCCTCAAACCATCTTCTCTTTGAGCGTGGAGTTGTTCTTGCAAATTTTTCAATTCTATCTCGTGACGCTTAGCCTGATGTAGAAGATCATCTCTGGCATTTTTCAATAGTTCATCGAATTTTGCAATAGTTTGCTGTTTCTGCTCTAGACGAGCTTGAAGAGATGCAACTGTTGCTTGGGCAACTTTAACCGGATAATCTGCATCTGTCGATGGCGGAGCAGAACCTTCAAGATGGGCAGTAGCTTTGGCAATAGCATCATCACGTTCTTGTGAGGCTGGTAGACGTAGTCTAAGTTCAGTAATTACTCTATCGCGTGCCGTAACATCGCATTCTAATTTCTTCACTTTATTTTCGAGCTCTTCCATTCTCTGTTGAACGAAAATAAGTTATATATATTATTCAAATTTTTGGCGCGAAACTAAAAAATATTTATCTTAGCCAGTTTAGTAGACTTAGCAACTTAGCTCATAGATTTTTTATAATAGGCCTACGAGATAAATGGCGGCAGATATACGGTATCGAATGCATCAAGAAATCTATAAATATTTATACAAAGCTGATTATGCGCAATGCAGATCGGTTATGAACAAATTGATGTGCTACGGTCACAGTATAATAAAATATCAACCGGAATATCCTTTGATTTACTGTGTTGCGCTGATGATCGGTTCAGGAATGACATTGGATATAAGTGATTGGTACTGCTTTATAAATAAATCTCTAAGCGAACCTCTACTGAGGATAGTGTTTCTTGTTGGACATAGAGTATACGATATGAGTCTAGAAAGACCATATTTTGGTGAGAAAGTTAAGCGCTTCGAAGCGACAAAACGTGCTTATACTTTGCATAAAAATGGCTCAGTACGAACTCTAAGAGATTTAAGCATTATAACTATTCGTAGTAAGTTGCCAATACCGTATTGTCGATACGTAAAACAATTAATATTGGATAGTAAACTGCCTGCAAAGTTAGAAATGGAATTACTATTTGAGAAAGAAATTGATGAAATAATGGAACAAGCTCAAGAAGAACAATTAGTATCAATGATGGGTATTAATACTTATGAAAAATTCCTGTTAGCCGCCTTTTCCTCAAGTTGATTAATCGTTCCTTTGTTGAAATAATTTTGTTATTTGTGCTCAATCCTACCTCTTTTAATTTTTAGTGATTTTAGTTAGGAAACTTTGATAAATGATGTTTGAGAAAGCCTTTAAAAAGTTTATTCTACTTACTTTTTTAGTTGCCTGTGTTTCGGCTCGAGCGTCTAATATGAGTTTCACATTACGTTTAATCGTTGTTGTTGCCTGCTCTAATTGTTCGGCAACTGGAAGTGAAGTATCGGGAATTGCACCGACAGCCGATTCAAATTGAGAAGCTGCCGAAGCAATTTCGGCTTGGTGTTTTTCCATATTCATTATTGTTCTTTCTAATTCTACCTCCCTTTGTTCCCATTCCAGCTGTCTAGCTTCCAATTCCTTCTCCATCCTAACTTTTTGTTCGTCGAGATCTGAAGCCTCTGCTTCGTATTGCTTATTAACGGATTCCAAATGATGAATTTGCTGTTGTAATTTATCGCAGTTTCTCTTGTGTTTAAGCATTTCCAATCGAACCTCCTCCAAACGACTATGCCATTCCACCACCTTAGCCGCTCCCGCTCCATCCTTTAAGGCGCTTATTAACTCTTGCAATCCGTCTCTTTGTAATTTAGCTTTTTGTAATTCACTTTCCACTTTATCTCTGTCTATATTTGTCAATCTTAGCTGCTCTTCCACATTAGCCTTATCCTTTTGAAGTTTAACTAGATTTTCTGTAAATTTCTCTTGAGTAGGTAGTGGGACAGCGCCGCTGTACCTTCTTCGAAATTCTTGGAGTGTAGTTTTTAGATACCGTTGTTTTGTACGAGATTCTTGTCTATTATGATATATGGTTTGATCTTTCTCATCTATCTTTCTTTCAGTTCTTAACAATTGAGCTTCTAGTTTTAAAATCTTTTTATGACTATCTTGAACTTTCCTAACTGCAGTTCCTTCGCTTATTTGCAATTGGACGAGCTGACGGTGTAATTTACCGATAACAGATTTCTCATCGCTCGAACATTGGAAGTCAAGGAGTTGCTGACGAAGCGATGTTACTTCCTTATCACGCGAAACCTGTTGTTGGTCTAGAGCTCTGGCTTGATTCGAGGCAACCTCGGAAATGTCTTTAAGGGTTGCTACCTCCAATTTAGTTTTAGACAATGCCTCTTCCAATTCTAAAATTTTTGTCCTATCTCTATCACTTATTTCTTTTGTTACAGAATTAGCGAGCTCATCCTGAAGTTCCCTTTCAGTCTTTTGTAATTCGAGGTTCATCTTAGTTATTTCTCGAAATTTACTCTCCAATTCAAAATTTCTATCTTCCAACTCTCTTAATTGGATTTTTTGTTGGTCATACATTCGAGCAGAATGATCAGCTCTCTGCCTCTCGTTTAATTCTTTTAGCTCCAAAGTAGTTATTTTCTTTGACAAACTAATTACATCAGAATCCCCGAGTATTTCCGTCGCTTCTCTTCCAAGACCTTCCTTCCTTAATCTTTCAAAGGCTGCTTCAATGACGTGTAATTTCTCCTTCTCAGTTGACAATTCCTGTTTGAAAACATCATTTTCAGATCGTAAGCGTTTTATTTCGACCTCGAAACCGGAATTCTCTTCATTCTTCGCCACTAAGTGATTACTTTTCTCTAATAAATCCCTGTACTTTTCAGTCAATTCCGTGTGCTCTTTATTGGCTCTTTCTAGATCCTTAGATGGAACACTATCATCCAAACGCTTTTGAAGACTAGCTAATTTAAAGGATGCCATATCCTTATATCTTTGTAAATAGCTTATTCTATCTGTTATGGCCGCTTCCATCTCAATCATTTCATTTTTGAGCTTTGTATTTTCTTTTCTACAAGTTTGCTCCATCTCAGAAAGTGCTGTAAAGCGTCTAGTCAATGCTTTTTCATTAACCTTTAACACAGTTATTTTTCTTGTTAAATCCGCTAAACGACTTTTAATTTCATCTTCATTTGATAGAGAGTCCAATAGATTCTAAAAAAGGAGAGAAAAGAGAGGATATGTATTATAAATTGAAAAAGCAACAGAAATTAATTACATCTAATTCAATTCCTTTTGCCTTTGATTCTTCTTTCTCACCAATGGCGTCTTGTAATTCTTTTCTTAATCTCTCCAATTCTTTATCCATTTCCTGGTTTAAGTAATTAAAACATAAATTACAAGTATTGTGTTAATATTCTGCTAGGATTAAAAGAAAATACGAATAAAAAGAAGAGCAACAATACCTTTTTTCTTTCAATATATTCTTTGTATATTAAACCCTGTTGAGTTCGAACCACAGCAAATTTCCTTTTATAAACTTCTAGGGATTCTTCCATTTCCACAAGCATTTTTTCCTTAAGTGACAACTCCTATACGGATAATTAATTAATATTTCCTGTTTCCAAAATTTAAAAATAATTTACGAAAAACGAACTTGTAAAATTTGAACTAAATGCTCGTTTAATGATGCGATAACATCCGAACTAGTTGGAGCCATTCCTTCGGGCAACGCAATCGTTTGAAAGTGAACACCAGCACCTGCTTCCTTAAGCGATTTTAACTCTGCTTCTAAAGTATTTGTCTAAAGGTTTCAAACACATTAATAAATCAATGTACGACTGAAAATCTAATGTATCTTATTACTTTATTCTGCTGTTTTTCAAATTGAACAGTTGCTTTTGTTGCTTCGTATCTTACATCTCTTAATTCCTTTCTTAAAGCTTCATTATGGCCAGTCAAATTATCAACTTGAGCTTTAAGGTAAAACGTTGCATCGTAACGTCCCATGACATTTTTAGCTTCAATGGCCTATTTTATATGGTAATTTAATATAATGGCCGTGTAAGTTATTTCGTCTAAAGTATCTTTATATAATATTTACCGTGAGCATCTTGTCTAATGATGGGCATTCTAGCACGAGAGTTCCTCCACTATTGACTCCTAGACGTGAATAATTAATATTAATAATCTTTAGCTTACAGAATTTCTACTTTATTACTTTCTTCTTCAAGGGCAGACTTAATTTCTTTCAGACCATCGTGCAAACCTTTATTCTCCTCTAAAAGATCTTTTTCTTTGTTCCTTAATTCGCTAGTCTCAAGGCTAAGTTTTTGGAACTTTTTCTCCAATTTTTCCATTTCAATCTTTTGCTTTTTACTCTGTTAAAATATACGACCTGTTTTTAATATGGTCTTATTTGCTGAATGAAAGAAGTACTAACAAATATCTCTGCTGTTCCTGGTTCAGCGGATAACTTTGAAACGGTTTCCGAAACTATAAAATTATCTCCAGTATCTTCAGACCAAGCCGCTCTAACACCACTAATCAATGTAAAAATATATATATCATATTATTAATTAATTATTAAGAGGAGATTAATAATGACCTTGGTCCTACTCTACGTGCTAGAAGACGGATTTGGTTCTTTAATTTATAAATGGTATCTTCATTACCCTCAATCTATAGATTAATTACGATAAAAGATAAAATTAAAAATTGAAATTAAAGATATTGAATTATCTGACCTCTTTTTGTAAAATCATAATATTTGCTCTGTCTTCTTCTTTTCTAACTGCCTTTAACATTTTAAAATCTGCAAGGTCAATCTTATCATCTGCCTTGTAGCCTAGTCTTTCCCTAAGTGCTTCATTTTCATCAGCCATCTCATTTAATTTCCACTCGCATTTATCAATGTGTTGAATTAGTTCTTCGTATTGTTTCTCTAGATTTTTCTTCTCATTGTTAACTCTTTTTAGATCTGTAATGGCGTCACTCAGCGGATCATTACCAGAGAATCTATTACGGTATTCTTCCCAAAATTCATTCATTCTTCTGTCTTTTTCTTCGGCATGAGCTTCTGCTTCTACAGCTTTTTCTTCTGCAATTCTTAATTGTTCTGCTTGAGTTTTCATCAATTCTTGCATTTGAGCTAGTTTCATTGTAACCTTTCCTACAGGCTGACTCTGGCCCTTATTAATTTCTCTACGTAAGTCCTCAATTTCGGCTTTAACTTCGTTCATTTCATTTACTCCATCGCTTAGTTTATTAGTCAGACTTTCTATTTCTTTATTTTTATCCTCTAAAACTTTTGTTAACAAAGCAACAGATGCTTTTTCGGAGTCCATATTAGCCGCTGTTAGACGGTCTTTTAAGTCTGAAATTTGACTATTCAAACGAAGAATATGAGCATCTTTTTCAGATAAAAGATTGGTCCAACTTTCTACTTTCTCATTAACGTAAATCATAATTTGGTCGTCAGCGTCCAATTTGTTTTTTTGAGCATTGTGAAGAGCTTCATTTTGATCTTTCAACATTTCGTTTTCATTCTCGAGTACTTTCAATTGCCTATCAGAATCGGTATATAATTGTCTCATTTTGAAGCATTCTTCTTTGGTTTTTTCAAATTCTTCGCTACCGTCCCTTATTTCCTGTTTTAAGTCTTCTATACGCCTTTCTAAAGTGATCTTTTCATCATATAACTTATTCATTTCATCTTGTAAACCAGACATATCTTTGTTCTTTGCCCTTAAATTCTCCCTTTGTTTATCCTCATCTTCTCTTTTGGCTCTAAGCTCTTCATTGAACTTTTGTACCATACCTTGTAGCTTATTTTTATCTTCTTTTAATAGCCCACTCTCTCTTTGTGAATCTCGTAAATCTCTTTTCAGATTTTCCATTTCTGCTGACTGTTGTTCTAAATTTCTTCTCTCCTTATCCAGGTCCACCAAAATACTTTCTTTTTGTCTTCTGAGCTCATCAACCATTTGTTCTAAGCTTTGAATATTATTGATAAGGTTTTCAGGTACCGACTCTCCTGTTGTTGTTCTTATGCTCTTTTTCTAATACAGAAGAAGCAAAAATTTAAGAAAAACAACAGGTATTTATTAATGTCTCTGACTTACTTTGGCTTCTTGTAGTTCTAACTGAAGTCTGTTTACTTCCTGTTCCATCTCCTTTTCTATTAAAGCCAAAGTTGAACAAACTGCCGTTAGCTATTATTCACCTACCTCTCTTTTTGTTTATTTTTGAAAATGACATCACTTCTTCCGTAGCGACTTCGAGTTCGACACATTTTAGGTTTAAACATTGTTGGAGAGCGTTTACGAGTATTTGAACGTTAGAATCCTCAGAAACAGACTCAGGTTCCCGCTAAAATAGAGCTTTATCACTTTGTGTAAAGTGTCTAAGTACAAAATAACTTACAGAAACCAAAAACTCGATTACATTCACAACTTCTTCGTCTTTAGCATCTTCAGCATTAAATGTAGCTAAAGACTCAATAGTTAGTTCGCCCATAGTTTATTGAACGATTTAAAGTACCGAACGAAACTAGGAATAGTTGCGAGTCTAAACTTGACAAATCACAACGTTGATCTTTTTGGTTATATTGAAAAAATACAAAAGGGTATTTAAAAGCAGAAATCTTCAAAATAAAATTTTTAACAGCTCAGAAATACTTAGTTTCCATGTTGTATATAACATAAAATCATTTTACAAAAGAATTTCAGCGCTTGTTGATAAGGGAATTCCAGGAAGTGACGAAATAACCCTCTAGGGGAGTCCTAGACTAAAGTCAAACCGCTAATATTACATACATTATTATTATCAATGCAGTTTTATAATTATTCAATATAACTGAATGAAAAAAGCCAAAAACTCATACCCATTGCACGTTCATTGTTATAGATTTATTTTTGAAAAATAATAAATCGCAAGTTTCTGTTAAAAATTAACAGGCGGATCGCGTGGGAAACAACATTAACTCGGTTGGCCAGTTCTACAATATAAACTCTGTTGAACACAAAGGTACTATGGCCACATCATCAACTGGACGGTTGGTTCCGTTCCGCTAGAAACTCTTCATATGCTTCCGCTATTTCCTCATCGATTCCGTCATCTGATTCTATCACTTCCTCTACTAGTTCATAACTTAAACAAGAAATATTTCCATTATACGTGAAAAAAGAAGGAAAAATATATGAATGCCTTACCCATTATAAACAAAGTCCTCCTCAAAGGGAATAAAGTCATTTATATCTGGGGGAAGAGAGCGGGAATCAACCAAGTTACCGCCAGTAAATTCTCCATTTTCGGTATATGCTGGTAAATCTCCGTACAATTCGTTATGTGTATTTACAGCTTCTGGTAAGGAGTATATATGTCCGGCGTTGTAATAGAAAACCGGGCAGTCCTGTGAAATCAAATTATAATATCAGACTTAAAATCAGAAGAGACAGGAGTTTGGAAGACGTTGATCTTTAAACTTACAATTGTCTCTAAACAAATGCCATCATAGCTTTTGTTCTTTAGGCCAAAGTTATTTGCTCGTAACTTTACCAAGGATAACAGCTTCATACGAATGCGCCTTTGTGTAAAATAAAACATAGGGTAAATATTTAACACTGATTAATCGACCCTTTAACTTCCTTACCTGCTGGCTTTACTGCTTACTATGATATTTTCAATAGGAGAAAATAGCCAATCTAACATATCTTGTAGACGAGGTGGTCCGGCTTCTTTGGATTTACCGTGCTTCTTAAAGTGTTCGCATTGAGCCAGAATTGCTCCGGTCATCTATTTTTAACGTATTTAGATTATAAAGGATGTGAATTTAATAATATCGAGTTGCTGACTTTTATAACATCAATTACTGCTATGACCACGTTCTCCTCAAGGCGAGTCATTTCCCGATTATGAGCATATTTCATGATCTCTTGCACTATTTGGTTCAGCTTGGAGCCAATTTCGCCCATTCTTGAACCGGTAGAAGACTGAAATGGTTTAACAATGTTATAGGTTTCAAAATGGAAACATTAGTATGGGCCCTTACAATCATATTTAGAAATATCTCGCCCATAAAAAGAATAGTTCCAGACAGGAAGTCCAATTTATCCGGTTGCCCAATGGCGCCCATTGCTTTCTCAGCTTCTTCATTACACCTTTAAAATAAATTAAACGTTCTGATTCATTCAGTTTTCAAAATTTACAAACTTGTTGATCAAGTGCGCTCGGAAGTCTACGCCGTCTATTATTGTCGAAGATAAGTGCTTGTTCAAGTAGACGAACATTCTGGCGCAGGTATATCGAATTGATGATGTTGAAACACCCTATTTAAAACGGGATAAATTCAAATGCTGATAGCCATTACACCATAAAGTATACATACCAAATTAAAGATATATGATACAACTGCTGTCACATCAGCATTCGTCTTGCATGCATTTTTCAAATTATTAACTAATTTCGGCATCACCTCATGGTAGGAGCCAGGACTGGCTGTTAATGAGGACATTGCAGTCCTTACAGCGGTCATGGCCGTTGAATCGTGTTGATCGCCGGCAGGTGCGACTGACTGCAAACTTCGAGGTACGAAAATTGCAGCCCCGGCAGATAGTGAGCTGGTCATTTTTTCTGCGTGAGAAAAGGTCTGGCTTAGCTGCTGAACAATTAGTGATCTAAAAGGCTTACGTACGATGTCAGTCGATTTACCGACTCTTGCAAGCAGTTCAACCGGTTTAGGCACTTTTCAGTAACTGTTTAATTCGTATGAGGATCACACTTAAGTGGGCTATTCGTCTAAAAACGTAGATTAAGTTTGTTATGTTTGTGAAGTCTCAAAAAAATAGGCCAAGAAACGTTTCCGTTTCCTGTGATACGAATATTTCTTGAGCGAAATGAATGTTCAATTCAAAATTTTTTTTTATCAATTAATAAATTTTACTTTTAAAAATGATGGAAAGGGTATTATTAACTTTTTCGAGAGAAAAAAACCGGATTGATAACACGTGAATATTTGACCGTTTCGTCGGTATCAGGAGCCAGATTACATATATAAAAATATAAGAATCAACCAATCGGACATTTTAGCTACAGAAACGACTGGTTCGGTGGGAATATATATCTTGCTTGCCTGCGAATTTTCTAGAGTAGTGTGACAAAAATTCCCTATAGGTGGGAATAGTATCATAATTTCCGTTTCCGTTTCCAACACACGTGCAAGCAATGGGCAAGAAGCGTAAAATTCAGAAAGAGGAAAATTTGAAAAATGTCAAAAAGGCAAAGAAAAATGTTGTCGAACTGCCACCGGTCAGATCATCAGAAGAAGCGCCGATAACTAACGTAAATTTTGTATATATCGCGTTTTAGCTTATAATTTTATGCTTACTTTGTAACAGAATAAATGGTCTAATAAAGAAAGGGTATTAGTGTTTTCATCTCGAGGAATCGGCTTTAGAGATAGACACTTAATGAAAGATTTTAAAGTACTAATGCCGCATAGTAAAAGTGAAACCAAGATGGACAAAAAGGATAGCTTAACCGTGATCAATGAGGTAAATCACTCAAATATTTTATAATATGATCTTACATGTCCTTATGAGATTATACAGATATGCCAAATGAAGAACTGCACAAAATGCATCTATTTTGAATCAAAGAGAAAGACTGATCTCTATTTATGGTACAGTATATTTAGCACCTAGAGTGTACTCCGTGCATATTAATATACTATAATTTTTTTTTCTCTTTTTAGGATGTCAAACTGTCCCAGTGGTCCATCAGTTCGATTTGACGTTCAAAACAGTATGCTTTATCTTATTAAAATTTCATTCATTCTTTATACTGTTTTTGTTTATCAGTACACACATTATTGGAATTAAAATTGACTGGAAACTGTCTTAAACATTCAAGACCACTCCTTTGTTTTAATGAGGTTCGTCAGAAAACATGAAAAAGCTAACGAATTAATTTACTGTTAATCTTACAGGCCTTTGATGAAGCTCCTCATTGGTCATTGCTTAAAGAATTATTGATTCAGGTTTGTTAAAGAAACTTACATTTATTCTTTTTTTAATAAGTAATTCAACAGATTTTTTCGACGCCCCGAAATCATCCAAAATCTCAACCTTTTGTAGATCATGTATTTTCCTTTACTGTTGCTGACAATAGAATATGGTTTAGAAATTATCAAGCCATGGAAGAAGATGGCAAACTAGCAGAAATTGGTAAATGTTAAGTCTTAAAGCACAAAAAATGTTTTAATAAATTGTCCTTGTAGGTCCAAGAATGGTTCTAAATCCAATAAAAATATTTCGCGGAAGCTTTGAAGGAGAGGTTCTCTGGCAGAACCCACACTACGTCTCTCGCATCAATGTAATTTTCCCATAATATTTCTTTTTTCTATCTTGTTAATGAATTTTACTTATTTAGATACGACGTCAAATAAAGCTTGCTAAGGCAAATAAATATATGGATCAAGTTCAACAAAAGAAAGCTCGTAAGAAGCGTCTCTCTGGAATTATAACTTATAAATCTGATATTACTGATCAAGTGTTTGCAACAAACTGATAAATGAAATCCTATTTCAATAGTTAATTTTGTCGGATTATGCTAGAAATATGCTAAAACAAAAATTAAACATTTTTACATAAAAGTGAATCTAGAATTTCTGTTATCAACTTTTATTTGTAATTTTAAATAGTATAATATCACGAGCTTTATCATAGCCAATGCGCGTAACAACAAAATCTCTCTCTTTTAACAAATTTAGAAACTTCTCGTCCCTTTGATAACGAATTTTACAAGTAAGAAGTATGAAATTCTTCTGACTAGATAGGTGCCTTAGCGTCTCCAGTAATTTTTCAAAAGTTTCTTCAATGTAAATTATATCGGCAGCAATAATCAAATCATAGTGATTATCGTAATCCTTTAGATTAACACCCCACTCAAGTTCCCTGACTGAAATTATACTTTCGTTCAGTGAATTAACTTCCACATTTTTCTTTAAAGAGTCTAAAGCTAATGATCTATCAGTAAGCACAACTTCAGCAGCATCTGTTTTTAAAGAAGTATATCTGATAGTGTTTATCACGTTTATAATTCGTGGATATATACCTAGGCGACAAGCTATCATTCCCGGTAAACCAGTTCCAGCTCCCACCTCAATAATACTCTTATTTCTAACTAAATCAGGGTTTTTATGTAAATATTCACCCAAAACAATGGCCTGTTTAAAAATGGAAAAGTATTCAGTTATTCAATTTTTATCTTAAAAAAACAGATATACAGTACAGAGTCCCATAATACAGCCGCTATTCCAATTGATTGCCAATCCTGGATAATTTGTAGAGAGAAATCACCAATTGATACTTCTCTTAAGTTTAAAAAATGACGAGGTACTATACTCTCATCGTACACTACTAATGCTTGATTTGACGTGGTCATTTTGAAATTTATAATGGATAAGCATGTGATAAAAAAGGGATAATTCTGAAACTTATTTGGCATTTACAGTTAAATTAATTGTTAGAAAATGCAAAAAAGAAACGAATTGAGTTAGCTGTCAATCGAAAAATATTCTTGCAAATTAAACTCACGGTATCCATAATTCTAAGAAGAATTTTCTTATTTTTCAAACTAAGTATTATTAACAAATGCTATAATTCCAAGTCAAGAAAACAGCAAAAATTTCCATAAAATTTTAAAGTATTTAACAACTAAAAAAATACTGCTAATTTTGTAATAAATATAACCAGTTTTCAACAAAGAACAACCATACTTTCTTAGAGTGTTTCACTTGTACATTTGATTCTATCAAGTATTTGGTAATATCATTATTTTCCCCTATTTAAAACTTGTTTAGAGATATTTTTTCCTAACGTATCTCTTGTTTAGTTTAACTAAAACAGTATGCCGAAGTCGAGAGAATTCCTAACCACTTCTGAGTCGGATTCTGATGATAGTCCACCCAAGGTATACCGCTTTTCATAGCCCGCTAAAACAATACAACTTGTTTTCCAAGGCAAAAAAACGCACGATAGAGAAAAAGCCCAAACCAAAGGCGAGTGCTTCGAAAGAAACTCCAGATGATGGAAAAGTTCAATTGGCCGCCAAAAAGTTCGTCAGTATAAGTGAATTTAGGAGCCGAAAATACGTTGATATTAGAGAGTATTATGAAAAAGATGGGAAAACTTTACCCGGAAAGAAAGGTTTACTTTATTTAATAGTTTTACTGTATCTTCCAAGCATTTTTTCAATCTATTAGGTATTGCGCTTGATGAAGCGGCTTGGAATAAGCTGAAGGATAACATAAGTGTTATTGATGAAATGTTCAAGAATCGCTAATTATTATTGCATACTTTTTCACATCCTCAGCTTTATTAATTAATTATCCTTTTTACTGAGAACACGTACCGCCATGTAAACAAAAGTACTCAAGTGTTTAATACAAGCATTTTATCTGAAGAAAATTGTCAGAAAATATTTCGTTTATAAGTTAGGAAACTTATAAGTTAGGAGAAACTGTATTTAGTGAATCTATAATAAACGTAGCATAGAGACAAGTACAAGAAACATTTTAACTATTTTATAGCATTAGTCTTAATTAAATTAGCTTTTACACTTTACACGTATCACGTCTTCATTCAGGATATTTAAAGGTAAGCCTGATAAAAAATGTAGCAAAAAAGTTAGTAAGTTACATATTTCTTTTTTAATTTGACTTAAACGAAATAATATAAAAGTTTGTTGAAAGACACAAAAAATACAACAACCTTCGAATAGCCAACTATTTTCCTTTTTTGTTCTAAGGAAAAAAATAGTTATTATAGAGCGTCTTATTAAAATTATAATAAAGAAAACTTACCGATTCCTCAAGATTTGCGAAAGCTGCATTAGAATCTATAAACATATTTGGAATATTATTGCCAAAGTATATTTTGTTGTTTTTAGATATTGCTTCAAATTTTTTCACTTCTAAATATTCTCTAGTGAAGATAATCTAAAAGAAAGTATAATATTATAATACAATATGTCACCTGATTTTAAAACCATTTCTTAGAAATTAACTTATACTCACTTTATTTGCGTCGGCCTCTTTTTGCTTTGTATAGAATGCTGCATCGGCAATCGCTTTTTGTTTTGCTCTATATGTTTCATCTATTGCGAGATAAGATAATAGCAGCTTCATAAACTATTTACTCAATATGTAGTTTTACTACATACCTTCAATCATTGAAATCTTCTTTTGGGACTCTTTTTCCATTACTTTTTGTTCCCATTGAATTTTTGACACTTGTGAAACTTTTTCAGCCTCTACATAAATAAAACATGGAATTATTGAATAATCTATAAAATTACTGTCCTTACCAATCAATGCTCTTTTTCTGTCCGTTTCGGCTTCCCTTTCAACAACTTTTTGCTTCTCTACAGCAATTAGTAGTTTAGTTTTCTCGCTTTCCCTGTTTTAAATATTATACAGTAGTTTGGTTAATGGATCGATCAAATTTAAATTAAGAAAACACTTGGAAACCTACATCAATTCGTAATTTTTCCTAATCTGCTCTGGTATTTTTGGTTTAGTCACACGAACTGATTGGATAAAGAGCCCTGGAGCCATATTTGTTAGGTCCTTTTGAAGAGCTATTTTTAAATTTTCATCAATTTGATCTATAGAAAAGAAAAAGGAAATAATTTTCCGCTCCTAAAGAATGATCATAGATTACCGAAAAGGTCAATATAAACTTCATGAAGGTTATGTACAGAACAGAATTGATTGAGTTCGTGGTGAATCTTGTCGTATATCAATGTTTTGTCATAATCTGCTGTGTAGTTTCTCACCACGTCGTGAACTATCGACAGCACAGATGAAGACCTTAACACGTTATACTATTTGGACTCTTAAGTTTACCTGCATTACGAGCTAATAGATTGACTACTTCAATTCTATCAAAGTAGATCATCACACCTCCGCTTGTACCGCAGGGTACATTTTTGACTTCATCAGTTTGCAGTGTTGTCTATCATGAAACAGTTACAATTAGTGGAGGACAAATTGAATTATTAGTGCCTACTTGCACATATCGAACGGCTGTTATAAAAGGCAGCATAATGTGATATCCAGGGTTACTTATATAAGTTAGTAAAGCTCCTCCCTGTAAATTATTAGAAAAATAATGACATCAAGTTTATAGGTGAATAATCAAAAACCCTGTAGTATACGCCGACGTGTCCTTCATGAACTTTATGAATACCCAACGAAATCATAACCATTCCGACTCCAACAGCGACTAAAATAGGTCCAACTGACATTTTCTGTAGGATAAGAATAGCTTTTGTTAATAAAATATATCGTTTTGAACTGTTTTTTGAATCTTACTGCTGTAAATTATTCAATAAAACGAATATAAAAAACCACTCTAAATGTAAACAACACATTCTGTGTCTCAGTTATAATTTTATCTCGAGTTCTTATAATATACTATAATTTTTGATTTACAAAAACCACTTACGATGTTCAAATTAATTGTAGTTTCTCAATGCTCAAGCCAAGTTAAGGGTTAAATAACTGCAAGACAGAACCGGGATCAAAGACTGGCTCCTATTCCTTAGCTTTTTTAATCAAACTAAATAACCACTCGCTAGAGTTATCAAATGAGAAAAAAATGTCTATCACTCGAAAGAAAGAGAAAGTCAATATATTCGTTATGATCTATATAAAACAATAAGTTAATACAAAGATTGTCAATACATGTAACGAATGCTAGTGTATTCTTGTTTTAAGAGTTCCCAAATAATTATTAACTATTATTGATTTCTTATAACCTCAAGTCTGAGGAAAGTATTAAGTTAGGCTAGACAACTTTGTGATCTGTTTTTTAATTTGATAAATACACAAACAAATTGCTTTATGTAGTATGTTGCATCTTAATTCTATTGAGCTGCAGACAGTTTTTCGATAATTGTTGAATAAGATGGCTGAAGTATGAGAAAATTTCTCTTTAAAGCATGTATAAGTAATGATTTTTTCAAAACTTTAAATTATATTACTTCTATGAAAAACTGGTAAGTCTGAGCAGTGTCATTTTTTTCGAACAGGAAGCGGAAGTCCTCCGAGGTGTCAACACCAGTGAGAGTAGAGCTACGAAGAAAACTGCTGCTTATAACATCTTGCAAATTGAGACACCAGTACTATCCACTAACAGCATCGTGGTGCCTTGTTTCAAATCTGACAAGTATTGAAAAAAATACGGTAGTCCGTCGTTTAGCATCAATATCGATTTCCTTACCATTTGGGAACCGAAAGATGGAAGACGGAGACGTTAGAGCTTGTATCGAGAATAGAAAGAGCAGGAGACGACAAAGATCTCATGAATCAGGAGATTCGGAAGCTGAAGAGGGAAAGTATAAGCATATAGCACTTAATGTCCTAAAGAACAGTGAACGAATGAAATCTTGCTCACGATCATTGTGTGCTCAAGGATACAATTGCAATAATTTTGACAAAAGAGGACGATGCATACATGAGCAACCGGATGCATTTTGTAAATGTGTTTGCGAATCCACAAAGGAAGCACCATGCGGAGGTCCAACGTTCATAAACGATTGCTGTTGCGCAGTTAGTAATCCTAGTTAGTTGCTTTTAATTATACATTTGCATATCATGTCTTAATATCAATTTTCCCAAGCTTTTACTTGGTTATGGGATGGTGAGAATGCGAAACAATCTGGAGAGTCGTCTGTCTATCTTAGCCATGAAAAAAAAATGGTCATTTTCCATATGAATTATAGCCGTGGAACGGCTGCAATAAAAGGAGATACGTTTATGACAGAAGGACAGCACTTCTGGGAGATTAAAATGATGAGTTCAGTATACGGAACAGATATGGTAAGGAAATTAATTACGTAGAAATAATATATGTCAGTAATGATCTTATTTTTCGCTTTGAAAGATGGTTGGTGTAGGAACAGAGAAAAGCAAAACGGGTGGATATGAATCGTCATTCGTCAGCTTATTAGGTAACGATACAGAAAGTTGGGGATACTCGTATTTGGGATATTTAAAACACGACCGTGCGGAGCATAGGTATGGAGTGGGATTTGGTCAAGGAAGCATAATTGGAATTCATTTAGATTTATGGCATGGGACCTTATCCTTTTACAAAAATCGTTATCCCCTTGGTAAAATACTTTACTTTCTTTTATCTTTGCTTCGGAGAATTAACGAAATTGTAAATTTATTGTTTTTTAATCAGGTATAGCATTTGTAAATTTACACGGATTGAATCTTTGTCCAATGGCTATGTCAACGGCGGCCAGAAGTGCCATGAAAATAGTACAATCGCAAAGTTCGCATACCACGTTATTCTATTTTTGTTGCACAAGAATTCGAAGGTGTTTTGCGCCCGAATCTGACTGCTTAGAATTACTCAAACCTTATCTACCTCCGGGATTGTACAAATTGCTGACAGAAAAGTATTATTGGATATTTCAAAAATCGTGCATTTTCAAAGACGATATAACTTCCCCACGGAAAAGGAGTAATACATTAAGGAGTGAAGATAAGTCTTTTACACCTGAAACGAAAAAGAATAGAAAAATTGACGAAATTTTTGACAGTGATGAAGAACTGGGGCAATAATTTGTCAAAACTTACCTTTCGAACAGTCTATTTATACTTGCACTGTGATTCTATTCTACACTTGATGTTCTGAATTTTAAAAAATGTAATTCTAATAGTCAGAAAGATTCATCTTAAGAAATAGAGTGGATTAACCAAACGGTAGAGTCTACTATATGAGTGAAAATATTTTGATATCAAGATGTTAGAAGTGAAACTGCTCGACACGTATAGTCAAAAATTTGTAGCGAGGGTGTACTTCATTTTGTCATTGCACCACTTAAGACAAATAGGCTGGAGATGAAAGTCGTCTTCCTATCGACTCGAAGATAAATTAACAATAAGATAAAATATTTATTTTGATGGAGAGTTACTTTAAATGCTTTGATTCAAACTTTTTTAGCCTTAAATATTATTTGAGTGGAAAATTGCTTTTTTTTTTTATCAAGTATTTAAGAGTTAAAAGTTGATTTAAAATTTGCAATTGTTATTTACATTGGATATGCTTCGGGAAAAAAAACATCAGAGTAAATAACATTCTTTATGGTTTCTTACTCCAATTTTTATTTATTTTTGTGGAAATCATCTGTGATTATATACAAGATTATACGAAAAATCAGTCATTCTAAAAAATGCTTAAATAAATCTAAATAAGTCGATCCTTAATGAATGATATTGGTGTAAGATGTTTGTTGAAGTTTTGTTGCAGCACATAGAATTCGCAAAGCATTTGTAAAGATGGAAATTCCAGCTTCAGAGTTGTTCTATGAAGTATAAAAAGTTTTTTAGTTCTAATACTTCTCAAGTAAAGACATCAGGACACTTAAAACCAGTTTTTTGTGTTAAAGTAGGGTAAATTCGAACAAAAAGTGTTTACTTTGATATGCGAACTCCTTGTCAAAATAATTCTTGTACTATACTATATGTATTTTATAACGATGCTATGATATAAATTTTTGACTACTCACTTGCGAGACTGGTAATTCCTGGGATGTCTCAATTGTTTCTGAAGAAAGCTCTTTATATCTCCTAGATGTTGGGCAGTGCAAAGCTTTATGGCCTAACTGTCCACAGTTATGACAGTTTATTGCCAACAGCCGAGAACTTTTAAATGATCTTGATTCGGCAAAAATAGGGCTGTAAATAGAAATATAATTGAGCTATCTTGAGGCAAAAAACAGTAAATTTATTATTCAAATTATGAAATTGCATTAAATAGCATTTTCAATATTTTTGAAAATATGAAACTGTTTATTCTTGCACTATATACAGTTACATATATATATATACATATATATGTGGAAAATATTACTGAACGTAAGGACAGTCCTTCCCTCTGATACAAAAGCCAACTAAATAATTATTACAAATCACTCGTTTGACATGTTTCAGTCTGCATGTAGGCCCTGAAAAGTATATTTTAGTAATTTAAGAGCATTAAATTACTTCTATTGAGCTGCTATGTTTAATGAATATCACTGAAACCACCTACCTGAACGGCAAAAGCCACGATCGTAAAGTGGGCAACGCCCTTCGTTTGTTAATTTAACATGAAGAAACACGCAATCCTTATTTGTGCACTCTCCTTTTGTTTATTAGAATTATATATTACGAGTTTTTGCTTATTATCTTCTTTCTAATAAAATATTTATTATCTTTTGTTTAACTAACCATTAACTGCGTAAAAATAACATTCGGGCATTCTACTCATATCAAATTGATGGCGAAATTCACAGTCATCACCTTTCTTACATAATCCCCTTAACCAATGCTTGCAGACAACTGCTCTTTTACTTTTCATATGCCTATAAGGGCATAACTCTCGAGATGGACATTGCCCGTAGTAATACTTTAAACATACCGAAGATTTTGACTCTATATTTTGCAAAAAATTAACTTTTATATTAAACGGAAATAGTTTTATAGCTTACTATCCATCCCTACAAATGATAAGTAATTGTAGGGATATTGACGGTCAAGCTCTTTTTCAATATCAAATATAATATTTGATACGTCTGATGTTTTTTTAAAATTCGACATATTTCATTGAAAAACATGTGTATTCCAGAGAAATTTTATTTTATATTTTTGAATTTCTCCAGTTCTATTCCAGATATATTTCGTCCACGGTGATTGGATACTTTTGGAATATAGATGATATATTTCAGTTCCTTGTTCATAATAATTAATTACAATGAGATGCGGAACGTTAACCATACATTTGATATGGACACTGAACTTGTACTGCGAATCAATATCGATTATGATGGAACTTTTGCAATAGAAACATCCCATCAGTTTATAGACTTCTTGTTTCATTTACCTCTCCTCTAGAGATAATAAACAATTTAAGCATTTAAGTTTGTTATTATTACTCGTAAAGATAGAAAAAGCGGAAATTGTTAAATTACGTTACAGTTGTTATACATCAGTGAAACCCGCAAGAATACTTTCGTAGAATTAAGTACAATTGCAAATACAAGTATTTACAATTATTCATTCAATATTTACAAGTTTACGTTAATTGAGACTAAACTTTTTAAGATTTGTAAAACAAAAGCCTAAAACAACTATTTAATTTTATTACAACAAAGAATGTTACAGCTTTTAAGTTTTTTGTGACCAAGAGATGTAAAGAAAAGTAATTCTAGGTAAATTTTAATGCTTTAAAGTACTTTTCGCACTTGTTATTCACTATTTACTTCATAGAAAAAAAAGAAGAAGATAAATTTAGCTTGATAAACGGACTATAATATAAAGAGTTTACGTTTGATCAATCTAAAGCAAACAAGAATTTTGAGGATGAGATTACAAGGGCAAGATTTTAAGTTTTTTCATTAAAATTCTCCATTTTAAAGACAATGTATTAATCTCTTTGACTCTCTTCAAAAAATTAAGTGGAGGATATGTAAAGTTTCCAGTGTTCTTTTAAGAATGTCTTAAACTATATTTTGCTTTCGAGTACGTTATGTTTTCTTTCAAACGGCTTAAATATTTACTTTTCTTTTTAATAGCAAGCTCATCGATTGATTGTATCTCTGTTTTTAGGGGAATAAATCGCATAATAGAAAACAATTACCTTATAGAAAATGTACAATATACAGTATAGTCTTAAAAAAAAAACATGGCTTAAATTTGGATTACCTTCTTGATTGAAGTCAAAGAGTTTTGGTATCATTACGGTTCTATTCGATTGAAATACACTTAATGATTGATCAAGTATTAATCTCTCAACAATTTGGTTTGGGTCACCCATCTCTTGCGAACCTAAACTATTGAAAAATGGTAAACCAAGCGCTTCTACTGCTGTAATTCGTTTGTTCGGTGGATAAACTAGTATGTTTTCAATAAAAGGAACAATTTCTGAATAGGTTCTGGTAGAGTCTGAAAGTAGAACTCTTTTCCAAGGATGAGGAGTAATTTGTGGAAATCGAAAATCACGAAACTCGGGATTCATTTGATCAATATCTTCCTTGGTAGGAGTACCTAAAACTTTGATTATCTCCACTAACTGATCAACACTATCGTTTCCGGGAAATAGAGGACGACCTATCATCATCTCTCCAATTACACAACCTACTGACCATAAATCAATTTGAGTTGTATATTTTACGCATCCAAACATTAATTCGGGAGCTCTATAATATCTTGAACATATGTACGCTACACTAGCTTCTCCTGGTTCAAGGAGTTTTGCAGAACCAAAATCGCAAAGTTTTAAAATTCCCGTTTCATCGTTAATTAGTAAATTTTGAGGTTTAATGTCCCTGTGGCAATAGTTTAATCTATGCAAATATGCTAAACCGCGGAATAATTGATAAGTAAAAATTTTTATCCAAATCAATGGCATTGCTCTTTCCCTTTTTGCATAAACTCGTATAGTTTGATAAAGCGTGTAAGGTAAATATTCAATAATCAAGTTCAGATAAAGTTCTTTTGAATTATCGCCGTGAGTATAATAATAATAAAGTAAGTTAATCAAATTTATATGCGTAAGATCTTTCATAATTTGTAATTCTCTGTTTTTATATCGTTTGTCTAGAAGAACTTTCTTTATAGCAATGATCTTATCAACTTTAGTATCACCGCAGTAAATTAATTGAGCTTTAAAAACCACACCAAACGAACCACTACCAATTTTTTCGCGTTTTATCCATTTCAATTCAACAATCTTTTCTTGTTCATTAGCAAGAGCTCTCTTAGACGCATATATCGTTGTTACTTGAGCATGATCAGCAAGTTTATCTTTTCCATTAGCCATACTATACCCTATTAAGGATATTCTTTTTCTCTTCTTTGTTTTTAAGATAATAAAATTTTGAAAAATTGAATGTTTAAAACTTTTCATACACTGAGTTTGTCATTTACATCAAATTATATCTAAAATCAATTTTATTTATAAAATATATTATTTATATTAAATAAGTCTATTTTTGGAGAATTTTTATAAATCAATTGATTTATTGTTATGGATGAATAATACGTTTTATAACACGTTTTTGAAAAAAATATGTCTAGAACCTGTCTAAATCTGTTAAGATAGAAGTTTTCGAATATTATTATTTTTCTGTGGTCATTTTATAGGCTTTTCATAATCTCAAGTAAAAATACATTTTTTTTGTCTAGATTTAATCTATTTAAACTAAAATCGATTAGAAAGACTTGAAATTATAATGGGTTTGAAACATTTGCGCATCAACTCATCTTTTACCAGTTTTCACTTTCTTCGGACTGTTTTCCGTAGGCGTTCACTTTGTTGCGGAAGGTATTTTTGTTACAAAATATTGAATATTTAGTAATTAAACTATCATATTTTGATTTATTTAACATATCTCGCTTTATTTAAAGTATTTTTAAAATAATTCATTGATAGTATGTGATGATGAGTAATGAACAAGCGACGTTTATTGATTTACCTTATTGATTGACATATACGAACGAGTCATGACTACCTGATGTATTTTGTATTTGTTAATTTTTGCTAGAACGATAAACCAAGAGGTGTAATTTTACTCAAGACATAAATTTTACTCATTTTTTCAGTTTTGATACCTCTGTTAGTTCAACATGTCAGTTTTATACTCGTGTATTGCTAGAGGAGATATTATTTTGTGCCAAGAATGCAAAGAAGGCAGTTCTGTGACTTATGAAAATAAACTTCGCAGTATCCTACCAAAATTACAAGCTAAAGATGCTAAAACATCTTACGAATCAAATGGGTGAGTCGATAAGAGTGATTTAGCCATTTTAAGTCACACCTGATTGTATATTACTGAATAACAACATCACATGATACGATAAACTAGAGCATTGTATTTTTTTTCGACAGATTTATGTACCATTTGATGCTAAAGGATGATTTAGCCTACGTTGCTGTAACTGATCCAAGCGTAGGTAAATTAATGCCTCACACATTCCTTGGAAAGGTTTGTGATTCATTCTTTTATCTTAATGAATATATCATTCTTTAAGATGTATCTTGTGTTTAGATCCATGAAGAATTTAGTCAGACTAGTCTTGTTCAGAGAGCTGCTTTTGCCTCACCGTATGAATTTAATATGGATTTTTCACCATGTCTAGCTGCAGAAATGGTAGGATAATTACAAATTGATGATTCATAAAGGCTATTTTAAAGGTTTTAAACGAATTTCTCAGAGACGAGCAACGGAAAACGGATATGGACATATAGCAAACTTGAACAATCAAGTAAACGAAGTAAAAGGTATAATGACTCAAAACATTGAAAGTGTCCTTCGAAGAGGAGAAAATTTAGAGGACCTTGAAGACAGAACAACTGCACTAGAGGATACGGTTAGTATTGTTTCCTTATAGTAATAAAACAATAAAGATTAAATAGTAAATCTAATTATATAATAATGACTTTTTCACATAACAGAGCAGAGTTTTTCAACAAACGGCCAAACAGGTTAGGAGAAAATATTGGTGGCAGAATATGAAAATGCGAATCATTTTGGTTCTGGTTGTCTTAGCTGTCATTGCTGTTATTGTTATAATCATTTGCGCATCGACTGGTGTATTTTCAAAAAAATCCTCGTCGCCTAAAACAACTGTAAAACCATCATCTAATCCTTGAAACAATTACAATTTATTGAAGATTTTAAGTGAAAAGACAAAATTAAGGCTCCGAAACAAATAAAAAAAAAAGAAAATGAAAAAGAAAACAATATGATTTTGATATATTTGGAATATATACTATTTAAGTATACAATTATAATAATGATTTTGTCATATTCAATAACTTATTGAAAGATAAAGAAAAGTCAGTTCAGACATTGTAAAATGTTTTCTTTTTGTATATATATATATATCACAGCACCTGAAAATCACAAGAAAAGTAATACTACATTAAGAAAAAACAATGGAATATTTGACTTAAAAAATCTAAATTATAGTATATAAAATCTAATTGATACAAATTCAATATTATTCTTTTATAATTATATATTTATAAAATATTAATCAACATCTTGACGAATAGCATCCATAAAACTCTGATTTTTCTCTTTCATACTTTCTTGTTGTTTATCATAAGCGTGTTTCTTTTCCTGTTGAGAAAAATTATGATACATTATCAATATTTTAATAATTTTCCTTTATATGGAACTTTTTTTGAATAATACATTCTTACTCTTAATTAACTTAAATTAGTGTATTTAATTATTAAAATTTTATCTACGCCATTCTTAATTGTATACAATTGTGATAGTTATAATTATGAATAATAAGAAAACAATTGAATTGTGAAGTGTTTCTTATCGGTCCATTTCCAATATTAAGTACGAAATTTCCCGTGTGATTAAACGTTTAATTCGTATGCGCATGCGCAATTATTGAAAGTTAATAATAGTGATAACATTCTTTATTTATAAAAATAAAGACAGATAGTCTTACTGTTTTTTTTAAATGTTATTGATGTTCTATAGTTTTTTATACTGAGAACAAGAATACAGAAATCGATCCTGGTTGAGCATTAAAAATAGCATCGACTATTTAATTTATACTAATCAAAAAAGTCAAATATTTCTTTAATATTCCTTTATAAATATTAAATATATAGAACTGATATATGAATTGAATAGGCCTTTTAAAATATCATTCAGTGATTACCATCATATCATTGTTTTCTTTCTTCCAACGTGTATCCAAGGATTCTGAGACTGTTGTTGTATCCTTTGACTAAATTGTAGATGTTATCTTGATTAATTATAAAAGAATTTGTAGCATATAGAAAGAAACGACTTACTGATTGATTTGAATCTGTATCTGAATCTGAATCTGAATCTGCATCTGAAGAGCTTGAGCCTGTATCGTTCTCTGAATCACTCTCTTTTATTGTCGATAATTTATCTCTACTTTTAAAAAAAAAGGGAATTACTTGATTGCTTTTTATTTAATAGGAATAAACATAAGAGAGAAAATAGTATTTACTCATTTTCTCTGTCTGGATCTGCTGCTTGTAAATACTTTTTAATGTCATTATGACCATATTCCGCTGCAACGTCTGCAGCAGTTCTATCATTACTATCTTTACAATTTAACAGAGTTTTCTCCTGCTGTACAAGCCATTTTACGCAATTAAAGTGTCCGCTAAAAAAATTGATTAAATTAGGTTAATTGATTCTCTGTATAAATATATATGACATATATTTTTATTACTGTTTTGCAGCTAAGTGTAAGACTGTTTGATTCTCTCCCAAAGTTGTTCCTGTGAAGGAGGCGTCTTTTTGAAACAGGAGCTAATGAATAATTAATGTTAAGGTCAATAAAAAATTCAAGGTAAGGACGCGGTTACTATCTTAATTACCTTCAAGATATTTGTATGGCCATTTATTACAGCTAAATGAACAGGTCTGTAACCGGTTGGTGAATCCTTCTCAACATCTGCATTATTTTCAAGGAGAAACTTGGTGATGTTTTCATGTCCTATCTCTGCTGCAATCATTATGGGCGTTTTTCCTTTCTCATCTGTCAAGCTTTAACGAACATTCAAAATTTTATAGGACTATTATTCCAATATCAACTTACTGCAATGTTTCTGAATCGTGTTTAATCCATCTTGTTACTAAATCTACATTTTTATCTCTTATTGCAGAATGTATTGAAGGCTGATTTAAGATATCGTCAGCGCTATCTGGGATTGTCTATATATTTAAAATTATAGATAAATTTAGATTTAAGGCTTTATAATAAAGAAAATAAACTTTACACTTTCTCCTTCATCTTCGGAAGGTTGTTGAGCAACTCTATTACGATTACTTCCTAGTGTCGTTGTTGTTACAGCCACCGTTGTACCATCCGTTTCGTCGGTCTCAGTTACTGCTGTAGAACTATTAGTATCCTGAGATGAAACTTTTGCTGAAAAAGAAAGATATAAGTCTGGTTTTTGTGTAGAAAAATGTAAAATTCGTAACTACAATTTGTTGCAAGTTTGTCGTTGGTATCTGACTTAGAGGCAGAAGAGGTAGTAGAATTTTCCATAGGTTCTACGCCCGTAGACTTTTCATCTTTTTTAGAGTCGTCCTTAAATTCAATTGGAATAACTCGAACGTTGTTAGACTCTACTCTTTTAAACTTTTGGTAATTTGATTCTTGAGAGGAAGTGGTATTGCTATCAGTTTTTGAATCGGTAGCTGATGGACAATTTGACCTCTCTGTCGAAGATTGTTCATCAAGAGGTGCTTCTACAGGTTCGACTTGATCATCTATTGTTCTATTAGTTGTGGCATCTTCGGTAGTGCTCTCGTTTCCTATTTATTTTACGATTAATAGTTAAATACGGATTGTATATGAAGAAATTGATCAGTGATGTAGGCTTACTTGCTGAAATAAAGGGTATGCGGGAAGTTACATATAATTTTCTGTAGGTTTTTTTATCATTGTGTTTTGCGGACAACCAACAATTATTTTCCACTTTATACTGAGTCTCTAATTTCATATTTTGAATTAGAACGTTTTCTAATTGCCATTCCGCACCTGCGCAGGAGAAAGGAGTCAATATCACTCCAAAGTAAAGTAATCAATTTAGCTTTCTTTAATCGATAATCAACCGATACTTTTCGAAAATTAATGCTGTATATAGATTATTCATTAAAAAGAATTACCTGGTTTTGTGCTGTCATGTCCTATTCCTATTTTAATAATATGTCCAACATTGGGCGCTTCGAATTCTAATTCATCCTTCTAATTAGTAGTATAAGGTAATTTATAATGTTACTGTTATAAATTTAAGATGGTATTTACCTGTCCCTGCTTGAAAAGCGGGCCACGTGTTAAACTTGTTAGTTGGATTGGTTTTGTTTTTCCGTTTTCACCATGAAGGACTAGTTTGATAGGAGCGTTTGTTCCTGATCCTACTATTGGTGATGTTTCAACCTCAATTCTGTATAACACCTTCTCTGCGTTTGGATCAACATCTTGTTCAATAGGATCGTAGTCATTAATGAGCTCGGTAGTTGTTTGTGTCTCCGTTGTTGTTGTTGTTGTTGTTGTTGCTTTTGCCTTGCGTTCTCCTTTCATTTCTTCCGATAATTCAGGAGAGGAATATTCGTTTCCAATACTTCCGTCTCGCTTAGAAGAATGTTTTGAGTCTGAGGATGACGCATTAGAGGTTAAGGAATAGCTTGAGCCAGAATAGGCGCTTCTGCTCTCAGTCGCTTTAGAAGTTATCGATGAATTCGAGTCGGACTCACTATCACTGTAAAGGTCAGTATTGAGGTTTTCCTCTATAAATAGTAATTTTATATACCTTCTGTCATATGACGCAGAAGACGCAGGTCTTTCAATTGACCTATTTTCTGGAGGAGGTCTTGGAGGGTATGCAGACCGTGGTCTTCTATTTTTGTTTTGATCGTCGAAACTTGAGTAACTACTATGTTGACTCTTGGATCGGGAATCTTTCTCATCAGGCTTGAAAGTTAAATATAATAAAACTATAAAGTAAAATCTCTATTATTCAAAAAGATGCTCAATCTTACCGATTTCTCTTTTATTAAATATTTCCGTCCATGAATATCATAAGCGTATTTCATTTTTTGTTCCTTCAAAATAGTAAAACAATATATAGAACCTAAAATTATTGTAATTGAAATTCAATAGAAACCGATTTCTTTTTGTCAGCGATACTCTCCGGTTTGTTCTCTGCTTCGTCCATGTCTTGAGTTTTTTCCTGGAAATTTAGATTAAAAACACTTTGGTAATTTATTATAAATCGATCTTTTTTTATTACGCTGGCAACGATGAGCCGAGTAGCAACACTAATTAATCTTTTGGCTTCTCCCCTAGATATTGTTGTAGGTGGAGCACTTCTTAAAACTGGATATCCTCCTCTAAGTTTACTGTTAAATAGAGACAAGTAAGGAAATTGTTAGTAAATATTTACAGTAGAATTCTTTGGAATATATTAAGAGGAGCCTGGATCTACCTGGAATTTTTTGGTACATTCCTACTAAATCCATTAGGGTGGCTTTGGGGTTTTATAACCATACCTTTCCTTGTTCTCAAATAATATGATGAATCGAGTTCTAGAGGCTAAAGTTTTATATATATATATATAGATATATATACTTATAAATATTTAATAATTCAAGAAGGAGAGTTAGTTCACTGCACACCTTTTTAGCAGGTTGATCCTAAATAAAAAAAATGAAAAGAGAAAAATAGTTTATAGAGGGATTACAAGTGTTATGAAAAAAAAAACAACAACACAAGATAAATGTGCTATTTGTTTGTATTCATAAGATTGATAATAAAGAATAACAACACACATAGATTCATTAATTAATCTGAGTAGTGTGTGTGCTAATAGGGATACAAAATATTATAGTTTAGATATTATACTCCATAGTTGCCGATGAAAGGAGAGATATTATTAGCCGTATAATTTAGAGTTAATCGGTTTATGAGTATTATATCTTAATGGGGATGGAGAGGCTATCCCCTATTCTTTTAGTTTGGTTTTCCCTATAATTTTACATATTTAATATCTTACCACGAATGAATATTGCTTCATATAACGATTCAATTTCCTTTTTACTATTCTTTCTCGATAAACTAAATCATCGATCTAAAATCAGAAAACAATAATAAGACAATATGAATACTTTAACAATAAAATATTATTAGTAAGAATTATGCTCTCTTCCTAATATAATAGCGAAGAGAGGTGGAAGAGCGGGGGGGGAGGTCGAGGGTGGAAACAAAATATTGTTTTTCTATTAAAAAAAAACCAGAAAAAGCAAGTTAAGCCGTTGTTAAATACATTGTTTACTTTTTTGCAATAAATAGTGTTTCTCTGCCTGTACTAGCTGATGATAAATTACAATTCCATATGGGCAATAAAAAAAAAACATGCACAGTATGCTGGAAGACTAAGAAGAGAAGATCAATTTATAACTAATTCATTTATTCGTTTATTGATTTATTGTCTCGATTATTTTACATGTTCATAGTTTTTTTTTAATAAAAAAAATTAATTTTATTAAAAGGAAACTCAGAATCTTTAGTAGGAAAGCTACTTTTTTAAATATAAATAAGCTATATAAACCATATTACAAAGTCTATAGATATACAACATTTATATAGTATATACTGTATATATATATATATATACATCATAAAAGTTTTGACATAAAATTATTTTACTGTATATCGAAGAGTTTTAGATATTTAATTGGATTTTAATTAATTAGTAGAATGAATTTAAAATACTATTAAAGAAATGGAACATTTCTTATAGAAGTTATAAGAGAAAATTGAAAGCTAAGAAACTTTGAAGTGTATATTTGTACAAGTTAAATAAACCTATTTTCTATTATTAATATACCATATTTACTAGAGTGATCGAGGTGCAAAAAGAAGTTGGTATATAGGTAAAAATCGTTATTTTAACTATAAATATATGAATATAACTTATATATATTTTAATTTATAATGTGATGGAATATAATGGAAACTATTTTCAGCAAATTAGAAAGATGGAGAGTAAAATATGAATAAATTGGTGGGTGTGATGGAATATATATATATTAGTATATAAACTAATATAGATAGATATCTATTATATAGTAAAAGTATAATTTTACTGAGAGATATATAATCAATATATAATAAAACCAATAAATAAAAAAATAGAGTAATCTCTACGATATACTTGAACACTTTTCTATTTTGTTAAATATCATTAGTAGAGGCGAAAAAAGCTTATTAAATTGCTTGAATATTCATTTCTATAGTGATGGTTTATTTTTTTCTTTTTTAAATTAACTAACCCAAAAATTTGTTATAAAAATACCAAAAGTATTAGCTGTCGTCTATTTAATTGATTATTCTCTGTCTAAAAATCAATTTGGGATGGTATTTCCTTTTTAGAATGTGTTTACTCAATCAAATCGGTAACGATACTTACTCTTTTAAATTGAGTCAATTGTACTCGAACGTCATGAGGGGAAAAGTAGTGCTTCAAAGGTCGGTCGTGCAATCCATCGTATTGTAAAGTTGGCCTCTAAACGAAGCGATACATACCCTTTTGTTATCTTTATCTTGAAAAAATTTTCATTTTCTCGTTTACTTGTTGTATGACTTACCCTTCTTATAGGGGGATGATCAAGTTTTGGACAATCTGGCCCTGATAAATCAAATCCGTCTTCTAACCTCTTCAGTTGAAAATAGTGTTTTCTATCATATAAAGTTGCAGTATTAAAGAACAGTCGACTGAGATATTTATTAATACAAACAATTTTTTCGATACAGATTTTATCACATCCTGAGATGTCATGTTACCGCTGGAAGTCTTTTCTTCAGTTATCAAGCAAATTTTAACTATCCTCTCAGGTTATAAAATATTAGGACTAAATGGCCTTTCCAATTTCTTTCTATTTTCTAATCTGCCTCAATGTAACTGCTGTCGCTAAGGACTCAACAAATAAGATATTGGCAACAGATGTCGTTTGCGGAATATTGCTTTTACATAGCGAGTAGCGACATCTATATTAGCGCAAAAGCTACTTTCTGTAGGTTTTCGCTATATCTTTCAATAGCTAGGTCACCTTTAACCAAAATAATATTTGTTAGCCAATCTTTCTTAGACCCTAGTGTTCTCCTGGTTGGCGGATTTCAACTATTGAGTAGAGAGAGAGAGAGAGAGAGAGAGAGAGTTCAATAGAGAAAGCCAATAAGATAATTTGAATCCTCTGTAAATTTTCTTAAAATTTGATATATTTACACTTGTTGAATTTTCCACCCAACGTGCTGGCCACATCTGTTCTAATCAAAGTTCGAACGCCTTTTCACATAAATATTTACTAAACCTAATATAAAAAGCTTGAATAACATAAAACTTAAGGGAAAACTTACGTTCAAAAGTTCAAAAAGAATAGAATATATTTATTTAACAAATTGACGCTAATAAGAAAGTATACTATTAAAAACGTATTAACAAAGTAAAATGAGGCACTTTTAAAGCCCTAATACTACTAATATATCAGTAATTCATGCCTTCTCGTATTGTTTTCTTATTTTTGGCCCCAAAACAAACTCTAGTATATCAAAGAATGTTAAATAAAAATTGTATATTAATGGGCCATAAATAATTGGAATTTTTTTATAGGGTGAAAGTTAACGGTACTTTTAAAAGTATATGCAGTATATACTATATATATATATATATATTCAGTATATATATATAAAATATATAGTAGGTACTTAACATTTTCCTTGTCTTTGTAATTTATATTACCATAAATTCCAGAGATAATTAATATTTATTGTGTTTAAAAGAACGCTTACTTAATAATATGTTCATATTAATTAATATATCCTGCATATATTTGCATTTTAATAAATATATTCAAATATAATATATAAATAATGTATTCATATTTATTAATATATTCAAATACTTTTAAATTACTTTCTCGGGTATAGTAAGACTAGTTTATACAACGTATACGTGTGTATGCCGCAAGAGGGCCTTGACTTTAAATCAGCCAACAGCGTTATCTCAATTTCAATTCTCCTATCGGACAATTATCCAATCTACCTGCCATTTTATAAAAAGGCATTGAAGAGTTAAAAAGGGGAAATGGACGTTGGTTTAGTTAGTATTCTATTACTAAGTTTATTAGTTTTCTCTTCTGGTAAGTGAACTTTGCCTTCTATTTAAACGAAAGAAAAGACAATTGAAAGAGTAATTCGAATTGAATAATTCTTTTAGTAAGAGATAACATAGACGTTCATACATACACGCACGCATATATATATATATATATATATATACTTATACAGTATATACATTCTGTATATAAATAATATAAATACACTATATATTCTGTATATCTATACATATGTTTTTTATAAATACAGCTTCTATTATATCCGTTCGCTTCAAATGCTGCGAAATAGGAAAAAAGTACTACGAACAAAATTTACTTTGCCCCTATCAACTTTTAAACGATACTATGCTTAGGCAACAGTTGATAGATGATAGAGACTTCCAAGTTTGCAGGGTGATAAGTAAGAGAAGGATACGATAATATTATTCATCTTGGTTTTATATTTTTATTCCCTTTTTCATGATAACTCTTCGTATAGGTCAAGTTTGTTGTATAAAGAATTGGAGGAAATTTCAATGTTCAGAAGGTAAAGGTATCGCTTATTCTGGTAGAGCTTGCCCTAAATCCTTCTCTAAACCTGAACTATACGAATCAAAGGTAGGGAAAATTGAAGTATTCTCGTTGTAGGTTTTCCCGCTAAAAGTTTCTTTGAGATATATAATTCATTTATCGTCTTTTTGTTTACTCTAAAAATATCAAAATGATAGCAGACGTTTATTTAGAAATATAATGGTCGTATTATTAAGAGCTCTTGTAAAATCTAGTTTAAATGATCATGATGATTTATTATTTTGTTACAGAAATGCTGCAAATGCTGTCAATTAGGCCTATTGGCTAAAGAAACGTTACGATTAAGTTGCTCACAAATGCAGAGTAAGGTTCCGCATTGCGGTTCAGTCTTCTACGAATGCTGTTCGGGAAGAGAAGAACCAGGAATGGGATCTTCACCTGCTCAATGCCCGGCAAACTGTCGCCAAAAATGCGATCAAAGAAGCGGGAAACCTATTTGCGGATGTTACAAAGGATATAAATTGAATAAGGATAAAGCTACGTGTAATGGTAAAGAGAAACATATATTTATATTTCAACTTCTTTTTCTAATAAAAAAGAAAATGAATGTTTGTACAGACGTTGATGAGTGTGCGAAAAATCCGTGTAAATCGTTCGAAAGATGCCTAAATACCGTTGGAAGTTACAAATGCGAAAAGATACCGACAACCACTGGAAAGACTACGAAGATAACTACTACCCTTAAAACAACGACAGCTAGACCTAGTTGTGGTGCGGGATATTTCTACGATGATACAGAAAAGGATTGCCTAGGTATTTATACAATTTAGGTATTTTATTCAAGTTGGTACGATCATAAAATAACTTAGATAGCGCCATCTATCATTTCGCCCCGGTAAATATTTACCGTTTAAACATAAAACTATCTCTAGCTTTCAAGTCATTACGTAATCTCAATTTATCAAAGAGAATAGGAAAATTAACTTGCTGTTCACAGACATCGACGAGTGCAAACAATCAGATTTACACAACTGCCACGGTGCTTATCAGCGCTGTTGGAACACACCGGGTAGTTTTATTTGTAACTGCCCAAGTGGATTCAAGTACCATTCAAAATCTGGTGATTGTGTCGATATAAATGAGTGTGAAGCTCCTCATTTGAATGGCTGTAAGGCTGGTATGAGATGTGAGAACAATGTTGGCTCTTACAAATGTCGTAGAGCGGCAGGATGCGGAAGCGGCTATACTCTAGATGAGATTAGCCAGGAATGCTTCGGTAGGCCTATTCCTTCTTCTCTTATCATCACACTTGATTAGCAGTCTTCCATTTAAATATTTGTAGATATTAATGAATGCGAAGTTGGAACACACGGCTGCATGATTTGGCAGAATTGTATAAATTTACTTGGTTCAAATAGTTGCATAAGGAAGAACTGTACAGTAGGATATCGGCTCAATTACAAAACTGGAGAATGTTCTTTAATACCGTGTAATCCTGGTTATTCTGCCTTAAAAACAGGAAGATGCGAAGACATCAATGAATGTAAAGCATCGAAAAATCCTTGTTCAGAAGGAGAAGAAGAATGTATAAATACTCCTGGTTCCTTCGTTTGCAAGATTATCCGTACTTGCCCAAAGGGTTTTATATTGGATAACTCGATTACTGAGTTGGACTGCGTCGATTTAAACGAATGTGCTATTAATGGCTCTATCTGCGAGGATTCTAAAATGAAATGCTTAAATACCTATGGTTCTTATATTTGTGAATGCCCCAGAGGATATGCGAAAAGTGGATCATCCTGCGAAGGTTCGGTGAAAAACAAGAAAAATAATAGTTTTATTTATTTTTTGTCCTAACTTTCCCTCTTACTAAAAAAAACGAGATAAAAAAAATAGCATTATTTCTTACGTAGATATCAACGAATGCTTGGAAGAGAGGCGTTACTCGGGGCGAATATGCCCCGAAAATTCGGATTGCATCAACACAAAAGGTTCCTATTACTGTGAATGTAGAATAGGCTTTGCGAAGAAAAACGATATGTGCCAGGGTAACTTTTCATTTCTTCTATCTCTCTACAATTCTAGTATTTTGCTTCTGTTTTAATTAAATTTCAAAACTTAAAACAGATGTTGACGAATGCCAGATAGGAGGAAACGATTGCGAGCAACTTTGCTTTAATAGATTCGGGTCGTACGGTTGCTCTTGTAGGAAAGGATATAGACTAGGAACGGATCGTAAATCTTGTATAGATTATGACGAATGTAAAACTGGTCCCTATCCTTGTTATGGATTATGCAAGAACAAAGCAGGAAGTTTCGAATGCAGTTGTCCATCCGGTTATAAATTAGATTGGAGTGGTAGAATATGTAAGGATATCGACGAGTGTCAGAGCAGAAATGCCTGTCGTTACAATCAGCTCTGTGTCAACAAGAAAGGTTCGCACACTTGTGTAAGTAAAGTTTGTCCAAGGGGATATTCAAAGAAATTAGCTTATGGGCGAATTAGCTGTATTAATAGGGCGAGAACGTTTTGCAACAACAGAGGGGGTAAATGTAAAAGGAAGCCATGGAAAGTTGAATATCACTATTCAAGCTTCGCTGCTGAACATTCAGCCGTTCAAGATGTATTTTCCATTAAGGGTCCTTTCATTAAAAGAATTTCGATTAAATTTGAATTTGGAGTTGAATATTGCCATTTGAAAAATGGTACTAAATTGGATTTGGCCTCATATTTTAGACTCTACGTGCATCCGAATCGTTCTCACGAAGCTATATTGAAAACTACGAGGCAGTTACCATCCAACTCTGAGATATCTATAAAAGTTCTTATGCACAAATATTCAAAACAAAGAGGTCAAGTGGATCGTTATGTTTCCATGGCAGAGCATCATCTCATTATGTTCGTTACGAAACTCCCTTGGCCAGTTAGTAGAGTTAATAGAAGAAGACGTAGATACTACGCTCTACACTAGATGGCAACACTTGAAGATCACCTAAATATCAAAAAGATTTTCTACGATTTATTGTACTAAAGCTATGTATTGTACTCTTTATCTATTATTGATGACTTTCAAATAAAATTCTGTAGATAAAAAATATATAGTTGTTTCTGGGAAGGAAGTTTTATTGTTCCTAGCTAAATAGTATTAGCAAAATACTAGGCAACGAATAGCACAAATCAATCAAGATTTTCAATAAGTATTACTATTCGATTGTTACTAAATTTGGGTGTGCTCTGAAACAACTAAATGAAGAATTTATACTTATAAAAAGCATTTATCGTCTCCTATTATTGAAAAATGGCTAACAACAAAGGAAATAGTTTAATTTTTTACATGTTCGAATTAAATACAAGCTGTAGAGCTGTATATATACTTATTGAAGAGCTTAACATTGAAGCTACAATTCAAAAGATCGATATGAGAAAGGGTGAACACTTAACAGACGATTTTAAGCAGGTAAATTTTCAAAAATGAGAAAAAAATATATAAAAGTATTTGTTAAATTCATTTGTTTGCCTTTTCATTGAAAAGAATCAGTTTTCAATCCTAGTGCACCTCTAAACCTCATTAGTCTTTCTCTTCGCCCCATTTTCTTCAACATTTGCGTTGCAAGTTTAAAAAGAGATTGTGGGAAAATCTTATTAAAAGGTTATATATCTAACAACCAGATATTGGGGGAATTCCAGTTATTTTTTTATCTAATATGCATATAAAAGAGAAATATGAATAATTTATCAAAGAAATAGGTAAAATTAGAACCCTTCAAGATTGTAGAATAGGGGGCTTTTTTAGACAAGATAAGGAAAAGGGTAAAGGGACAAAACAATTATAAAATAATTTCATAGTTGTGTGCATTACTGTTATATATAATTCATAGTTCAAAAATATCATTATTAACTGATAAAGAAGTTCCTACATGGGGTATTTCTCTATTATTATTCTCGAAATAGTGTTCAATTTACTATAGCAATGCTATTCAACGTTCATCAAAAGAATATAATAAAAATTTGATAAAAATTAAATCTATTTATCCATTTTAATAGAAGAAATGAAATATGCAAATGACTTTTTAGTTATATAAGACAAATAGATAACATAATTTAAATCAATAAAGAGTATTTCAAATATTTAAAAAAAATATATATACATTACACTTTGTAGATAAGTCCTCTAGGACAACTGCCTGTTATGATCGATAATGGATTAAAATTAAGCGAATCGTGAGTTACTATTTTAGTAATATTAGGTTGACTTTTATAGTGTTCGAAACTCAGATAAGACAGGAGAGAGATAAACTGAGATAGATGCATCATATATAAATTTAAATATATATATATTTATTTTTTTAAAGTTGCTACTATTTAATGCTGATCTGACAAAAAAATAAAAGACAACCTTAACATTTTAGTAAACAATTTATTTTGTGCGTTTTTCAACATTCTATGGTTTCTATTGCAGATCGGCTATCTTATGTTACTTGGTTGAACAGTACGGAAATGAGGAACAACAAAATAAATTAATGGGCATCAACGATATTAAAATAAGAGCAAAGATTCAAATGGCTCTTTACTTTAATGTATCACGTTTCTACAAACCTGTCGCAGACTGGTTGGTGCGTGTTCATTATACTATTTACATGCAATACCTTTTCAAATGTCACTATTTTCAATAACTTAGTCGAATATCAACAGTATTCTTATTAAACATAACATGACGTTACATTATTATTTAACTACGTGACTTGAAATATTTTATCATTTTATGAAAAATTTAAAAGCTTAAAGTTTTCATCTATTTGTTCGATAGAGACCTCAAATCTTTAGAGGAAGCCGACCAACTGAAGGAGAATGCCTAAAACTTAAAGAGGCTTTGAGGCAGTTAAACTCTCTTATAAAGTCGTATTCAAAATACGTAGCCGGAAGTGATGAACCGACTGTAGCCGATATTGCGCTGTTTTCGTCCGTTTCATTCTTGCAAGTTCTCAATTATAACTTGTTGCAATACAATAGTCTTTGGAATTGGTTGAAACGCTTGAAAAAGAGCTCTTTAGAATTGCCTATTGGAAAGAGTTTGATCTCTTTACAGGAATGGCAGGAGGAACTAAATGCTAAAAGCAATGAAAACGATTGCTAAATTTTTTTTTGTAGATAAGAGAAAATTATTATTAAAATGCTAGTTTATCTTTAAAAAATACTCTTCTATTCTTTATTGTTTTTATAAAGGCATGTACTGCAAATAATTTGCAATAAAGATAATTTCTATAGTTGCTAGATGTTGAAGAATTGAAACAGAAGTAAAATAGAATGTCCCTGAAAATATTTGCTTATTTTCTTACATTGAAGCGTTTTCAAAAAACCGACCGATTAGGCCTAAAGAATGATGAATCATGCCGAATTCGAGAAATAAGAAATAAATACATTTGACATTGTCATTTTTTGATAGTTGAATATTAATTATAATGAAAATTTATCATGTTGGCTAGGAAATTCCTTGTTTTTTATTGTCTTTGGAAATGTATTTGTGCGATTTATTGCTTTCATATTAATTATCGTATCGGTTTAAAATAACCAATAATAGTTTACCTGTTTATTCTATTTATTCATTAATTAGATCATCATATTTAGCAAATAATCAAAAATCTTGCCGATTATAGTACACTTATTATAATCACTGAAATAGTGCAATAATAATAATAAAATATGAGACGAATAACAAGATCATATAATTAGAAAAGGGACTTTTTAAATCTGTCTGCGCATGCGTGGGTATTTGCATTATAAAATATCTTCTATTGCTATCACTTCTGCTCTAGCTTGCAATTAGTAACATGGGTTCATCGGATAAGCCATCTAGAAAAAGGAAACACAGAAAGTCGTCTAGCAGTTCCACGACAACTTGCCTTAGAAAATGGATAAGAGATAATAATCTTACTCAATGCACTGGTCCAAGACCTTTGGATAGAATGCCCTTAAAAATTTGGCTGTAAGTAACAGATTTCTTTATAGAACAATCAATTATTATTTTTCTTTTTATATTAAAAGAACCAAAGTATTAAACGAAAAAATTGTACCTGGTGTTGTATGGATTGATAAAAGTAAATTAAAGTTTCGTATACCTTGGAAGCATATGTCAAGATCGTCGTTTGACAAAGATCGAGATATGGAATTATTTAGGATGTATGCTCAACACAGTGGAAAGCAGGATAAAGATTGCAAACAATGGAAAACCAATTTCAGATGTGCTTTGAATTCACTAAGATCTATTGAACGAGTAAAAGATGAAGACCAAACAAATCAGGATGAAGCCTATAGGGTTTTCCGTTTCAAAGAACAAATAAGTAAGTAACTAACTACACTATTGTTATTAAAAATTTAACTATATATATATAAGCAATGTATATTGATACAAATACTTATTAATACGTTCTATAATAATATTTCGCATTACAGATTTCGAAGTCGAAACTGATTGCATAGAACATACTGAAAGTGCCACTGACGGAGCAAGTTATCCGGTATCGCCCATCATAGACGAATGTGTGAATTCGTCTGATAACGAATCTGATGACTTTAGCAATGTTATTCTACCTGAAGGTTTCTCATTAAATTCCCCTATGGATAGTATAGATATACTATTTAGCTGTCAACATCAAGATGATCAAAATGAACAATCGTTATACACAATACCAGATTTCGATTCGATTCTGGGCTGTTAAAATAAACATGAAATAGGTCAAAAACATTCTTTCATGTGATTTTAAATTGTACATAATAATTTTGCAATTGTTTTTTATTGAAATAGTACATATATTTTAAAGTTGTGTGTTTAAAGCTTACACTTACTTATACCTAGAAAGGTAGTTTTTTTTAATATTAAATAGTGTTCTGTTTTCATTTATTCGAATTCCAGTCCTTATTTATAATAAATATAGCATTGTAACATATGGTTCAATTAAAAAATTCGCTCTCAATTGTCACTGTTTATTGAACGGACAAGAAAACAATAAAAAGAAGTTTGTTTGCAAAATAATGCTCTTCGTTCTATTATTCATACCTTTCCCGAAAAGCCTTATGCGTAGGTCACAGAACGATATAATGTGAATGTCAAATTGTTAACGTAACTCTGAAAGCATAATATTTATTTATTCATTAGTTACTTTTCTAATATCTCTTTCTGAATCAAAGTAGCCCCTTTGTAAACTTAAAGATGGTACCAGCATATTCATTTGACTTATATATTCGTTAGCTTTTTTAATTTTTGCTGCATGCTTAATCTTTGCTAACTCCCAATTTTGTTTAGATATGTCGCCGTTTTGAAAATTTTCATATTCAAGCTTTAAAATTTTTAATGCATTTTTTCTAGTTGATACAGCTCGTTTCCTCATTTCAATCCAGTCAGCTGTCGCTTCATTTTTAATAAGAATTTCATTCATCTTAGCTGTCATGTGATCAACGTATGGAGACTCGTAACCGTACTTTAGGGGTTTTCCAGCTCCCTATAAATAAGTTTTTTTATTCATTCATATAACCATATGACTATGTATAACCTTCAGGTTTTTCATATCGGTTTGTTTGAGACTTTGTTCGACGAGACTGTTGACCATACTATCGATTCCACCAGAAAAACTCATGGTTTTTTGTGAATATTTTGAATTTTTGCTTTTGTTGCGGGGTGATTTTTGTTTAGATATATCATTCTTTACAATTTCGAATGCCCTATTAAATTCATTAACAAGCTGCAAATTGTTTGAATTACGTCTGACCATTGTTTGATGAGCTGACATTAACTCTTCCATAGCACATCCCGGTTTGAGGTAAAACATTTCATAATATTTTGAAGCATTCGACGAATAGAGAGAACTCGGCGATTTTTGAGAGAGAACCCACATCTGGAATTATTAAGACTAAAGCATTAGAAAATAAAGAATTTATCGAGAAATATATTAGATCGTATTTCTTTTACATGAAATATAGACTGCTTTCTGATAAGGCTATTCATTCTGCCCAAATATATAATCAAAATCAACTAATTTATGAAGAATTGAGAAATACGCATGCGCAAGAATAGTAACCGTAAAGGCCAATATAAAGAACGAATTATTAATAATTAATATTGATGTTATAATTAATTTTATAACTATTTTTAAATGTATTTGTAAGCAAATAATTAAGAATAATCACAAATTTTACATTTAAAAAAAATATAAATATCCGAATATACTTCAATGAATATATATAATAAAAATAAAAATAGATATATATGTATAGAAGAAACTTTTACTAGATAATATAAAACTTTATCGCTTTAGCCGATAGATAACTAAATACAATATACATTCCAATATATATGTGATTTGGATATTTTGTAACTCAAAGGTTTCGTTTCTTTTGTTTGTTCATTCAGATAACAAATTCCAGTGTTTACATTCCTATGGACAGAAGAGCAACTTCTTGTTGTTAGACATTCGCTAAGACATTCTAAATCTGACGCCGTTTTCAATTTAATAATATTCCAATTTTCTAGAATTCTATTCAAGAATGTTTGCACTGGACAATCTGTTATATTAGAATCAATTATTAATATACCAAAGCTATACACACTAAAAGTGTACATACTCTTGAAACATTCTTCATTTCTATTGAAATATTTGTAGGAAGAATGATGATGGTAGTGATTCGGTTTTGTTTTTCTACTTTCCATACTTAGATAGCATTTCTTAGATGTTTTTGAATATTCGGCGGATCTGAATGAGATAATAAGAATTCATTGTTGTAAACTTTTCTATTAGTTTTTATCTACCTGCAAATAAAGTTGGCGGTGAGACACGAATACAAGCAAGACTCTTCTGTTTGCTTATTCAGAATCTTTTTATTATAGCCGATTAAATATTGATTGTTGTGCGAAGTAAAACAGCTATAATGATTCGAATCGTCTTCACATGTTTGCTCGTAATAAATGTAATTGATACTGTTCTTTAAATTTTTAGCGTTTTGCGAAGAAGTGTATCTACTTAAGTAGCATTTTTTTTGTAGTTTGTGATAGTTAAGCGATCTGAAATGATTAATCGATTAGATATCATTACGTAATTCTTATAATTAAGACTTACTTGCACAAATTAGGCTTATTTAAACACAGTTTTAAACATTCATCCTCCGATGAAACCTGTTTCACTAGTTCGTAAGAACCAACAAGATAACTATTCGCATATCTCTTATGATAACAATCGGGATTACAGCTAGATTTCTTTTCGAAATAAACGTAGCTGTTATGATTGTTGAATGCTTTTGGATAATGTTTACTAGTTGATTTGCTTATATAGCACATTTTGGTTTTTCTATTGTAGTTTGCAGATCTGAAAAACGCATAATATAAAAGTTAAAATCATAACATAAAAATATTATTTTTAAGTTTCCATCTGAGAGAAAAACTTACTTGCAAAGAGATCTCTTACACAAGAATAGACATTGTTCCTCCGTTAGGCCAAATTTGGATAAGTAATATTTTTCTTTGAGATATTTTCCGTTGACATGATTAAAACAGGGATAATTTCTAGCGCAAATCTTTTCCCAGTATTTATATTGAGTATTTTCTTTCCATAATAGAGGTTTTCTATTGTGTGTCTCCTCGCTTAGATAACATACGTTTGTCTTCTTATTATAATATGCCGACAAACATGAAAATTTCTCCTCTCTTAGACATAATTGTTTGCATTCGAGCTCATTCTGGACTTTAGCTTGCTTTTTATTCTGTCCTAATAAATATCTATTATTGTGTTCAGTAAAGTAGCATTCCGGTTGGCAAACGTGCTTCCTTTCCCAGTAGATTCTATTTTTCGATAGCTGATATGAATCGGGTTTAGATTTCTTAGTTTCTCTTGAAATATAGCAAATTTCCGTATCCTTGTCATACTCAGCAGATCTGATACAAAAAATCAACACCACCGTTATATAGTACTCTCAATAATTTCCAAATAAACATTATCAACTCACCTACAACCTTTAACCGATTTGAGGCAAGACGATTTACAATGCTCCTCCGATGAATCGGATATCGTTTCAATATGATGATTACGCAATGATCTATAAGGGTATTCATCAAAGCATTCATCACCGCAGTCAATGTGCCAATGAATATGAGATTTCGATTGTTGAAACGACGAATACTTAGAAATTCTTGTTTCATCGTGTAAATTGCATTGTTTCGTTTTGTAATCCCAATCTACCGAACTAAATATAAAAACAATGTAACAAAAGATTAAAAGAAATAAATTTAAAAGATCTAATTTCATTTAATAATCTTACATGCAGGAACCAAATGGTTTAGTTTTCAAACAAGTTTTAACGCATTCTATTTCCGACTTTGTTTTTAATGAATCAATTTGGTGGGATGATAAGAAATATCCAGGGAATGGTATGGCAATACATTCTATAATTGTCGTAAAGATGAAAGAGTGAAATGATTTCCCTTTTTTTATTATGATTAATTTTACCTGGTTGACAATAATCTTCCTTTTCAAAGTAATTGTAATAATCATTATCTTTGTAGAATTTTGGATGAGAGTCTTTCGTTTTTCTTGATAGATAACAAGTCTTTGTTTTTTTATTATACGAGACAGATCTAAATGGATCATTACAAAAGTTATATGTTTCAATTCAATTATAAAGTCTATAATTAAGTTACAAACTTGCAAGGTACTTCTCCAATTATACATTGTTTTACGCATTCGTCTTCAGTCTTGTCAGTGTATGTGTAAAAATCATCATCCATATATCTATTTGCGTAAGTTTTAAAACACGGATAGTTACTTTTGCAGATTTTGTGATAATGGCCAAACACTTTATGATCTTTAAAGCTTTCGTGTTTAGTGAATTTTGATTCTGAACTTAATTTACATTGCTTCAATTTACTATCGTAATCGAATGATTTACAATGAAATTCGTCAATTGTATAACAAGCCTCCATACATTGTAGAATGGTATGCTTTTTTAAAATTCTATTACTGTAGCCTGATAAATACTTTCCCATTGAATATTCGTAATAGCAATTAGAATCGCATTCGTGATTTCTGTACCAATAAACAAAGTTCTTGTTTGATTTAAATTCATCTTTCTTGGTTATGTGGGTTTCCTCAGACAAATAGCATATTTCTGATTTTTTATCGTATTGTATAGATTTACAATAACTGTTTTGTAAACAGAAACTTTTACAGTTTTCTTCTGTATAACCAACAATTTTTTTATTATATTTTATAAGGTATCTGCCCTGAATTGAATTGAAGCATCCGCATTCCATTCGCCAATATACATAATTGTTTGAATTTTTGAATTTTAGCGGGCTTTCCTCTTTACTGGCCAAATTAATATAACATGAGTCAGTCTTTCCGTTCCTTTGTACCGATCTAAAAGTAGTTGAAAGTTTTGAATGGTAATAAAGTTTTGTTTGAATATAAAAATTGAATATATAAAATCATCTTACCTGCATTTTCCTCCAAATGTAAGGCATAATTTTAAACACTCCAAATCTGATTTTATATCGTCATACTTCTTTGCATAGCTACCATCAAGGTATCTATTATCGTATCTATTCAATTTGCAATTTGACAAACAATGTTTATTTTTCTCAAAGTAAATATAGTTCTGATGTTTGATGTAATTCTTCTTTGGACTTTCGCTTCTTATTTCTTTACTTAAATAACAGATTTTAAGAAATTTATTGTATTGAACTGAATGACAATTTCTATTCTGTAGGCAAGTTTCCAAACAATTCTCCAACGATAAGGATGGTAGGCTGGTACTTTCGTGGATGTTTAATTTTATGTTATCGTATGCTTCATAGCATGGATACGAATGGCAAACTTTTTCAAAATACCAAAGATTTTCAACATTAATTTTGAATGGAGAATTGGGTGAATCTCTTGTTTTTTCGCTCAGATAGCATATATTATGCTTACTGTCGTAACTGGCCGCTTTACAATTAAAATCTTTGGCCAAAAAGCAAGCTTCTTGGCATTCTAGGAAAGTTCTATTCTTTATTATCTTTCTTTTAGCTTGAAGCAGATGTCCTCCCTTCAAAGACTTTATGTAGCAATCTAAGAAAAGTAATAAGATGTCATTTTAGATATTAACTCTTTTCATTACAAAAAAATAATATTTACTCGCATGGCAATCAGATCTTCTTTGCCAATAAATGTAGTTGTGACTACTTTTGTAGTAAAGAGGCCTAGTATCTTTAGTTTCCAACGAAAGGGAACATAGTCCAGTCGATCTATCATATTGAACAGATGCGCATTTGTAGTTTGCATTCAAACAAGCAACTTTACAATCATGAGCATTCTTTTCGAAGCGCTCTTCAACATTTCCCTGTTCTAGATACCAGCCTTCATATCTTTCAAAGCAGTCATCTAATAAAGTTCATAAAAGTTAGCAATGATACTATTAATTTTCAATTAAACTTACCTGAAGCATCAATCAGTCCAACAGCAATGAAAGTTAGCAGCCATATGCAAGTTAAAAGTTTTAAAGAATTCATTGTTCTCTACTTTGAAGCAAAGGAACGAATGTGTCCACTTCTCCAAAAACAGACCACTTTTATAGTTTCCCGCCCTGAACGTCAATTGGTCAGAACGGGTAAAAAATGCCGAGTCACAGTTAGACCCTAAAAATTTTTCCTGACGCTGCAAGAAAAAAGAGGGCTGAACGATTCACCGGGGCCCTCAACTACACATTCTAGATATCTTTACGATAGAATTGGTTATATACGTATAACCAACTAAAGTTGAAGACTTTCGGTCATAAACGTCCCGTTTTATGAACCGTCTCATTTACATTGTTAGTTGATTTTTGGCTGAAGTTAGCATAAATTTTCTTTAAAAAGAGTTTGTAAACTTGTTTACCCTTTAAGAAGTAACTATTACAAAGATACAATCAATTTGTTAATAAAAAACAAGTATCTAGATGAATAATTACTTTTAATTAAGGATAAGAATTATATAGATATAGATAAGGATAATTTAAAATAATAGCTACGCCTTCTATTTAACAAGCTTTTATTCAAAATATATCTAATAAGTTGAATAGTTTCAGTGACTACAAAGTACATTCCAATAAGTGGACGATGTTGCAGTATGAAAAGCATCCGTTGCAGTATATTTTGTTACTTGATGTAAATCGCATCTTTTGGTTACTTCATTTCTATCAACTGATAAACAACCAGGTGTAATTAGGCATTCGCTTATACATTCAAGATTAGAAATTGTATAGAACGATTTTAAATCGTAATTTTCCAATTCTTTATGCAATTGTGTATCAATGGAACAATCTGTTAGTAAAAAAATGAAAACAAATCTATCATTTCTATTTTTAGTCAGTTTCTTAATGGAAATTTACCTAATTTACATTCCGATTTACGATGATAATAGATAAATTGACTATTATCTTCATAATTCGAAGGTCTAGTAGTTTTGCTTTCTTTACTTAGATAACATTTTTTAGTAGAAATAGAAAATTCAGCAGATCTACAAAAAACACAAGATAAGACATAATCGTTTAATAACTCTGTCGTCGAATAAGAGAATTTTAGTAATATACCTGCATATGAAATTCTTTGTTGTTAAACAAGCTTCTAAACACGATATTTCAGTTTGATCAGAAAGTGTTTGTGTATTATAGCCATTTATATGTTTCTTTTTATATTTTTCGAAGCATTTAGAACCTGGACTGGAATTCATTTTACAATTTAATTCATATAGTGAATAATCTTTGTTTGTACGTAACAATTCCGGATTAATATTGAACATTTTACTTATAACGCATCTACTAGTTGACTTTTGATATTCAAACGACCTACACCATTCAAAGTAGGTTATGCATAGATTTAGACAATGCTCTTCGGAAGGTACTATTTTTGAGTGGTCATTAAATCCTATAAGGTATTTATTAGAAACCTTCTTGAAATAGCAATTAGGATGACAAGATTTCTTCTTTGGTAGATAAACGTAGTCGTTAGTACCAGCAAACGATACAGCAGGTTTTTCATTATCGGGCAACAAGATCAAGAAACATTCCTTCGTGGAAATTTTATAATTTATCGCGCTTGTATGATGAAAAAGAAAATAGAAAGCTTTAGTTAACGACAGTAATTTAATTCTAAATTGTACAACTAACTTGCATATAGCCATATGGCACCATCGTACACATTCTTCCTCACTTAGATCAGTCTTTCTGTCGTAATACTTGTTTAAAAACTGTCCTGGATGTCTGTCGAAGCAAAGAAAGTCCTCTCTACATACTTTATCCCAATAGATATATTGGCTACTTGTTGACCAAATCCAAGGTTTAGAATGTTGCGTTTCGGTACCCAGATAGCACGTTTTCGTTCTTTGATTATATTCAGCCGATTTACAAGATGATAAGTATTCAGAGAGACATAACTCTTGACATTCAAACTTATCTACTACTTGAACGGTTCTGACATTCTGACCCATAAGGTAACGATTGGTATACTTGATCATGTAACAGTCGAATCGGCATATCTCTTTCCTCTCCCAATATATCTTCGTCTCGGATGGTTTATAACCTAATGGCTTAGTTATACTATTCTCCTTAGACAAGAAGCATTGATTCTTTGTTTTATCGTATTCCGTAGACCTGATTTTCACTATTGCTTTAGAATTTTGCAAAATACAATCAAAAAAACTATTTTATATAAACCTGCAAGTTTCTTCAGAATTTATGCAATGCGAATTGCAATCGTCCTCAGATATATTTTCAATAATTGAATAATCATATCCATCTAAAGATCTGTAGGGGTGCTCCTTAAAACAAACATTCCCACAAGACACATGAAAGTGCATTGAAGCAATTAAAGTCCTAAACGATCTTGGCTGAGAAAAACGAGTTTCCTTATGTAAAACACAAGTGAATGTATCTTTAAACCAATCGACAGAACTGTTTAAAGTAAATTATTAATTTTTCATAATAATAAGAAAAGTAAAAATTATCTTACTTGCAAGATCCGAAAGGTCTACGGGAGACACACATTTTAATACAATCCATTTCGCTGTCTACCTTCTCACTCAAAATATATTCATCTTTAAGATGATAACTAGGAAACGGAAGTACTTTACAATCTAAATTTCGTAATGATATAATATGTTTTATTATTGTTGAGAGAATAATAAGAAAGTAAATTACTCGGTTGACATTCATCAAGCTTTTGGAAATAATTAAAGTTTTCATTATCAACAAAAGAATCGGGATTTGAATCTTTAGTTTTCCTTGAAATATAACACTTTTCTGTATTTGAATTGTACGATAAGGATCTGAGATTTAAAATTGAAATTGTTTTAAATTGCTATTCAATTTTGAAATATTCTTTTTGTTAATTAATTACCTGCAAGTTGTTTCGCTAAGAAGGCACAGTTGAATACACTCTTTTTCACTTTTCCCGCTAAACTGATCAGTTTTATCCTCAAGGAACTTTTTGGAATAAAGTCTAAAACAAGGATATTTAATTGGGCAAACTTTATGAAAATGCTCGAGATTGATATGTGATAATTTCATTTCTGGTTGTGTATCTTTTGATTCTATGCTAAGTACACACTCCCTCTTTTCTCGATTATAGTCGATTGAAAGACATTCAATATCTTCAGCAATGAAGCATTGTTCTAAGCATTTAATGCTTGGAAAAGGTTTAATTCTAATGGTATTAAATCCAAGTAAATACTTTTTGTAACTGTAGTCAAAGTAACATTCTAAATCGCATTTCTCACCTCTTTTCCAGTAGACATAATAAGGGTTTGATACAAAATTTTCAGGTGTTGTTCTATGAGTCTCCGTATTGAGATAGCAGAGTTTTGTTGACCTATCATACTGTACTGACTTACAAAGTATTTTCGAGGTTAGGCAAGATGCGCAACATTCTTCTTCGGTTCTTCCCGAAATAGTTTCTTCACTATTAATTAAGAATCTACCATCGTACATTTCATCGAAACAAGGTAATTGAATTTGAGGAATTTTACATATCTTATGGTAATAATCAAAAGAGTCGCTCGGTTCCCAAAACTGCGATTTAGTATCGTTAGATTCGCTACTTAATCTGCATTCTTTCGTATTTTCGTTATATTCAAATGACGAACAATTAATTTGGTTATTAGTTAAGCATTCTTTAATACATAGGTGTTTATTAATCGATATCAGAACTACATCGTCAAAGCCGATTAGACGCCGCTTTTGAAAATGTTTAAAATAACAATTTGGTTTGCATTCATCATTTCTTAGCCAATAGACGTATTTATCGTCATTTTTAAAATAAATTGGTGATGTTTTATGAGTTTCAACGTTCAGATAACAAATATTCTCATCTTTTTTGTAATGTGCTGATTTACAAAAGAAATCGGCTGTTAAACAATAAATACGACAATTTTCCTCATCTAAACCATGAAGTGCTTTATGATGATTTTTCAGATACTTTCCAGTATGAGTATCAGTAAAACAAGGATATTCAGGTTCTGGAGCATAGCAGATTTTTTGGAAATGCTCTAAATTTGTATGCTCTAAAAAGGCATCATTCTTAGTGTCGTTGCTTTCACTGCTTAAAATGCATCTTTGCTTGTCTCTATTATAGTCAATTGACAAACAATCTAAATCAGATCTGATCAAACATTCTTCAAGACATTGAAAACTTGAATAAGAATCAAAAACCACAGTATTGAAACCTAGTAAATACTTTTTAAAAAAGTATTGAAAATAGCAATTTTTGTCACATTGATCATTCCTGAACCAAAAGATATATTTATCAGAAGATTTGAATAAGGATGGTTGCGTTAAGTGAGTCTCTTCGTTCAAAAAGCAAGTTTTTGTTTCCAGATTGAACTGAGCGGATTGACACTTAAACTCGGCGGCTAGGCAAGATCCGAGGCATTCATCTTCTCCTCTTTCAGATATCAATTCTGCATACAATTCAAGATGTTTCCCGGGTATTGAATCAAAACATCTGCAATCTGCAGAAGCTAGTACAGCTAGTAGAATGAAACTGCGAAGAAAATGCACTTGCCCAACCAGCCGCATTGTACAATTTATTGCTACTCTTGAGCAACTGTCTGTTCAATTTCTATACATATCGAAGTTGCAACTTAAAAAATTGCAGTTAATTTAAATGTATGACTTGCATAACTTTTAAATCAACAAATTAGGCATACAGTAATCATGCTTGAGTATTAAAAAAAACTGTTCTTAGGTATTTAATTAGGTCATTTATTAAGTTAATTAAAAAATACTTAAAAGCTTAAAAATTGAAATTAAAAAACTAATAAAAATGCATTAATTAAATTATTAATTAATTATCAGCACATCTTATGGTAATGGTCAATAAGATGATGTTTCTTAAAATCGAGAGGCTTCGTATCCTTTGACTCCGAACTCAGTACGCAATTTTTCGTCAAACCATTATAATCAACTGATAGACAGTTGAATGTAGCAGTTGTAAAGCATTTCTCCAAACATTCTTCTCTACTTAGGGGATTTATCATCAGTGTATTATGACCCAACAAATATTTCTTACGGTAAAACTTAAAATAACAATTAGGATTGCATGCAATTGATCTATCCCAATAGGTATAATAGAAATTCGTTTGGAAATGATGAGGAACTGTAAATCTTGTTTCGTCGGATAGGAAGCACACTCCCGTTCTGATATCGTATTGAGCCGATTTACAATTAAAATCGGCTGTTAGACAAGATAGTTTACATTCTCTTTTTGATTTTCCATGAAGGTATCTGTTGAATTTAGTCAGATATTTACCATTTAACTGACTAAAGCAACCGTCGCATTTTAACTGCCAATATTCAAAATCACTAGATGATTTACACTTAAATGGACTTTCAGCCTTGGTTTTCAAATTTATAAAGCATTCATTCGTCTTTGAATTTCTTTGAACAGATCTATAAATTTCATAAAAGTTTTAAATTTCACATATAATATTCATAAAAGAATAGCTTACCGACATCCATCAGGATTTTGATAGCACAATTCCAGGCATTTTAAGTTAGAAAAAACAGAATCATACTTGTTTATATAAACTCCATCTAAATATAGATTGTTTGAATACTGTAAATTACAAGATGTTGAACATTCAGCACTTTTTTCGTAGTAGACGAATTTAGTGTTATGGATGGTATTTGGAGGAAAAAACGATCTAACAGTTGAATAAATATAACATTTTTTTGTATGTTTGTTATAGTTTGTTGAACGGCAAAATTTGCTTCTCAAACAATTTTCCATGCAATCTTCTGGCTTTGCAACAGGTAGAATAACTGCTAAACGCTGTAGTTTTATATCCTCGACAGCGTTGAAACAGGGATAAACGGGGCAAACTCTTTCGAAATACCAACGATAAGGTTGCAAAGTTTGGAAAATCGCCCCATCTCGATCTAAGCTATTCAAATAGCATGTACTGGTTGAAGCTTTGTAGTTAATGGATTTACATTGAAAACTTTTTTCAGTTAGGCAGTTTTCTTGGCATCTTAATTCATTTATCATAGATAATGTTTTCACAGGCGTAGCAACCAGAAAGCTATCATGAAATGGTTTCAAATAACAATCTATTCAAAAGACAGTAGAGATAAATTACTATAAATAAAAAATGTATGAACATCCTACTTAATAAACATTCTGGTTTTCTCTGCCAGTAGATATAGCTGTAATTAATTCCGTATTCTAATGGAATAGTATCTTTCGTTTTATCAAATAGGTAACATGTTTTAATTGGTATATTATACTGAAGAGATTTGCAAACAAATTTAGCTTCAAGACAGCTAGCCTTACATTTATTTATGTAGCGAGTATAAAAAGTACGAATAGCGAAAGAAGTTGTTAAATATCTTCTGTCGTATCGGTCATAGCAGACACCTGGCATACGAAAACCGGTGACAAATTTCAATTATAATACAAGTTTAGTTACATAATACCTGCTTCTGTAAAAGAAATTAGGACAAGTAAAATTAATAATTTAATCATTCTTTTTTCTGTTTTCATTAAAACAACTTTCGGCTTGTATTTTGTAAAAATATATAAAGTATATATATAAAATATATAGTGCTTCTGGTACAATAAAAACTGAGTACATGAAAGCTACGATCATGGACAATAGTATAGATATATATACAATATTACTTCATATCTTAATTTTTGCATGCTAAATGCCAATAAGTATAAGATAAGTGAGTTTTGAAGGATTGCGGTTTTGTATCTTTTGTTTCTTTTTGTAGATAGCATCTCTTTGAAATACGGTTTCTTTCAACGGATCGGCATCCTTTCGTAGTTAGGCATTCATTTATGCAATCGTAATCAGATGATGTCGTAAGAAATTTCGTGTTGAAATTGGCTAGTACCTTATTTTTATAAGTCTTAATAGGACAACCTGTAAATGAAAGAGGATTTAAGCGATATAATCAACTTTTTATCAATTTGATGTAATTATTTACCTAAGTAGCATTCAGGTTTTCTATGATAATAAGTTAAGAAAGCATGACTCTTATAGCTTAATGGTTTAGTTGTCTTGCTCTGAACGCTAAGACTACACGTCTTCGTCAACGGTGAATATTCGGCAGATCTATAAAGAAATAAAAGAAGGTGAATGAAGAGCCTTCCAAGTTATTCACTTAATATATACATACCGGCAAACAAAATTGGCCAAAAAGCATGCTTTCAAACAGTTCTTCTCTGTTATTCCGAAAAGATTCTTGTTAGTATATCCTTGAAGGTATTTCTTGGGATAGGCGGTAAAGCACGGATAATCTTTCGTGACTTGCCCTTCACAAGTCAATTCATAGTAGTTGTACAAGAAACTAATTTTAAGTCCACCTCCAGTAATTTGATTTTTGGAACTGAGGCTACATCTCTTGTTTATTTTGCGATAGTCAGCAGATTTACACCAAGAGCGATATTTTAAGCAAAGTTTAAGGCATTCAGTTTCCGAACCTACGTATCTCTGTAAGGATGGGGAATTAAGATATCTGTTGGAATATTCTCTGTAGTAGCAGTCAGGTTTACAAGATGCTTTCTTCTCAAGATAGACGTAATTGAAATGAACTTTGTATGATTTGGGATAATCTTTTTTGGTATGTTTGCTCAAATAACAAGCGTTAGATTGAGTATTGTAATTGGCAGAGCTGCATAGGGATTTTTCACATTGGAAGGCGCAAGCTTCTTCCGAAATTCCATTGTAGACCTTATAATATTTCAATTGTAGGTATCTTTGATGATATCTGTTGAAACATGGGTAAGCGTGACCACAAGTTTTTTCCCAATATATGTATAGGCTGCTTCCTCTCCATTTCGAAGCTGCTGTTTTACGATTGGCAGTACTCAAATAGCACATCTTTGTTCTTGTGTTATATTCAGCAGATGCGCAAGTAAAAGCTTTTTCAAGGAAGCATTGCTGCTTGCATTCAAGTTGATTTGCAACTTTTACGGATTTGGTGTTTAGCCCTTGCAGATAATAATTTTTATATTCTTTCATATAGCAATCCGCTTTACAAACACTTTTTCTTTCCCAGTAAACCATGTTATTGTGTGGCAAGTAGCTGGCTGGCTTAGATAGTCTAGTTTCTTTAGATAAGTAGCACTTTTCAGTTGAGGCGTCGAAATAAGCAGACCTAGAAATGACATTAAATTAATATATGATATTATACTAAATGTAGTATATACTTACTTGCATCCTTCAGATTTTAAACATACAGATTTACAGCCACCTTCCGAAGAATCGCTTTTGAGGGTGTAATGCTGATTGGCTAGATATCTGAAGGGATATTCATTATAACAATAATCTCCAGTACACGAAAGATGCCAATGAATATATAAACTCGAAGGTTTAAAGGCGGATGGCATCGTCAATCTAGATTCATTGTGCAAGATGCAAGTTTTCGTGCTTCGTCTCCAAGAAACTGATCTGTAATTGGTAGAGAATTTAACATATATAAGCGTATAATAAATTAATGCTACTTACTTGCACTCTCCGGATGGTTTTTCTGTAAGACATAATTTTAGACAGTCGATATCGCTATCGGCTGATGTTGAACGAATGGTGTTGCCAACGATATAATATTTAGGAAAAGTTAAGATTGCGCAATCGGTTTGACATTGAGAATGCTTTTCGAAATATCTATAATTTTTGTTGGAAAAGTATAAAGCAGGATGACTGTTTTTTGTTTTTCTTGAAAGGAAGCACTTTTTTAATTGTTTGTCGTACGACGCAGATCTATTGAAAGTAAATTGAATATAAAGTATTGAAGTTACCATGAAAAATATGTTGTACTAACCTGCATGGAAATTCACCAAATAAGCACAGTTTAACGCATTCCTCCTCGGTTTTCCCTTGGAATACGATATATTTGTCGTTTATATACTTGTTTGAATAGGATGTGAAGCAGTTGTATTCTTTATTAATGGGTCTGCATATTTTATGATAATTCTCCCATTCTGAAGATGATTTTGCGGCGTTAGGCTTTGTTAGTTTGGACTCGGTGTGAAGTCTGCAAATTTTTGAATTCCTTTTATAGTCAAAGGATTTGCAGCTTGGATCTTCGTAACATGCTTCAATACATTGGTTGCTGGTATAACCGTTATATTGTGTAAGAATGTAACCGTCAATATAGGTTCTGTAGTTGTAAACGTAATAGCAGTTGTAGTCGCATTTTGCATCTCTCATCCAATAAGTGTATTTACTGTGATTTTTAACCCAACCTGGTTTTGACAAGTGAGTTTCTTTATTGAGATAGCATTTCTTGGAAACTTTGTCATAGTGAATAGATCGGCAAACGTAATTGGCGGTGAAGCAAAGACGCTGGCAGGTTTTTTCATCTTTGTTGGAGAAAACTTGAGCATGATTTATCATATAAGTACCATCCATTGCGGATTCATAGCAAGGTGTTTCCTCAATGGGATCGAATTTGCAAATTTTATGAAAGTGTTCCAAAGTAATGTGAGGTTTCCATGCTGCTGGTTTAGTGTCCTTCGATTCGCGACTAAGGGTGCACTCACCGTTATCTCTACCATAATCAATAGATTTACAATCGTAATTTTGGTTCAAAAGACAACTTTCCAAACATTGTCGACTGGAGTAAGAAAGAAATTTATTGTCGTTGTAGCCCAAAAGGTACTTTTTCCAATAATATACAAAATAACAATGTGGTTGACATTCCTTCCTTCTATACCAATAGACGTAGTTGTCATTGTTCTTATACGTAGCTGGAGCGGAGAGATGAGTTTCGATATTTAGATAACAGATTTCATTTGTTCTATCGTATTGAGCCGATTGACATAAGCCTGGGTATGTTAAACAAGACCCGGGACATTCTTCTTCTGTTCGACCATCCACCTTCTTCACATAAGTAGATAAATGCTTATTTTGATATTCGTCAAAGCATTTGCAGTCTACAAGAGACTGTATAGTCAGAGCCAAGATTGCAACTTGAACAACTATTCGTAGCATCTTTAAGTCTCTTTCACTGTGGAAAGAATGATTTCTTAAATAATTTACCCGATATATATAGTTGTCTTGAACGATCCTGATTGGCTGAAGAAAACGTCATAGTTACATAATATTCAAAATTTTGCTGACTTTGGAAAGTTTCATGAAAGAAATGAACTTTTCACTCGGGCCAGAAAATTGTCTACGCAAACGAATATTAAATTGAATTGAGTCATAAAGATATTTGAAAATTGAATAGAAGAGTTAGAAAACAAAATTGAAGCTAAATTCGTAATCTTTTTGGACTCATTTTCTTAGTTTTTCCATTTCTAAATCATTCTTTTAACATACAAAAGTATAATATTTATAGTTAATGGGGTCTAAAATTCATTAAAATGATTGCTTAAACCTTAAAGTGATTGAAAACAATCAATTAAAACGTTTGGTTGGAGAGTTAATGATTAAAAATCATTAAATATTTAAGATATTCTAAAACGTTTAGTTTATTTTATTTGCAAGTTCGCCCAGGTAGACGCTTCTTTTACTTAGGTAAGCGTTTCTTCCGTACCTCCTCTAAATTTTTGCTTCGTCAGCGCTTTTACGCGTCGTTTCAATGTTTATTTGCTATTTATAATATTTTTCGTTACAATTCAGACAAAGAAGATATTAGTATGGGCTTTTAGGACCACGGTTTTTATTAGACCCTATTATTTTACTAAATAGATTAACAAAATAAGAGAATTATCCCTTTGCAATTAAGCAGATCTTTAAGATTAGATCTTTTATTGTTCTAGTAGTATATTCCTTTTTCCAGAGAATCGATATATTATGATATTTTCAATTTATTTTTCTCAATAAAGTTTATTGAATTATAGATCGATAAATACAAATTTTCAATATGATTAGAAGAAGTATAGAGTAGGAACTGTTGAACTTTTCACCCCAAGGATATTTCAAAGGAACTTGATCAAGTGACAATGTTATTTAGAAGTGTTAGTTTATTAAATGTCACATATTTCATTAGAAGATTAATTTATTTATCACGCTGTGTAATACATATTGTTATGTATATTTTGATAAAATAAACTAATTATTCAAAATAGGCTTGGGTAAGGAAATGATTGAGTTATTCCGTAATATATGCTAATGAATACATTTAAACAATCTTTCAAGGGCTGTTTAAATACAATACCATTTACCTGGTTACTTCTAAATGAATTACATAATAACCGTAACAGGGTGTACCAGTCTCCAAATTCCAATCCTGAAGAACAATAAGAAAGACTGTTACTTTAGAAAGTCTATTTTTACCTGAAGATTTGACTAGAATTTTGATATCATTTGGATATATTATATATTCATATTTGAGTAGAATTTCCAGATATAGTTTATTGGAAATGACCGATATTTTCTAGAAAAAGAAAACTGTAGATGAAAAGACTACGTGACGACTACTTCTATTAGTCCATTTTAAAGAACCATCCTCATTATTGTCTTGTTATACTTTTAATACTTTGAAACTATTTTTTCAATAAGATCTGTAGTCTTACTTATTTGAATGATTCATTCTTTTATCATCAAAATATACCCTCTTCCCTCTTGGAAGATAAGTAAGAAAATGATAGTTTTCCAATAATAACTTGGTTTATTAAAATGAAACTTTAAAAGCCTTAACATTGAAAGCGATTACAAATAAAAGCCACACATGTTAACTTAATAATACGTACAAAATCTAAGTATAGAGAATTTTGTATTATTATTCAATTTATCCTAATTTGTATGTGTCTTTTCGAAATAAATGAATTGAGAACTCGATCTCCAATGGTGTGGTATCGTTTGTCGGTTTTCATCGCTTAAGTAACAAATTCTGGTTCTCTTGTTATATTCGGCAGATTTACAATTAAACGAATGTTGAGTAAAGCATAACTCTAAACATTCTGCATCATCCTGAACTACATATTCTTTCATATTGTGTCCTTGTAAGTAGTGACCATCGAATACTGTAAAGTAATAATAAGCTGGACAGACTGTCTTTCTTTCCCAATAAACCATATCATGATCTATAATAAAGCTGTTAGGTTTCGTATATTGAGTGTGCGTTGTTAAGTAACATTTTTCGTTTCTTCGATTATAATAAGCAGATCTATAATAATAAAGATTTTTAATACAAATACAAATCAAAGATATCAATCAAAGTCTTACCTGCATCCTTCCTTCGCAATCAGACAATAGTATTTACACCTATCCTCTGTTGTATCAATGATAGCGTAAGCTTGGTTTGACAAATATCTAAACGGATATTCCGTGAAACATTTTCCATGGCACATAACATCCCAGTGAACATAGTAATTCGATTGTTTGAAATTAAATGGCCGAGTTATTCTTGATTCGTCATGTAGGAGGCAAGTTTTTGTACTATCTCTCCAGGAAGCAGATTTGCAAACACCTTGAGGAGTATATGATAGACAAGACTCTAAACAATCAAAATCATCATTAGCCGATAAAGCTTTTAGTGTATGTCCTTTCAAATAGTAATCTTTGAAGGGTATTGCCATACAATCCGGCTGACATTTCAATTTCTTTTCAAAATACCTATAGTCCTGGCTATTAAAATATAAATTAGAATGAGAAGATTTCGTTTTTCTTGTTATATAACATTTTCTCGTTCTCTTGTTGTAAGATGCAGATTTGCAATGGTGTCCATTAAACAAGCAAATGCTAATGCATTCTTCTTCACTTTGCTCTTTGTACTCTGTATATAAATCGTTCAAATACGCATTTGAGAAAGAGTTAAAGCATATATACTCTTTCGAAACGGCGCAAACTTTATGATAATTCTCCCAGAATGAAGAGTATTGCAAAACATTAGGCTTTGTTAACTTTGATTCAGTATGTAGCTGACATCTTTTACCATTACGGTCATAATCGAATGATTGACAAGTTGGTTCTAAATAGCATTTTTCCATACATTCAAGACTAGTAATATTGTTGTGCTGCGGACCGAGTTTAAACCCGGGAATATATCTTCTCCAATTGTACTGGTAATAGCAATTAAAATCGCAGTTCTCATCTCGCAGATAGTAAACGTAATTGTTATCAAATCTAATCCAATTTGGCCTTGATTTATGCGTTTCTTTATTAAGATAGCATTTTTTTGAAGACTTGTTATAATGAATAGATCTACAAGTGAACGTTGCGGATAAACAAAGCCTGTGACACTCATCAAGTTGTTTATTATTGTGTAGTTTAGCGTGATTTGTCAAATACTGACCGTCTATTGTTTCTTGGTAGCAAGGAGTCACTTCAATATTATCAGATTTACATACTTTATGAAAATGCTCCAACTTAATATGGGATAAAAATGCGTTTGGTTTTGTGTCCTTCGATTCTCTGCTAAGTGTACATTCACCAGTCTGTCTATCATAGTCAATTGATTTGCAATCAAAATTTTGGTTTAACATACAGGCTTCTAAGCATTGATAACTTGTATATGAAAGATATTGCTGATCATTGTAACCCAATAGATATTTTTTCCAATGGTATATGAAATAGCAATTTCGATGGCATTCCTCTCTTCTATACCAATAGACAAAGTTACCTTTAGTTTTCCAGATTGATGGACTAGATACATGAGTTATTTTGTTCAAGTAACAGAGTTTATTTGTTCGATCATACTGAGCGGAGAGACACAATTCAGGATAAGCCAAACAGGATCCACGACATTCTTCTTCACTTCTTCCCTCTATTTTCTTCGCATAAGTGGTCAAGTGTCTACCATTAAATTCGTCGAAACATTTACAGTTGTCTAAAATAAACAATTATTTAGATATAAATACATAAAATAGGTATAAAACACTTACTGCCTGGGCAATTTTGAGCCGAAATAACAACGAAAAACACAACAAAACTTAAAATATTTAATAAAAACATGCCTTCTTTCAAGTCGTTAGACTGATAGAAGACTGATTTTTGGTAAAAATTAATCCACTTATATGGTTTATAGGTGATAGGACTTAATTAACAAGAGTTGTGTCACTGACCTAATTATGACTGCCACGTCGGAAAAAACAATTTTTTATGGTTCCAGGTAAAATATATTTAAAAAGTGTACCTAATCAGGTGAAAAACTAGGACATTTAAATACCCTTAGTCCTATTGATATTGAATCGTCGTTTTAAACGCTGATATAATATAGAAATAGTGAAATGCGAGCTAAACTGAACAGATTCTATCTCAAACGCGAATGATGCAAGAAAATAGTTTTTCTTTTAACAACTAACATTTATTCAGAATGTTTAAAACTTGAATAGTGTAACTAAAAAACTAAGAAAGGTCGTGTAACATATAAAGAAACAACAAAGCATTTAACATTCGTCCTTCTCAAAAAATGTGTAATAGTAGTTGGATTTGAGTGGGGTATCACCGTGACTATCGCTATTGAGATAACAAACGTTTCTTGACTTTGCATATAGAGCAGACCTGCAGTTTGTGTCTTGGTTGCAGGCATCTTTACACGATTCTTCTGTTGAACCAGACAAGTTTGTATAGGTGTTTCCTGCGTAATATGAACTTTGATATGTTGTAATACAATCAGTGTTTATTGGTGAATCTCCACAGTCTAGTTCGACATATGTATATGAAGAACTTTGACGAAATTTAGTGGGATTGACAGATTTTGTTTCTCCACTCATATAGCATTTTTTCAAAACTGATTGATATTCAGCTGACTTGCATTGATTCTCTGCAACATTTCTGAGGGCACATTTTACTATACATTCATGTACGCTGTTTGCATCTTCTGTATAATCGTTATAACCCGCCAAATATCTAGCATCAGTTCTGGTGAAAAAACATTCAGAATTACATGTCTTTTCAAAATATTCAGAGTTGGTATCACTTTCACTGTTTAGTGAAGTAGCTAATCGGCATTGATTTGTTTGTGAATCAAAACTGGCTGCTGAGCATAAATTTTCAACAGACAGACACAAATGAACACAATGCTCTTCATTATCAGCAGTTACAGATGAAAAGTAATCTGTTAATCTTCTCCCACTTGTTCTTGTAAAACATTCGTAGTCCGTTTGAACATCTGCTCAATTATAGATGAATAAGTAAATTATACCGATGAAAATTAAAGAAATATACTTACTACCACAGGCTTTTCGTTCGAAGTATATTGCGTCTCTATTAAATTGTAGCCTTTCCGGATAGGTTGCTGCAGATTCAGAATGTAAATCGCAGATTTCGTTCTGGCAGTAATAATTTACTGATTTGCATCTATCAATATCTGTTCTACATATCTCCAAGCATTCTGGCAGTGTTAAGCCATTGTAACTATAGTAGTGGTTATGATAAAATTTTGTTTCTCTTTGTTTTGAAAAACAATCAAAAACTGGATGAGTGCCTTCAAAAATCAAAATAGTGAATTAGAAAAAGATTTTATAACAGTTACGTAGCCTACTTACAATCGTATATATCGCACTCTTGGCACGCAAAAGTTACCGCTATGACAGCAACAAAGATTAAAAACTTCGCTAAAATCATGACTTCTTTTCAGTATGGTGCCTGGTGGAAGACTGCTACTTAACCAATGAATCCAGGACTATTTATACTGCTGAGTTGCGTAATACGGACTTTCAGTTTTATAGAACTCACATTGAAATTCTTCAAACTGAAAGTTTTGCATAAGTCATGGTCAAACATTGCTTTCATCCCAGAATGTAAGCAGACAGTAAACACAAATACGCCTATTAGCTGTTCTAATATCACTGATTATTTTTCATAAAAACGCTTTAAAGGTGTATGAAATCTGCTTAAGATTCGCAGAATTTATATCTTCACAATGTATATGATATACTAGTACGACATTAGATAGCAAATACAAAGCGTTTTCAATTTACCTTTTGACCTTGGGGACGTTTTATAATACTTTAAAACTATGATTAATAAGATGACCTCTAACTAAAAGTTCACAGCCGAAAGTTACATTTTAATGTCATGAGTCATGAGAAAAACTATCAAATATCAGAGCTTTTAAAACAAAAGGTTTATTAATTAAACGACTAAAATAAAAGTAATTAACAGGTAAAACTTAAAATTAAAATCAAGAATATTCAACTAGCATATATGTTATTCTCCTGGGCATTCCAATGTCCAGTAGATGTATTTAGTACTATCGCTGAATGGCTGACTCTCAATAGTTAATCTCTTTTGAACTTTATTTTCAATTCTACATCTATTCTCTTCTCTGTTAAATTCGACCGTCGTGCAAGCTTCAGATCTATTAAGGCATTCTTCGAAACATGTATCTTCAGATTTCGAATTGAAAGTCTCTCCCTCGAATTCAATTTTTGTCGAACGTTCAATTTTCTTATAATAACAATCTATTACAAGAAAAAAATGAAATAATACTGTTATTAAGCTATTTATTAAGAGAGTTTCGTATTTACCTGGTTTACAAACACCTTTCTTTTCCATATAAATGATTCCTTCAGCTTTTACATATTGAAAAGGAAAATACAGTCTTGTGAACCTATTCAAATAGCATGTTTTACTGATAAATTCGTAGTTAATTGATCTACACTGTCTTTCCATACACAATTTAGCGCACTCTTTTTCTGATATACCATCAACCGAGTCAAAATCGCTTTTTAATAAACGCCTGTTATACAAAGCAACAAAACAAGGATATTCTGCTCTGCAACCTCTTGCCCAAAAAATATAATCATTATTCCTTCTTAGACGAAATCTTTGCGTCAATTGACTTTCTTTACTTAGGAAGCAAGTATTTGTTTTCTTATTGAAATCAGCCGATGAACATTGATTGTTACTTAGGCAAAAAGTCATACACTGTAAAGAATTTTTAACTTTAAGTTTCTTCCAATTGTAACCGCCTAAGAAATGATTTTCAAATTGTCTTAGAAAGCAGGCGGAAGAGCAAACATTATTCCTTTCCCAATAAATAACATTTCCGTGATCTCTGAATGAAAATGGTTTGGTTTTTGACGATTCTCTCGATATATAACATTTTGCCTTGACTTTATCGTATTCCGATGATTTACAACCTGGAGTAAGTAAGCAAGAGGATTGACACAATTCTCTACTAGTTGTTGGAAATATTTTAATATCGTTAAAGATCAAATGTTTCTTTTCGAATTCTTTGAAGCATGTAATTTCTAAGAAGATTAAAAAAAAACGATTTAACATGTTTCGCATTGAACAAAATCTTTTTATTAACCTCCTTCGCATTCAATATTTTCCTCTCGGCAATCGACTGCTTGAACTTTATTACAGTTACCTGGTTCGCAGATATCATCGTCATTTAAGCAAAGAGAACTTTCGCAACCACTTCCAGATCCACTATCATCTCCACTTATCTCGAAATCATCTTCTTGACAATCAACATCCCAATAAATATATCTAATAGATGGCGCAAATACAGCAGCCTGCGATCTCCTTGTCTTACTATGCAACGTACATATTTTATTTAACTTGTTCCTATCTGCTGAACTGTTTTAAGACAAATATTTAATTAATTACATTGGTGGATACTTGTTTATCTATTCTTTTAAACTCACAGACAAATTCCACTTGGTTTCATTGCTAAACAGGCCTCTATGCATTCCAAATCATTCTTGGTGTTTAACGTTTTTAATATATCGCTTTTCAGGCGGAAACCAGGGGAAGGACCCAATATGCATTCTGTACATTTACCATCAATAAAAAAAAGTATTTGATTACTTGATATCTTTTACACACCTGGTCTACAGTCAGGTTTCTTCTCAAAATATCTTCCACCAGAGAGAGTAATAAAGCTGGATGGATTGGTTTTTCTAGTATATTTTGAAAACATACAGGTACTGGTTTTTGTATCGTAAGAAATAGATCTATGAAAGATAACAAATATATACAAATAAATAACAACTCTTCCTAGGGGAAGGGGAAAAAGTATGTTAACCTGCAATTTCTCTTTTCTTCTAAACAAATTCTTACGCAATCACCTTCGCTAGTATCGTAAACAAGTTCTTCAGAATCTCTTAAACTTCTTGAAAGTATTGTAGTAAAGCAGGGATACTTTGAATCGCATATATTCAATTTATTAAAACATCCTGTTCAAAATTTCAAGATTTTAAATATTTAATTAATAAAATAACTATTTAAAACTGATTATGTAAAATCTACTTACCAATCGCATATACGTCTAAAGGCCTGTAACATATTATTAATGATAAGCTTAATAGTAATTTGATTATCAGTTTCATTTGTTCTAAAGATATGTTTGTTGAATATTCAAAAACAAAGAAAAATTGATTTTTACTTTAACAAAAATAACTAAAAACCAAAACGATTAAAATCAAAAACTAAGCTTGAATAGTTTGAACATTAGCCTTTTATACTTAATTTAGTACTCTATACTTTCGTATTGTGCTCATTTTATATTTAGTGTTTAAAACTTTCAAAACCGTTAAAACTATTAGAAAGTTATTAACAAATCGATAACAAAACTTTCTATATTTATTTTAAGAAAAAAAGTCACATGATCATTATTGAATATTAATTTGATTTATTAAAATTATTTGAACATTTTTGGAACAATTTCATAAGAGGTCAGACAAAAAAAAAAGAGTATAAAAAGTGAAATGTCTGGAACCATAGGACTTTGTGATTGAGTAATGTAGCATAGAAGATTTTGAACTGAATTCTAGACTGATTATTCTGAGGAAAAAGACTTTGAAAAATGATGCCGTCACATCAAATATTAATTATTTTAATTATATTTAATCAATTACTAAATTTCTGCAAAGTTTACGGTAACTGTCTAAAGCAAGTGAATATTTTTAGTTTATATTAAATCTTCCATTTTTTTTTATCCATAGGCGATCATCCGTGTTATGACAAAGTAGACGGATACCCTTTAAATTTTGGGAGTACCGTACACGAGAATACTTCCCTATTCGCTTGTATTGATTTATGCTTAAAGACAGAAAATATCTGCAAGTAATATAGTAAAATAATGTATTGTATATACTATTCTAATACAAATATTTCTCTTATATAGATCCTTTACGTACAATTTTGATTGGAAAACATGCCATTTAAGCTCTACTATACAAGAAACTCGCACTACATTTAATGAGTTTAATATACCTAATATAGCCTATTATATTAAAAAGGAGTTTTGCCGTCCATGTAATAAACTAATGAACCAGCGAATCTATTTAATTGAATAATATTTTCTCTTTGATTTTCATCTCTTAGCTTGCTTTTTCAAAAAATACGAAGAGAGATATCTTCATGGTTTCAGCTATAAAACAATAAAAGATACTGATACGCCAGATGCTTGCTTAGATTTGTGCTTGGCTGAAATGGAAACTTGCAAGTAGATTAAAAATACAAGTAATTAACAATAGAATCTATAAATATTCTCTTTTTTCTTATATTGCAGTTCAGTAGAATATAATATAGCATCTAAAAAATGCTATCTAAGTCGTTATACCAAAGAGATAAATCCGTACGCATTTAGGGAGAATTGTTTTTTCACATATTGGGAAAGAGTATGCGGAGAGGAACCAAAAGCTTATGCTTGTTTTGAAACTCACAATAATCATTGGTTACCAAGAGCTAATTCTAGATTAATATCTGAAAATTATGAAACATGCTTATACGAATGTCTGATTTCTAAAAAGCAGTGTAGGTTAGTAAATTTCATCTTTCGAATGAAAGAGTTTTATTAAAGGGGAGAAAAAGTAAAAACTTGTTTAAATAGATCAGTTCAATATGATAAAATTAGTCATGAATGCTACCTGAATGAAAATGATTCCGAAACCGAGGAATTAATATTCAATATATCTTTTGTACATTTTCAAAGGTCTTTAGATTGTACATCAGGTAAATAATCATTTTAAACATTATTCATCTCTTCAACATTAACTAGATACTAAAGGTTTATTTTTATTTAAGATTGTTCGATTGAAGCTCATAATGGAAAAGTTTTAAAACGATTAAATATCGAATCGGAGAGATCGCTATCAAATTTAGATTGTATTGAACAATGCTTTGCAACTGATAATTGTAATTCTGTTCAAAGAAACAGTGATTTGGCAGTTTGTCATTTACAAATTGAAACTAAAGACAATAGACCAGATAATTTTGAGAGTTCGCCATTCTATACTTATTGGCAATTTAACTGTCCTTAATAAATGTTAATTCATTTAATACAAACTAAAAATTGAACTTTGCGTATCTTGTCTTTTTTTTATGCATATTTAATTAAAAGCATTAATAAAAGGTACAGATTGTACTCTTTAGACTCTTTCAATCTCTAATTTTGACAAACTTTATCTTTAATGCAATTTTAAAAGTAGAATTGGTATTGTTTATTAATTGCAATTAGAAATAAAAATGCTCTATTATCTTTAAGGAAAGGATTATGGAGAAAGGGAGATATAATAAATTTGGACAGCTTGAACAACGAAACAAAGTTAAATGAGTACATGTTATTTTTTACCGAGTTGAGTCATCTGTTAATTGAGTAATGTAACAAAATGCTTATAAATTGAGACAGTTTTAGAAAGAAAATTTAGTTTTTCGGCTGATTTTCTTGCTGGCTAAGGAAATCATGTTTTTATACAAGGTTTTTAATTTTGTTACGGTTTTTGTTATAATTTCTATTGGATGTGTCTGTGGTGATCCAGGTAGTAATGTCGCCTGCGAAGGAGATTCTTGTAAGTATAATTACGTATGGGTTGGAATAATTATTGTCTATAATGAAAATATTTTAAACTAGGCTCCGCTGAATGTTTTACTTCAACCGATAATTTATGCTTAACCAATTATGAAGAAATTTTGAATAATATTATTTCGACTGACTGTAGAGATGCTTGTATAGAAGCTCAATATCCATGCAGGTAAAAAAAACACTATGATTTTATTATTCATGAATTTATGAATAAATTAACATAATTTCGAATAGATCGTATTCTTACAATTCGGCGTTGGAAGCTTGTTACCTTTCGACGGAAACTAAAAATTCAAACCCATCTGCCTATGGAGAAGGAGATTGCACATACTACGAAAGAAGCGAAACCTGTAGTCCTAATTGTTTTATGAAGCCTACAGAGAAAACCTATCTATATGGAAACAATGATAGAGAAATCGTCCTTACTTCTCGAGCAAATTGTATTGAATATTGCCTTAAAGATTCAACATGCTTATCCGCCGACTATCAAGAAACACGAAATACTTGTTATTTACAATGTGTTAATAGAGAAATGACACCTTCCAGAATGCGAAGTGCCAGTTACTACACTTATCTGGAAAAGGATTGTGGCGAAGTGGAAAATCCATGCTATCAAAAGTTTTTGGGTCGTTATTTTTCTTCGCCAAATTGCGAATTCTTAAGATCAGTTACAAAAGAAGAATGCTTAGACGCCTGTTCAAATTCTGACAATTGCAGGTAATATATTAACTGAATATAGTTTATTTTAATACTTGTCCCCTAATTAGTACAAGTTAAATAAATAAAAATGTTATTTATTCAAAACAGTACATTGAACTACCTTCCTGAGCAGAAATTTTGTTTCTTGAATAAAGATATTGCTGATAGCGATAATCTATTGGAGCAGACTAACTCTATTTATTTTGTTAAATTACCAAGTTGTCTAAGTAAGTAATATAATAAAATATAATAATTTGAATTAAAAAACAACTCTCTAATTATTTGTCTATTAATATAAAAGGTGATGCGATTACTGAATACGAATGTTTCGATATTGAAAATGATCGGTTTTTGGACGAGATTTATAAAACAGTTGATGGTTTAGATGAATCTGCATGCGTTAAATTATGTCTAACTGTTGAAGATATCTGCAGGTAATGGAGGACTATTTCTTTAAATTATGTATCTAATATATATATATATATATATATATTGTATATTATAGATCGGTTAGCTATGATGAAGGTACCAGTAAGTGTCACTTGAGTCGATATAATAAGAGTACCAAGCCGGAAAGCTACATTGTAAACTCTTCATACCGTTATTTTGAAAAGCAAGAAGTTTGTAAGCCAGGTAATGATTTGCGTTTTTTGGTTGAACAGCTTGAATAGAGTTTTTATTGTTTTGTATTTTTGTAGATTGTTACTTTAAATTGGTTGAAAATACTTATTTGGTTGGCTGTAATGATAAAGTTGTAGATAATGTTGATTCGTGGGAGAGTTGCGTTGAACTTTGCGCCTATGAAAATGGTTTAGACGATGGTGAATTCTTTTGCCAGTAAGAATTTTATATGGGCTGATAGGTCAACAGTAGCATTTAATTTACTTTAATTCTTTTCTAGTTCGGCTGAATATCAAAAAGTTTTGAAGAGATGCTATTTGAGTAAGAGCACTGAAGATACAAATCCGTTAGGATCGAGAACGAGTTCTTCGTACAGTTATTTTCATAGAGTGTGCGAAAAACCTTCAGTAATAGAACCACAATGCTTTAAAGTATATAATAATACCCATATGGCTGGTTATACTGAAGAGATTTTAAAAGATTCAACTCCAAAATTGTGTCAAGAATCGTGCTTAAATAAATCTTATTGCAAGTAAGATGAAACTATATATTTTATTTGATAATTTTTATTATCATTCTCTCTTCTTTCAAACAGATCTGCTCTCTATGCCAAAGTAAAGAAAATTTGCTATCTAAACAGTGATAATAAAGATAGTAATGACCTACGAACAAATTTTTATTACATCTACTACGAAGCTACAGGATATTGTCCGCTACCTTCCAAATAAAGAATTTCGGTGCTGCTTGAAACTATCAAACCTGAATTCCCACAGACGCTGCATGAATTTATACTTGTTTTTACATTTGTACAGTTCTCATTTTTGAGTTTTTTTTTTAAATAAAAATTTGTTAATGCTACAAAAAGGTTGACTTCTTTTCTTCTATACAGTCTAAACAATTTTTAAAGGTTGAGATAAACCTTGAACACTTTAGAATATTGAACATCGCATCTTGAATTCTCTTAACAGAGATGCTTATTAGTCGTTTTCGTCTGACAGCGAAATTATTCAGTTTGAAGACAAGAAAGGTTTTTAGATTTATTCTATCTTTAGGCTGGAGATTGACCTTTTTTTAAACAGACTTTCGAAGTCGTTGGTTACTTATGAGGTCAATTTGAACGAAATAAATTTATAGCAAGCTACCGAATTGAACAAAGAGTACAGGCTAACTTAAATTGAGTACTTTTGGTGACTATATAGGATTGAGTGAACTTGAAACGTCAGTTCCTATACAGCAGCCACGAGACGAAAATGATTTTGAGGAAAGATTTTAATTTCGTTAAATTGTTCCTGCTAATTTCTCTCCTGTCATGCTGTCAAGGACAAGCTTATGAGAAAAAGGATTGTTTCGACGAGTTCGACGGTTCCTATTTGGAGCAATTGGCTGTCATAGATAGACTGGAGACAGATGCTGAAAGCTGTAAAGCATCGTGCTTGACTGCTGATGTTAGATGCAAGTAAGTACAAGCGTATATTATAATAGTTTACCATATGAAAATAAATGCTTTTAATCAAAAAACAACATTTTTTTAATATCTTTCCAAAAATAAGGTCAGTTCAGTATGATAAAACCAATCAAATATGCTCTCTATCTCTCGAAACTAAAGATACTAAACCAGAATATTATAAGAAAAATCATTACTTTGTCTATTGGCAAAAAAGAGCAGAATGCGATTTAGGTAAGGAAATCTAACATATTTTTAATGAATCAGTTTAATAACAAGAAATGTCTGTTTTAAAAGATTGCCATTTAAAACCCCACGAAAATGCAATTCTTATTGGCTTGGATAATAAAGTATTGACGAGACTTTCAATGTTGGAATGTCTAGAAGCTTGCTTATTATGGGATCAATTCCGTTGCAGATCTGTAGATTATGGAATCAAATCTAGAATGTGCTACTTGAGTATTGAGACAAGATACACTAAACCTTCAAGATTTAAAGTAGACAATCTAGATACGTGGCATTTTGAGAGAAAATGCTCAACGTACTCTTGCTTTCAAACATTTGATAATAAATTTCTGAATTATGAGAGTATGTCTTGGGATTACCAGCCATCGGAAGAGGCTTGTTTGGAATCTTGTATACATGAAACTATACATAGATGCGTGGCTGTTCTGTATAATAAATTCTCGAGGCTCTGTCATCTATTAGATAGAACGAAAGAAGAAACATCAGCTAATTTTGTGATGGATACAAATTTCGTATATTTGGAGATGAAAAAGGTTTGCAGAACTCGTTGTACATTGGAGAAATTTGTTGGTAAATATTTGGAGGGTAGCTTCATTAAAAAGGTATTCGCGTATTCCGATTTGGAATGTTTAGAATTTTGCTTTAAAAATGAAGCTGGTTGTAGATCAGTACAAAGGAATAGCAAAACTCACGAATGCTTTCTTAATTTAGAAACAAAAGTAACAAAACCTTCAAAATACAAATCGTCGATTTTCTATACGTATTGGCAATTGGATTGCGGTTGTTTCGACGAGTTTAGACAAATGTTTCTTCAGGGTTTAAATAATAAAGAGATTTCAGCAACAACACCTGAATTATGTAAATCTGCTTGCTTAACTGCAAAGTTTAGATGTAAATCAGCGGAATTTAATACCCGTACGAATCAATGTTTTCTATCTAGAGAAACACGATATTCCAGACCAAGTAATTATAAACAAAATCCAAATTACTATTATTGGAATAGATTACCAAAATGCGATCCTAAATGTTTTATGGAAGAATTCAAAGATTCATATTTAGTACTTCATAATACTCGCCATTTATTTGAAATGGAAATATTAAAATGTCAAGAAGCTTGCTACTTTGCTAAAACATTTGTTTGTCGATCGGTCGAATATAACCATCTTACCAAAGAATGTTTACTAAGTGTTGAAACTAAAGATACAAAGCCAAAAGAATTTAAAAAGTTAACAGGCGTCACTCATTGGCAAAGAGTATGCAATATTAAATATCCATGCTTTTCAACGGTGTCTAATAGATATATGGACGATTTAGGCTACGTCTTTATTGCTAAATCTGAAAGTGATTGTATTAGGAATTGTTTCGATAGAGGCGTTTTATGTAGATCGGCATCTTATAATACAAATAATAAAGAATGTCGTCTATCCAAAATGACCAAAGATTCGCATTCGAACAGCTATATGCAAGATCAATTCTTTAATTATTTCGAAAAGAATATCAATTGTCGTCCGGATTGCTATTTTAAACGATTCGAAAATTATTCCTTTACTGGATCGCAACAACTTTCGAAGAAAACATCAAATGAATTGGATTGTATAAAAGCATGTATAGATCTCAAACCATTAGGTTCTTGTAAATCGGCAAGAAGAAGTACTAAAACTGGTATCTGCGTATTGCACTTGGAAAATAGATTAACAAGACCCTCTAAGTTTAAAAAGGTTAAGGGAATCGTTTACTGGGAACTCACCTGTGGAGATAAATGTTTCGAGGAAAAACCATTTAAATATCTTGATGGATACGAGAGTATTAAGATTCCAAATTCCAACGAACAAATATGCAAGGACGTCTGCCTTCGATCGCCGGCAACCTGCCTATCGGTTAGTTATAATCAATTAACAAAAATTTGTTCGATATCCACCGAAAGTTTTGCTACAAAACCGAACGCTCTAAAATCCGATACAAATTGGATTTATATGGAAAGAAAGGAGGTTTGCCAACCGAAATGTTATATGGATGAACACAAGGGATACTACTTGAAAGGATTCAATACGAAAACAGTTTCAGTTAAGAATGAATACGAATGTAAACAAATTTGTTTCACCGACATGGAAAAGAAATGTTTATCGGCCGAATATCATAAGACAACCTCAAACTGTTTCTTAAGTATTGAAAATCATCTCACAAAGCCAAAGGCATATACCATGCACAAAGATTACGTTTATTGGAATAAGAAGTGCGGTAAAGACTTTCCATGCTTTAATAAGCATATTGATTTTTCATTGGAGAATCATTTCTATACAATCTTACACGGTAAAACGGAAGAAACCTGCTCGCAAGCTTGTTTTATGTCTTATTGCAGGTAAATAATTGTTAACCATCTCTACCTAGATTTTCTCACACTATAATGTTTAAATCTAATTAATTTTTAAATACGTCTTTTAAAAGATCGGCAACCTATGATTTTACGAGTGGAGATTGCTATTTGAGTAGAACGACGAAAGCCATGTATCCAAAGTCGTTTAAAAGAACTCCTAATTATGTCTATCTAGAAAAGAAAGATATCTGCAAGCCAAGTAAGTATTAGTTAATATTTTCTCCCCTTAAAAAAAAGGGTGTAGAGACGAGTAGTATACTATTAATATAATTGGCAGACTGTAAAGTTCTTACCTTCTCGGGAAAAACACTGATTGGGTACGATGTAAAACAAGTTAAAGCGACGTCAAATGCAGATTGCATCAGAGCGTGTATGACTTACAAGGGTAATTGTAGGTTAGTGACTAAGTGATTTAACCTTGAAACTTATTTACCGTTTACTCCTGAATGTCTTTACATGTTAATAGGTCAGTTGAAAGGAATATTAAAACAAATATATGTAATTTACACGTCGAAACGAAGAGTACAAAGCCAACTTCTTTTAAACCGAATCTATTGTATATTTATTGGGAATTGCAATGCAATCGTAATATGATAATTTACATTTCTCTATTATTTACTTAACATCATTTATCATTTTTAGTTTGCTTTATTGAATTTGATAATAGAAAATCAGTTGTGGAAGTTGCTGATCAAGTATTAACTCTGACCTCTGAAGAGTGCAGATCAATGTGCTTACAGAAGAAAAATTGCGGGTAAGATCTGCAATTTTTTTTTAATTTTCTCTTATCAATCATATTAGTATTATAAATAATTTATCAATTAACTCTTTCTTCATTCTAGTGCTATACAGTGGAACAAACAAAATGGAGAATGTTACTTTTGGTCGGAGAATTCGCATCAAATTGTTCTCAACAAGGAGTACAGTTTTTGGAGAGTTGATCCCAGTTGTAAAACTGATTGCTATTTGGCAAAGTACGAAAATAGATATCTTAGTGGATTAAATACAAAATCCCTAGTTGCCAACTCCGATTTAATGTGCGCCGAATTATGCCTTAATCATAAAGAAGACTGCAAGTGAGTGTTGTATTAATGAATTAATCTATTTTAATTATTAACTATTAGTAATAATTTAAATAGTTATTAATTTAATGTTATCTTGTCTTAAAACCATAGCTCGGCGGAATACAATAAGAGGCTTGGAAAATGTATATTATCTACGCTAACAAAGAATGTTAAACCAACTGCATTTACTGTTAGTACATCATACACTTATTGGGAAAAAAGATGTGGCGAAGACTCTATAAAAGAATACCCCTGTTTTACAACATTTATGAATACTTTCTTAACTGGTTTCAATACTAAAACGCTTTCAAACCAAACTCCAGAGTCTTGTATCAATGAATGCTTAACAGCCGATTTCCGTTGTCTGTTAGTAAACTATTTAATTATTTAGAAAATAGCATATCTTAGAATAACGCGACTTGTATATTTTATAGATCCGCTGAATACTCTTTAAGAGAGAAAAAATGCTATTTAAGCACTGAAAATATGGATAGTCAACCTGAGAAAATTTCTTCTAGTTCGTCGTATATTTACTTTCATAGGAAGATTGAATGTGCTTCAAGTAAGTTGATGGGGGAGGGGAAGGGGGGAAAGAGTAAAACGATTTTTTATTGTATTGTAATAACAGTAATAACAATAATAACAATATATTTTTTAATTTAAAACTAGAATGTCTACTTAAAGAGTATCCAAAGAAAGTGCTTATTGGCCATAATATAGATATTTCGACAGCGAAGTCGAAATTAGATTGTATAGAGAAATGCTTAACTGATTCGAGATGCAATTCGGTTGAATACGATTATAAAACTAGTACATGCTATCTGCAAGCAGAGACTAGAAAGACAAAACCTGTTAATTTCGAGGATTCTAAAGTGTATAGTTATTGGGAGCTAGTTTGTCAAGATCGTAAGTTTATAAGTCTTTAATTTAAACAATAGACTGTATGGAATTTGTTAAATTTTAATTAAGAATGTCTGTTATTTTAATAAAAAACAAACTATTTTATTTCAAATAGCTTGTTATTTTGAGGAATACAAGGACAAAACTTTATGGAATAACAATAAGAAACAAATTCAATTGACAACACCGCTCATGTGTAAGTCGGCATGTTTAGCAGAAAAGACTTTTAATTGCCGGTTAGTCTATTTTCTTTCGTTTTATATTCATACTGTTAATTTAAATTATGTATTAAATTTTTCTCTTTTTAGATCTGCTCAATATAATAGATACACGAGAATTTGCTATCTATCAGAGGAAAATTCACAGACTAAACCGAATAACTTTATGAACGATTTAGCTTTCGATTATTATGAGAAGACTTGCGGTAGTGGATCGAACTATTGCTTTAAAAAGAGCGAAAATCTACAATTGAATCATCTAACGAAATTTTACGAAGGAATATCTATAGATTTATGTATACAACGTTGTCTTACTCTACACAATATCCACTGCAGGTAAGTGTAATAATTATTATTAAAATTAAGCGAATATTCTTATTAATTTACTTTGTTTAACAAAAATAGATCTATAACATTCCACAAGCCATCGAGCACTTGCTATTTGAGCGAAGAATCAAAAATAACGAAATTCAATCAAATCTCAAATCATAAGGAATATACTTACTATCACAGATTAAACGTATGCAAACCAAATTGTAAGGTTTTGTACAGAAAGAATAAATATTTAGTTGGTTTCGATATCTATTCGTATAAGACACCTGATGAATCTACTTGCGTAAGACAATGCTTGATGAAAGGAACAGATAAGTGCAGGTTAGTAGTGGAAAGATTTAAATTAATAATATTTGTCACTCCTTCTCACTCTCTCACTCTCTCTCTCTCTCTCTCTCTGTCTATCGAGAATATATTTGTTTGTTTGTTTATGTGTTTATTTATTTATAATATGTAATTTTTCAACAGATCGGTCGAGTGGAATAAGGATACATTTATTTGCTACCAGCAGAGGGAAACTAAAGATACTCGACCACAGAAATTTGTCAACTCGCCAAAATATAACTACTATCAAATTAAGTGCTAATATAGAATATACATTCACAGTAAATATATATATATATATATACACATACAAATATATATGTATATATTTCTTAATATGTATGCAATAATTAATTAAACTAATAAATGAATTTACATTTATAATTAGTATTGAATTTGCCATTTTGCGAATGTACAGTATATAACGAGATATATTGAGAGGATTCTTCTTCTTTTCAATAGATAATAAGAGTTTAATCTAGTTCCCATCAAACCTGTTGATTGATCACTATCCACTGTTGTCATGTGACAGAACTATTAACATGGAGTCAAAAAGGCTTAATTAATGGGCTTAATTACGATATTGCTAGTGTCGAATTGTTCAGTTCCTCTCAATAAATACTATTGGATACTAATTCTCTTTAGTTAAGAGTTGAAATAGATTGTTAAGAATAGGATAAAGGAAGAGAGTATATTGTACATGTGTTTGCTTACTGCTGTGAAAAAGTGTAAGGATGAACTTTGATTTGATAAATTGTAGAACAAACAAAGATCGTGTTTTGTTTGGCTGTAGGCAACGGTAGTGTGTAAAAAAAATGGCTGATAGGCCCAAATTTTGTACATAAGCGGCACTTTTACTTAAATCGCCGAAAAAGAAAGGTTCAAAATATAAAGAAGAAATTTATTGTTTGTTTATATTTCCCCCTCTCAGCTCTACTTGCAGTGATCTATTAAGAGTTATGCTATTACTATGAAGTTGTTACTTACTTGTTCAGTCATCCTATTACTACCATTTTTAGGAGAAGCTGTTTTTGATGTAGATAGTAAGTAATACTTTCATAATTCAAACGCATAAATCCAGAATATATACTTATATCCATATACAATATGTATATGTGCTGTATGCTAAAGGTTGCTACTATCTTGCAACTCGTTTAGTCCTAACTATGAAAATAACTAGCTATTTGAAAAATTAACAGAGTGTTTCCAAAACGAAGTTGATTTCTTTCCTATCGAAGCTTCAACAGCTTTTGAAAATATTGATTCATTATCATCATGCCAGCTAAAATGCTTAACAATTGAAGGGATTTGCAGGTTGGGCTTTTGATTAATTCTAGCCATTTTTTTTCTTGTTGGTCTATCACGTTCTCTCTTTTTGAGCCTAGTTTCGTATTATATTTTTCTACTATTCCGAGATGTTTTTTTTTCTTTTAATCTTTTAGGTCTATCTGGTACAATGAAACCAATCGAATATGTTATATTCTTAAAGATTGGTTTTATAACGGTCATCCCGAACTATTTTCCAATAAGCTTAGACCAGTAAAGAAAAGAAATTTTATATGTCAACCGGGTAACTTTTTATATTAAATAATAATAATAATTCTACATTATACATTATTATCATTAAAGATTGCTATATGGTGAAAGCAACTTTACCATTTTCACCAAGAATCGATAAACTGGTAAAGTTTATGACAAATTCATCTGAAGAATGTCGAATTCTACCTCTAATCATGTCAAATCAAAACTTTCTGTAAAAATTACTTAATTTTAATAATCTAAATATTTAATTAATTCTATATAATTTAAGTGTTGCCGATTATTTACCTGACGAGAGCGCATGTATATTAAGACAAGGTCGACATTCCATGGGAGAGGATAAATATTCGTATGAGAAAAAATGCAATTATATCAATGCCTGCTTTGACAAGACATCAAATAAGTTGTTAAAAACTAGTAAAACTGTTATAAAGTTAACTAAAACATTCGAGAATTGTGTGTATTCTTGTCTAACATCTGAAGTTAATTCGTGCAAGTAAGTTTTATTGCAAAACAAATGTATAGCACTTAAATTCTCATTCATTCTTCTATTGTCATTTTTTAACATTATAACATTTAGATACTTTAATTATGCAAAGGAGAATCAATTGTGTTTTTTGTATAAGGGAGATAAAACCGATTATGTTGAAACTAAAGTAGGATGGGATTTCTACGAAAAAAAGAGCTTTTGTAAAAGCCGTAAGTTGTTTATTTCTTATACAAAGCATTATTCTTATTTTAATAATAATAATATATTTAAAAGACTGTACATTCAATCAAACGACACCGCCTCAAAATGGTACTATTGCTCAAATAACAATAAAGAAGCCGGTATTCTCGACTTTACACTGCTTAATTATCTGTTTAAGTAGTCTAATGGGTTGCAAGTAAGATGACCTATCAAGTAGAGTAATCCTATAATATTAATACATTTATTATTTTATAGATATATAACCTATGATCCAAAGACCTTTTCTTGTTATTTGAGCTATGCTGACGAACAATTTCCTCGGTTAACCACCCAATATTGGAAGTTAGAGTGTAACAATCTAAATAGCAGTAATTAGAATTGTTTTAATAATTAATTGTTTAAAAAAAGCTACTGATTTTATAATTACCTCTTAAGCGTGTTTGATGCAAAATCATCCGGGATTTTATGTGGATGTTAAAGAATCGTTATCATATAAAACATATGTCAGTCAAGTAATTTGCGCTGATATTTGTTCGGCTAATAGCAACTGCTCGTAAGTAAATTTCATATATACTTATAAACATTTTAAAGAAGTTATCAGTTAAAAGTATTTATTAATTATGTTCTTAATTATATAAAGTGGAGCAATTTTCGAAAAGGAGGGAGGTAAATGTACGACTGTTAAGGAGAAACTGATGAATAAGCTTAAATATAAGAAAGGAATGACTTTACTATCAAAATTATGTTTAAACGATGAAAGAGAAAGCGTAGAAAATCATCCTTGTTTTAAACCCTACTACTTTCGTGGGGTTCAAGGTCCTTTCTATAAGTCTGTTATTAAACCAACGACAGAAAGCTGTTACAATTTATGCCTTCGAGAAGAAAATTTCTATTGCAAGTAATAAATGAATAAATAAATAAATTAGCATCTTATAAATAGAGAAAGAAAAACTTAATATACTAATAAGCTTTCTTCTTTCAACCCTAAATATAGAAGTGGAACTTACTTTCCAATTTATGGTATCTGTAGTCTGAGATCGTATAGTGAACCTAAAAAGCCTAATTCCCATTTCCCTTTTCCAATGATGACGTACTTGTATTTCGAGAGGACAGAACGCTGCCGACCTGGTTAATACAGCAATATATAATAATTAGTCGACATTCTCATTAAAAATTACATTTATTTATAAAGACTGCCTCCTGAAGAAGACTGTTGGAGTACATCGCAATTACATTAGAGGATCTGTTAAATCCATCAAGGCTAAAGATCAAGAAGATTGCGTAACTCAATTTTTTATAAATATGGGACAAAGCAATTACAGGTTCATTATCTTAAATGGTTTTACTCTTAAAAACAAAGAAAAAAGCATCTATTTCATTTTTTTCCCTATTTTTACTATTAAGTGACTTTTACTGGAATTCAACAAATAAAAAGTGTGCAGCCTTCCAACGAGGAACAGATGTAGCTAACATGCTACCTGACATTACATCTTTCGAAACCGATTGCGTAAAAAATTGTAAGTTAATTATCATACCTTTCCCTATTTATTTGATGTTTCACTATTTAATTATTTCCTGTTAAAACATCTAGACGGATGTCGAATGATAAGATCTTCAAAAGCAAATATTACGAAAGCGTACGAAGATTTGTACAAGACTTGCGAACAAAATTGCCTTGAGATTAGTAAATGCAGGTTAATAATTAAGAATAGATTTTCTACTGGATAATTGATATTAATAGCATAATACAATATATTTAATAGGTCGTTCCATGTATGGAAAGAAAAAAATGAAAATAAAAAATGCGTACTTTCGTTATTTCTCGAAAGAAATAATCAATCAAATAAGATATGTTCATCGCCTGAAGATGCTTGTTTCACTGAGAAAACAGGGAAAGCAATACGCTCAAGTCCAATAGCTACGTACAACTTTATCAACAAAACGCAATGTTTGAAACTCTGCCTATTATCAAATACCTCTTTCTGCTCGTAATTTATCTCCTTTTATGATATAATTATTGATATTATTTATCATAAGAATAATAAGTCTTTCCCCTTCAAAAGAGCCGCAAATTACAATTTGGAAACAAAAACGTGTACATTAATACTAGCTAGAAACGCTTCCTCAATTATCTTACTTAATGATAGCAGCTATTTCTTTTATGAAAAGAAACAAGAGTGTTTACCAAGTAAGTAGCTATTATCTTTTAAACTGTTAAGGTAAAATGTCATAATATATTCTATTGTTTTTATAAAGAGTGTAGAATTACCGCTTTTCCTGGACATCTTGTTCAAGATCATTTTATTGCAAGATTTTCATCCGATAACTATGTACATTGTCTACAACTTTGCATAAAGCAAGGCTATAAAAAATGCAGGTAAATAATAATAAACTAATTTACTATTATTGGATATTTAATCATAAACATATATAAAAACAATGAAATGACTATATAATTAGAGGGGTTGATTGGAGTTCTGCAACAAGAAATTGCTATCTTTTGAACGAAACTAAACGATCTTCAATACTTGTTGATATAATAGAGAATATACATTTTACTCACTACGTTATTGAATGCAGTGATGAACCAGAGCGTCAGTATTTCGAAATCCATTAAAAAAACTAAAGTCAATTAACTTTTAAGTTTTTCTCTCTAATAAATTAGTCACCAAGTTGGGAATGTGTTTCAAGAAAGTCAGTAAAGCCGTTGTACCTGTAGCTCTAAATAGTTTTGGAACGAAAACTGCAGCTGAATGCCTTCTTAAGTGTCTACATTCGAAATCATACTGCTCGTAATAGCTATTTATTTCACCGATCAAATTTTTCATTTTATAATGTCATTTATTGCCCAAAAATAGAGCAGCAACTTATGATAAGCGTCTTAAAAACTGCAATATTGGCTATTCGCTAGTACCATCAACATCAACTAACTCTATAAGCTATGTTAGGGAAGATTCATGCGGAAAATGTATCACATCTAAATATAACAAATATCTATAATCGAAAAATTTACAAACCTTTTTCCTCCAATAGACTGTCATATTGAGAAAATTTCAAATGGCTATGCAATGGGATATTCAAGAACAGGTTTAAGATCTGCTTCTAGAATTGAATGCCAATTATCCTGTCTAATACCCAAAAAACTCGATTTTTATTGCAGGTTAAACTTTTCTGCTTACACTTTTAAATTGCTTTTTATGGTTTTAGTGGTTTTTATTGTTATTTTTTTTAGATCGGCTTATTATAATCCAAAAAGAAAAACTTGCTTCTTAAATGATGCTAACAAAAATTCGTATAAAGTTCCTTTAGCTCCGTCATTTATTAGCAATATTTACGAAAATTATATTATTAATTGCCTCCGAAGTCCGAAATCCAGTACGTACTTTCTCTATTATTATGATTATTAACATCAAAAATAGCTATTTATTTACAATTTTCTTTTCATTTGAAAACAGAAATTGATAAATGTTTTACACATTTTCAAAGAGCTTCGCCATCAAATATCCAATTTGTCGTAAAAACATTAGATCTAGAAGAATGCCTCGTAAAATGCCTCATATCTTCTTCAAAAGTATTGTAAGAGAAAATTTTCTATTTCGTCTATATAATTACAAAGCGTAAAATGAAAATATAACACTCTTTTTCCCCCTCTCCATCCAACTTTATACTCTTTAGATCCTGTCAATATGATTATAAAACCAATAATTGCTATTTTAGTGAAGAATCTAATAAGACAGAAGAACTTGTAAAAAGTTCTTCATATGATCACTTTCAAAAGATTCCATCATGTCCTTTAAACGGTAATAATGTTAAAATATATATTTTAATGGATATTTAAAATAACCTCTTCTTCTTCTTCTTCTTCTTCTTCCTCTTATGTATAGGTTGTACCTTTGAAAAAGTAAGTAACCTATTTTGGACAGTTGCATCTATGTCAAGGAAAAATCATTATGAATGTTTTTACGATTGTTTAGTTTCAGACAATTGCAAGTTTGTTAAAATTTTTCTTTTCTTTAATTAATTATGTTTATATTTAGAGAAGAAATAAATGACCCTTTGTTTGTTTTCTTTCCTCCTTAATAGATATGTTCACTATGAGGCGGAAACACGAATGTGTACATCCCCGGCTCTTGGTAATGTAACTCATGGAGCAAAATTAAATAATGCGTACAAAAAGGTTTGTCAGGGAAAGTTTGTAGATCCTTGTTTTGTTGAAAAGAAGGGATTATATTTGGATGGTTGGAATAATAAGATTATTAAAAAATCAAATGAAGAAGATTGTAAAAAAGCTTGTCTAAACGCTCAATTTGATTGCAGGTAGACATTGCTGTTTATTTATTTTCTTTTGGTAAAATGAAAGCTTTACCTTCTTTCTATTTAACATCCTTGCTATGTAGCTCGGCGGAATTCTCGACAAACGGTCGTACTTGCTACATAAGCTCTCATAATAGCACTACAAAGTCGAAGTACATGAAGAAATTATCATTCTATATATATTGGGAGAGAAAAGATCTGTGTCGTCCAGATTGCCATTTTATTGAAAAGATGGGCAAGAAAATAACTTCTGCTATATTACATAGCCCAGCCAAATCACTCTACCAATGTCAAACTGCGTGCATGATAAAGAGTAATTGCTCGTAAGAATATCCTCAAAGTGCCAATTTGAGTATGGTCTAATTTACCATTCTAAAACCCAACAGATCGTTAACCTTCACGAAAAAAGACGGTTGTTTATTGAGTGATTCTACGAAATTGTCTAGCCAATCTCGTATTTCAACATGGATAAAATCATGCCCATCCTCAAATAGTAAGTAACCTTTACAAGCTGAAAAGTTGATTACACAAAGAGGATGTGAAACTAAGAAATCTTTCATTTACAATTTGACCTATACATTTCTTGTTTTTTCCATAATTAAAAAAAAGCTGACGACTGCTTCGAATTTTTTACAAAGGATAAAGTTAGAACAGCATCGGTTACACTAAGATTAACAACAGATTCCATCGAGAAGTGTAAACTGCTTTGTTTACAGTATAAGTGCCCGTTAGTTCTATTGTTTTATTACTTGATATAATTATTTTTTCAACATTTTTCAACTATTTACAGAGCTCTTACCTTTCAAACGAAAAGAGATAAATGTCTATTAATGAGTAAAGAATTTTATTACGTAAGATACGGAAAGAGATTAACGTCTCCTGATGAAATACGATTAAATACAAGAGATAAATGCAAAAGTGGGTAAAAAAAAATAACAAAAAAGAAAAGAACGAAATAACCAATTAACTTTCATTTATTAACTAATTACTATTTATAGTTTGTAGAGTGAAGCAAGTACACAATAAATACTTTCCTATTAATGGTAGGAAAGTTATTAGACCAGTATATTCACCTTATTCTTGTTTGTTAAAATGCCTAAAAGAAAAGTCATTCAAGTGCTCGTAAGTTTAACTATTATTCAAGATATCACAACTAAAAATAAACTATTTTAGACTGATTCATTTCAAATTGGGAAATCCAGTTTGTACTTTAAGCTCTGAAATGATTAACTTTTCTTCGAGCGGAATAGATTCCCCGAAAAATGAATATATTGCAATAAATTGCGATTATAACGGTAATAACTGTATAAGATATACATATTTTTATAAACGATTATTACTGACCTCGTTTCTCAGAATATTGCTTTAAGCGGCTGGACGGAAAGTTTCTTAGTGGCTTAAATACTCGTACTATATTATCGTCAAGTGAAGAGAAATGTAAACTAGCTTGTATATCGGAAAGAAAATTCCTTTGTAGATCTTGTGATTTTTATAAGCCTGATAAGCATTGTTACCTAAGCACTTCGACGAGACAATCCAATGCAGCCCAGTATTCATCTAGTGCAAACTTTATTCATTTTGAAAGATTACCAGCTTGTCGATTTGGTTGTTCATTCGATTCTAAAATATTAACACATGAGGTAAAATATTCCAGAAAATTACATGGTATGACCAGCTTCGATTGTAAAGCAGCTTGCATAGTCACAAATGATTGCCAGTAAGTTAAAATATACCAACAATCTTTAGTAAATTGATAATCTAAACTAACTAAACAGCGGAATTGTACTATTGAATAATGGTACTTGTCTCCTCTCATCAAATTCTTCTGGAGTTGTTAAAAAATTTCCCTCGCCTGTCGCTACTACAAAACTGAATTGCAAACCGGCTGAAAGTAAAATTATTCTAATATCTATACCACTAATATTAAACTATTATATCTTTTAATCTGTTTAGCTGATTGTTTTACTATGAAAGTTGGCGTAAAAGTTTTAGATCAACCTATTAAGAGTTATATATTGCAAAATGAAACTGCGTGTAGGATGGCTTGCCTCGACGAAATTGAATTTGAATGCAGGTATAAACAATAGTCAAATATGAAAGAAATGTACAATTCTTCAATAATCTTTTGTTTTTTTCAAATATAGAATAGTCGCATTCTATCGGAACTCTGGAACCTGTAATTTATACTTTACTAAAAATGCCGAATTGTCTAAATCATTTCCCTCAACTGTTGTCTTTTCAAAACTTACGGAATGCCAGAAGGGTTGTGGATTTAGAACAATATACAAAAGAGCATTATCCGATAGTTCATCTTTTATAAAATTAAAGAGCAATAGTTTAGAAAGCTGTAAATCGATATGTTTAAGGAAGAATAGAACAGATTGTATGTAAGTATATAATTATCATAAAATATGTAACAAATAAGGTATTTGTATTAATTAATAAAGTTAATAAATTCATTTAAACAGTGGTATATATTACGACCGTAGACGTCGTATATGTAATTTGATAAAGAAAACTAAAAAAGTACTTTATTCACATTATAATTCGAATTACGTTTATGCTAGTTTGGACTGCAGTAATAAAAAACGTAACATTTTCTGATTTACCAAACTTAATTATGCTAATTTCATGTGATTTTTAATTACTTTTCTAGGTCATTGCTTTACGAAATATGATTCACATTATTCAATTGGTCATAAAAAAGTCATTAAAGCCTCAAATGAGACTGAATGTACAAATAGTTGTATGAAAGAGATAACCTTCTATTGTAGGTAAGTATACGTAATTAGAGTAAATAGAACAATTAATGAAATTTGTGTTTCCTTATTAGAGCTTGCCAATATAATATAAAACGGAGAACATGTTCTTTATTTAAGAATATCACTTCCCGTCATTTAGTCAATGATGATTTTACATTTTGGAAAAGATTAGACACATGCAAATATAGTTAGTCCTATTAATTAATTAAAACACAAGTATATAACTAAATGTGTTCTTAAACTATTGTTATTCCTTTAGATTGTTATTTGAAAGAATCTAAAGGCTACTTCCTAAGTGTTACGAACAAAATATATCATCGCTCTATCGACATAGAAGTATGCAAAGAAAAATGTATGAATGAAACAGCCTTCATTTGCCTGTACTATAAATATACAGTATATTTATATATTCTTACTTTTACCTGACTCTTCTTAGGTCGGCCGATTATGATTTAATATCAAGAACATGCGCTCTGAGCATTGAAAGTCAATCAACGAAGCCGAAGTTCTTTATAAAAAGAGAAAGCTATATCCACTGGGATAAAACTTGCAATGGAGTAGATTGGGATTGTTAGTAATAGTTTTCTTGAATTTTTCTTAACAGGAAATGTGCACAATTATATAATTTCACGTTTCTACAAACAGCTGATCCTTGTTTCCTCTCTTTTAACAATATGACGGTTCGTTCTGTTGCCTCGGAAGTTGTTAAGTTTTCAAATCCTAAAGATTGTAAACAGAGATGCATGAATAGTACAAAATTTGTATGTTCAGGAGCAACTTTTTCATCAAAGAAGCTAACTTGTACGCTTTATAATAACACGAAACCATCATTGAAGAAAGATACATATATACATACACTAAATCACTATTATTACTCTCTAAAACAAATCTGCAAACCTGCATTAGGTGTTAGCTGTTTTATGCAGGAATTTTCTAATAGAGAAACTGTAACGCATTCAAAGAAATCACTAAAAGCGTCGACCCTTCGCCGATGTCAAATGCTATGCTTCGCTGAAACAGACTTCATCTGTACCGCAATAAGCTTTCAAGAAAATAGCCGAAATTGTAGATTATATGAGACAAAAGAAGAAAGTATCCTTTCATCACTCCTTCAGGCAACTGGCTCAATATTTTCGATAAAACGTTGCGTAAATAAAAATGGTCTGTTTAAAAGAATTTTATATATTAAAGCACTCAACTTTTCTGAATGTCAAATTCTGACCTTTTAGACGAATGTTTTACAACTCAAGAAGTCCATATTTGGAAAGACTATAGTGTTTATCTATCGTCAAATTTTTGGTCATGTAGAGCTTTATGTATCGAAGATTCAAAGTGTAGAGCTTTTATTTTTATCAATTCAACTTGTCATCTAAGTGGAACAATACCAATTAAAAAATTTGGCGAAGATGGATTAACCGGTCATATAAAGAATAATTGCGCTGATCGTAACTAACTTTCCATCATTTTATTTGTTATTAATACTATTAATGTTTAACTTTCTTTAACTTTACACTTCCCAGTTTGCACAATTAAGGAAATAAGCAGTCTTCACACTTCAAGCCAGGATATTCAGTCAATTCGAGCAATATCAAAAGCAGAATGTATAAAGGCATTTTTACAATCGAATTACTCATTAGTGAAGTAAATATATTTGTAGATGTTGTGATACTATTCTCATTTTCAATCAAATAATATTTTCAGATCAGCAGAATACAACTCAGACTCAAGAAATTGTTATCTTAAACGAAAAGATATATATTCAGCATCTCAAACATATAAATTCAGTGGATCACATGCTTATTTTCAAAGAGATTGCCCTCATGAACGTTAGTAGACAATATTTTCATTTCATTAACTATCTTTACACTTCTTGGAAAACAGACAGGTGCTTCAGACAACAACGTGGTTATCATATGAAGGGCTCTTACATTAAAGCTATTTATTTAGATTTGATAAAGGAGTGTGAAGAGGAATGCCACAAGGATGAAAATTGCTTGTTTGTATTCAATATATCCATTAAATATTAATCAATTAATTACCATTTTTTCTCCTAAAAATAAAAGGTCAATAGACTATAATGGATCAGACAATCTATGCGTTTTACATTCCGATTCCAAAGCAACTAAACCTATTTTATTCGAACCACATAATACAACCACATATTCTGAAAAAACAATATGTGACCAAATTCCTGGTTGCTTCAAAGTATTCATGAACTCTTATGTTAATCTTCGATTCAGTAAAATAGTTAAAGCTGTTACTGCCGAAAGTTGCAAAAAGTACTGCTTGTCAACTAAATATTTCTATTGCAGGTGAAGGAATAGTTAATGATAATAATTGATTAGTTTAATAAAAAATGATCATTGCTTGTTCATTAAAGATCAGCTATATATAGAGCTAAAGACAACAAATGTATTATAAGTGCTCAAGGTGATATCAGGACTCGTTTAAGAAAACGTCCTGGTTCTGTTTACTTACATAGAACTTTATGCAAAGGTAGGTAACATAGGAAGAGAAATTTGTTACATAAAATACTCTATTTTTAAATCTCTGTTTCTTAAACAGATTGTGAAATGGTTAAACATGTTAATAAAACGATACCAAAAGAACTATATCCAGGAAATAGATATCAATATTGTCCTTCATTTGAGGAATGTTCTAAAATATGCTTTTATCAGTTCCAACCTGAATGTCGGTTAGTATAATGATATATTTCGTAGGTTTGAATAATTTTAAAATTAATCTTTTTTTTATCAATGCTTTCCTCTGTCCGTTTGCCTCTTTTTTCTCTTTCTGTCTGTCATTCTTTCGCTAATATCTGCTATTTTTCTACTTACTCGCAGCTCAGCTTTATATAACAAGAGGAGAAGAACATGCAGACTTTTGTCGAATTCTAATGGAACCTGGAGCAGTAAATTGATATCTGATCCTAATTATATTTATTTCGAAAAGAAATGCAAGGGTTTATCCGGTAATTTTAATAAGATTTATTCATTTTTCTCTTCACCAAACTGCAACGTGTACAACATTATTGTTTCTTTCGTTTAAAGATAAATGCGACTATGTTTATAGAAATAATTGGCTTTTAAAAAAATACTATAAATCTACTATTGTACCGAATGCAGATGTATGTAGTCGGTATTGTTTGGTAGACAGTTGCAAATCATTCTCCATTTCTTCAATACATAATTCATCTAGTTTGGTCTGCTATCTAAGCACTTATAATCGTCTTAGAGCGATTAGTAGTTTTGTTCAGAGTAATATATCGACCCATTATGAAAAAGTATGCCAACAACATAAATTTAGTAAGTTGCACTTAAGTTATTTATAGTCTTGATTAAACATACATATTATATTTATTATATTTACACTTATTAGTATGTAAGATTACTGAATTAGGACCAAAGACGTTATTAGGTCCCACTAAAAGTGATTGGATTAAATATAAAGGAACATCGAAATTAACTTGTCAAATACTTTGCGATACTGAGAAATCGTTTGTTTGTACTGGAGCCAAATTCGATATTCAAAGCGGTGACTGCTTCCTCTACAAAAATCCTATAAACACACCTAATTATGAATTTAAAAGTTCTACTACAAGTTTGTTTTTCATTAGAAACTGTGATGGAAAAAGTGAGTTTAAACAGAAAAATACGACACATTAAACAATAATGCCCTAAAATTATCATTTTATTTTTAGCTATTGTCCCTCCTAAGACTGTCAAATGCCCCCCACATTGGCACTATGTACATGAAACGAAGAGCTGCTACCATTTAAAGCATAACATAGCTTATAATTATGAGACAGCAAGCTCTTACTGTTACGCGAATGGAGGGAATTTAATTTCTTATAAAGATGAAGAGGAATTTAATAGTTTAACATCCACCTTAGAGAGGTAAGAGGATAAAATGAATATTGGTTAAATAAGCACAAATATTGACATGAACTAAATTAGATTGAGATTAAACCATGGCATCAATTCGGAAGTTTTGTGGTGGACTTCTGGACAGCTAACAGAAAAAGGTTGGAATTGGCAAGAATTAGATCCATTGGGTGAGCAGTTAGACCTATTTTTCTCTTTTTGTTTAATAAAATGAATGAAAATAGATTAAATGATTAAAGCTGTACTTTTTTAATTATTCTGTTCGTTAACTATTTAAAACAGCGAATCAGAGCTAATTCTTATGAGCTTTTCTTATTTTCAATCTTAATATTACTTAGCCTACAAGAAAAGGATATATCCACATCCCATTACTTTAACAAAATGGTTTAAGAAGGAACCAAAAGATAAAGCAAATCACATGGTTATGAAATACGGAAGTAGAAAAGAACATATCATACGATGGGGATCAATGGCAGTAACAGATAAAACTTTAGCCTTAGCTTTATGTAAGGCAGATCCTGATCAAGGTTGAAAAACTTATCATAATTTGCTTGAATAAGCACCTATCATACAACTCCAGTATGATTATCTTTTTTTGTTTTTAACTAATCAGCTACAGAACAGTGTTGGAAAAATACATGTTTGAATAATGGAGTTTGTGTGGAAAAAAATCTCACTTCTCCAAAAATTCCCACCATAGAATATTCAGGTCGAGGAATGGACGACGATGAAGAGGATGCTGAATCTACCATTTCGCTTTTTCATTCAAAAGTTACAAAACTCGCTCAAGGTTACAAATGCCGTTGTATCAATTCAACTGGAAATAATTGCGAGTTACAATCACCTACTTTTAATGAGTCACTATCTGCTCTTTATAAAGATTTCTTTATATCTAAAGTGGCTATGTCATTCGAAAAAGCGAGTCTTTATTGTAAGAGTAACTCTGCTTCCATGTTGATCTTGAGCACAGAAATGGAAGAAGAATACTGGACATCAGTTTTAGAAAGAGATAATCTCCAAGGAGTATATTGGTTGTCCGCAAAGAGACGGGACAATAAATGGTATTGGCTTGCTAGTTCTAAACATCTGACTGGTAAGTATTAAAAAGAAACTTTTATTTACCTTAATTAAAACTATGAGTAACAAAATACATTTAGCAAATAATGAAAGTTTTGTAATAGATTCTTTTACTATAAATAAATTAGCCTCATTCGAAATGACCTATACGAATTGGCATGAAAATGAACCGAACAATTACATGCATTCGGAATCTGCTGCTGTATTATGGTATACAGAGAAAGACGGTTGGAAATGGGCTGATGCAAATGAAAGGAACCTTTATCCATTCGTATGCGTTTCAATGAAATAACAGAGAAAAACGTTTTTTTTTCATATTATTCTATTTACAACAATTATTTCATTATTCTTATTAATATAATAAAAAAATATTCATGTTTTCAATTTATTACAAAAACAAATACTTCATTTTTAATTTATTAAAAAACTAATATGGAATTAACACCATTAAAATGTCAGAAAAAGATAAAGTTAAAAGATAGAGAGAAGGGGGAGGGAAGAGAGAGAGGGGGGAGGGAGGCAAACTGAGAGAAAAAATCTCGTACATGAATAATCAGGTAGAAAGCGCCGCGCACTCTTAAAACATTTAGTAGTAAGCGGCAGGTTGTTGCCGAGCTTGGATTATGGATAAACATTTGGCGTTACTGACTGGATTTTTAGTTTTATTTGGATATAAAGTTAATCCAGTAGATGCTTTCTTAAAGAATCCGCAAAGTCTGAATATTTCTATGGATTACAATGCATCGTAAGTAGTTAATTTGTATAAATGATGATTCTCTTCTGAAGTAGTACTTTACAATCTCGTTTTTTTTTCTTTCTTTTTCCATTTCCACCCACCCAAGTAAAATAACTTAGATTGTATATGAGTTTAAAAATATCCTCTTAAGATTGTTATCTAACACTGAATGATGACCTATTCCATAGGATAGGATAAACCGTATCAACTGAAAATGTCATTTGGCCATTAGGATTCTATTTTCCTTTAAGACTACTCTTCTATAGATTATTGTTAAATCTGTTAAATAGTTAAAATAGGTTAATAGTTTGTTATCATAGGGTATTATCCGAGTTCATCTAGTGGTTGAATAGCAATCTATGCAGATATTTTTAGAATATTAACTATATAAATGAAGTGAACTGCATGTTTAATGTATTCTACTAAGAAACAATAAAAGTTACAATCGTATATAAAATAATACTCTGAAATGCATATTTTTCATAATTAATGTTTAAGCATTGTCTATTATGTACATCCAAAAGTTACATATGGCGTTAGTTTATTACAGATATTTTACATTGTATTATTATACAAGTAAACAATATATATAGATATATTCGTACCCATAATAATCACACACAACCTTTTCATACATCAATGCAGTAAATTAAAGCAATGATTTACTAAAAAAATGTCTCATTGTAATATCTGCCTTGCTTCTGGACAAAAATATCGCTATTTTATTGCTTATAAAGAGACCTCACTATATCTTAATTGTTCAGTTAAAATATTACTTTTTAATTATTAAATATTCTATTGTATTATAAGGGTAATTTTCGCATTTATATCACACTTTATTTATATCATTACAATTGAATTGAATAACAGATTTTTAAAAAAAAAAAACAATTTATAACACCTCTTTATCGTGTCAAAAAAGAATTTTATCAATTATACTAGCTATGTTAGACATTTGTAGTTCGTTTATATCGGTTTTGGGTGAGAAGTAATTGGTGGTTGTCGGCGTTTCAATATCCTAAAAAAATCATTAACGTTTTTTTAGTCTATTTTGGTGACGCTCCACTTTTCTGTAAATAAAAACACTTAGTTTGCCATCAAAAATCTTTCACTCGATCGTGAAAGGCCATTAAATTTATAATTAAGAAAAATGGTATAGGAAAATTTTATTAACAGTTTTGTAGTGTATTTAGTATAAGTATATAGCAATGTTTTTTAATCAGGGACAGCTACTTATCTTTTGTTAGTAAAAGGAAAGTAATATTTTGTCTTATTTTAATAAAATCTTTGGCATATAAAATTAGTGTCGTCATTTTCCTGATTAGCTATCATACGAGTAAGATGATCCTTGATAAAAAAAGATTTAGGATCGATAAAGTTGACGCTGCAAGCTTCCGTATTGTTTCCTTAAGACAAACTAAGAATATTTCGACTTGCAATGTTTAAAAAGCCTAAAAGTAGCAATTTTTTTTATCTCATTTTTTCCTATTATTGAATTTTTACTCAGATTTTCACCAATAATTCTTTATTAGAGAATAAGATTTGAGTGAAAGAAATGTGCATGTTAAGTCAAACAACTATTTCCGAAGGCAATGATGCTCGTTTAATGATTCATAAGAAGTAAAGTAGAATATGAACAACAAGTGTCACCAGGAATAATTTATATGTTTGTCAAGAATATTTAATTTATATATAACGTTTGTATACACCAAGATTATATCCTTCGTGGCTATGTCTTTCTCCGCTTCTCTGTTTTGTTATTAAAGAGCAACGAAAAGTCACATTTCCCTTTTTATATTGATTACCGATCACTCAAATTGATCTTCATTGGCTTAATACCTTGCTTTTCCATTTATTTCACATGTTTATGAATCTATGACCATTGGTATTTTAAATCTGGTATATACAAATAAGGAAAAAAACATGTTAAGGGGCCGGAACGGCGGTGGGCAAAGTATAAAGATATACGACGTGGTCTCCCTCATTGCCCATTTTGTGTTATAAATTACTTCTTATAAGTCTCTTCTTTCCCGTTTCATTCTCTATATTTCTCTCGTTCTCTCTCTCTCTCTCTCTCTCTCTCTCTCTCTCTCTCTCTCTCTCTCTCTCTCTCTCTATTTTCATTTCCCTTTTTACGGGCTCATACGAATAGCAAACTACTGCTAATTAACCTCTCCAGCTTTATCGATTTTTGAAACGATATACTTTCTTCGTATTATTAAAAGAGAATCGGATGGAAAGAAATAATATATTAAACTAAATGCGATATTTCAAAAATGTTTCTTTTATTCTTTCACAAAATATCCTTTAATTGATAAAAACGTTTCCCAACAGGCAATTAACTCTTTCGGAAGAGAGCCGAATCAGTTTCCATTTAATGGAACGGTACAAAAAGGTTGGAAATATTGCAAGACCAGTAGAAAATGCTATGAAGACTGTAAAAGTTGAATTTGGATTAGCATTGATTCAAATTTTAGACTTTGACGAAACAAATCAAGTATTGACAACAAATGTTTGGAAAAGATATGTAAGTGAAACGGATAGATTTTTTTTTCTCTGCATACAAATTATTATCCCATTCTCACCTTACGTAACCTACAAATATTCAATTTTCCCTCAATTTTGCTTGATTGTTTGATTTAGATATGGCTGGATGAAATTCTTCGTTGGAACCCTTCGGAATTTGGAAATATATCCAATATTCGCTTACCAGCACCTAAAATTTGGACACCGGACATAGTTCTATACAATAAGTAAGATTTTAATGATAATGACATACACTAAAATAGGTTAGATTTAAAGAGTTCAGTTAAAGTTTTTCAAGTAAAACCACTTTAGTTTAGAAAACGTGTGACCATACTTAGAGCATTGTCGATCTAAGGTAATAAGAAACTAGTAGCTTCCTTAATAAGTTTAATTCTTATTAAATAATAATAATGAAATTGACAAATCTTTGTCAAAAAAAATACGATTAGTCTGTAAACAAAGAAGGTAACAAATAATATAAAAAACTCCATTAACCTTATAAATGACCCCAGTATCTAGAATTTGGAACCTTATACGCTTATTATAATAAATACAGCGCTGATACCCAAGAAAAACAACACCTGGAATCAGTAACGGTTGCTCACTTTGGTCTTGTTAGATGGATTCCCCCGGCAATTTACAAGTCCAGTTGCCAGATCGAGATGAGAAATTTCCCCTTCGATACCCAAACTTGTTTCTTCAAATTTGGTTCCTGGGTGTATGATGGGCATAAATTAGATCTCGTGTTTTATGAAGGAAGAGACGATGTGGACTTGAGAGAATATGTTGAGAGTTCCGAATGGAATGTTGTTTGTTAGTAATTTTTCATATGAAAAAAAAAAGAATTTAGGAACTCTTTTGTTTTTTAATGACAAAGCTTATTGGTTACATATATCTATTCTATTTTAGATACATCCGCAAAACGAAACGTTCGTACATATCCCTGTTGTGATGACGAACCGTATCCTGATTTGACGTTTCGACTGACAGTGAAAAGAAAAACAGCATTTTACATGTATGTGCTCATACTGCCCAGTGTAATGCTTTCGTTTCTCACATTGGTTCTATTCTGGATACCTCCTCAGAGACCCGATAGAACTAGCTTGGGTAAGTTTCTAGATTAATAATAATTGTAATTTTTGTTAACAGTACGTCTATTATTCGCTTTTCTTTAAGGAATGAGCCTATTTTCAAGTTTTTTTGTTCTTCTCCTCATTCTCGTACAAAGTTCGCCACCTACTGCATCGATTTCCCTTCTGGGTGTCTATTACTGCTTGAATATGGTGCTCATAGCCATATCAACCATGGTTTCAGCACTAGTAATTAATCTGACATATTATTTACAAAGGAGAAAACTCCCATTTTTAATTAAAGCCGTAAGCGATTTCAAATTATTGATCTTAAATGACAAAATGACAAAATGACGGAATTTTTAACCTAAGAATTACATATATCAGATTTTTGTTCAACACCTCGGTCGACTATTATGTGTAAGCAGAAACAGTTTAGCTGATGAACCGAATGAAATAAACAAACGTACAAGTAGTTTTACTGAGCAAAGTTTCCCTCTACGGAATGGTAAAGCGAGCGAACAAACCCTATCGAAACGCAACGATTGGAAAATTTTAGCATCCGTTATTGACAGGTATACGCTACTTTTCAATTTCCAATCATTCACTAAATTCTCGACTTTTTTATATTACAGGCTTTTTTTTATAATTTATACGATTGGTTTGGTTTTATCCTTAATTTTCGTCTTCCCCCGTTAGTCTAGGCGCCATCTATCGTTTTTTCAAATATAAATAGTTTAAACAGAGAATAAAATATATCAGCCTTGTATTTTCATAGTTTAAAATAGTTTTATTTTTCTAATGCAAATTCAGGAGTGAATGACAACATAAAAACCGCAAAAGCAGTTAAGCGGATAAAAGTTTTTGAATTCCAATAGCTGTAAACAATTAGAAGTTCAATCTTACATTCCTCCTCTCAAACGCAATACCAAATGAAGGGTCGATTCTTTTTGGATGTTGTAGTCGGACAATGTTCTACCATCTTCCAATTGTTTACCAGCAAAGATCAATCTTTGTTGATCTGGGGGAATTCCTTCTTTATCTTGGATTTTAGCTTTCACGTTTTCGATCGTGTCTGATGGTTCGACTTCCAAGGTGATTGTCTTTCCAGTTAAGGTCTTGACGAAAATTTGCATTCCTCCTCTCAAACGCAATACCAAATGAAGTGTTGATTCCTTTTGGATGTTGTAGTCGGATAATGTTCTTCCATCTTCCAATTGTTTACCAGCGAAGATCAATCTTTGTTGATCTGGGGGAATTCCTTCTTTATCTTGGATTTTAGCTTTAACATTCTCGATTGTGTCTGATGGTTCAACCTCCAAGGTGATTGTCTTTCCAGTTAAGGTCTTGACGAAAATTTGCATTCCTCCTCTCAATCTTAAAACCAAATGAAGGGTCGATTCTTTCTGAATATTATAGTCGGACAAGGTTCTTCCATCTTCCAATTGTTTGCCAGCGAAGATCAATCTTTGCTGATCTGGGGGAATTCCTTCTTTATCTTGGATTTTAGCTTTAACATTCTCGATTGTGTCTGATGGTTCAACCTCCAAGGTGATTGTCTTTCCAGTTAAGGTCTTGACGAAAATTTGCATTCCTCCTCTCAATCTTAAAACCAAATGAAGTGTTGATTCCTTTTGGATGTTGTAGTCGGATAAAGTTCTTCCATCTTCCAATTGTTTACCAGCGAAGATCAATCTTTGTTGATCTGGGGGAATTCCTTCTTTATCTTGGATTTTAGCTTTCACGTTTTCGATCGTGTCTGATGGCTCAACCTCCAAGGTGATTGTCTTTCCAGTTAAGGTCTTGACGAAAATTTGCATTCCTCCTCTCAAACGCAATACCAAATGAAGAGTAGATTCTTTTTGGATGTTGTAGTCGGATAATGTTCTACCATCTTCCAATTGTTTACCAGCAAAGATCAATCTTTGTTGATCTGGGGGAATTCCTTCTTTGTCTTGGATTTTAGCTTTTACATTCTCGATTGTGTCTGATGGTTCAACCTCCAAGGTGATTGTCTTTCCAGTTAAGGTCTTGACGAAAATTTGCATTCCTCCTCTCAATCTTAAAACCAAATGAAGTGTTGATTCCTTTTGGATGTTGTAGTCGGACAAAGTGCGGCCATCTTCCAATTGTTTACCAGCAAAGATCAATCTTTGTTGATCTGGAGGAATTCCTTCTTTGTCTTGGATTTTAGCTTTGACATTTTCGATCGTGTCAGAAGGTTCTACCTCAAGGGTAATTGTTTTTCCAGTCAATGTTTTCACAAAAATTTGCATTTTCGCTGTTAGAAAGAAAGAAGTATAAATTCAAGATGGCGGAGGTAAAAAATTTTTTTAAATTTCTCTCTCGTAATTGTTATGACGAGAATTTTTGAAAAAGCTTTTAACTGAATAATATAGTGTTTAGAATTATTTGATTTACCTTTTAGATTTTCACGCAGGCTTACTGGGTAAATTCAGAAATTAATCGCTTAGATTTTCAAATGAAACTGAAACTCTACGCAACAACTGAAATTATATATGCGAAAATTGTATGTTTAACCAGGCGCATGCGCAGATCCAGTCTTGTTACTAATGTCAATTTTTTATTTTTTCATTTGGCATTTTGTTATGTAAAATATTTTAGATTACTCGGCGTTATTTATTTGTAAAAGGAATACTTTATATTTTATTGCGTTAATTGTAGACTAAATACGCTGTAAGTGTTAACAAAAAGAGGACAAAATTTTGCGATACAACTTCCAACCTGGAATGACGTCAGATTTATTTGGGCGGAATTTTCTGGATTGTTTGTTGGCATTTTTTGGTTGCACAAGGAAATTTTGCACAACGCTTACGTTGTTTTTCTATACTTGTGCCCAAAATTGCTTCCCGTTTCGCAATAATTTGAAAATATGAATCATTTATTATCATGTGATACAACATGACAATGCTATGTAGGTACTAGATTCTTAAATTATATTTTTGCACAATTCATGATTAAATTTTATAATGGTGATATACGACTAAAATTTTATGTAGTTATTAGGTCATATTCAGCTTATTCTTTCTAAGAATTTTACATTATGTTTTAATACAATTGATGTCAAGAATAATGTAATTCCAAATGATATTATCATATTTAAATTACTAATCATTTTATATTCTTCTCTAAAAATAGAGAAATAGAACCTTGACGATACATAAACAAGTATATGAATTGTGTATATAATCTAAAGTTGCCTTAACTATTCTCTAACTCAAAAAATCAGAAGTAGAAGAAAATAAACAACGAAAAAAGTTGGACTTTGGCCTAGGTGTAAGACAGGTCTTATCAGTTATTTTATCGAATTAAGGACTTTATATTAACAGACAAAATAGAAAAAAATACATGAAATCTATCAAAACAACAATTTATATTCTATAAGGCGAAATAAGCATACAATTCGTGTGAGAACAGTTTTATATTCTAAATATATATATGTATAGCTCTAACTACTGCGTCGCAATAAAAGAATCACTTACAAAATAGAGGAGTATATTGCAAATATAATACTATATTAAATATATACATATATATATATATATATATTACATACATAGGCCTAAAAGAAATAACTAAAAACAAGATATATTATATATTTTAAGGGAAAGGTATATTAACATTACAAGACGTGCACAATATACAGTATATTTTTTACTTTTCATTACATATAATTTCGAAATGACATTGAACGATATGCTCAATGTCATCTATATATTATATACATTCAACTTGAATATAGATTTCATAACCTTTAGTATACACTATATTTAATCTGATAGACCCTTATTAGGTTAATAGGATCTGTATAATCTTTTGACTAATACTTTTAATTCTTGCTAATTTTCTTTCTTTATAAAATATATATACATGTTCTTTATTTATCCGTATATACCGTTTCATTGTATGGAACAATTGGATATATTAAATAGAATTCCATGTTCAATTAGTCGCCTATTTATCATTTCATAACTTGGTTTTTATAATAAATGACACGATTTAGTGCTAATAAGTATACAGTTATATAGGTCAATAGCTTAGTCTTGTTTCTTTCTTAATCGTTAAAATGCATAATGTATATTATATATTTAAAGTGATTAAATACTGTTGTTTTTTTTGTTGACAGCTGTAAAAAAAAACATACAGTACTTTACGTAGCAGATGTCAATTTGTTCAAATATATCGATATAGATGGCGTTAGTGGATGGGTATACTTTTTCATTTTCTCCTGGACCGCACTGAAAATATTCACGAACTCTTTACAGAATTTAGGTAATTATGAACGTGTTTAAAACATGATTACAGATTCATTAAAAAGGAAGTGGAATGGTAATAGTACTGTTAAAGGAGAGTGGTCTAAATATCGAGTAATAGATAAACCGTTTTATCCATACTTTCTTTTGAATGAGACTCGGCTAAAAGGTCAGGTAAAAACGGATCACAAACGCAAACTGCCCTTAGACCCTGTCACTACAGAAAAGAAAGCGAAATTGGAGAACGAGCCGGTTTGTATTACTTAAATTGTGTATAAAAAATATATAAATAACATTCTATTTTTTATTTATTTACTTATTTGTAGTTTGAAAATGGTGAGCGATTTTATAATGATTTCATACACTTATTTAGATACATCCTGAAGAAATGAAGCAAGAGTTCAATGATATTAACTACTGGAAGATTTCTTTACCAGATATATCTGCAGAGTTATTGCATAACGAACGCGATGATAATATGGATTTGGAGGAGAATTTTAATTGCTATCAATATTGGAAAATGCCTCATCTTGAATTAGATTCAGAAAGTTTTTAAGTTCAATAATTGATACCATTTTTTTTCAAAATTGTCTCGTATTACTCTTTTATAAGTTAGTTGGCTTCGGCTTACGATTTCTGTATGGATTGTTTGTGCCTTGATAAAGCCTTGAAATCCACTAACGTGTTCAGATAATTCCGATTTTTGAATAAATAGACTTTTTACTTTTTTTAAACTGTTTGTCAAAAGTATGAAAGATTGGCTCGAGTATGTGTATACACTACAGATGGCGGTATTAAACGTGAGTGTTAGCCAATCACCGTTGAAGGAAAGTGTCACATTACAACGCATAGCGGGAAAAGCCTACACACAAGCGTTTTTGCAATACCGTAAGGTTAGTTTTCAAGAGTCTGCCTCTGTTTGGTTAGAAACAATTTAACTAAATCAACTGGACAAAAGGATAAACGAAACAAAGAGTTTGAAAGGTATTACCATAATTATTTTCTATCGGGGCAGTTTATTTTCGTTACTGTTGGCTGATGCTCTCAATTAACTTAGTACCGTCTTATTGAGGGATTTTTTAGCGTATAAAATTCTTTACGCGGTATCAGTTCCTTTGGATTGACAAATTTGCAAGCGATGAAAAAGAATAATTGAATAAGTGCGAAATGAAAACATCATTCAGTAACATTGAATAGAGTTGATAGAATGCTCTCCTCCTAAAAGTTAGCATGCATAGACATGCGTATTATCGAACGACGCTGCCGTCTAAATATAAACCTTTATTTTCTTTGCATTTTTATAGCCCTATCAGAAATAATTCTTTCTTCTACGATAACCCTTCCCCCTTCCTATGTTTCATTATTTTTTCTTGGTAGGCGACGACCAGGTGCACTTATTGTAATAAATAAAAGTAACGCTTAGTTCAACTATGTTTGTGTTTCACGATTCTAGACGTGCTGGACAGTAGTTTAAACGGATTTTCAAACACTTGTTAATAAGGTTGTCAGTTGTCTATAACGCTAGAGGTCGGTAGAGAAGCGTAGAAGGGTAAGCTAAAAGGCAACGAGTGGAAAACAAATAAGACTTTTTTAAAAGGATTACAGTCGTCGTTTAAATCTCGTCAAAAATTATTCTCGACAACTGAGCTCGTTAAAGTCGGCCAGTTATGTAATACAGCATCTCCCTCTCTTACGCAATATAATATTAGATTGGCATTTTTGGATAGATGTTTCTTTTACTTGTACACCTGTTCCTAATAAATGAAAAGATTTTCTTTCTTGTCCTTTACTCTTAGAGTTATCATTTCAGATATGAACTATAGCTGGAGGACGCTTTCTGCTTAAAGGTCTCGCAGCGGACAGTAAGAAAGCCCCTGGGGGCCAAAGAGAATTTTATTATTCAATTTAAAGGGCTTCAGGGAGATAAGAAGGCCGGGTGGACAGTAGGTAGGAAAGGGAAAACAAATAGAATAAACGCAATGCGTGAATTACAAAATAAACTTGTAATATTGTGAACAAATCGGATATGCAAACTACAAGTCCAGTGTACAACATTAGAAAACCACAACCTCCGCCTAGGGATCCTGGAACGAAGATTCAAAGTGTGAGAACTTTTCAGGATGTGCCTAGGCCTAGTGTTCGACGTTTGAATAGGAGTCGATCAAGCCAAATTACGGCCTCTCTAGATCACATGAATGCCACTGTTGATCTAGCTTCGCCAGCGCCCCCTGCAACAGGCCAAGTTAACCCTACTTACAGGCACGACTATGAGAATGTCCAAGCCTATTCGCCAAGGGAAGAGGAGCATAGAGCCAGAATAGAACATAAGAGTCGGCCCGTACCCGAATACTCTCCGATTGGGAGGCAGAAGTCGATATTGTCGAATAGAAGCATGATAAGTTATAGGGAATCGACACCAGCTCCACAAACAGATAGCTTAAACAGATCGACATCAAAGTTCGACTCTTTGAGAAAAAGTTTCCTCGGGATCTCTCGCCCCAGTTTAAGCTCCTCTAGGATTACATTAATACGGGGTTTGGGATTGGGAAATGCTTTAACTTCATTATGCGCTATAACACTCGCATCCCTCGTCTTCGCCGTTTTGTCCATGATGCTTCTGTTCCAGTTTAGTGAGAAAAAAATGAGCATGAGTTCCAGCAATTCTGTTGTCACACAAACTGTATACAGCTCGACGTCTGAAGCAGGCGTTGCTCTCACCTCTCTATCAGTTATGCTGAACTTGTGCTGTGTAACAGCAGGTATACTACAGTCTTTCTTCTCTGCCAAGCTACTTAAAGTACCTCAGGGCGAGGAAAGGTTTGTTTTCTTTATTTCTTTATCGGACCGTTTTAGGGAAGAGTAGTAATATAGGTCAAAGTAATTTACGAGCGGCGCTTCCTTTTAATGTACCCTCACCGCCTCGTAATTTTGACGTAAGGTGAACAATTGAAGCCTAATCGTAAGGAAAAAACCATAAAGAAAGCAAATATAAAAAAAGAAAGGGAAGATATCCGTTAGTTGATACTCGTAGGAGGGAGCGCTTGACGCCTGTTAAACCGTTAAGTTGACCCGGGGTCAACCCTTCAACCTACTGTTCGCTGTTTACGGAACTCTTACGACATCAAAAGAATCTCGAGAGCTCGTTAGTTTTCCAAACTACTCCTCCTATCCAACCTCGGCAGGTGTTTGAAATTTTCAGGCCCGAGCTAATGGTTCTTTTCAGAAAATTTTATTTAATTCCTTACATTTTCAATTACCTTCCCCCTAACCGACAATTTAATGGTTCTTTCACTTCCGGTTTCAACTCCGATGACAGTTAGAAATGATATTTTATTAATTGGCTGTTCAGGACTTGGCATGTTTACGGGTCGATTGATGTGGTAGATAAGCGTGAAAAATGAGAGGGGGAATAGATTAAATTTACTGATACAGCTTGTAATAAAAAATTTAGGTAAATTGTTACTTATTTCTAAGGTATATAGTAACAATTTCTCAAGATTGGGTTTATATCATTTCTTAACAAAGTACGTAGAGGATAGAAGCTTTCAAGTAGTCTTATTTGCTAATTCATCATTCGTTGTAACTTGTGAAAAAGTCGATTGTACTGAAGCCCAAAGCTATTGTTAATGAATTTTAATACCTCCATTCTTGGGGGAAATAAATGCATTGAAATCGCTACGGTAAAAGGGAGTTTTTTTTGGATAATATTTATATATATATATATACTATACTGTATATATATTTATAGATATATCAATATATCTTTTATTTTTCAATATTAACACTATGGTTTTTTGAAATGCTTATAACGTATTTACGCCTTCGCGATTGATTGCATTCTCACTTTGCTTGCTCAGATCACCGTATAGTCTTTAATTGAAATTCCTCCGTTGTCCATGAGTATCTCGATTGAATAAAAGTTCTTCATTGGCCATTACAGCGCAAACTAGAATTTACTCGATAAAATAAAAATACCCTAGGTTCACTTTCACTAGATACAAAGAAACGTCTGTCCAGGTACTCAACGGGACGTCTCAACGATAGCGCGGGATGGGTATATATTATTTATAATACCTGAATATTTATGAACTAAGGTATTTCTGGAATTTTATTTTAAACTTCCAACCGAGGAGGGATACTTCACACATTAAATCACGTGACCGCAATTCCAAAATGAACTGTGGGCACCTCTCAGTGGAAAACCTTTGAACATATGTCGGAAGTAACACGCGACTAGAAAGAATGACAGTAAACGATTTAAATATACAAATAATACTTCAACTTGTGTATAAAAAACGCATTTGTGTCTCAATGGAAGTGAATTATAATAAAGTGAGCGGTGGGAAAAAAGAAAAGTGTTCAAAAAACCTTTCCGTAACCCCTTTATGCCTTTGTAATTTTTTTAAGCCCTATATATTATTGCCTTATGTTATTTCAGTTACCTTACTAAATTTTCAGTTTCTAAGCCTAGCTCTCAATATTCTTTTGATGTCTTTACCTATCCGCGAAACATCGAAAAATATTGCATAACGCTATTTGACAGCGTGAGAAACTTTAAATCACCAAAAATGAACAAAGATTCAAAACATGAGCTTTTTTCTAGTATTTCTTTTATTCTGTTTGAACCATTGTTCAACATGTTTAATCTGTACCAATCGGCTTTGTTATTTCGACGGTGATCTATTGTAGTAGATAAATTAGTGAAGAACGCAAGATGGCATCAATAGTCGATAGCAATATAACAACAATTCGATAGGTGGCGACACCTGTTGGATAAACATGGTAACACTCTGTCGTCGAATCAGCCTTTAAAATAGTTTACTTTTAGTTTTTTTTACTATATAATTAGTTTTTTTTATATTTACAGAGCATTTCGGTACCTGAAAGAATGCGCCGGAACGCGAATGATTGCTGTGGGCGGTTTCTTCTTTTCAGTTCCATGCTTCTTAATAGGTTTGAGATGGACCATAAATGCTAAAGCGAACAACACTAATTCCACTTTCTATTCACAGCTACTCTTCTTTATATCCTTCTTGAATTTCGGACGGCGTCTGCAATTATAGCAATAGTTGTCTTTACAGTTGGCGTAGCTTTTGTACTGGCCACGGTTGTGCACTCAATCTACTTTTGGAGATGTGAAAAAGCCGACGTAGACTTGGACGAAAAAACGAAACCGACAATGAACGGTGCTTTACCTCGTAAGGCGGAACAATCAATTAGCCATTGTGAATTGTCGACACTCGTCTAAAGCAATAACGGAGGGCGGACAGAAGAAAGTTATAAAAAAAAAATCCTAAAGAGAGAGACAGAGAGAGAGAGACACAGAGAAAAAGAAGATGAATGAACGAAGAAAATGAAAAAAGTGAATAAAAAGGGAACAATAATGTTTTCTGGTGCCAATAATATATTATTATTTTTTATTTGCTACTAATATTTTTACGCATAAAAATTGTCTGCTTTTTCACTTTTGAACGATGATTTTTTGTAGTTTTTATTATTATCATTACTATTATCGTAAAAGATATGTTTAGTAGTTTGAACAACAGTATTAAGGAAACTGAAAAAATGAAAGAAACAATATCTTTCTCTCTAATTTTTATATTATTTCAATAAGAATAATGTAAAGAAAAGCGTAATTTTCTCTTTATTATCATACAATATGTATTTATATGGTGGACTGCGGCGCTGTATTTCAAAAAGGAAATTGAAGAACGAAAGCGTCATCTATTGACGGGAATACAAGTAAATAGAGGAAAAACGTTGGCTTGCTGCCCAAGTTTCTTATTTACATATAGTCTAGACCTATAGTCATATACGAAACAAATTGCGGTTAAAGTGCTTCCTCCATATTACATAAGCTTGAAACATCTTTTATGTAATAAATATTGCGTAGGACATTCTAAGCTCAATCATATTTACTGTGTATTCAATTTTTTAAGATAGATGTCTATTTTGGCTATTCAACTAACTGATAGGCGAAACACCGGATGTTTACAGGTGAGAGTAGGTGATTAATCGCTGGTGCCACATCCGGTACGATACATCCGGCCTATGAGAAGAGGCCGCCTTCTTCAAACACTAATCCGATTGTTTAGATAGTGGACGCCGGTCTAAAGGGTGTAATTGGCGAATTTTTTTATTTTAGAGTAGTTTATGGAGTCGTTGTGGGGGGTTGAGGAAAGTGGTTTTTCAGCTCACTTTTCATGTACTTGAGGAAACGGACCTTGAAGTTGTTAAACTATGTTTTTTTTCCGCTCCAGTTGGCAATATGCCAGCGATAAAGTAATAACATAACTGAATGTATATAAGAATATATATATATATATATTCTAGTATACAGTAGACAAATATAACTACATTCATACAGACATAAATATAGACACAAATATACAATAAAGCGTATATACAATATGCTGGTATGATTGTATTTTGTAGAATCTTATATATGTATATCAACACGAATACATAACAATTCCCCGATCGGATTAATTCTGTTAATACGTATTTAAAATAAATGTAGATAGAAATCAAAAGGAATGCAAAGCGTAATCAAATTGGCGCTGCGAATCGTATATATCGACCGTGTGCATATACATTTATTATTCGTTATACAATCGAGGAAGGACGTTTATCGATTGTTAGACTATCGATAAGGGCAATAAACGTTTTACATCGCCGCGGTTAAGGCTTGCTACATAATGTATATGTAAATGGAAGAGGTGTGCTCTAGTCGTTCAATAATTTGTCTGACGCTATAAATAAGTAAAAGACATTTATGTTTTTTCTTTACTTTTAATACTTAGTTTTGCGATAAGGAAAAGAATAATAATCTTAAATGTAGTTAGTCCTATTGGACACTTTTCTAAGTAGGACAAAACAAAATTTAAAGGCTGCTCTAAAAAATCGTTAGTCTCGGCCCAAAGTTTTAAATAGACAAAAATATACACCCTTGTCTACAGCTCATATCCTCCCTGACTGTTTTTCGATATATTCCAAGTCTTTACTATTGACCCCGTGTAGTATACGGTGAATAAAGTATAGAAAAGGGAAATAGCGCTATTCGTTCAATCAGTATTAAACAGGAAGTATGACTAGGTCGGTCTGAATGCTTGTCTATTCAATGTAGAAAAAAAAAGAGATAAACAACTCTAAAATATGTAAACTAAATAAGCCGTTCATTGGAAAAGAAGCCAAAAAAAAATTAATCCATTGTTTGTTCTCTTCAGAGTAATTATTAAAATATTCACATTAATTACAGTATTCTCTTCTCTTTTCCCATTAATTCTAAATGCTATTTACCACAGAAACAAAGTACGTAAAAAAAGAAGGGAAAACAGACAAAACGGGGGATAAAAATTAATAAAAAAAATAAAAATGCAGGTTGTTATTCTTTTTTTTTGGGGTTTTTCTTTTGTCTTCCTCTCTTCCTTTTCGTTTCTCTCATTATAAAATATTCTATCTTATGTGTTGTGTTTTTTATTCTTTTTCCTTTTTTTGTACCGAGAGGATGAAAGAGAAGAGCAGAGAACAATGTTTTTTTGTTTTTGTTCGGTTAGAAAACAAGATTAGAAAGACTTTTTCCATATAAAAAAATGTAGAGACAAATGAGTTTTGAACAGTTGAAAGGTCACCGATTAAATTGAATAGGTGATGTTGAAAAGTAGCCGCAGGGTGATATTGAGCAATCACCTGAGCTGGAATTAGAATTTGATGACGGACTCGCTGATTTCAATTGGGCTTCGAAATCTAATAGTTGTCCCATGAAGTTGAAGTTAGGTGAGATGGACGGTTTAATCTTTCTAACAAATTCGTAGGCATCATTCATTGACAGATTCAAGTTGTGCATTAGGTAAGCAACAGTCACGGTAACTGATCGACTTATCCCAGCTAGGCAGTGTACTAGAACATTTTCTTTCCTTTGTCGGCCTTCGTCTGAGATATAGAAAGAAAGAGAAAACATTTTTGAATAAGGTTTTTATATGTTCAGCTTCAAATAGAATAAAAACTTAAAGAATTCAAGTAGAATATATTTTTAACTTGTAGAATATTGAAAGAAAAAATATAAATACAACTAAAAAGTGAGATTAAAGTGAGATAAAAAGAAAAAAATATAATCGCGATTAGATTAATAGTATATCTTATTACTTACCGATAAAAGATATGGCTTGCGCAAAATAATTACAAAGATTCTCACTCCAATGATCTGTTATCGGTATTTTCAAGTATTCCACGTCACCGTCTTCTTCGAAATAATTAGGGGAATCGCGGGTAACATTTACCACTCGGCTGATTTTGTGTTCTCGTAAACATTCCCTATCTTCTGCATTTGATGCGTTTCCGAGGAATAGATTAGGTAGGACCCTAACCGGAAATGGTTCGCCTTGTCCTCCGTTTTTTTCGCAACGGTTTGTTGGTGTTTCGTAATCAATTGAATGACTACTTATGCGTAGGTTGGTCAAGCCTACGCTAAGACTAGCTTCACCATCTCTTTCGCACAGTTCCGGAAATTCAGTAAAAAAATCTTGGAAACCGCCTGTAATTAATAAAAGTAGTAAAGTAAAAAAAAAAAAAAAAGATATCTAGGTCGCACAGTTAAGCCGTTGCACTAAGACGTATACCTTACCTTTCAACGTAAATGCGGAAAATCCTTCCTCAGTTAATCTCCTCATCAGTACGTTTGCCAACGCACTATTGGCACATAGGTTTTCATATAGGAGAACTTTAGATGATGGTTTCAAAGATCTTCCAACTACAGAAGCTATTCCAATTTTATTATTACTTAATCGTTTTAACATTAAGGTCGGAACGGAAATGTTTTCGGCTCCTCTAATTCTGCTTTTAACGAAGTCCTCTGGTGATCTTAAATCGAATATGGCACAAGCTTGTCCTTTTTTCACCATAGAGGCCAACCACGTATTATTTTTCGACAAATCTTTATCGGACAGAGCCTTTTTAACGTTATTTCGCCTACCAAGTGTCATCGTAGACCGAATACTATTCCCTCAATGACTGCCTTCGACATCCGACTCAATGGCGCAAGTCACGTGATAAAATCTTTCGAGCGCTCATTGGTCGCTTTATTTATAAAAAGCTATTCGCCTTGTCCCGTGTACTAATAGGCTTAATTTCCTATCTCTATAGCTAATTTATTTACGCAACTTAATCTAATAGATCTGGACGGAAGGCGTGCGATAACTTGTCGTTCTAATTTTATTTAATAAATATCTAAAAACAGAAAGAAAAAACACACAAACACACAACTTATCTTTAAAGAGCAAAACTAACAACAAAAAGGAAACGTCTTGTGTTTTGGTCACGATAGGTGGCGCCATCTATTAATAACACGTACAACTTCTGTATGGCCTTGTATTGAAAAAATTTCATAGTAACATTACTATAAGTATTCTGAAATTATAATATGAGATATGTAATCCGAATCTTAATCGTTTTCTAGAAGGTCACTTTCAAAAGAGGAATTAGGCTATTTTCGCATAAATTCTATAGATATTCTATATAGCTAAGATTTATTAGCGCTAATAGGAAATTTGAATTTGTTCAGATAAAACAATAAAAAATAAAGTAAAAACTTGAAATCTATAAAATTCATGCAAAAAAGTAGATAAATAAACATTAGCTATTTCACACATGAATTATATTTATGTATCGAGCGTCATCTAGTGTAAAACCAGTACTTTTAGTTTATTCATCATTCACTCTCAACGAAACTTAACGGTAACAGGGATGATTGTGAACTGTAACATATGCTACATAGTTTAAAAATATTCAAAATGTGAACGGCTTTTGACTTAGATATTCCCCAGCGAATACTTAATTACCAGGTAAGGTAACCCTAGGAATCATAATTAAATAGATGTATTGAATCTGTAAGATCTTGTTTAACTTTCTTTAAAATGTAAATATATGATTGCTTAAGACATTAATGAAGCATATTAGCTGTGTTCTTAGTAATTAATAATAAATGAAATTAAGTTTGTATATTAAAAAGGTAATAAATGCAAAATAAACAGATTTTATAAGTATGTATATAAAGGGATTCCTAGTCATCATTTACATAAATAGCTATTTATCAGCCTTGCATGGAATTAGGTAAGAGTGATAAAGTGAAGAAGAGGAAATTAAAAGAGAGAATATATATTTCTGAAAAAGAATAGCATTACATTAAAAATAATAACAACACATGTATAAATTTATATATAAGTGTGGATATAGTGCATAAAGTTAAATAATATAAGCAACAAGAGATATCTTGTTTATAACTTAGGGATATTTAAACAAAGAAAACTCAAGTATTCTTTATCTGCAAAGGCGTAAGTTAACGTATTGTGGAGACTTTGCCATTCTTCTTTATACAATAGGTTTAGCCTCTACAGCAACAAATTTCCATAGCATGATATTTCAATATTTATTATTGTATGTGTCAAAAATCACGCTAGTAGCACAACTTATATCAATTTCATGTAATTATATAATAGTATGATTAAAGAATATACAGTATATCCAATATATGGAGTGTTTTAGCTCTAGTCCTTGATGTTAATTTCGAGAAATTTTTCTGCTTCATTTCGCCTAACTTTGTTGTTGAACATTTATAAGACTCTCCTAAAATTTCAGGGAAAAAGAATTTTAGCTAAAGATGATAAACAACTCCTCAAAAGAAATGGCTTTATCTGATTATGTTGAATATAGGATCAGTATCCAGTTAATAACGTATGGATTTCCCTGGATAATTATTGCAGGAACTATTGGTAACCTTCTATCTTTTGCTGTTCTCTTGAGACCCCGATTGAGGAATCAAAGTTTTTATACCTATCTTGCATGTCTGGCGATAACCGATACTTGCGTCCTTTATTCTAGTGCCTTTAAAACTTGGATGAGATCGGTTACCGGTTACGAAATACTTCATGATTCTGCAATCGGATGCAAACTGTTCATGTTCATTTTACTCTCATCTATGCATTTATCAAGCTGGTTTTTAGTTCTTCTCACGTTCGATAGATTATATGCCGTTTGCAGACCAATGAAAGCATCTCAAATGTTTAGGGTGAGGAGAGGAAGGATAATAGTTATAATAACGTTGAGCATATGCTTTATCTATAATTCTCATGTTTTCTGGACGTATAAGCTAGAGAACAGAAGGAGTACGTCTCATTGCGTTTCCAAGGATGAGTATAGATTTTTTATGAAAAAAATCTTTCCTTATCTGAAAATGGTGACATATTCTTTTCTACCATTTGGTCTAGTACTTGTGATGAATGTAATGATCATTTATAATCTTATGAGAAGAACGGCCAAGTTTTCTGGTACTATGTCACGGAATCAAACATCAACTACTTCTGGACAATACAAAGTTATTACTTTACTACTGACAGTCTCATTCACATGGTTTTTTCTAACGGCTCCAGTTTCAATATGGAGTGTCGTTGGTTTGTACAGAGGTACAGGAGATATGGAACAAAAAGCTGCTCAACTTATTCCTAAAACTATTGTTTTTGCTCTCATGTACTTAAATCATGCTATCAACTTTTACATTTATTGGTAATTATTTTATTACAAATTAATTAACTTAATTCTTTAGCCTATTGTAATTTCAGCGTTACGGGCAAAAAGTTTCGTTTAGAATTAATGGCTTTTCTTTCGTGTTTTACGCGATCAAGCAAACGAAAGTATTGTAAGAGCAACGAACTAAACTCAAGAATATCACGGCAACAAACACAAAGACTAACATGTTATTCGTATCGAAACGAGGCTGGAATAGTTCAAATGATAGACTCAACTGAAAAGAGTAAATTAACTACTAGCCTATCGACTAGTGTTTAACTGCAAGATTTATCACACTGATTTCAATTTCTTTTATCTTTTATGTATTTTTGTATTATTACTGTATCAATGTCAAATATAACATAATCAGAAAAAAATTACAAAAGTCTCAACAAAAATACTTTAAACATAGCGTATTTTTCGGTACTGAAATGAAACTATCTTCTAGCATTGCCAAGAAAGCTGAACTTTTGACATTTTCTACTGTTAAACAAATAAATCGCTACCTACCTTATATTACACAAATCTGTAACTACGATTTTAAGCACATTTTAAGCTAAAAGAAGTTCCATATAAGGGTTCCTTTTTTTTGGCCAAATATTCTACTTTGTTTACCATTTTGCTGCTAATTCTCTTTATGTATTAACAGGTTTAAAGCTATAAGATAAAAGAGAAATAAATTCGCTGGGGCTTTTTTTATCAAGAAGAATTAATTTAATTTGACAAAATGCATATTAAATTTATGTTTAATGCAATATGAAAAATACTATCTGTTAATCCTTAGAGATATCAGAATTTTACAAATGAAAAATATAAACTCAAGTTACTTCCTGAATGATCTTTAAGTTAACTTCATTTTAATGGATTTCTTTTACCTATAGAAGACATCTTGAAGAAAGCCGCTGAAGTAAAAACTCTCCCGAGTTAATTGGTTTCTTTATAATCTCCAGCTGACTAAGGATAAAGATTATATCAAAGAAATCAAACATTTTAGCTTTCCTTTTGGAATTGTCAACATATAAAATAATAAAATATAATAGAGCAGCATTGACAGCCTTTCAAAGTTATTGTACAGTCATTGTATAAGATCAGCCTCTATTATCTTTTATAAAGTTTTGAAATTGCACGTAAACAATTCTTACTTAATAATAAAAACATGTGAAATGTATGACAAAATACTTTTATCACATTTAATTATAGTATCACTTTTAATGTAGAAACTCATATCGAAAGAAGGTAACAGCTTTAAGAAAAATTAATAATTCATTTTTAGCTGTGATAACCTCTTTTAATGAGGTTTTGGCTAAGCATATACATTCAATTTCATTATGTGACGATTTATTGTTATCAATTTGCAGAAGAAAAACATTATAATGAATATGAAGAGAATGATTAGTACTTATCTATTTTACATTTTCATTCTCGTTTCTCTTAAAGGAAAGAATACTTGTTGCTAAATCCAACAATATAGACCAAATAATTATCCTAGGATAAAATTATCAATAATGGTATTCTCGAGATAATTTCCTAATTGTCAATGAAGAGAGTCACGGTAAATTGTTTATTAATCTCTGACACGAGGATTCGTAACACTAATTACATATTGCATCAACTTATACACTCCAATCGTGAAAATACTAAACCTTACTGAAATTGATATCAGATTACTTTAATTTAATCCTACATTCGTCTTTAGTCTATAAAGAAATTAAATCGAAAATTTTCGTCATATTTAAATATATTTGCATATCAAACATATTTAGCTACCATACTTTTTGAAAAGCTAACTACTTCAACCAATACGAGATTAAATTACTACTTATATATAAGTTCCTACTGGCTAAGAGACTTTCCAGCTCCTGGTAGATTTTTAATTATCTAGGATTGCCAGGAAGACACGTTCATAATTTCTCGTATTGGCAGAAAGGCAAAACGTTAATAAAATTATTAAAAAGTTCATTCCATCATTACTTTGTAGCTAGAAGATTTTTCAAAGGAGAAAGATCTTATTTCTCTTTTTTGCGAAGTAATCACTGAAGCAGAGTTTGAAGGTTATTATTAACCAAAATATATTTCTTTTTACTGAATGCTGTAATGGCTTGTTATATAGCCTTCGTAAGCGTATGATGTTATTAATTTCTAATATGTCTTTTTCACTTTGCCTTTGAACATTGACTTTTGAGATATATGATCTGCTCTTTTTTCAGTTTGGGAATAGCATATAAAAACAAGGGATGGTTTCTTGAGAAATACCTTAGAAAACAAGGTTGGAAAATGATAATCTTTTGGATTAAGGTATTGACTATATTTTCTTGCTATTCTTATAATTCTATTCAATTCTAAAAATAGATAGCTTTTTATATTTTTCGAAGACCATTTGATGATAATGATAGTAGCTCTTATTTGATTCATTTTGTGAAATCACACACTTAAATATACCATTATAGTCACATTTACAACATTTTGATACAATAGATAGCTATAAAGATGCGTTTATCGATTTTGATAAGCTTTTGAGATAAATATATCAAATATCTTTTTTTGTAATAACACAAAAACGATGAGAGTACTTAATCAGAAGAAACGTAAGTATTTGTTTCATTTGTTGTGGAGCAATATCCAAATTAGAATATTTCCTTGTTTTACACTATAAGGGTTTGCTACTTTATTAACATACAAACATCACAAAGTGATATACAGTATAAGATTCAACATATGTCATGAATGCCTATAATACTAAAGTTACAATTCTACTATACAGTATAATCTGTATTTAGCTGTGACAAACAAAGGCTTGATATAACTAACAGAATATGTAATAAATATTACATCCTTTCTTTATTGTACGCTGTATTAATATTCATCTGTATTATACTACTTTCTTTATTCTCTTGACTTATTAGTGAAAGAAGAAAACTTCAAAATAATCTATTTTGAAATATATTACATTCCTATAGAGAATAAAGCTTTTTAGGAAATAAGACTTAGAATTCCTGCATAAGCCCATTAAACTTTCTAAGAGTGTTAAATGAGAGCTAGATGCCATTTCTTAGAGAACAAATGTAATAATATTAATAGAATATTGTGGAAAAAAGTTGGACGACTTCTAGTTGATGAGAAAGTACAAAATAGAAACAAAGCTATATTAGCTGTTTTGTAAACTCTCTTACAATAAACAAGAATGATTTCGAATTGATTTATTTGATTACATTTTTAAAAAATTATTGAAATAATAGCGAATAACTAAATCTATATAAATGTAATTCTTCAGTCATAGGCTTCACTTTAAGATTCTTAAACCTGCTTAAACTTTATGGAGAAAAATAAAATTCTGCTATTTTAATATATTTATGCAATATAGTTTTTTTTGTCCATATAAAAGTGTATGATTTCCTTTACACAAGGGTAGTTTTTCCCCCAGGATATTCACCCATTATATGCTTTAGATAATCTAAAAAAAGACACTTATTTGTTGAGTTTAACTTAGTCGCTAATATTGCGAAGTCTTTTAAACATCTCAACAGAGAAGTTTAAATAACTGTACATAAACCTCGCGAGTACAGAGATTAAGGGCTAATATGAAAATTTTTGAAAGCTGGCTTGGAAGTAGCCCCTTTCTGGAGAATTTTATTCTTCTATATGATTTATAGACCATTAATTTATCATAAATATTCTATATTTAAACACCTCTTTGGTTGTTAATCTAGTTATTCTATATTATATGATATGAAAAATCTAGCTGTATCCTTCTTTGGATTTAAATTTGATCGATTATGTGCCTTTCTTCGTGCATTATAATGCTTATTTATCATAGACAAATTTCACAATAGCAGCGAACGCAACAAATTATTTATAAAGTATGAAGTTTTGAAAAATGAATAAGTTATACTCATACGTTTACGTCAATGAGGAAATAATAAGGCGCCATCTATTGTCTTCGTTGACTTTATTGCTTCCGGCGACTTTTTGTTGTATCCTCACGAATTGCAAATGCTTGTTAGTGTGATTGAAAGAAAAAGAAAACAAGAGGCTGGGCTTGAGTAGTCCTTAAATTAGCCAAAGTTTGTTTTTGTACTTACTCTCGCCCTTCAGAACTGACGAAGATTATTGACATAATTGTCGATCGTCTGAACCCCTGAATATATTTGTATATGTATCTACACGTTGTTAAGTTTTCTTTCGCTTAATGAATGCGCATTTAGTCAAAAAACTCTTTAAAATCCAGTACAATCTATAAACAAAAAGAAGTTTTGTTTTGCCACCGGCTTATTTATTTATAAACCCCTCTTGGGATCGTTCAATTTGTAAGGATATGAATTGAATAGGAATGTACTAATTAGAAGTTTATGGACTCCTTTGTTGCATTTCGATATATAGATCAAAAAGAGTTTATATTGTTACTATAGTAAAAATAGCATATCTATACCTACGTGAACGAACAGGAGTTAGGCGACTGTTATGGAGTTTTTAAACCGATATATCAATACTTTATGACGGGAAATTCGTAATTCAGATCACGATGAGTTTGTGAGCTTGTATTAGTATAAAAAGTTATAAAAAGGAACGGTTGTAGTCAGAGGTCAACTTCTATTAAAATACGAAAATCTACGTATAGATTTACCTTCCATAGATATGAGACTATATGAATTGAAATCTACCCTTAATCTCTCACCTTCTTTCTAACACCTGAATTATAAAAGCTTATGAGAAAGAATTTGACAATTTGGTAAACGTTTGAAGCGTTTACTGATTTACATTCAAAGAAAAGATCGATTATGTAATAAATCTAGAGGCACGTTCGATATATAAAATAATCGTATTCAGAACCATATGCTTTGTAATCCACTATAATCAACTATGTTTACTAATGCAATATCCTCTCTTATCCACCTCCCTTTAAAAATTTTAACAGCTTAATTACAAATATGATATTACTTAACAAGTGTCGTATGGAAGGATTGTAGTCGCTTAGATTAACTATTACCTAACAATTAATATTTTTTTGAGTGTTATCAATATTTTTCAAATTACACTTTTTTCATTCTTTCATTCAATTTTATGACTTCAAGATTAATTTGGATTTGAGTGGGGATTAAATAGGCAAGATAATCCCGTGTTAACGGATTCAAATGAGAGTTTCACTACTTATGTAAACCATTCAATATTCGTTTGTTCAATAAGAAATTCTTTGGGGCAGTAAACAATTAAATATGAATATATATAAATATATATATATATATATATATATATATATATATATATATATATATATATTGATAGCTTATTTATTTATTTATTTATGATAATTATTGATTTTGAATACAAGCTTATTTCGTTAATATTAAAATTAAAAATGGACTATTCATACTATCTGCCTGCAGAATAGGAGTCGTTTTCTTCATTATCATTTCCAGTGTCGTCTTCGTCGTCTTCGTCGTCTTCGTCGTCATATTCGTAAGGATTATCAACATACGGTTTCGTTTCGTCTATGTCTAATGGTCCATCGTTAAATTCACTATCCTCTCCTAATGTATCTTCTTGATCATCAGCAATTCTTAGTCCATTCTTCTCGGTGTTCTCTTTTACTTCCTCACTAAAAAAATCTTCGATATCTTCGTCTTGGTCATCTTCGTCATCAGCTTCATCATCCTCGGATGAAGAATATTGTATTTTTGTTACTTCTCTTATGAATTCACCGCCAAACTGAACATTTTTACTTAGTCCTATTCTGTCAGAACTAGCACTTTTTAATAAGCTCTTAGTAGGGGATACTGATTCTCTTCTACAGGCAGACATTGGTACTGGGCTGACTAGAATTCTTTGTTCTAAATTTGGGCTTTCAACATCCTCATTCCTCTTAATTGGAGGTGATGGAGATTTGCTAGGTAAGCTCTTGGACCGAGACTTCTTTTTAATTGCTTTTGGTTTATCATGTTCCTGATTTTCTTCTAATTTTTTATGCTTTAGTTTTTTTTTAACTCTAGTTTTCTTTTTTTTCTCGGCTGAGCGAATTCTCTCTATAGGCTCCGGCGAGTTTCTCCTTTTAATCACATCTAATAAAGGCGAAGGGGTTTCCTTTGTTCGAGATTCGCTGGATAATGGCCTAGGGGATTTTGTCCTCTCAACAGGAGGTAGGACTGGTTTTGATTTACGAATTGAGTCTTTCTTAATTTGTGCTGGAGCGGGTGGAGGCCACGGGACTATTTCTAGAGAACTTGCTTCCAAAGTGGGAGGGTCGTCATTTACGTGAAGGTCGTTTAGACTCAATATATTAGTTTCGCCGTTAAGCTTAGGAAAATCGGCTGCAAAGTTTGTGTATGAGAATCGTGCTTTATCCCTTATAGCGGAGGCCGTATTTGACCGAAGGTTTTCGGACAATGGGCGTGCCGTTGTTGGTAGCTCAAGATTTGACGTTTGAACGGCGGAGAATGAACGCTCCGAGTAGGCCTCCATTGGCATAAGGGGACGCCAGCCGGAATTTCTATCCGATTTTATTTCCTTATGAACAAAATCTGCTTGTTGTCTGGCTAGGGAAAGGCTCCTAACCCTTTCGCTATATGTCAGCATAGACTCATTACGAACTTTGCGACTTCTATCTGTCAACTGGGCAGGCTGAGAGCCTAAGTAGCTTTGCCTACTAGAGGGCGTCTCCTGTCTCCTCGACGTTAGTTTGAACGACGAATTTTGTTTAAATACTATTTCTCGATCTCTGAACATTATTATCATAGAATAATCAGAGTAAATGTTATTTTGTTCACACAGTATAAAAACAATAGACAGCATTCATCCCAATTAAACATTATTAGGTGTAAAAAAAATATTAAGTAATAACACAAACTAATTCAATTTAAAGTTATATTTTCTGCAGTTTCTTCCAGTTGTCTAAGCAGTGAAGCACCGGCATACGGAATGTTAAATTTCCAAATTATCGATTTTCAATTAGAAACGATTTTTTTTCGTATCCCACAAATTAAGGCAGACCTCCTTAACCGACGACGTTTACAAACTGATCTGGTAAACATTCGGTTGCCAGCAAATAGAAGATTGTTGAAAAGTCGTGTTGAAAAACGGTAGAAAGCGATTTTCCTATAATTTAAGTCACCCAGAAGCTTCACACCTACCTTGTGTTTTGCTGAAATATTCGCTACCCCATAACAAAATAGACTATAGTTCTCTTATTACGTACAACTAAGCAACTTACATTATACCGTTCCGGAATGTTACGAAAATATTGAGACCTTTATTAATGGTTTTCATAATACTTTCACTCGTATGCTATCAAGCATAAAGATTTTAGCGCTCGAAAGGTTGTTAACTAGACGGCAATAGTGAGCTTTTTTTTCTGCTTTAATCGAATAATTACGTCATTTCCATTGGATAAATTTAATGCGTCTAAGTGGCGAATGCTTCATTGACTAAACAAAATATATTTTCGAGTGGTAGAAGTTAAACCATCGATATTTTCTGTGAATTAACAGAATTTGCTTAAGGGTCTGGTATTTAAGCAAAATATTTAATAAAGAAGTAAAAAATTTTATCGTTCAATTTACGTTTCTTTTGTTTTTTAATTAGTAAGATAAACATTTCCAGCGATAGGCTGAATACAGTTTGCAGTGAAATCTTTTATCTGCACTGGAAACTATCCAACATGCAAGTTCTTGTTTTGATGCTTTCTCCCCTTCCCCTCTTAACTAAATGAATTTCCTCTTCACTGTAAATTATTAATACTTTATACTTAAATTTGACTTGATATTTTCCAATAACATTTAGGAATAAATTGGTTTTTCTTTTAAATCCGATAAATAAAACTTGAAATATTCAACTTTTTTTATTTATAATTAAAAAAAATGAATAGAAATAAATATAAATATTTGCCAAACTATATTTTAAAAATAGTAAAAAACAGACTATTTTTATCTCATTCAAAAGTAAAGAACTAAATGTTGATTGGGGATTAAACTATATATATACCAATAAATAAATACATAAGAATTGATCAATTTAATTTACTTGAACTTTACAAGTTTTTAATTGTATTTTAATTAAAAAGGATCTTTTTTTTGTTATCTTTGTATTACTTTAACAACATTAAACTTTGGACATAATAATGAATATTGTTAATGTTAACTTGAAAGAGTAGATGAAATCTTCACTATTTACTTTGTATTTGATTATCAAATACAAAAGATGTTTGAGATATTATAGGAATAAACAGTATTAGATTTTTTAGCATCTTAACAAAAAGAGAAAAAAGAAAAGTTGTGCCAACAACTGTTAAGCAAATGAACTTGTTCGAAGCAAGAATCTGTACAGGACGAATCGATAGTTAGATTTTTCTCTCTCTCTTTCTAATGATTTAATTCTGTTTGAAGAGAGTGGGTGGGTGAGAAAGAGAACGATCAAGAAAAAAGAAAGAGTGAAAGAGAAGGCTTAAATATAAATAATATATCTATAATAGCTAATTATACACTAACTTGATTTAGAGTTATCTCATGTTTATAGGAGATTAAACAATTACTCTAACAAAACTACAAGATAGATGAGACAATACATGCATTCTATTAAGTCAATGCCAACCTTTGTACTGACAGCTCCAATATTGAAAGCTATATTTGTATAGTTCAACAACTATTGTAGTAATAAAATATCCAAGAAAAATAAACCAACGAAGCAATGGAAAAGATTTCTTTTTTTATACTAGTATTAAATTATTATAGTTCATTGGAAATTCATTGAGAAACAGACCTATACAGTATAAAAATCCAAAAAAAGATATTTTTACAATGATCTTTGAACTGTTTCTTTCTGAAAATTTAGAAAATAATAAGCTAAAAATTGATTCGTCTAAGGGCAAAGTTTTTAAGTAGTTTACTTACCGAAGTGTATATTGAACATTATAGAATAAATAGTCTTGTTTTAATAACACTAATAACTCCTTTATTTCCAAGGTAAATTGAATGTAAACTGCAAAAGTTATAGTCAGTCTTCTTTCATTCCACCAAACCCATCTTCGTTTAATTTTCTTAAACTATCAGAATGCATAAAAATAGTAAAGATCGAAGAAAAGAGAGATTTATAGTTAATTTTCAGGCCTATAGTGATCAAACTTTCTTCCTTCTTAATCTTCTTAAGTAAAAGTCGTTAGGATTTTACTATAGAAATGTTGAATTAATTTCTAATATTAAACATAATTAATTATTCATTTCGAAAGAAGGCATATCTGGAGTCCTTTCGTCTTCTTCCTTTGGTAGTCTCTTTGGCAGAGAGTTTCAAATATACTCTTACATTGAAATTAAACAGCATATGAATCAAGAATCAAGACAAATTTTGGATGAAAGCGCAAAAATGAGCCATAATTAATAATGGAATATTTATTTTATCATATATATTATGAAAGAAGTAATTATAAATAATAGGATTGATATAAGATTGCATCATATTTTAATAATCTTCATAAATCGATTGAATTCCTAGGCATCTGCAAAATAGAAGTTTATTCTTTTAAAAGTAACAAAAGCTAAGGGATAATGAAAATATAGCTAAGGAGTGTAAAAGAAAAAGAATCTGTTTATGCTTGATCAGAAGATACTCAATTCAATGACATTTTACTTTTGAAAGTAGGCGCACTTAGCTAGAGGTTTCTGAAAAAAATCGCGTGCATACATTCAAGATATGGACGCTCAGATTTCACCTTCAACTGAAGTTTATAATGTGAAAAAGTTGGCTGAAAGTATTGAAGATTTTAGACGTTAGCTATTCTTTTTGCAAAATAGACTTGAAAGTGGTGTTCTTTAATCTCTCAATAATCGCTGTCAATTGCAAGGTCATTTACGGTATACACAAAAATAGATTGAATAGCATTGCTTAAATCGAATAAGAGCTATTATTACAATTTTAAAACAATAATACTATAGATAATGTGACGGAATTAATAGATTTGGATAAGAAACTTTGATAAATAGTCAGAATTGTTTAGTTGTTTAGAAATCTCCCTTACCATGAGTTGATAAAGATCTAGCATCGATATCAGTATTCGTCACAGTAGCGGCTTTATACTGTTATAAACCGCAAGAAAATACTAATAATTCTAATATGGTTATTCATATGCCAATTAAATCAGTAATTAAATGTAATTAAAAGTAATTTAATTTCTTGGAAATCACTCAGTTTACGATATATTGGCATCAAATGATTATTGTGAATTATTATACATAAATGATTTGAAAGCATGTGAACCTTTTGAGTAGCATAATAAAAAAATTTCAAAAAGAGATGAAGCACATTTTGAAACGTTAATTAATGTGAATACTTTATATTATTAATGATTCCGCTATAGCTTTAAAAATATGCCATAAATGATATTTCTTAAACAAAGTAGAAAACGGATGTAATTATGAGTTACCATATATCAGAGGTTTAAGTGAAGTACAAATGATTAGTGCGCAAGAAACGTTAAAAAAATTGATTGTTGGACAGAAAAATGTAAAATTCGCCTGTACCAGAGGAGATATAAAGTAATAGTCTTAGCAGAGAAATTACTAATATATCACCAAAACCTTGTCATATTATCAAAAGATATGAATATATAATTTGAGAATCTGTATTGACATCTAGTGGCTAATTTATTTTTCGAATAGATTTCCCTTTTATAAAAATATTTACCAGTTCTTTTATGCTTTTAAATCCATAGTCTTCACAATCAAAAATTGTTAAACAAAGAATAATGAACAAAGAGAACAAATGATAATTGGTTAACATGGTCCAGATTTTCAAATATCAATTATGATTGTATGCTACAATAGAACAAGCTGTTTTACAGAACATATACAGTATTCGTACGTATATATATTGGAAACAGATACACTGATGTATTAACTAAATATTTACTACCAGAATGTCAATATTGTCAATATATTTCCAAAGTTACAATGCAAATTAATAATAAATTTTATGCTTTTTGCTTGAAACTTATCAACTAACATAACTATGGTATAAAGTAGAATAAGAAAAAATAACTCTTCCAATCAATTTATACTTATTATATGCAAAGTGATTTCTTTTTATATCGCATTGCTAACAGTTACGTAACAGTTATAAAATGCTTAAAATAGATGTCAAGATCAGTTGTGCTTTATCGAAGATCTAAACTTACATTTTGGATTAGTTTTCTGATTAAAAAAAACGGATAAGATTGAAGTTTATTTTAATATGATATAATGCCATCTATTGGAGAATTAGGCGAATATTTGTATATTTTTTTAAATAATATTTCTGATGAGAAAGTTGCTTATTCTTAAGGAAAAAATGAAAGTAATACAATATTAAACAATATAGATGTAAATGCAAAGAACCATTAGTAAATATATTACTCAATATTGAAAAATACGTTGAAGATAAACAATATCAATATATCGACTCATTCAACATTTTTTACAAAGAGAAGGAAGAAAACAGAAAGCTGTTGAGTAATTTTACAAAAATAATTAAGGATTGACGTCAATTAACTAACCAATTATTGTCTTATATGACGCGTAAGGAAAATCGTTTGATGAGTTTTTCTATGAAACCAGAATAGCTGACTTCGGCACATTAATGTATTAATTGTAATTTTTACTAAGTAAAAAGTATTTACAGTAGACAATCCCAGTTATGAAACGTAATATTATGTGAATGTTAGCTTTTCCTTTACGTATTTAATATATTATTAATCAATCTAATATTAAAGGTAATTTAATAAGATTAATTGTCAAATAATGCTGCGAACGAAATGAATCTCTTATTTCTAAAAGGAGCAAAAATTCTAATTAACGATTTAATGAGGATGGAAGAGAGCTTTTCAACTTTTCTCTGTAAAAAGAAAATATTATAGACAAGACATAAGGAAAGAAGAAACTAGGAATGATAATTTTATAAATTGTATTGTAAACGATAATAGTATAGCTGAAGAGAAAATACATATTTATATATATATAAATGTAAAGAAATATGCTGATTTATCTACTATTATCTGATAAATCCTCAGATTATATAAAAAATCTCTTATAAAAATAAATAAAGATATCAGAAATGAAAGTAATATATTGATTTAGACGGTACAAATAATAAAAATAGCTGTGAAATTTTAACCTCAAGAATAAGCACATTTTTAAATATTCTCCTAGAAAGATATAATTGTCGGGCAAAATCTTCATTTATTAAAAGAATAATTTCTCTTTTGATCAAATATGATTAAAAGTTAGAATTCTTTTTAAAAATATTATAAAATTAACAATTAAGCCGAAATGATCTAAAAAAAGGAGATGGAATTTTTTTTCGTTTATCGGTAATGATTTGTTTTTTAAATTAAAAGAAATACCGACAGTTTTATGAATAGATTACTATTATTAAAAGCAGTTTGAATAGTTTGATAATTGTATGTGATAAGTTGAAATTTCCTGAAAAGTTTCTATAGGTCAAATGTACTAGAATAATAGAACAAAATATGAATAACGATCCATTGAACACGTTACTAATGGCCAATTTCTCTTAATTTGTATATGTTTTAGATGTTTTTTTAAGGGATTATACCAATACATGTTTGGAATCAATTTAATAATTTAGAAGGTATAGAAATAGCGTCTTTATTATTTAAAGAATGATTGTTGAGGGCAAATACTATTGTACTTTAAACATCTGTATTATTCATTATAAGGTCATTATTCAACTTACATTTACAGAACTATTTGTCAAAGTCCAAAAGCGAAAGTATTGTAGAATTATAATATGCTAACGCCACCTAGTTGATATAATAGAGACTTCTAGAAAAGAAAACGTATAATCAAGCATTTAGTAATAATTTTCTTTTCTTTTAATCTGCAGATTGATCGATGCTCTTAAAGTAAATATTAAAAATTTATCTTTAAATCAAAAGACTTTAGTTCCCTGTCAACTAGAGAAAATTACTTAACAAGGGGAATTCTATCATCTTTACAAGGCTTTTAGAAAATGGTCTCAATGTTTACGTAGGAAAATCATATCTCTGCTGGTCTATGACAATCTAAATCATTTGGATGAAGAGAATTCGTATCAGGAGTTAAAAGCCACAAATTAATAATATGTAACAAGTAGTCTGTAACAAGTCATTTAATATTTCATTTCTCAGTTTTGAGGTATAAGTAAGAATGAATTCTCTTATTTCAATACCGATAAACGACAGTATTGGCCACCGATACGCCCATTTTATAAAATCTATGAATTGTTTGATGGATTACACAGAAACGAGTAGGGTGTAATGCATTTTCTATGTATTTCTATAATATTTACGACTAAGATTATCTCCATTAAGAGACATCATTTACATATCAATTTTCTTTTACTTCTCAGTATAAGGTTATGTTTATAAATAGCTCTATTTTCCTTAATAAACTAATTAATATGGTACAAACTAAGCATGTCGCAATAAAATCATGATTTAAGTTACATTTACGCAAAATTTCGACAAGTATACCAACCTGTTTAAGCTATTAGCGCCTTCTGGTTGACATATAAAGAATCAATAGAGAGTTAATTAAGAAAAATTAAGTTGCAATTATTCGTATTTTTTCCAAAGCAACTCTTGATTTCAAGTCTTTGAGAAAGATAGCTCATTCAATTTTCCTCGAGCAATCCTTTCAATTTGGAATATAAAGCTTACAGTAGAATCTATATACCTTTGTCTGCTCACTAAATAAGATAATTAGTGTTGAATTATAGAACATTTTATTCACTAAATAGATGGCTATATATAAAATTTTCATTGCTGTATTAACATACCGAAAAGTGCAAATGCTTCTTTGGAATTATATCTTGCTTTTTCTTTTCTCTTGTCTGGGGAGCTTCGCATCAACAGTTGATGAATGTGATATTTCGGTAGAAGAGAGAATTCGTGTTGGAAATAAAGACATCACAAGTCAAGAATGTGTTTCAGACAAACTTGTACATGTGGCTTGCTATTCAATTGACTATGGCTGCTATAGAAGTAAAACTGCGGTTCCCGGCTTTCAATTCAGACATGGTGACTCTTATTCTTTTGACATTATCAACCCTGAGAGTAATAATTTCGCGGATCCTTATGAATGTGCTGGAACTTGCTTGGAAAAGACAGACTGCCAAGGCTTCAGTATATTTCCATCATCCAGTAGGAAATGTCTCTTAAAGAGCAAAAGATTTAAAAGATCGCAACCACACAACAGTCTCACCAGTTATATGCAATATGGTGTTCCTTTCAGTTCGTGTAATACTGGTTCTTGCTTGGAGGCTTCTTATTCGACAGCTGATTTATCTATTGAAGCATGCCATACATCGTGTAAAGCTGATACTGATTGTCTTTATTTTTCTTTAAACGAAGACGGATGTAACCTTCACAAAAAATGTACTATGAATGTTAATAAAGCAAGTAGCGTTGTTTGCTCACGAGAGAGTGTGCTGATATTGTCCACCATCTCTAATAAAGGGATAATCGATCTCTTAACTGATTCACAAAATGAAACTTGTGTTACTATAAGAGATTATGCTCTCACTCTTCGCTTTCCTTTTCCTGGTGTGAACAAACCTCTTGCTCCTCTAACCGTAAATGTACAGGGAAAATCGCTAAACTGTCATAGGGCAAATAGCATACATAACGATGAGGAAGTAGTTGTCTACACCCACAATAGTCCTAATTATGGAACGAGCTTTGAAGGTTTATTTCAAATATGTAGGTTTATATCGTCAAATGAAAAGAACTGTTCATTTGTCTGTGATTGTGGAAGACGCTACTGCGAAGGCGTTTATGTGAAATTTTTTCAAAATACGAATAAATTAGAAATTTGTGAAGTTACTATCAATTAAATGAAAAAGAATTGTGAATAATCTTAATATCTAGTCAAAATACAAATCCATTTATAGAATATCGTAAAGAATTAAGTTAAGCTTATTGGTCAATAAATGACAATCTAAAAAATGAAACGTTTTCTAGAAGAAATATTAGGCTTAGGATAGCATTTTTAATGAGTAGTTTTATAGCACTTTATATAGAAATTTTTTGGTTTCAAATCTGTTAAATATTCAAAGTGGGGTGAAAATATTAAATCATTTAAACAAACTAAGCAATAACTTAAAAACTGTCAAATACAATGGATAAAATTTAAGTGATTTGTTTTCTTGTATCCACAGAATTTGGTCAATATGACACGTGAGATTTCTGTTTAATAAACAGTCAGTGAATATGTTCAATAATCATTTAAAACCAAAGATTTCCAATTTTCTTCCTGTAATTCATGACTTGTAAAGCTATATAAAAGGGAAAATCTTTCATATATCTAGAAGGAATCACAGTTTCAAAATGCTCTTGTTACTTTTTCTTATACAATCGTCCAGCTCTCAAGTGACTCAAACTGGTGAATGTGATATTGATGTTAGTAAACGAATTCGAATTGGTAATCAACAAATTACGCCAGTTGAATGTATGAGTGATGAACAAGAAGCTTTTGCCTGTTATGACAGTTCATATGGATGTTATAGAAGTAAAAATGATATTGTTGGCTTTATCTATAAACATGGAGATTCTGGGGCTTTCGATTTGTTCGACAGTGAAAGTGAAGAAAATGCAGCAATGGACATTCAAGTTTGTTCGAAACTCTGCTTACGAAATTCCGACTGCAAAGGCTTCACTTTAGCAAGTTTTAAACATCTTGGAAGATATTGTCACCTTAAAAATAAGCGATTTAAAAGAACAACCGGTTGGGTTACAACGATGGTCAGCTATGATAGATATGCTGTAAAAGTATCATCTTGTGAGACTGGTGAATGTACGGAAACAACACTTCAAACATATTCTAAAGATGCTGTAACTTGTAAATCTTATTGCGAAAGTAATCCGGCATGCAATTACTATTCTTTGACACCATCCGGATGTCAGTTGAAAGATAAATGCACTGTTTATAAAAATGCTGCTAATAGTTTCTCCTGCACGAAAACAGTAGCTCTAGTGTCAAAGTCTATATATTTCAATGAAAATAGTTTAACTAATGTATCCGATTCAGATGAATCTACGTGCGTATGGTTGAAACCTAGTCCATTTGTACTTAGGTATCCTTTTCCCCAAGTTGATGCTCAGTTAAATTCCTTGACACTCACAATAAAAGGCTCACAATTATCATGCATGGCTGAGAAGCTAGATTTAATAAATATAAATAGTTTATTTGTTTACATTCCATTGGAAAGAGTCTATACAACAAGTTTTACAGGATCGTTCAAAATATGTGAATTATTATCTTCTAGTTCAATTGAATGCACGTATATATGTGATTGCCAAGAGAGATATTGTGAAGGAATATATGTGAATGCTTTTTCAAAAGATGGTGGACCAAGAGTATGCGAAATTCAAATATGATTAAAAAAGATTGTATAATACTTAAACGAATGAAATATATTTTTAACTAATAACATCTGACTGTTTTCATAAACATTATTAATATTAAATTGATATACTGTATGAATTTTTTATTTACGTCGATAATTCCGCCCCCATCCCTTCTATAACTAAAGAAAAAATTTACATTATCTCGCCTTATATTAATTACTGTTAAAGATTATTACTCCTATTATTCCTCTTTTACCATTGATTCTTCTATGTCAGGTGATATATACCGTCTTCCGATGTCACATGTTTTCTACCGTGAAGGCCATATAGGCTGCTATTATTCAATAATCACAATTATAAACAATGATCACTTATTCTTTAACCTGAAAGTATATATTCAAACATAGATGTATCAACTTAGGTAACATTCAAAATCATTAATTTTCGACGGTATATTTTCAATCAATAGGCTAATTCTTGTAATTATTAAAACATACGCGACATTACATCTTGGAGAATAAGTGACAACAGATTCTGTTAATTCTTTATTAGTATAGAAAAGAATAGTTAATTATTGATATTTTTCAGAAAAAGCTAACCCTTCATCGAAACAACTACAGTTTTATCTATTTGGCCAAAGTTAGGATATAATATTTTTGTTTCGACGTTTATGATCTTGTTTGTCAATCTAGTGCGATAATGAATATATTAATGAAATTCATCTGTTTTGAAATAGATATAGATTTAGTTCTTTTTAAATAGTATAGATGGCACTTTCACTTAAACTTAAAACTGAGGAAAGAGTAAGCGCATCATTAACTACTAAATAAATATACTTTAATTAGTCGTCATATACTTGACATACTTTTTGCCAACCAATTCAAGAACGAAATTGGAGGTTAGATCAATGGAATATTGAAGAGTTTTTTAAATAAAAACGAATATTTCATGGCTAAACTTGTTCAATGAACAATACAAGATATCAATATATGGTCAACAAAGATTATTATTGGGAAAAATCCATATCAAAAATATACACGTTATTAATTGTAAAACCTTAAAGATCTTCATATTAATCCATTCTATCTTGATAATCTTGCAGGAAGAAAACTTTAAACTTTTGTTCCTAATATTTAAATATGAAAGTTTTTAATTCAATACTTGTTCTATTTCTTATTCAACAATCTTCTTTGGGTCAAGTATTTCAGGATGGAGAATGTGATACTGAAGTTAAAGATAGAATAAGAATAGGAAATGATCAAATTACACCATCTGAGTGTATGTCTGACCATACAAAACGCTTTGCATGCTATGAAGCTGGCTACGGTTGTTATAGGAGTAAAAACGAAATATCTGGATTTGTTTATAAACATGGAAATATTCTTTTTCAGGATCTAGAAGGTATAGAGGGTATATTAACAGCCCAAGATTGCGCTACCGAATGCTTGTTAAGAGCGGGCTGTTTGGCCTTTTCAATCCTTAATTTTAAGTATCTAAATATGTATTGCTTTCTGAAGACAAAATCATTTACTGCAGCAACACACTGGACTAATAAAAGTGTTAGTTATGACAGAATTGCTTTTCCCCAACTGAGCTGTTTCAGTGGAGCGTGTTCAGCCGTCGTTTTGACGAGTAGTACAGCAATAAATCCAGTTAGTTGTCATTCACTGTGTACTAGTACTAGTCAATGTACTCATTTCGTTCTTTACACTGAAAAATGTGAACTCTTTTCAAGTTGCCCTAATAATGTAAATGCTGTTAACAAAGTTACTTGTACAAAGTCTTCAATCCTCCTGTCCAAAGAGGACGTATATACTTATACGAGCATTCCAACGTTATACGATTCTGATGATTCATCTTGTGTCTCTCTGAAAACTTCTCCTTTTAATTTGCGATTTCCATTTACGGAAGTAAACAATGCTCGCAACGGTCTAAGAGTTACAATAAAAGGATTAAATTTAAAGTGTTCAATAAACGATATAAATTTTGAAAACAGTAATGTATTTGTCTATGTTCCGAGTGAAAAAGCATTTGATGCAACATTTATAGGCACATACAAAATGTGTTCACTTACATTATCAGCATCTTCTGAATGTACTTTTATCTGTCTTTGTGAAAATAGATATTGTGAAGGTATTTATATACGCGCCTTTAAAATTCAAGATGAAAGTAAAGTCTGCGAAACAAGTTTGAATTTTATTTGAATAGTAATCATACACAATAAACAATGAAATTTATTGCATAAGAATATACTGTTTAATATATTAAAACTGGTTTTATTGTGAGGCAATTGCCTACAAAATTTTCAATTGTTATTTGTATTTTTCTGCTTTTCTTGTTTACAAAGTTGAATGGATTTTCATGTTCTTATTATGTTATACAGAATTCAATAAAATGTATAGAATATTAATAATTGACAAACCAATCAACTGTCAAAAATTGGCTAATATGTATTCGGTTTATTGTATTTCTTATTATATTTATAAATGTCCTATAATGTTGTTGGCAGATCTGTACTAAATCTGGAACATTTAGTAATGATTGAAGGAGTTTGTCTTATTAAAAAGATATTATTTGCGGCTTTTTACTAAAAGATGGCATTTCTAAAGCTAATAACAAATATAAGTACCATTTCGTTTGAATAGTATGTTTACTAAATCATATGATATCCTTAAGACAATAGTAATATACAGTATAATATATATTATTGCGCAATTTTTAGAATGGTATACGCTGCTTTTTATCACAAACTTGTAATATATTCTAAGATTTTTCATTTCCTGGTTTAAAGACTGTAGTACCTCTATAAAGAGACGATCCAATAGGATCTCAATGAGCATGTTCAGCAAATGTGGTTGATTTAAAAAAACACAATATTGTGTATACTGCCGAATGAAGGGAATATGATTAATTAAACATTTAAATCGTTTATTGTTTACAAGAAGAAAAAACTGGAATTCAGTATTTCTACGAACGCTTTATGTAAAGTATAAAGAGCAGAGCATATTCTATATCTAAATCTAAAATACAGCAGAAAGAGCTTTTAAACTTAGTCTAGCAGACTAGAATCTATCAATTCATGTAATCCTTAAGATTTTAGGATTGTCAATTTTCCTTTGGGAGATAAAATCCATTTTACTCTGCAATGGATATATACGTATAAGATATGTATCATCAGTTTATCTAATATCTCCTATACGCTCTAATAATCTTTATTTATAATGTAAGTACTCTAGATCAATAGTCTTCGATAAAGAATATCGGCAGAGAACATAGTCATGACAAACATGTTTTCTATGTTATTTGCAAATTTTATAGGATTGTACAAAACGTACAATAGATGGCATTTCTTGTTTAGCGTTTCTAGAAAATGAAGATTGTATTGAAAGCAGGAGAGATAAAGTAGACATTAGAAAGAGAATTGTAATAACCGCCAAAAGATAGGAAAACTAATGATTTATTTATCATTATATTAAGAAATCTTTAATGATTGAGTTAATCCGAGTACATTATCTCTACATTGTGTATATGGTTTAAAAGAAAAATTTGACAAGTATCGATATACAAGCTAACAAAGGGAATGTTTATTACTCTGCACACTTAATATATTTCATTATTCATCAATAAAACTAATAAATACATAAAAAAAACACCTCATCTTGACAAACTCATTTCTTAAAATAAAATCTTTATTGATTGACTATAAAGAGGTTATTTGCTTTTTAAGTCGAAGATTTAAGACTTCTAGGAATAGATCTTCAAAACGTTGAGTGCTCATAAAATTCATTATATAGCATGTTTCTATATGTTTAATAGAATGTAGATAGATTCTGTTTAATTAATGAAGGAGAAAACAGCTTCAAGAAAGTAATTCTTCCATCAATTACTAGTATATAATCTCACATATTTGAATGTTTTCTTTAGACACAAAAAACTCTATATAAAGTCCTTCACAAACTCTATTACCACATTTGCAAGAATAGACACATTCGCTTGAGTTTGATGATAACAAGTTACAATTTTTGTAGAATCCAGATAATCTTAGATCAAAGACGGGTTTAGCTGGAATATATACCATTATATTGCTTGAGTTATCAGAATTTTGTATATTATCATCGCATATTAACGATGATCCGACAATGGAAACATTAAACGGCTTGAAAGGATTATTAACATTAGGAAAAGGAAAACGCACTGTAGAAGTCGTTGACTTTAAAACTGTACATGTTACATTATTTGAATCAGTTACAATATCAGAAATTTTTGTATCGTAATAGGACAGAATTTCTGTTTTTATTGAACATGTAATGGTTTGAAATCTATTCTTCTTTAAAGTGCATTTTTTGTATAAATTACAACTATCAAGGGAAATTGAAAAGTAATTACAATTTCGATTTGATTTACAAGCTTGTTCGCACAGTGAAAAATTTTTAGAACTGTTCTCAAAGGCAGTTTCAAGGCATGTTCCCTCTTCGCATGATAAATTTTCCGAAGCGTATCTAGAAAAACTAAAGAAATTATTATGGTCTTCTCCTTTAAAAGTAAATTTTCTGCTTATATGACATACATCATCTGTAGATTTATATGAAAATCCTTTACAAGTATTATCTGTTACACAAGCTTTCCAACAATCTTCAAGGGAGTAATCGTCTCTCCTATCATCTGAAATAAAGAATCCATGTTTGAATTGAAATCCAGGAAAAATATCGTATTTGCTTCTAAAGCAGCCATAATTTGAATCAAAACATTTAAAACTAATAGTTGAGTCGGATATACATTCATTAAAAGTTATTTCTCTGTCCCCTAAACGATTTCTTTCGGCTATAGGTATGTTACATTGGGAATTATCATTATTATCAGTTAAAATGATTGAAATCTTAATAAAGAATAAGAGAACTTTAAGCATTTTCTCTATTATTTTTTTCTCTTCTCACTGTTATAAAGGTAAACTTCAAATAGAAGAAAAGAAAGTTATCATCTATATTTATATCAGAAAAGATGTGCATCAACTATCGAGATTTAAACGTTTTCTAAATAAAATTCTTTTACATAGCTTACAGAACAAACAACGTAAAATAAAAATGTTTAACATTAATTAAGAGAGATATTAGACAAACAAAATGTCTAATTGGTATATATATATATATATATATATTTCTATCAATTGCGAGAGCATACATATTCTCTTCTCGATTAATATACTCTGAACAAACCAAAAGACTTTCTTGATAGTTGTTGTCCTCTTCCTTTCGAAGGAAACGTTCAATAAAGCCTCTCTGTAACGCATAATACGCTTTTTAAATTCTTTTTAAAGAGGTTAAATATGGTATTGCAAATAAGATAAAATTAATTTAAATTAAAGGTTAATGACCTATTTGGATTGTGTAGAAAAGGTTGTTGTTGTTTTGTTTTGTTTTTTTATCTTTTTTCTGCATTTCTGTCAGTCTCCTTTATATTGTAGATTGTTTTATTGAAATAATCAATGACAATTGATTTTAAGTGATAAAATTACGAAACTCCTTAATTGTCTCTTTTTGGAAAACCTAATAGTATAATATACTCTAGTAAAAGTCTTATATTGAATTTCACTAATTACTATTAAATATTTCGATAAATTTTGTTTTCTCTAAGAGAACCGTTTTAAAGTAGCATCCGTCTGTTTGCATACATTGTTTGACTAGAATAAACATATACGGTCTAGTCATTGAATTTTTGAACTTGGCGGATGTTCTGAAGCTGCATTTGCAAGTGAGGAACAGGATGTACCGGGTTGTAAAACACTCTGTAAAAATAGATCGGATTGTAATTACTTTTCTCTAACACCATCTGGATATGAGGTTAAGGAAACATGCAGGGTGAATAGAAACACGCAAAGTATTATTTCTTGTTCTAAATCTACCGTAATTTCATCCAAATCAGATTTCTTTTTACCAAAAAAAATATAGAAATAGTAACGGGCTCTAATTTTACAAAATTTGTATTACATAGAATGCAAAGCTCATTCGTAGTTAGATTACACTTTCCAGGAAAGAATAAGTAATTTGGTCCATTTCTAGACCTAATGAAAGGATCATCATTTTTATTCTCAGAAAATGAATTTGAAAATAGAATTGTCTGCTTTTGAAATGAATCAACGTTTGATATAAAATTTTTAGGATCTACAAGAGTATGTAATCTAATATAACAGGGTTCTACAGAATGTAATTTCTCTAGTAATTGTGATGATGGATTTTTTTCAGTCAGTTCATATATATATATATATATATATATATATATATATATATATATATACAGTGTATGAGAGGGAGAGAGAGAAGATAAGAAAAGAAAGAATAAAAGAAGGAGTGGATAGATAGGCAGTTGTTTCATAAGAAAAGAGTACCAATTTCTATTGAGTAGATGATTAATATAAGCATCTTTCAAGAGAAAATACTGTAATGTCACTATATGATAGGTTTATTGATCAATTTAAAATACTGAATAGAATAATAATCACAGAATAAAAATTTACACAAGCAAAAGCATGTGTTTGAGCAAAAGTCTGATCGATTTTTATATAATATAATATATCTTTTGATCGACTCTTTTGTTCCCCTCTCAGTTGTTGATTTTTCATTTATTTAAACCAACATTTACAAGATCATAGAAGGCTCCTTTTTTGCTTAAAAGTTCTGAAGCACTACCAAATTCAACAACTTTACCACTATCTAATACCGCAATTTTATCGCAGTCCATAATTGTATTTAGTCGGTGGGCAATGACTAGCATTGTACATTCTGAAAAGTTCTCTCTAAGCACTGTTTGAATTACAGCGTCAGTGTGATTATCTATATTAGCAGTTCCTTCATCAATAACAATAACATAACTCTTTTTTAATAAAGCTCTTGCTAAACATATAAGCTGTTTTTCTCCAACACTTAAATTCTTTCCAAACTCGGCAACTTTTGATTCTAATTGATCATACTTACTCAATAGTTTATCTGACATTTGAACTTTGTTTAACGACATCCATATTTCTTCATCTGTATATTCTTCAAAGGGATCTAAATTTTCTCTAAAACTTCCGGAGAATAGGAAAGGATCCTGAGGTATAGCCGATATAGCAGATCTGGCCTTTCTTAATGGTACATCTTTGAGAATGTTAACGTGATCAAAAAGAATTTCCCCCTCAGGTTGTGCTAATTGAAATAAAGCAGATAGTATAGAACTCTTTCCGGCTCCTGTTCTTCCAACTATTCCAATCTGTGTTAGAGGTAGTACATATATTTATAAATATACTGTATATAGTGAAGATAAACTACTATTCCGTATATTATTTATACTAATTTATGTTGATTATTTTACCTTTTGAGATGATTTTATTTTCAAATCAACCGAATGTAAAACATAGGGAAGACTCTCTTCATATTTGTATGACAGATTATTAAAGACTAAACCACCACTTGTGGGCCAATGTGGTGGAATAATACATTTTTTTTTTTGAATAGAATCTTCCGATTGCAGTTTTGTATATTCGGATATTCTTTCGACAGATGTCATCTAACAGTAAAAAAAAATAATCTTATTGATAAAATTAATAAATAAAATAACTTACGGCACTCTCCAAATCGCTAAGGACCCTAAAAGCAAATTGAGTTGGAGTAATAAACATATTCAAATAGGTCAAGGCTAAAGCAGCTATGGCTGGATGAATATATTTGGCAAAGTAAGCGCAGGCCAATGTGGCGAAGAAAAGAAACAAGACCAGTAATGATCCATAGGCTAATTGGATAAATCTGTATAAGTTGAGTAATAAGAAGGCAACCTTGGTATGAGTGTCGCTGAATTCGTAAAACTTTTTCATAAAATCCTTTTGCCTTTTAAATGTTCGAATGCTCACCAACCCATGAATAGTGTTATCTACATGATCGAAAATAGGACTTCTTTCGATAGCTTCCAACCTTTTTAGTTGACTGATATACGGCGTGATTTTCAAGAAAATAAATATCATACAACCCAAAATTGCCAGGAAAGGTATTGATAATAAATAAACGCTGGATATAGCCAAACCGATAGCAAACAAAGTTGCCCCAAACCAGGTAACACAATCATCAAGGAGAGGACCAAGAAGAGTATCAACGAAGCCTAAATCCCTAGCAAATCTATTCAATATTCTTCCTTTTGGATTAGTGTGGAAAAATCTCAAAGGTACAGTCATTATCTTCTTAAACATCCTATTATGAAAGTTTACCGAGCACAAGGCAACATTTATAAAGAAAGTTGCTTGTCTTGCAAAATCCAAAACGATAATTAAACAAACAATAGTAAATAAAGGATATAATTTAGTAATTGTATCATCCCATGTTTTACCAAGATAATGGCTAAGAATCCTATCAAACCAAATTTTAAGACTGTATACAACTATAAAAAGCATGAGAGATAAGGTAAAGAGGAAGATACTTCCGCTTCTTATATACTTAATATAAGTTTTTAAACCAGAAAAACCTTGCTCTCTACTTTCTTCAACAATAAAATTTTCTGTAGAGCTTAATTCGACATCTTTGACATGTTTTTCCTCGTCATCATTACTTTTAACAGACTCCCTATTAATTTCCTTCAATTTCCCATTACTCATTTCATAAAGTATATCAACTTGTTTTAAACAATCAACCTGATGACTAACCAATATAACATATTTATCCTTAAGAAATCCTAATACACATTCCTCCATTAATTCTTTAGCGACGTGTCGATCAACTGCACTAAGAGGGTCATCTAGCAGATACAAATCCGCCTTTCTATATATGGCTCTTGCTAATGAAATTCTAGCTTTTTGACCACCGCTTAACATAAAACCTTTTTCTCCAACTAGAGTTAAATCTCCAAACGCTTGCGCTTCAATATCCTTTTTGATTGGACAACAGAAAAAGTCAGTTATTTATGTCATAATTACTTTAGTTGTCTTTTAATCTTTAAAACCAACCTTTTGAAGGGAACAAGCTTTTAGGACTTCTCTATACCTTTTTTCATCGTATGTTTCGCCAAAAAGTATATTTTCTCTTATTGTGTCATGAAAAAGCCACGACTCCTGAGGCATGTAGGAAATACTACTGGTGACCGAAGTCTTTCCTCTCAAGGCATTTATCTCTCCTAATATTGCTAGTAACAGTGTTGACTGTAATAAAATAAATATAATTTATTACAAAGAGCAGTTGAGCATAAATTCATCATTTTTTATTTTATTTTACCTTTCCCGAACCAACTGCACCAGAAATTCCAATAAGTCTCTTCTTACCAGACTGAAATTCTATATTTTGAAGAAAATTTTCGGTTTTTCCTTTTTTTCCATAATTCTATTTGATGATATTATTTCATTTCAATAATTAATGGATTTTTACGTATAAATTAGATAACGATTACCATCCATCCTGTATGTAAATTTTGTATAGATAATATATCTTTTTCGTCTAAAACTTCTGTTTTTTTCTCGCTGCCAATTCCATGATGGTCTAGCTCAGTTAACATTATCTATTTGAAAATATTTTAATTAACATTAAGACTAAATTGCTGTATTAATTAAGACGTAAAACAAACTTGTACTCTTTTCATAGAAGCTGTACATTCGCTAGCGAAAAAGAGAGCCTCTGGAAACATTAGAAAGCATGGAGCTTCCAGAGCCATTACTAAAGCCATTAAATGAAAAAATGAGGGTAGAGACATACTATGATGGTAAGAGAATACATATGTTATACTGGTGAGAAAGAGTGTTATTTTTGCTCCACTTAATCCAATAACTTTGTAGAATACTCTCATCATAAATGATACAAATATCTTAAAAATTTCTTTCTTTCTTAAAGTTTGAATAACTGATATGAAATGTCTTTCCCAAACCAACATCTTAATTGCTTGCATACCGCTAAGAACCTCATTCATTGTATTGACTCTTTTATCAGTCTGCTTTGCTATCCTATATCGCATTGAACCTTGTCTGGACGCTAATACACACTGCAGTGATACAAGAAACAAGACTGTTCCAAAAACCGTTAATGAAGTATATATTCCATATGAAAAGCCAATTACAAAAACAATCGTTAGGGCAGTAAATGGTCCCGAAAAAAGATGTAAAACTCTTATAAAGAATTGAGGTATCTTTTCAAGGTCGTTTGAAAATAAACTAATCATATGACCAGATGATATATGATACAATGTTTCATAGTCCAAGGTAAGAACCTGGAACCCCCCAAGAAAAAGACATATCCTACCTTTAAAAGGTATCTTTTACAAAATTTTATCGAAAGACTGACCTTTTGATATAGTATAGATGAAAATGCGCATCTTATTCGAATACCTGTCTCTTCCATACGATAGACGCTATATCTTTGAATAACAAAAGATATGGCATTTAAAGGGGCTGTTGAACGAAATTATCATTTGTATGATTATTAAAAGAATATAATTATAGGTATGTTGTTGTAGCATACCAATAACGCCAGCCTTAATATACGTCAAGTAATTAGTTGTCTTTTGAATATCTGTGATCAAGCTTCTAATTAGGAAGGCAAATGAAATTACCAACACATCCTGAAATATACATAAAAAATCTTAAATATAAAATTATAACATAATTAGTTCAGTTTTCTATCAATTCATTCAATCATTTTATTAATTACTCATTCATAAAAAAATACTTACTCCTATAAATTTAAACAATAACGATACTAAAAAGTCCACTAAACAAAATCTCATGATCCCTAGCATAACTGAATATCTCAAAGTATTATCTTTTTTTCTAAGTATTCTAAAGAAGAAGAGAATTCGATATATGATAACATCTTCTACGATTTGGTTTATATATCATATTTATATATACATACTTGTCCATCTTCTTATGTAAATCAGCAGCGCAGTGGTCAGGTAGTTTCTCATATTTTGATATTCTTTCCATCCAATCATCCTTACCTATGACTTTGTTAACCCAACTGTTTAAATGTAAAGAAAAAAAAATAGTTAAAAATAAGATAAAGAAAATAAAAGGCTATTAGAGCAAACCAGAAGGTAAACTTGGTAAACCAGTTGGAATTGACATAAGGATGCGGAATAGACATGATTAAAGCTCCAAAAATTGACTTAACTGAAAGAAACAATATATAAAAATATATTTTAAATCAAAAAATAGACTAACAAACCTATAAAGTGTAATAACGCAAAATACTAATAATTTCAGTTATGAACCGCATCCGTTCACTTCCAACATATGTTTCATTATTTTTGGGCAAAACATTGATATTTCATATTACATGCAAACTCATGACGCGTACTTCCATCCAGATTTGTCATTTAGATAGGGGATTTTAACAATGAAAATTTTATGATGAAAACATGTGTTTAATTTCCTATTGGTCTATAATTCTGAATTTATTATCACAACATCCGAATTAATTAATGAATATGACGTGAATAGCTAAAATTAAATTTCCTTTTCACCTCATGATCATACCGCAATATCTGTATCAATAGCGCCTGCATGAAATAAATTAACCCTACAACGTACAGTTACATGCAATATAAATGGACACTAAATCTTTATCAGTAAAAAATTGAATATTTTCTTTCATTACTATAATTGATGTAAAAATTATTACAAGAGGTTAAAGGTTAAATTGTAACAATTAATGAATCAGAAAAGGAAAATAGAAATAATTGGGGCGTAGTTGTTTATATTTTTCATTAAGTAAATTAGTTTCATTTAAGACTTTCTACGTATACAGTTTTAACCTTTTGATATTTTTAATCATATTCACCCGGCTTAGAATTATTGCTCTCCATCTAACATGTACCTACCTAGCGCTTATTATTTCCCTTAACAGAGTCTATAACTTATTAATTAAACTTCAAATATAGACTTTTATATGTCTAATATAACAAAACCAATTAAAATGAGTAGGAAGTTGATTAACTAAAAGAGTTTATTTATTACTGTATGGTTTTTTTAAATTATAAGAATTAAGGAACTGAATAATTTATTAAAATATTTACGATTCTAATAGTAAATTATGTTTATAGTCTTTTTTTTATTATAAAAATACAGTGTTCTCCTTTAAAAATAGACGCTTATTTACGTTTTAAATATGTAGGAAAATATAGGTTGAAAGCTATCTACCCTTTTAATTCATTCATTATCCCATCTAAATCACATTATAAAATTTGAAATAAAAGTAACTATATGAACTGTTGACAAAGGGGATTCGTACTGCAAATAGTTTCAGCCGTCACCGTCAATCAATTGGTTGGCGATAAATGTTTAATTTGAGTGAAATGTTCCCTCTTCTAGTGACAAAAATGACTTGATTTCTCTCTTTTTATTCTTATTATTTATAATAGAATAATAAACATTGTAAATTTATTTTCTCCTATAGGACTATTTAGTAGAGAGATCCATTATAAAATATCAAAAGAAATAGATATATATATATTAAATATACGGTATATAAAGTATATTTTTAAACTGTATACTTTACAAATACTAAATGCACTATATATTAATTTATCATACAAGTAGTTCATTTTTAAATTATTAATTAGTATATTGTATTAAATAAACTATCCTGATTTATCTCGACAGAGTCGTAATCAATCTTACTTTCTAAATTCACTTTTGGACCTCCCTCAGTGTATGAAAATTAGTTTTCTAATTGTCTTTTCTCCCTTGATTATTCATTTAGCAAAACGAGGACTGATAATATTAAAATATATTATATACGATATGCAGTATATACTAATTTAATATCTGATTCTCAGTAAATGGATAAAATCAAATATCGATAAAAAGTGATTAAAAGGAAAAAAAAGTATAAAAGGTCTTACAGTTACATGAACAAATACTAAACATAGGGAAATAAAAACTATACTCTGTTTCCTGAAATGTTTAAAGGGAGCAGAGAAAATGAAGAGAATGAAAACATATTTTATTATTCAGAATATTTGGGCCTATCTTAACTGATTTCCTAAAATTAGGCTACTACTTCTTCGTTTCATATCTAGTGATTCGTCTAGGTTATGAAAGAGCAAGAAAAAGAAATATATAATCCAATATTATTCTCAAGAAATGATGACCAACTCCAACCGGAAGTTAGATTATTAATTTCTCTTTCTGATCTTTCCTTTATTATTTTTCTAATATTTAATATAGTTTTCTTACAACTTTTATAAACAGAATCTAAAGTTTAGATATGTTATTACTGGACATCTGAAACATGTGTACAACGATAAGAGGGTATAAACTTATTCAATTTTATCTTATTAATGGAAAACTATCACTTAGACGAGCAACATTTTCTCTATTTTCCTTTTTCAGTCTCTATAAATCCTAGCTTATTCTTTAAAATAAAGTAGATGTAAAAATTAAAAGATAACAATGGCTTGAGATAAGATAACAATTTAAATCTGAGAAAGTATTACATTTGGTAACTTATTAATAAACTATGATGTATATTATTTTTCAATATATATATTTATATATATATATTCTTTGTTCTTTTTTTATAAGGAAAAGCAGCAATAGTCTAGACTATAATTCTTTTATATTTAGCTCTCTCTCTCTCTCTCTCCCCTCTCTCTCCCCTCGCTCTCTCCTTCTGCCATATCAGTTTTTTACCTGATTTCCATTCTTTATACTCATCTCTTCTCGCTTACTAAAGCAAAGCTTTCAAGCTGTTAACAGAAATGTTCTTATGTAATAGCGAGTAGATTCCCTACTATTCGGCTATGTTTAGTCATAGCAGGGGATCCAACTAACCTACTACTGTGCTAAGATTTTCAACAGTGTTTGCAGGCCCTATTTCTGTTTGCATTATATTTCCTTTTATTTTCTTTGTCAGATATTTTTCCTATTAAGCTTGATTTTTTTTAGATTAAGTCAACTTTTCTATATCTTCTGTCTTTTATGGAGATCATATCCACTTGAAAGTTTCCGGGAAGAAGGATAGAGATTATCAAATTAATTATAAACCATATACATTCTGTGGAATATAGTTTCTACTTTGGTTTATAAATGTAGTGCGTTTGAGGTTTTTGGTTTTATTATCGCTTTAGAATTCTTTCTTAAAGGACGAAATAGCTAACACGTATTTGAATTGAAATAACAGGCTTTTAGTGAGAATGTAAATCTTTCAACTTTTAAATTATTCATCTTTCAGTCATTCTAGCGAAGGGGCCGATTACTATTTTCAAAAAATAAAAAAAATAAATTATAGGTGTCGCTAGTAGATTAGTTCTTTAACCTCTCTTTTACCTATAATCTATTCTTTATGGATGCAATGTATGTGTAAACGCTACTTAATAGATATGCTATTAATTCTATACAAAAAAGACGTAATAATACGATAGGAAAAATAGAGTTTGTTAATTAAAGAACTTTACATTGAGAGTAGTTTTGCGTTGTTCTTTTATCGATTACAAAGTTAGTCGTACATTATGAAAATGTGACTTTATAAGTACTTTTAAGCTAAAGAAATATAAACGACCCGAAAAGAGTAATACATAGATTATACTAGAGCAATTTTAAGCATACTTCCTTAAACCGTTAACGTTCTCCATCGCTAGTGAATGCTGCCCATATAATAAAAGTAATAAAGAAATCAAGAATAAAATGTATTGCGCAATCAAGCATCTTTGGTCCTAAACTAAGCTGTATTCGAAGACTAGGCTTGCGAATGAAAGATAGGAAAATTTTTATTCTCTTTTGAGAAAATATTCAGTATATTTTTCATTCGTAAAATTCTTGTTTTATCACTCAACAAATGTTTAAGTAACTCCTTAAATGAGAATGTAAAAAATATAAAAGTATTCTTTAAATTATTTCACATTTCATATAGTAATATAAGCAAAACTTCAATTAAAATAAGCTCTTTAATTTAACTTAAAATCGATACTGTAAATCGTCACGCACAGCTGAGATCCAACTGCAAAAAAAAACTGCAAAAGCCAGTTGAGGCTCGTCAAAGCGTCACACTATCGACTACAAAAATTTACGATTTTCACTTCCTTCTATACTTTTTCACTTTACAAGAAATATATTGACTTAAAAAGAGGGTAAGTTGATAATTTTGTTTTACAAAGTGTTAAAATTAACAGCATGGAAGATTTCCTCATCGAATGATTCTATCAATAAATCAATGAGAGGATCAGAGAGTGCACAATTTCGACCAGGCAAAATTCTTTTTACTCGTTGCAGATCGATCGATCGAGCGTCTCTCCTGTCTACTCGAAAAACGTTCTGAAATGATCTCAAGTTAGGCCTATGATCTACTAAGCGCCCAGAATTGTTTTTGCAACATGAATTCTTCAGAACTTACTGTGACACAGGGACAAAGTCACGCTGTAGGTACGTACTTTTGCAGTTTAAGTACGATGCAAGAACTCTATATATATATATATAATTCTTTGTGTTATTTTTTATATCGTTTGCCCAAAAATTATAGAGGTAGAAGCATAATTTTTTCTGTTTAGAGAGAGAGAGAGAGAGAGAATAAAGTAAGAAGAATAAAGATAGACAGATAGATAAACAAAAAGAGATAGAAAGACAGAAAGATAGAGAGATGGAGAGAGAGAGAGGAGAGGAGAGAAGAAAGAAAGAGTAAAAAACATGAAGGAAAAGGAAAAAAGGGAAAAAAAGCATCATAGATGATGTACTAAAATAAGAAAGAATGAAGAAAATGTACCGAAAATTATCATATAAAATTTATATTGCAAAAAGATATATTTATAAATAATGTATATAGTTCTAATTAATTAAAAGAAGAAAAGTTCACTAATTAATAAAGAAGCTTCCTATCTTCTTCTCTCTGTTCTTTTGATAAATAGAAGAAATGAAATCTGCAAAATTTAAAAAAAAGGAGAAATAAAAGTAAAGAGGTAACAAAGTAGCTACTCTCCTAAAACATTCAATGATACTTTTATTCTGCAAAGTGTTTAAGAGCAGTTCCAAGTTTCTTTCAATTTTTTCTCTACTATTACAAGCCCTTCTGGTCTGTCCTCTCTATAATTAGTTGGAAAACGATTAGAATGCTGCACGCTATAGGCCTAATCAATAATCCTTTAAAATGAACTCCTCTTTTTTTCTTATTTTATTATAAAATGAAAAAGAATTTATTCAAATATCTAATAAATCGAGCAGAAAATAGCGAAAATAACAATAAATTACTTAGGGAAAAACATATTGTTCTCCTCTAATCACAAGTATAAAGTTAGCGTGAAATTTAACCGCCTACGCTCAATGATTTTCTTCCCTTTAAAGTTTTGTAGTTTGCTCGAAAAACAAACGCCTATGAAGTACAATAAATGTATATATATATATATTTATATCTACTAATTACAACTCTCCCACAAAATACATATAAATATATTTTCCATATGTCAATACTACATTATATTCTCCTCCTACCCGATAATAGGCCTATCTATTTTACGTTGACGACTAAAAAATGGTTTGCTTCTCAACCAATCTTCGCGCGCTTTGTTACAACCAAAATTAGTAGAAAAAATTGGTTTTGATAAGGTGACGGGTACTTCCATTACACTAAATATATATTCCATGTATAATTAGCCATATAATTTCTTTCTATTCTTTATTTTTTATATTTATTTTTTACCTGTATCCTTCTTCTCATATACTAATGGTATTGTAGATGATGTAGATAGAGACTTTCTCTTCTATCTCTCTCTCTCACTCTATCTCTATACACTGTATATACAGTATATATTACCTAACACAACCTATTCATCTCAATTTCAAAGTTATTTCTCAATTATATAAAGTAGTATATTTAAAATTGATTAACAAATTAACGTATATAATAGAAATTATATATTAATATCTTTATATATTTAACCGTATGGTTATAATGATAATAGTAATTTTAGACATTATATATGCATATCTAAGCAGTCATCCAACGACGTTTATCCTTTTTGGTATTAACTGATTTGCATTATCCTGAATGTTTTATTAGCTAGTTTTCCACCTTATTTTATTATATTGATAATATCCAATTTGAATGTTATGATTATCGTCTTTATATCAAATAGAACAAAAGATATGTCTAACATTCTATTGGATCATTTGAAAAAAGTTAGCTTTCGTTTTTTTAGCAGGAAAAAAAAATACTCATAGCTATTAATCACTTCTTATAAGCGTCAAGTTGCGTTATATACTGTTCTAGTTCGTTGCGTATAGGGACGACTTTGAAAGTAGTATTAAATTTTTATACATTTTGATAATTATACTCGTTAATTAAAAAAAGTATTTTATTGAACGATTGTCCTCCGTTCCGCCTGTATATTATATACTCTTTTTGTCAGGTATTATTATAGAGAAGTGTATCTAAAAATAAGAAACCTTGCTAATTGAAATTTTCAAGTTATCAATGCAAAACGTATACAAATATATATTTATATACTTATATAATTATACATCAAGGGTATACTGTTTATACCGTGTAATAAATTATTTACACAAAAGCTTCTTTATTTTCCAATGGAAAATAAGTAATGAGATAAAGAAAAGAATTGAATTGAATGGAAAAAAAGAGAAAGAAAGGAAAAACAATAGGGTTTTTGCCTGTTCAAACAATTTATTTTTTTTTTAGATAATTTATTCATTTACTTTTTGTATTATATCGTTAGTGCGTAAACGAATTTCCTTGCCTGCCAAATTATGATTGGGTTGAGCTCTACGGATATCAAATATAACGTTCTCTATATATTTTTAAGCGAATGTTATTTTATAGAAATATTTATAAAAGATATACATCAAAGAAAAATTCCAGATATTCTCTATGAGAGTATTTGTTTTCGTACTTTTGTTATTAATTGTTAGTTTTTCAAATTTCAAACATGAAAAGGAGAAAAAGAGACGACGTAATCAAAGTTACGTTTCCGCTCTGTTGAAGGTTAATCATTTAAACATTCATGATAAATCGAAAAGGTTAGCCAGTCAGCCTATTGTCCCTAAAGATAGCGTACAAAAAATTTCCGGCTCAATTGGTAGTCTCTAACTCTAAGGAGTATTTTATTCTTTATAAACGTAATCTACATATTTGTAATTTATAAAAAATTGAATAATCATACTTCTATTTAAGTATTTAAGGTTCATTTTAGGTTTTATTCCCTTTTCGAATTAATTTCAACTCTTAATTAGATAAGAAACAGTAAATCCTTTTAGGAATTGGAAGGAAAGAGCAAATAACTGAAATAGTAAGGTATGAAAGAAGAAGAAAAAACAGAGAGGAAATAAAATGGAGAGTAAAGCAAACTTATTCATTTTTCTTATTTTTCTCCTAAAAGAAAAGCGCTTAGTTGAGTATATAGAACCACAAGAGAATTAGGAGAGTTTGGCATTCGTGCTCTGACAAATTACTCGCGCCTTTTAAGTAAATTGTAGTGCTTTTTTGGTCAATCTGATGCAAGCTTGTTTGTATTATTAGCTGTGACCCCTAACGCATCGTTGACAGAATGTTTCTTGGCTTTTTCCCAATTAGTTAGCCTCAATTAAATTAGAATAAAAGGCAAAATATTTGGTAGATCTACTAACATTTCTTCTACATTTCCACTCAATGCCAATAGGCAATTTTTCACTTTCAGACTATGCTACGTGACAAAATACGTTTTGCAGTCTAATGCCCAACAGCAAAACTTTGTTACTACGGTGTGTGCAGTAAATATCTTTTTACAGTTGAGATTTTTCATATAGTACTTTGCATTCTCTTTTTTACAATATCTCCTTTCTACCTCTTTCAAATTTTATGTTCTTATTCATTTGCTTTAAGCTATATACTCGGGAGAAAAGGATAGGGATGGATGAATTGAAAGATAAAGATATTTAAGAGAATAAGAAATATAGGAAGGCACACTTTATCCAGCTTTACTTGTTACGTATTAGGCAATACGGGATATTTTTACGTGTCCTAAGGCAAAATGTTTGTCAATAAATTCTATAAAATCCACCTACAAGGCCAATAACCTTCAAGTTGTTGAATAATTCTTATTTAGTTATCGTTGGAAGGTTTATACACCCTTTAATATTTAGCTATCTATTTTACATAACTAGTCGTCTAAATCTAGTTCTTACCCACTTTTTTTGTCGTTCTATTGAATAAAAGGCATCTGAGCCTATAAAACATAAAACACCTGTATATAACATGGGTTTAAATATTGAGTGTTCTGTCTACGATATCCATAAAATTTAATATTGATTAGAGTTAACATTATTCCTCGTAATCCAATTATTAGCATATCTAGTAAAGGAGAAAAAACGGTAGATTCTACTTTCTACAGCCCCATTAAATATTGAAAATTGCGTTAAAAACAAAACTAAAATTAATGTTAGAGGAGTTTGCTGTAATTATGTGAATTATAAGTATTCGATAGGAGTAAAGATAACGTAAAATGGGAACAGAGGTAATAAGTGTCGTGATACTTTCTATTAAAAGATTAGGAGAATTGATATCTAATTTTGAAGTGGTCTAATTTTAGGACGAAATTACAGACATTCACTGTGTAACTCTAAGGATTAGAGACAAAAAATACAGTCAGGCTTCATTTTAATGCTACCATAGCGAATCTTTGAGGCGATTATAGAGAACATATCACGTTTTAAAGCCTTAAAATATAAAAGAATGTATATCCTGCAGTGTTTTCGTTTTGTAATTCACATACTTATTAAAAAAGTATTGCAAAAAAAGTTTAACAATGAATAATTAAATAGAAGAGACAAATATTTAAATATAGTCTATATACATGTATATTTATATTATTTTTACTATATATATATATATATCAAAATAACGATTTTAATGTGCTTATAGATTGTATATTTTAAAATATACTCCTTAAATCTATAATATTTTTATTTATTAATAATTTACATATAGTTTCATCCTTTAAGTAAATAACTGTCGAAATCTCTAGTTTACGGCCCACACGTCTTAGGTATTGGAAAGAAAATCATTTTTAGGTTTTTTGCATAATAGAAATCTTGATCAAAAAGAATTATTAGAATGGTAAAAATTCGAAATTTGGGTATATTCAAAAAAATTTATTTATTAAGTGCAGACTTTTTTCAATCATAAAAGCTACGTTTCTAGGTTCTCCATCAATATAGATACAGAGAGAGAGAGAGAGAGCTCTTTTAACAACTCTTCAATTTTTTATGACAGAAACTCCAAAGGACAATGCAAGAGCGAGCGCCACCTATGCAGCTATTATGATGATAGTCATTGTAGCCTGCTCAATACTTGTAACTGTTACCTTCATAATTGGCGCCTCATATGCTCAGCATCGTTATCAATTGAGACAAAAAAAGAGACGAGCAACATCGTATGTTGCAAGAAATAGAAGTGCAAGAGATTTAAAAGACGATTACTACATTAATATAAATAATACAGCTGAGTTTCAACCACCAGACGAACCAGAATCTCCAGTAAAAACTTCACCAAAACAAACAAAAAAAATCCCAAATTGGACAACTACAACTCCTAATTGTGAAGTTTTCGAAAAAGAGAACGAGCGAAGGCCAAATATAACAATGGCATATGACAATCCGATATATACAGGCAATAATTATCCATCGGAAAAGGACCAGGCTATAATTTTGAACGCTTTAAATGTTCAAATTAAAAATCATTGATTATAGGACTATATTCTGCAAACCTTCCTCACAATATGCATTTTCTTCTTTTTTTTTTAAATTTTTATAAGAAAACAATAACAAATATACAAAAAAACAATATTTTAAAGAGAAGAGCAAAGAAGCTGTACAGGAAAGTTAGTTTATACATGTATATATTTTAATATATGTATATAACTATAAATATATACAACACTTACATATTGATAGAATGAGAATGCATAAACAATTTTATGGACAAACTCTTTTTTATAGCATAAAAAAAAATAAGGAAAAAATATGGATAATAATATATTGTCTCTATTGAGTAAAAATACTGGGTTGAACGTGCTGCAGACTATGGATTTGTTGGAGCAGTTTGCGATTTATAATCTCCATTCTGCACTGTATTTTTTATGCACAAAAGAAAAAGGAAAGCTTCCGAAATTTTTTTCCTCTTCTTCTTCTTCGTCTTCTTCTTCTTCTCCTGTTTCTTTTATTTTTTCTTTAAGCAAATCTATATCCATTATTCTTTTCTTTTCCTTTTTCTTTGTATGATAAGAGATTAAAATTTCATTTTGTTTCTTTTCTTTTTATTTATTTGACTTTGTACTGTAAATTGTAGGATGATACTGTAAACGACGGAATTTTTTTCCATGTTCTCTTTATTACATAATATGTTTATATTTACACAATATATGTATATTTTATGATTATTATGAAATATATTTGATTTTTACATCCTATTGTTTCTTTTTTGTTTGATACGAAATGAATAATTTAGAAGGTATTTTGTTGTTTTTTTTCTTTTCTATACTTTATTGAACGATGTAAAAGAAACAATGAAGAAGAAAAAAACAAGAATGGAAAGCTAAAAGAAATAAAGTATTATTTTAAACTTAAACCACTTTAGTAAGAATCTTTAATTTTTCTATCTATTACATTAAGGAAAATAAATTGAGGTGAAGAAAACATAAAGAGTTATTCCCTGTTCATAAGTCAAAAATGAAAGATTACAGTTTATTCTATCTTCTTTCAAACGGGAATGTTTTTTTTCATCTTGATATGTTTTCAAACAAATAAAAAGAAAGCATTAATAAATCGGATAGGAGAAATAGGGTTAAAAGAGAAGGAGATTAGGTGAGAGGTCCTAATAGATTAAAAATTCCACTCGACTAATTATGTATCATTAACCTTTTTAAAGTCTTTCAATTGCTTTGGTCTTGTAATTAAGAAAGAAAGAATTAAATTTAATTTACATCAGCCGCCCTATAAATAGAATATACATATAAAAAAGACAATTGTAAACACTGTATAAAAAATATAAATAAAAAAGCTATACAATTATAGTTTAAAGGAGATATATAACACTTTGAAGACGTCAAATGTTTTACCCAAGATAATTTAAGATTAAAATCAAAATGTATTGTGAATATTTAGGGAAAAAATTATAAATAAAATCTAATTCTTGTTTATTAAATTGATTAGTAAAACAAGTCTTCGACAGTAGTTAAAAAATGGATTATTATAATATTAATGAAAGAATTCGCATCTTATCTTATTTTCTAGGAAAAAACTTACAATTAGATCATATTACGGGAAGAACTCGGCGCCATCTGGTTTCATAACTGTTAAATAAGAGAAACCCATTAAAACCGTAAGGGTATTAAAAGTTGAAAGGCGTGACTAATATTGACAATTCTCATACCAAAGCACAAAGGACTATCTCTGTAATATGAAAGAGAAAATTTCTAAGCCTGAAAGGCCAGTTAGGTTTTATACACGCGGGAATTAGTGAATTTTTGCCTTTTTATCAAGAACTATGGGAATTTCGCATTTATCAATAATTTTTTTCTCTTTATTCTATTCATTTTCAACAAATGTCGACGGTTTGTAAGCGTTCTCATCTGTTATATTCTTTACTCTTTTTCTTATAATTCTTTTTACTTCTTTAAAAACATCGATAGCTTAATCCCTCTCATTAAACTTTAGGATCCTCAAATCACTCTATGACGCCAGCTAGAATTGATACAGAAACAACATCACTACCAAAACCTACGGATTTGCTATCTCCTATTCCAAAAGAAGATGGAAATTTTAGTTGTATCTTTTTCTTCATAAAAATCTGCATAAACATATTTATTTAATATTTTCTATTAGCTTTTATTGCCCTTACCTCGGGCATCATTTTTGGCTTTTTATGGATTATAGCCATGACTGCATTAATATGGAAATGTAGGCAAATATATGCAGAAAAGCAGGACATCGGATCAAATACTCCAAAAAGGTTCTCTCTTTTGAACAATACAAAATAATAGATGTCTGGAAATTAGGTTTCTTTTTGCTTTCTTTTTCTTCCTTCTTCAATTAACAATCTCTTTACACAGTTTCATTTAATCAATAATATTCCCCCAGTTCTCTAGTACCTAATTTCAATTATAAGTTCTTTTACTTTCTTTTCAAAGCAAATGATAGAAATCTGCATGTTTATAAATTTTGTTGTTTGTAGGCTTAAACTCTTTTTAAATGATAACAAAAAGTTTTAATATTAGAGAGTTTATTTTTCTTATATTGAAATAATTTTATAGACAAGTTCAAAGACGAAATGCTGAAAATAATCATAGCAATGAAACGGAATCAACTATAACAGGACCAAATTCGTCTATGGGATCTCAAATATGTCTATCAGAGCCTGTACTTCAGACGCTTCCACCCTTCGAAGTAATCGATTCACACTCTAATAGAAATTCCAGTAATATTGAAGTATTACCAATTCGGGAAAATAATTTACCTGAGGCCCCCAGTTCACATACAGATACTCCTCCACCAATTCCACCAAAGATGGATTTGGACAGTGAAGTTGAATATATAAATGACTGTACAAATTTAGACAATGGTGAACAACTTGGAAACTCTTCTTCAGATAATTTATCCCCTCCAACTCTTCCCTTTCGCATTCGATCTCTTACGCCACCGCCTCTTCCAGTTCGAATACAAAGTACTCCTGCAGAATTTGGCAACCGACCTCCTCATGATGGTCGATACGAAAACACGAACGATTTTAGAGTATTTAAAACGCGAACAGCTAATCAGTTCTTACATTCTCCCCAGATAGTCTCTACTCAATACTTTAGGAGCAATGAGGAAGCGAATCTAGATCCAACTGCCAAACCCCTCAATCATGAATTCTTTCAACCATCAACACGAAATGCTAGAAGTAGAATTACTAAGTCAGTAAGGTATCAGGCAGGGACCAAAGTGAGAAGTAGCAGTGCCGATGCACCAGGGAGAATTAATCCCTTTTATTTGCAAAAGACTCCCATTGAAATTAGTCCAATGCCCAGACTTGGAACCTATCAACCGCAGATATTATCTACTGGTGGATTATTACCCATTGTGGGAAATAATTTGACTGTGCACGTGCCAGTTTACTATAAACCGATTCCTGCATTAAATCAATAATAACAAGAACCTAAGGTACTATATTCTGTATTCATTTAAGCGTTCAACTTTTGCTAATTCGTCATTATAAGAGAATTCCAAGAAAAAAATTCAATTACAGCCTAATTTAGAAAATGCAAATGATACAATTTGTTATTTTCTCTCCTTTTTTTCAATTTCCGTTTCATAAATGGAGAACTGCTAAAAAGAAATTTTTTTTCCCATTTCCGAGTAAAATACGAAGATACTCGTAGTATTATTCTTCTATCATCGTCAACTTGAGATAATTTCCCCTAATTGACTATAAATAAATGAATGAATGAAAGAGTATTAAAAAAATGCTGTAGTAGAAAAAGAAGGATAAGAATATAGAAACAAACGAAAGATATAAATTTATATATAAAGCGTATACAGTATATATAAATATTATATTAACAATAAAAATAACTTGACCGAATCCTATTCAAACCAATTCTTAAAGGTAATAAAATTTTATATCTTTTTTTTTTAATAAAAAAAATATTTTGTAATAAAAAAATTAATATATATTTAATAAAAATATTTTGTTTTCTTTCATTTTTATCAATAAAAAAATATTCAATATAGTAAGATATTTATTAGTATAAGATTCATATAAATAAATAATAAACAATCTACATGTATACTACATCAACTAATTGTTCAATATAGAATTCATTTATTAAATATATATACTTTGACTTAACATAAAAAAGGGAAAAAGGAAGCAAAAAAAAAAAACGAAAAGGAAAAGGAAAGTGTTACAAAGTGTAAAATTTCAGTTTCTTTGCTTAGATTTCCCTAAAAGAGACGAGAACTAAAATGTTTGCACTTTTAAATCAATATTGAAGAACTATGTTAAACCAGAAAAAACCGAAAAGCTTCTTTTTTTTTCTCCTGCTCTCACAGTTCTATTTTTTTTAACTGAAAAGCTCCATCTATAGTTTAAAATGAATGGAAAAAATATAATTAAATCTCTATAATTTAGAATTACTGTGTCTCTCAATCTGACTGACTGCCTGTCTCTCCTTCTCTGTCTCTGTCTCCGTCTCTTTCTCTCTCTCTCTCTCTCGCTCCCTCTCTCCCTCTCTCTCTCTCTCTCTCTCTCTCTGTCTATATATATATATTGCTTTTTATAAATAAGGTGCAATTATTAAATAATTCATTAACGAGATAAAAAAAAGACTAATAATAATACACTTTTTTCATGTAATTACTTATAAAATATATTTATTTTTAATAATTTTAATCAATTAATAATGTTTTTTTATGATAAATAGGAAAATGTCTTTATTATAAATAATTAATTGAATAATAATCAAATCATATTTATATCCGTTGGTTAGACTTGTTTGTTTTTTCATTTATAAAAGTTAAATAACTTAATATGTTGCTTTGTTTTTCTTTCCGATTCTTTATTTAATTTAAAGTCTGATATAGTTATATCTGGGAGTGCTATGTATAATTTTACCGTATTCTAGTTGTCATTTTCTGTCGGCTGGATGTCGGCTGAAAGAAAGAGTATACATATATACAGTTTTTTCTAAATAAGTACTAATTTGCATCATAAAGGATTCCTTTGATTGTAATAGTTTTACGAGTTATGCATATTCGTGAACAATGGTTACCTATCAAGATATAATATATTGAGAGTGTAAAAGATTAAAGGGATAGTTTAATTTTTATAGAATAAAACTTGAACAACATATTGGAGAAACAAGTATTTTCATTTACCTAAGTAAACTATTCAATTTATTTATTTCTTCACTGACTTGCTGAATGTGTAATTAAAGATATTATTATCAAAGATGAAATCAATTGCATTTTAATTCTTTTCCGAATTTGGAGGAGACTTGATTGCTCGTAGAAGTCTATTCAATTGCGGAGAAGAGGAAAAGTAAATTTAAAAAGAAAAGGGAGAAAAAGATGCGTTTCATTGATTAGTGATTCATGCGAAAGATATGAACTCTGTTCTGAAATTGTTTTATAAAATAAAAGGATTTTTAATAATCGTATTGTCCAGAAGACAACTTGAAAATTATCTTGCTATTATTTAAGTACTGTATACCAATAAAATAAATAATATTAATATTTAGTGCTTTCATATTTATAAAACAGATGTCGCTTTCGATATCAAAACGGAACAATTAGATATGTAAAGAAGAAAGTTTCTTAATACGAAGACGTTGAAATGAAGCTTAAAGTATTGAGTACTCTTAAAATAGTTTCAATTGTTTGTACTATAAAAAATATTAAATATCAAAATAATGAATGAAAGTTAAGGTTTTAGCGATTGAATTGATAAATTTTGATATAAATATAGTATTATTTAATTATGTTGGGATATAATTTAACTGTTACACCTAGAATGTATAATTTTAGATTTTTAAATTGAAGAAAATTATAATATAATATACAAATATAATACTTATTTGTTTCTTTCCGAGAGGTAGCGATACCATCGGTAGAGAAGATGTTAAATACTTGTCCTCTGCACTTTTTTTCATTAAACTAGCATTTAAAGTAAAACATTAGGATTAACGAACAAGAGAAAAGGCCTTTTTCAAGACAATTCTTAAATTTAATATTTAGAAGGAAAATAGATAATACCTTAAAAAGTAAGAAACATTCACTATTTCTTCATTTTTTCATACTTGGAGCTTTCTTTTGAAGTTTAAAGAAGTCTTAAGGTGCATTTTCGTTTTATCATCATGTTTATTCATGCGGGGTATTAGAATTTTAATGCTTTCGACATTCTTTTATTATCTTCATATCGTCTTTTAAAGGTATACCTTCCATAATATGTAAGGTTTCGTAATGGACTTTAGAACCGGTGCTTAATTTAGTTATATGTAAGATTTAAACCTAAACTAAACGGAACTTTTCGTTACTTAGCAATTAAAATGAAATCGGTCCTCTTCGGAATAATTTTCCTTCTTATTTTGGCATCTTTAGGTAAGTTAGAGTGCACTTTGTATTTAAGATAGAATGTGAAGTAATTTTCTTTATTTCTATTTCATTCATAAAAAGCTTATAAGTATTTTATACATTTAAAAAGAAAGTTAAAATATTGAGATAACTTAGAAAATGTCTCATTTATTTTAGAAGTAGATGCTATCAATTCTTCTCGAATTAAGAGAAAATGGATGGATCTGAGGGCAGACTTGGAGATTTTAGAAAAATACATATCATGTATGGAAAGAAATGGTATTAAAAGTGGATATTGTCGGAAGTTTACAAAAAAGAGTACAACAAATTTCCTTAACCTTCTACCTTTTGGTAAAAGACAAAGCAAAGGAGAATTAAACGATATATTGTTGTTGTAAAACAAGAATAAAGAGAAAGATATGTATGGCAAAGAAAAGTAAATTAATATTTCGTGTAAATTAAATGTTTGTATTTTAATAAAACCTATTTCATTTCAATTACTATTTCATTTTAAGCATAAAAATTATTCAATAACATATTTAATAAGATTTTAATTCGTAGAAAAAGAGTAGAATGTCTTTGACTTAATATTTATTTTCTATATATTTAAATATAAATTATTAAAGCAAACAGGAAATAGAATGGATATGTTTCTTCTCGACTTTTTTCTTAGTAATCTTACTTTTTAACTAAAAAAGTTTACTTATTTTCAAATAATATACACCAATTTCGTATAATAAAATACTCTTTTGGGTATATAATCTTAATAAAGTGTTCAATTGGAAATTGATATATTGAACTGTATTATTAAATAAACAAGAAACGCCATCTGTTACTTATTCAAAGTCGTTGCGAACTAGTTCAAGTTAGTTATATTCAATTCCTTAAATGATTAAATGTAACGGATTAGTATGTTGGGGCAGAAAATTATTAATTAACTTGGCTGCTTTCTCTAAAATATTATCGACTTATTCACTAACTGCATTTAAGTGAACGTTCATTGCAGTTGGCATCGAAACCCTATTGAATTTCTGCATTGTTTATAGTGTTTATCGATTGACTATTCGGAATGAAAAAACACGACGGTGACAATACAGCTATGGAGAAAAACGATAAAGAAGCAAGGAAGAAAAGGATTCAAGAAATTCGAAATGCCAGAAGAAATCGACAGCAAATTCCGAAGCCAGAGAAGAAGAAAAAGGAAAAAGTAGAACCAGCTTTAGTATTAAAAGTAGTTGCTCTTAGATTCGTTATCATCCTACCAAAGTTATTGATTCTCATTGGAACAATTTTATTCCTTGTTGGTGTTATGCTGTTGGGACTGTCACAAAGAGAAAGTACCGATTACAACAAAGGAGTCTACTTAGGCCCTATTTTAATGACTTTAGGTGTTGTAGTTTTAATTAGTGGAATACTTGGAATATTTATAAGATTAAGACTAAAAAAAAAGGGTATCGAAAAAGCCAAAATTGCTAGGAAATATATGATAGAGAAGGAGTTGAAAAAGCAAGTATCAACAGTATCTGAACAAGTAGAAAATGGACAAATGAAAGCTCATTATTCAGCGGCTGAAATGTCTCATTCGAATGGACATAAAAGAAGCATGTATGACGAGGACACGTCACCGACTCCTGTTGTTACTATCACCAAAGTTGAAGTTGAAATTTGTAAGCCTAGCACAAGTTATGATTTAGAAAATGAAGAGAGCTCTAGCTAAAGAAATTCCCAGGCAATTTCATATTTATAGTTGTTTGAAAAAATTATCTATTGAATTCGGTACTGCAGGATATTATTCAGAAAAAGACTGTAAACAGACAATAATTACACATGTACATTTAACGAGAAACGTTCTTTTAACTCTCTCATTTAAGAAAAATGGTATTATATTGTTCTTAAGCAACAAGCGGAAGAGGAATGATACTATTTTTTATAGCTTAGCATGAAAAGGGTTATAAGAATATTTTTAATGTTCGAGAAAATATGGTTTATCATATTTACCTTTCAAGTTTGTAGAAACTCTATTAAGATGCTTCTTTTCACTTTATCATCATTAGTTTCAAAGTTAAGTTATATTTAATCCTAATTATTATTTTAAGTGAGTTAATAAAATAAAAAAAATGCCCGCAAGCCGTCTAAGGGTAGGAACGAAAAAAGTGTAAAAATTCATCAAGAAAGACAAGGTGACGGATGAGCGTACGAATCAACAGAAAAGTAGATCAATAGTTAGATTAAATATAACGTATAGATAGATATATAGATAACAGCAAAAAATAAAACATAGAAATATCATAAAGGAAAAGGACAACGAAATGTAAACGTTTAACTTTAATATTCATTCTCTATTGGCTTCACCTTGCATAGCTCTTTTCTTGAGACGCTTTTTCAAATATTATATATAGTTAACTATTTGAACTAGTTAGATATGAAATTCAATAATTTCGGTGCCTTATACTTGACTGCGTTTGTTTAAAATGACGAAAGATAAGAAATGTTGAATTTTTATTCAATTTTATGCTCAAGGAACAAATAACTATATCATATATGATGTTAATATATTTTTAATATAACTTCAAATATGTATATATATTTATAGATGACGTATTAGTTAAATTTAGCAATATTAAATTGAGCTATCACTATTATCTGAATCTTTTAATGAGGGTTTATTCTGGAAGATTATCTGTTCTTTAAGCTTCTATTTAAATAGTTTTCTTTTTTGTTTGTAAATTAAAGTAGTCACTTCTTCCTGTTTCAATTGTTTTAACATTGAGTACTATATTGTCTCTTTGTCTCTTTATACATATATTTGCAATACAAGACTGGAAACAGATGAAAGATAAAACATAAAAATAACACCAATAAATAGTTCGAACTATATGATTCGAACGTGAATTATAATATCAATTTTCGAAAAAATGTAATATTCATAACTAATTGTAGTTTCATAATTATACGTAGTCTGTTAAAGTTATTGCCTTTAATGACATTTCCTCCAATGTCCTATTGTCATTATGAAGGTTAGAAAATGTTATTCAAGAAGTATTTCGGATTATTGATAATTTCTTGAATAAAAAATATACTTAAAATAGAAAGAATGACGTAGGAAAATACATATTACTTTATTATTTATTACATTCATAATGCCAATAAATAGTTAGAAGTTCTGTTTGTCTTTTTCTTAAATTCTTAGTTGTTTGCTATTAAAGTATTTATTGTTTAGCTCAATCGAGTATTAAATTAAACACTGCCTGAATAATTCAAAAGAGAGAAATTATTCAAATTCATAGAAATCGCTAGCAAAAACATTGATTGTTAATTAAGAAATAGTTTTTACGCCATCATTGTCGATAAAAACTTCTCATATGCAACTGTAATACGTATGTTTTGCAGTACATTTTAATATATGCAATTAGAATATTTAAACAAACGAAAATGGTATATTGACTATTTAATAGACATACGATAGCTGTCTTTCCATAGAATATTTTTAGAACTTTAACATTTCAATTGTATTCTTAAAACACAATTAGAAATCAGCATTTATACTGGCTGTCTATAAATAAATTTTAAAATATTTCCTCATTAATAAATGGATATATGAATCAAAGTTATCTCCCTAATAAAGAGTTTAATTGTTACACAAAGATTAATGAATAATGGCTGCAGTTATAACTATACTGTCTTTGTTTTTATTATTTAGCTTCTTGCTTGCAAACGAATAAAAGCTAATTAATAAAACATTTACTCTTGAAAGTAAAAAATATTCGCCTGTTTTTATGATATGATAAAAAATTATTTATAGTTGTTAATGCCTCTTTTAGCATGTTTATGTTCAAATCTTTATCATATTGTTCTAAATTATAATAATATATGCAGTTCATTAACATCCAGTGATAGAGAAGTGTTCTATCGATGTTCGTTTATTCGATTTCCTTTAATGAGTAATTTGCATTTTTGTGGTTTAACATTTTTCTTTGCCTAATATTATCCTTCTCAATTTATTTGCAAACAACTCTAGACAGAGTCTTTTTAATATTCATTTGCTTTTAGTTTGATGATGAGACGTTAGATGGCGTTCTTGTCTTCTTTTTTTTTCTCGTTATCCCTCCCCCACTTCCTCCTCCTCCTCCTCCTCCTCCTCCTCCTCCTCCACCTTCACTACATACTTTTCTTGGTTCCATAAAAAAGGGATATTAGCAATTTTTATACTATAAATAATTAAAAAAAAGATCATTTTCAATACCAAATCTCTTATAAGCAGATCCTCTCTGCTTCATATATAATTCATACACTTATATATTTAGCCTAGAATTTTAGTTTTATTAAATAAATTTGAAATCTCGATTGCAATAATTCAATATCATAAATTTGCTGAAAAGAATTCAATTATTAAAATAGCAAAAACATGAATAAGACAATTATTGTCAATATCAATATTTTATTCATATTCGATTCGTTATCCGTCTTGTTCGCTTTATTAGTTTTAGTAATCTCGTTTAGTTCACCTTTTATCAAAGATGTACCAACTAAATATTTTTATTGAAGAAATGTTACATTCCTTTTGAAAAGGAAAAGAATAACAATAAATACAAAATAAAAGATGGAGAAATAGAGTGTAAAAGTATGTATTTTTTTTTATATCTTGTCTTTTCAAAGATGAGAAGAGAAGGAGCGAAAATATTTACTTGTTTTTTATTTAATTAAATAGAAAATAGCAAAAAAATATGAAAAATTTCAACATTTTGACATTTTAACATGATTTTAAACGGAATTTATGGATTTATAGTAAATAGATCTTGTCTTATAGATAAATTCAATAAAATATATTTATACAATGCTAGACAAAGCTTGACGCAAAAAAAGAGGAAAAAAAGATTATTGTAAAGTAAACTGGGAAGAGTTCGTTATACAAAATTTAACAGAAAATATCACTTTTCTATGCAATTCATCAAATTAGAATTAAAGGGAAGGACAGCATTTAAAAAATGAATGAGAAGCCATTAAATATTCTCTATTTACACTGTTCTAAGAAAGATATCAACTCAACATAATTTCTTTTTTTTTAATACGATAGATGTCGCTTTTAAAAGTTCTAAGATATTAGTTTGATTAATATGCATTGTCTATATATTATTTATAGAATTATTGTTTCAGAATTAAAATTAGTTCTTCAACAGTAAGCTTAATATATTAGTAAAAAAAAATACAGGTATAACGCAAAATACCTCTTATGCCAGGGATACATTCACCCTCAAATTTAGCCTATAAAAAGTAATATAAACTACCTATAATGACGTTATTTTATGAGCTTTGGGCATAGCTACATTATTTATAGCAAAACAGCTATATATATATATATATATATATATATATATATATATATATAAATAGTTAGATAGATAGATATCGACAGAAAATAGTCATCCTACGAAAACTACATTTATTACATGAGCTAAATCAAATTTTAATATTATATAAAAAAGAAGGAATAAGCATTAAAATAAGGAAAAATACTACTTTATTGAAAATTTTTCACTTTGACTGATTGTTTCGTCTCTTCCTTTTATATAAACATAAATATCTTATATACTTTCTTAGAAAAATGTTGTGTAAAATTATATTATACCAATCAAAGAGTAATTAATACATGTTTCTCTGTCGCTAGATCACACACACACACACACAAATATATAGTGTCCTTCTTTCTTTCTTCTCTCTCTCTCCCTCTCTCTTTCTTCTTTCCATCTTTAACCTTTGCAAAGGAAAATTAGCTTAAGAACAGTACAAAAAGCAGAGAGTTTAGAATGTCTAAATTATAATATGCTTATTTACATAGAAAAAAAAGTCAAATTGTTAAAATGAGTTTTTAATTTGTTTATTTAATGAAAAATAAACCATTTGTTTATTGAACAAAAAACTTCTTTTCTTTTTAAAGAATATTTATTATACTTAGTTCAAATTCCTAACTTTTGTTATTTGTCTTTTATACGAATGATTAATGATGAAATGAATGATTTTTAGCAGGCTAAAATTTGTGAAAATTATAGCCTTCTCTTGTAAATAGAAATATAAAAATACCTAAAGTTACGTATTCAGCTGAATAAGTGCACTTATTCGCTTAGCAACCAGTTTGAAAACTAAGGCGATATTGTATATTTTTCGCTTGCGATATAACTCAGAAACTTTAGACTGAAAATTCATAAACATTTTACTTATATAATGGAAATGCATAAATTACATAAAAAGATTAAGCACATCTGTTAATTTACAGCCGTATTCAATTTCAATCCAAATGCAACATATTGGTAAGCTGTTATAGAATACAATTTTAAGGTTTTCTACGAAAATAGGCGCCTTGATTAAATTATTCTATATTAATAATTGGGTTATTTTAGAATTGAGTAGAACGCATATTTCGTATATAATAACTCTTTTCTAATAAAATTGATGAAATTAATACAGTATTTGGCTGTATCATAGAAATAGTATTATAAAGAAGAAAGAAATTTTAATTTTATACGAAAATAACTGCATAATAAATAAATTTTTTAACTTTTTGCATTTAAAGCCACTAAAAAATTATTAAACATTTTAAAGATAATTTAAAATATTTTTTAAAATAAATGATAAGAAAATGAGAGAAATTTTTTCGTACAATTTTTTCAATTGGTCAAGTAGTACATTATCGATTATTATCCGTATCGTACAGTTCAGTAATATAAACGACAACAACGGTTTTAAATGGAAATATGAGGAATTTTTGTTACATCTTCATTTTATTACTACCATTCGCTTTTACAGGTTAGTTTCTGAAATTATATATTAAAAAAGGGCTCGCATCGACATAATCAATGTAAACAATTGGAAGACGTCGAAAGCGTCTAATTCACGTCTGTTTTGTTTGCTTTCCTGGCTCGATCGCCTTTACTTTTGTGTCTAATTGCCTGAAGCACTTGAATACTTGCGATTTATCATTAATAGGTTACTGATATGACAGTCATTTACCTGAAAATTAATACCTTCAGGTGGCGCTACGGCTAGAAAGCGTTACTTCATATATGTATAAAAGTTAAAAGATGTCCTTATCAATTTCCTCAAGGAGATTTCGTATATAATAAAAGTCTACAAGGGAAATTTTTTTTCCATGAATACCTTAGCTGGAAAAAAAATTTGTTAATTATTCTTTCTTTAACTAATTTCTTCAGTTCTTTCATTAATCAGCTCAATCTCAGTGCGTCTATTTTTAGTTTTATTGAAAGTTTCCTGTATTTTATTGAATTTCGGATGAAAAACATTCTATTAAAAAAAAATGATTCTACGACTCTCTATATTTTCTGTAACGCTATTCAAACTTTAATTTATATAGTTTATTTATTTATTATAAAGTAAACAAAAAAAAGGTAGTTCTGAATCATTAATTATGTTTTATTATATAGGAATAATACGACTATTAACTAATTGTGCTAATGCTACTTGTCTGTATAAAGTAAAATAAGATTTGTATTATTTTTTTTTTTTTGACTATTCTCGCTTTTCACCCAGTTTCTATTAGTATTTCTATAAATTGGCTTTCACTTCTCTACTTTTTCTTGTTTTGCTGCTCATAAGAAAAGATTGAAAGAGTCCTCCAAGTTACAAATAATGATATTAAGCAAGTATTGGATTTATACGCTATAAATATAGAAAATACTATATAGTCATCCATCTTTTTCGTCTTTCAATAATTTAAAGATTTACCAAGAGTTTTGTCTATAAAAAAAAATGGATAATTACGTTAATTACGCAATACCAAAATTTTGATTTTATCCTATTTTTAAAGGAGTTTAATGGAAAAGGAAGAAGGGCTCTTCTTTCTTTGTAATTCGATTTTTCCCTCGTCTCTCCTCCTCTCTTTTCTATCTATCTCTTTATTCTCCTGTCTTAAGCAAAGCAGAGAAAAATCTTGTTTAATCTATTCCGAATATTCCGTACACCAATTAGAACAAAAAAAAAGCCATTCTCGTAGTTGGTAACAGTTGAAAGAGGCGTATATTGGTTTTGAATTTCTTATTAGCAAATAAAAATTGAAGACTTGTTAAATACAACTTGGAACTGGACTTAAGTGTTAATCGGCTGGTGTTATTTGATTTTTTTTTACATTAAAAAAAGCTATAAAAACTTGAATTTCCAATGAAACGCTTTGTTTAAAATTGGGCCATTAGTTTCTTGTGCAATTTTGTAGTATTCATTTATTTATTACTATTCATTTTATTATAAATGAGTTTTGGGAATATAAAAGAGAAAACTCGTTAGAGGAGAAATGAAGTAAACTTTACCATTCCCGTATTATTTCCTCTAAGAAACACGTATGTTTTATTTGGCTACCTGAATGTTATTCTATGGTTCACCCTTTTAATGATATGAATGTAAACATCTACTTAAAAAAGTATATACTTCATTGATATTTTCCTTTGTTTCTATAAGATGAGTCCATTTATCAGAGAAAAGTAACGTACTAGATGTAAAAAACAATACCCAATATTTTGCAGTACTTGTAACAATAGGAAAACAATACGAAATCTATGCACGTAAACTAGGTTAAAATGCACAAGCTAAAATCAGGTACATAATAATGGTTCAAGTGCATTTTAACCTTATATTATAAATTGAAATAAAAAGCAAAGAATTTAGAGTGGGGAGTAAGAAGAAAAAGGGTGATTTTTTTCTTTTAAAAAGAGAAAAAAAATCAATATTTTGGCTATTTTATTATTCTTAGAAAGCAGTTGGACGATTAGAAAAGAGACTAATTAGCACGTTACTTAATAAATTAATTACAAGAGAAATAAAGTATATATAACTAGTATTATCTTAATTGTAGTTCTACTTTTCTTTTTCTTTCACTGTATCATTCATCTCGTTCAACTCTGTTATCTTTATTATCCTATTGCTAATATTTACAAGTATATATGGATCCACACTTATACTGTATTATATACATACAAAGATACAGATACATATATATAGAGATATATATATTTGTTTATACTAAAAATGTATAAACATATGATCAAGTTTAACGATTGCTTCACAAATGAAACAATGCTGTAACATCATACGAAGACGATTACAAATTTATATCAATTACATAGTAAACTACCATATAACTTTTATCAGTATTAGAATTATTTACCTAAATCATATGATACTTAATTAATAATTCGCTTAACACCATTATTTTCACTTTCATATTATGTACTAAATCACAATTATTAGTAATTTCCATTACGCTTTAGGTCTTAACTTAGACTTTATGATGAAGAGTCGGTAACCTTTTCTTCTCAAGAGAAACAATTGAATGAAACGATAATTGCGCTATAATTATTGAATCTAATTAATTATAATTTCCTTCTGATAGTACGTACGTGGGATAGAAATTTAATATTCTTATATTAAATAAATACCTAACCCAATGTGGACAGGAAATTGCTATAATACATCCAACTATGATAGCTGTCTGCCAAAAAAAAAAATCAATATTTGGGGCGAACGACTTTGCACCAAGTTTCCAAGACAGCAAATTTTCCTGCACTGAATAATTAACTATTGATTTTTAATTGTCTTTTTTTTTTTTACTATTTTACAGATTCCTTAGTTAAAATTACTAGATCGGATAGGAAGATTTATTTAAAAGAGGGTGATCAACTGCAGTTGGTATGTCAAGTTACGGGTGATGCGACAGAAAATCCGAAATTAAAATGGTACAACATGAATAAGAAGGAGGTCACCAAAACTAATAATAATGAAGATGCTTTTATCCTTTCAATGGCTAAGAACCAGCTGATTCTTTTTATAAAAGGACTAGATAAGCAAGCTGGCAAGTGGTCTTGTAAGGGAACTATTGCTGGGGTCACACATTCAGATGAGAGAATAATCGATATTTACAAAGGAATATCATTTGATGGTTGTGACGAATTTCAATATCCGAAAGAAGGTGCGTATCATTATGTTAGCTTTCTTGCCCGCGGTCAAGAGCAATCGTGTAACGGAAAATAACTCCTTTGCCTGCTAAATTTGTCCAATTAGATCTGTAGGTGGCGGTAATGTCATAGCGTTACTCTGGTTTTCCACAAGTATTCGGTTTACTTAAAGATTTTTTTTTTTTTTTTGCGTATTTGTAACATTCGCTGCAAATGTTACAGTTAGAATAGCCACAGAGCTAATAATTCTCTATATTCCGCTACAAAAGCTCCAAATGGAAAACAGAATTGCACACTTGTTATTAAGGCACCAAATGAGAAGATCATTAATATACCTTTCTCTTCTATCGTAATATTATTGATAATCGAATGTAATCACTCTAAACAGAGGAAATTCTCAGCGTTTATGCTTGCTCTATGGCAAAAAAAAAACCCTCTAATTCATTAAAAAGAGAGAAAATAATTCGTCTGTAATGTTGTTATTAAAAAGAATTTATCTTTAGTTCATTCACCCAGGGCATCCAACTTGATTATATTTGCTATTATAAAGAAATCAAGAATAGCCCATTCACTTTGAACTTTTATAAAATGAGATGTTGTTGTTGTTTTTTATCGCTAAAAGAGTTTACTTTAGTATATTTTTTTTTCTAGAATAACAGCTTAAAGGCATAAAATATTGTTTATAATTCAATTTAACAGGATGATAGATGGTATAGAGATTTTTATAAATAACTAAATAAAGAATTTTATTTCTGTACAATTCATCAATAATCAACAAGATATAGTTAACTTTCTTTTTTTTCTTTTCATCCATCTATTCTTAATTATTGTAGAATGGTAAAAACATATTATTTTACAGGTAAAGTTGGGCTTATTAGATGTAAAGTAAAAGGAAGCCCTCCCCCAAGTATAGTTTGGTTTAAAAATACTGCTAGCCTGAATACAGCGGGGAAAAAATATGCTGATACTCGTGATGGATTGCGCATCAATAACTTAGAGAGCCCGGAGGACGATGGTACCTATACACTTATGGCGTCTACAGATAGAGAGACGAAAACGAAAATTTTTCGTATTACTGTCTCTACTCAGCCCAAAATTACTGAAGGTTTTCAAAACAATATGAAATTGGCACATAGGAAAAAGAAAACGTTCATGTGTAAAGCAGAATCAAGACCTGATGCTAAATATCTCTTTTATAGGTTAGTAGTTGAATTTCAATTTTCATTGTACATCATACATTGTATATATTAATATAGAAAAAAATCCGAAATATTTGAACCGAATTTGGATCCAAACAAAATGAGACCTCTAGGCTCATCTGATGATTATGTTGTTGATGGAGACAAGGGCTTCATACAGTTTAATAGCCCTGTTTTTGAGGATACAGGTACATATCTTTGTGTCGCGAAAAATCAAGCCGGATCTGATTCCTCGTACGGTTTCATAAGAGTGCACATGAGACCAGATTATGTTGAAGTAAGACAACCATCTAACGCCAGAGAAAACGCAAAAGCAGATTTCAGAGTTACGTTTAGAGCCTACCCATTTCCCGAAGTAATTTTTCAAAAAAGGCATAATCCAAGTGTGAAATACGAGCTGGGTAAAAGCTATGAGAATGGTAGAATAAAGGTTGAGAAAACGGATGCAAGAACGGTTACTTTCAAACTGGACAAAGCTTCGTGGAAGGATTATGGTAATTACTCAATTATACTGAGAAATGACGAAGGAAAGGTGGTAAAGAATGAAACTCTGAAAATAAGATTTCAGCCTCAAATGATCTCAAAAGATACAGTGGTCTATGCGTGGGCTGGGGCTGTAAGAAATTTAACTTGCGAGGTTATATCCTATCCCGAACCGTCAATTTTCTGGTATAGAAAAGACAGGGACAACGATAACAAACAAATAATGAGAAGATTAGAAAGTAACGAGACACTCGTCTTGTACCCTTTAGAAAAAAAGATTGGAGGTAGATATTTCAGAAATATTCAAGTTCGTGTAAGCATTCAGGTAGAAACTTGGGCATTCTACGATCGTTTCTATTGTGGGGCATCCAACAAACATGGGAAAGCTGTAAATTCTACCGTAAAATTAGAAAGAGCTGAAAAACCTGGACCGCCGAAGAATGTAAGAGAGTTGGAGGTTACACCGACGACTGTAACTCTAGCTGTCGATCCACCTGATTTTGATGGCCATATACCATTAACCGGTTACCGGGTTTCTTGGCACAATATGCATTTGGTTTTTAAATTACGTAAGTATTTAATTTTAGCATGAATTTCTTTCTGAAAATTATATCTGATTCAAATAATTCATTTCGTTATAAGCTCGTGCTGAAGGTAAGGAGCATGGTTATATAATATCTTTAATGTAGCACGATACCTTCTCTCCTTTTTATTCTCTTCAGACATTGTCCTCCTTTGTCTATTGAGTAGAATATTTATTTTTTTTATCGAAAGAGAATCAACTTTCTTTATTTTATATTAGGAAATTCGTAGAGTATTTTTGAATGCATACTACTCTTATTCTTATGCAAATGAATTAAATACAAATACTAAATTACCAAGGGAATTTTAATGGATGAAAAGAAAGTTAATTTAAGATGAATTTGCTGTCCTCCTGAGTTTCAGCTAAATGTCATCGTTTTTTTTCCCTACCGCTTTCCCTTTAAAATTCCCATAGTTTCGTTTATTAAACATAAATATCATATATAATCATTTTATCTATTAATCAAACAGATCAAAAACTTTACATCGAAAATCTTAACCCCGCTACAACTTACACCTTCAAAATTCAAGCTGTTAATCGTGTTGGCCCTGGAAATGATATTCAATTATCCATTCAAACGCATACTTCTTCTGCACCGAAACCAATCGTTATCCGAGGCGATAGGATTAGTGTTGAACCGTACAGTTACGAAGCCAAATGGAAAAATCCGCAAACTGGAGGTTCGCCAATAACTTGGTATTACTTCCAATATAGAGCAGTGGAAATGGATGATGAAAGTAAAAATGTCATAAGAGGCCGAACTAACTACAAGGAAAAGAAAGTTAAGGATAATAGATTAAGACCTATGACTTCTTATACGTAATATGAAAAATAATTATTATTTGTCTCTATCACTATATAGCATGTTTGCTTTCCTTTCTTTTGATACAGACTCACCCACCTGCAAGAGAATACTTTCTATGAGTTAACGATTAAAGCTGAAAACAATATTGGTATTAGTAAGATCAGTGACGAATTCATCTTTCAAACAAGAACAGGTTAGCTATAAATTTTTCTCTCGTCTATTCTTTTCTTTTTTCTAGGTCAGATATACATAATAAGAAAATAAATTAAATACTTTTATGTAACAAATACGATTAGTTAAAGATTTATTTTTATTTAAAAATTATATGTATAGTACAATATTTATATAATTTCATTTTTTAATTTAATTAGTCCTATATGTATATCATTTAAGTGTAAATAGATATTTTTTTTTAAATTTTCTTATATTCTCCATTATTGTTAAATGATCTGTTTAAAAGATAGAAATTATCTTGAAATATATACTTTATTCTAGTATAAAGTATATACTGGTCTATATAAAAACATTCACACACATTCATATACATATATATATACATTATACATGTATTATATTCATATTTAAACTTTTAATAATCATTATCGTAAGATTAAAAAAAGTAAAACATATTTAAAATTGAATAAGCGAATAAAACTGCAAAGTTCATATAAATAATCTATCTTGAATAGAGTACAAATATAATTAAATAAAAAGCTGATAATTGATGATACATATGGGATAGACAAGACCGAAAAAAAGGTGGAATATATGTATTAATACTAATATGTATATTTCTTACCCTCGTTTTATCGATTGTGGCTTTTTTTTTCCATTTTTTTTCTACAATCATTGAAATAAAAGAAGGAAAAAATCTCTCTTATTTTTTTTCCCTATATCCCGCTTCAAGTGATATTTTTATATTTAAGAAAAAATAAACAAAAGAGAAGAGAAACTTTTGAGTTGAGTTTATAGAAAAATAAGCATTTTTTTATTATTTTAATCGATCGTTTTAAAAGTAGAAAGAAAATTTTCTTTCTCTTTTTATTTCTATAGCAGATTAATAAAACGTAAATGCGAATAATCATTTGAAATATTAGAAATATATAGTATAAGTATTATAAATAATACAAATTCAGTGCATTTCAAGCATTTTATATCTTTTATTTATTCAATTTGAATGAATTCTATTACTATTCTTTTTAGACGATGCTTTATAGAATAAATTATAATTATTAAATTTATATATTTGAAGAAAATGAAAAGCCACGGAATGTTGTAATTCATTTCGCACGATTGTATTTTAGTTTATTTTTTTTTTCCTGGCATGAAAATAAAGAATAACGAAAATATCTTTTTTTTTTATTCTATATATATTATATTCATATTTCTTTTTAGTTTTGTTATATTTTTGGTGTTTTATTGGTGATAAATATACTTTACTTTTACAGCAAAAGGCTACGTTGGATCCAATTCAAATAAGGCTACTTTACACTCAACCCTCATTCTCACTGCACTACTACTCTTCATTTTTAGGGGAAATTTTTAACCATAAAACAAATATCTTGTACTTTTTTTTTTTTTATTTTTTTTTATTTTTTTTTTCCTTTTTCTGTTAAAAAAGCATGTTTTACTGAAAGAGAAAAAAAAAATACTGTTGGCTTTTTTCTTTTTTTTTTAAAAAAAAAAGTTGTTTATATTGTGCTTTTTATTGTCACATTCCAAGCTTTTAGCTTTATGGTTTATCTCTTTTTTTAATCCCAATACTCTTAGAGAAACTTAAACAGCTATTATATTATTATACAAGAATGAAATAATCAAAAATATCAGTTGTCATTCTTTATATAAAATACTGTATATATTTTTAATATAATCGTTTTGTTTTTTTTTAACTTAGTCTTTTCATTTTGTCTTTTTATTGATAAAATGAAAGGAAAAATCAAAAACAAAAAAGTCAACAAAATGGAGGAAAAATGAAAAAAAAAAAACAAAACAAAAATTCGGCAGAAAGTACTAAAAGCTCAAGAAAAAATTAAAATATCATTTGAACAATCATTTTAACCTTGTAGATTATTTTAAATATTAATAAGTTTTTCTTATTTTTAATAATTTTACTTCTTATAAATTATTTTATTAAACTTTCTCTTTATTGTTATGTGTGACATTAGGTGAAAAGTCTGTAGTATTCTATTTATTATGACATATATATATATATATATATATATATATATATATATTATATATACATTTACAATTAACGAAATACATACTGTATATAAGGTATATATACATAATAACAAATTAGTCTTTGAGATATTTGTAAACTGAGAAAGTAGAGGAACCTGCATATTTGTATTTATCCTTAAGAAAACGACAAACCTTTTAATGTAGTAAAAGTTAATATATTAATTGTTTGGAAAACCTTTTGTTAACTTGCTAAAAGTTGTTTCGGTCTCCTGTTGTGGATTGTTAACAGTCATTTAAACCTTTGAATACGTCATCGAGGGTAGTAGATAGAGTACGTGTACAATGATAGATGATCAGTTTTCAAAGACAATTTCCTAATATTAATGTTTTATTTAAAAAAGAAACGATTTTGTAATAATTTCCATAAGTGTCTGGTACTATCTCATGATCATGTTTACATTTATTCAATACATATTTAGAAGGAAAAACATAGAAATTTTTAAAGATTTCTACTCTAATAAATATTTCGTTTAAACGAAAAAAAATTCACCAAAAAGCAGGTTTAGTGTCTTTTTTTATTATTATTTTTAATTAACCTTTTATATTTTTTCATTTATATTATTTTTTGATGATTTTCTTCTGTTTAATTTATTAATATTTTCTTTGGTATACTTAAAAAATAACGATTATCCTTCTTCTTTAAAAGTAATCTGTTCTATATAATATGTAACTGTATACTGTGCAGGAGAGTTGAAATATTGATTAATTTTGTCTATTGCTTAACAATTGCCATTACTTTTTTAAACTAATTGTTTGATTATTTCTATTGATAATTTTTTATTTTATGTAAAAAAAACAGCTACCACCGAAGAGAGGAAGAGGTATGCAGCCGCTAATTCAAAGAGGATTGGCTCAGGAGGGGTAGCAGCTATAGCATGCATCATTCTTCTTTTAGTAATTGTCGCTGTAGATGGCGCCTGCTACGTACTCAACGATTGCGGAATTACGAGGCTAATATGTGTTCATGCATGTGGAAAAACTCCAGCTGAAAATAGAGCTCGTAGACAAGATAATGTGGCTGCAAACTCGGAAGAACAAGAAAAATTAGCGACAGAACATGCATAAACCCTGTTTATTATTAACTCGGTTATGTAATACTAATAATATATATGTAAAAGGCTGTATATAAAGCTATTTTTGACAATTTAGTTTCTAATAGTGAATACGTGGATTTAGCTGTAGAAAGAACCCTTCTTCTTTTATGAGATTTGGCAGTGAGATAATTAAGTAAGACCAAGTTATTTTTGTTCGTGTCAGGTTTGAGCCAAAATTTTGAAAGAATTTGTTTTTATAAAATATTAACACTTCTCTAGAAGAGAAACTATTAATATTTACCTTCCGTTGGTGAGATGACAAGCACTTGCAAACTCAAACGGGAACAGAGAAAAGAAAATATGATAGAATGCCGACTGTAGCTTGTAAGCAGTAACATTCCACGTATTCAAGAAAATATACCTGGGACAGAAAGAAATGAATAGATTCTATATACTTAAACCTATAAATATAAATATATATGTACTATATATATATATATATATATTTATACGTTTGCTTGTTTCTATGTATACAAGTACATCTTTCCAAACAAACCACCATTCTGCACTGTATGTCTTTTGTTTATAATAAGTTTAATCTCAGGTCTTAATCTATTAAAACCATGTTATCAAAAAATAAGTTATGCAATATCCTTTTATGCTTATACTACATTCCCGTTCAGATGTTGTGAGCATTTTTTTTTGTGATTGAATGTAGCTATTTATAGTTGAAATTTCTGAAATAAATTGCTAAACAATTGCTTTCTAAATAGAACAATTTTTGGGAAATCCAAGTTTTTTATACGAAAGCTGGTCTTTTTTTTATTAGGAAGGTCATATTAAGTCAGACTTTATGCCGTGAAAAACAGATATCGAATTATAATATGAAATTTTATCTGCATTGATTGATAATTGATTGTCACATGACAAATAGGAATTGAATGACGTCAGATTTTGCAATAATATAAATCCCTAGCGCTCTTCTCGTAAGTCAGATCATGTGTGCTATGTCATAGTTAGTGGATTTCCATCTATTGTCGCTCCCTTGTTCAGTCAATAAGGCCTTAATGTTTGACTTATAAATTTTCCGATATTATATAACTCAGGCATTTAGGCGAACTTGATTGCAACAATTGCTACTTTTGGAAGATCTTATTTTCAGTAGAGGTAAATATGCAAGTTATTTAATTGTAAAGGACGAAATAGTATTTTAGTCTATTCGGCTAAAAATAAAATAAAATACTAATCTATTAGCTCTTAGAAGTTCTCAGTGGGTGTACACACCTGGTAAGATAGGAATTTTTTTGTCTAAATCTAATCAATCAACAAATAAATTGGTTTAAAAAGAAAAATTTATAGAAATTGTTATTAAAGCTTATAAATCTGATATATAAATTTATATATATATATATATATATATATATGTATACTGTATATACAGTATATATACATCACTGTATAATCACGTGTATTTCTAAACATTTCTCTATGTATTAATATTTATATGAATAATAGTTTGTTATTTTTCATATTCAATAGTTTGCATATATTAATTTGAAATATTGTTTAAAAAAACTCTAAAATAATCTCTCCAACCGAGTATACTTTATTTAGAAACATTGTATACGATATATATATATGTATATATAAATATATATTGTATAAATGGTGGTGTATTCAATACAATTCTTTTTTTTTATTATATTATCAGAAGCCACAGTATTTCGTCATTCACTCACACAATCATACATTATTTCTTTTTCATATATAGTAAAATCCAATGATAAAGCAATAAACTGAATGATGAGATTAAAAATGCTGGTTCATCCTGAAAAAATAATTTTTTAGTGCTTTCAAATTTCATCAAAATGGCAAAAAAGTTATTATTTGTTATAAACAGCAGCTTTCATAAGCTTTTTTGTTTTTTTTTTTTAAGCTAGATAGCGGTATGTGTCTTTTTCTTCAGGTTGACGTTCCAAGTATTCCTTCTCAATGAGAATATCGATGCATTTCTGTGCAAAAAAATTTAAAAATTTCATTTCAAAAATTGTATTGAATAAAAATTCCAAAAATGTGTATTAAATAAATTATTTGCGGAAGAGACCTATCTCCAATTCCAACGTATATTTTATGCTCTTTTAAAAGAGCTAGATTTCGTTTAAATTATATCATTAAGTGTTCTACGGTATACAATTGTTTGCGATTACTGCTTGTAACTGTAGCACTTTCTTATAGGTTAATAAATGGATCTCCCTTAAAAATTTTAAATCTTAAAATTATCTAGTAATTGGCTTATGATAATTATATTAAAATGTAATTTAAATCTTCCTTAACCTTTGCACAAGTAACAAATATCCAACTAAGCGATTTAAGAGTGAAAGTCAATTAAACATCAAACTTTCAAGTAATTAAAATTAACCATAAACTTATCAATAATACACATGAGATAGTCGAGGACAAAGTCATCTTTTAAAATGATCTTTGATTTTTGAACAATATTTTGTAACCTTTATATTGAATTTATGAAAAGGAATATATCAAGCTTAAAGTATTGGTAATGTTGACGCTTACCTATTGTTTATCTTTAAGCTTTAAACATTCCTAAAATACTTAGAGCGATAATAGGTTCGTGAATTCAGATTTAATAATTAATAGCCTAATAGTTCAAGTTCCTTGAAATACGTAATAAAATCGATTGTTAATATTTGCAATAAAAATAATCCCCGTAAACGGATCATTTATTCTCTTACCTTGATTACTGGAACCCTTGGTTTAAATCTACCAGACAATTGCTGTAAAACTTCGGCAATGAGTTGCTGATGCTTTAAAACTTTCCTCATCTTCATTATTCTAACAATAGCTGCCTATTAAACAGAAACACACAAGAATTCACACTTTTTTCGCAACTAAGCAATTTATGTAGAAAATTTTTACCTGTATCAATATCTTTCTATCTTCTTCAATGTGTTTATGAGTTGACGCTTGCTCCATTTTAACTTCAGCTTTTAGGGGCTGGTTGATATTAACTCGGAATTTTTTGCTAGAAAAAAAATTAGGTATCGTGAAACAAATTTATCCTTAATACGAATGTAAATGAGAGTTTATTACTTCTTGTAACCGTAAAAGATTCTAAATACTGTATCCCCATGGATATTTTCTTCACTATCACATTCCAAAATTTTTTGCTTAACTAAAATCTGCAGTATTTGCTCGAGAACATCCTTTTTTAAAACTGTACTTTCTACCAAACTCGACAAATTCTGTTCAGATTCTAAATTAAACTGCAATAGTACCGCCATCTGGAATGTACTGGCTTGCAGTGTGTATTTGTTTTTAAAACAATGAGTGACCAATTCTCCCTTTGACATTTGGTAGAGCCAGTTTAATTTTCTTCCGTTATGTTTAGTGGCATAAAAATTAGTAAATGAATTATAAGCCGGAACGAGCTGAAAAAAAAAATTTATGACAATGTACTCGCTTCAAGTTGGTGTGTGAGATAAACTGCCTTCAGTGCGTTAAATCACTTGACAGTAATAATAAACATATAAATTTTGAGATATATTTACTTCGGTAGGTAGGGAAAATGTTTGAGACTGCTGAAAAGGCCATGAACCAGAACTCAAGACTTGAATAGAAAAGTCAACTGAAAGTACATCAGCTCCATAATAGTCCAAATACAAAATATTTAAGTACAACTTACCGTCTAATCTCTTATCAGCTGTATCTTCGCAGTAGCGTTTGAAATGTTCATTTAAATCTTTGCTTACGCCGACATCTTGGAACATTCTCTGCAGTTTCGATGTATACTCGAAACCACAGGCAGACTGTCAAAAAAGAAAATGCCAATTATATTTAAGTTTCTAAATTAATAGGCTTATAAGAGACTTACTTTTAATTTGGAAATCATACTGGCCTCTGCGTCATCTGAGGCTGACATATGATGAACAAGTCGTTTCGCAAGCATTTTAGAATAAAATTTTTGAAAGACGTCTTTATCATCAATATATTTAAAGACAATCATCTGTTATAAGAAAATTTAATGCATCAACCGCACTTTATATCATCCAATAGAAAATAATTGACACTTACAACTTGGTTTAGCGTATCTTCAAGTTCTCCTTCTTCTGGATTTTTAGCACTGGAATAAGATTTAAAGATTTTCATTTAAAAAAAAACTATTGCTTTTCAGTGTTTGCCCTTTTAATACCTTTTTTTTAATAAAATATCGCAATATTTAGCCAATAACTCGGGACTTTTTGTAGAAGCTCCTGCTTTCTTTGTTATTTCGTTAGAATTTATAAATCTTCCGCAAGCCTGATAAATATATTTTTACTATGTACAATATCATCAAAATAAAACTGTTTTGATAAGAACCTTATCCAAAGCGGCGACAAAACCAGCATCATTTCTGAAGGCTGTCATAACCAAAGCATTATATTTTTTATGGACGTCTAATATTGTCTGTACATAAATTTTGGGATCCTGTAAGAAATAGCATAATTAAGAATCATTGGCGTCATATGAAACTAAATAATAACGTTAACAGCAGTATCGTCACACTTCGATATTGCATCTAGGCCTTGCTGAGTGATATGACTTTCCAATAAATTTCTTAATTCGGTTAAGGCATTGTTGATCCGTGAAACTAATTGGTACATTCTCCCCAAATCTGTTAAAAGCAAAACTATGAATAAATTTACAATTTTATTGAAAACATATAATACATTTTCACTTTCATATTAAAATTGATTCCTTTTTTCAATGTATTACATTCATTTGAAGGGTAATTTTTATTAAATTTTTTGATATATCTTAACGAATAGGATGAACACACTATAGTAGTCTTTCAAATGAATAAGACTAGACACTGTAAGAGCTATAGCTAATTTCCTATGACATTAATAGGCGGAAAAGAGAAACAAGTTTGGAACGATTCCTGTTTCGATAGCCAAAAGAACCATAGAACTGGCGACATCTTTTGGAATACATTCAACTTGTTACAAATTACGAGTTAAACGTTATACCAGCTATTTTTATTTTGGTACTATCCAAATTTCAATGATTACTAATGAAATCTTAATTTTTTCCTTCCTAGAAAGGGTTATACAATGAAAATGATGTTAGAATGTAATTTACAATAAAAACATTTGTAAGACTTCCCTAATCTTAAATAGAAAGAAAAATTTTTTAATTAATTTGAATCTACTTTGAATTACCTTCGTCTTTGTCGTCATTCAATAAATTTTGGAATTCCATATGGAACACTTCTAAATGGCGATCAATCAGCACTTCTTCGCAAACTCTAGCCAACCTATCATTTGTACTTTCGTGCAAATAATCTCGAACGCGTTTCTCTTCCTCTTTTAATCTCGAATCAGCTTTTTTCATATACTCTGTTACTGGGTTTTGCCGCAAAAATTCTGTGCTCTCAGCATGATAAAAACGTTTTGTATCGGTTAAGAAATCCTCTTCAAAGTGATCTTTATAAACTTTTAATGTTGGACCTTTCTGACATGGCTCATCTTCATCTAACCCCAATTCGACGTAACAATTAATAACACCTGTTAAATAATAAAAATATTTAGAGAAGATGTAAACAACAAAATTTCGACGAATGGATAACCGAGAAACTAGCGTAGCGTGAAAGTCTAGGGACTTTAAAACTTTTTATTAAATCAGATTCAATAGGAAAGAGGATTTAAATCATAATAGAATAGTATAAAAATTAACTATTATCTTCACGCAAAAAGGAAGTACGATATTAAGAGAAGGGTTATTTAATATATCTGCTAATCTAGAAAAAATGTGTTTAAAATACTAACCGCTCACAAGCCGTGTGTTAATAGCTTCTCCATTTCGCTCTCGTTCAATTAATTTAAGAACAGCATTAGTAACCTGGATATGTAAAGATTCGAACAAACAATCTTTCCAGGTAACCAAAGCGAGGGAATAAATCTCATAAATGCCCTTTCGGCCCTCATCACATTCTCTTCTGACCCAATGTCTATTAAGATATGCACAAACTCCATTTAAAACCTTTGAACTGAATTGGTAATCGTCCCACTGTTTTGTATAAAAGTTCAAAACATTCTCATCCATCAATTCTTTACCAGCATCACGAAGGACGAGAAGGTAACAATCGAGAAACTCCTTTAAACGCTTATATAACTCTAAACCAACGAATTGAGCACCTGATGAATTTCCTCCACTCGATGATGTGGCGTTTCTCCTTCTGATAAGTTAAAAAGACATTAGTAAAGGTCAGCATAAAAAATTTCGAGAAAAACGCATCCTAATCTTATGATAGATAGCATTACAAATAACAATATTAAACACAATATAATATGGATTCTAGTAAGTTTATACTAAACATTTTTGGCACAAATATAAAAATGGTATAGCAATTATCAGATTCATAATTAAAATTGCATTAAAGCTATGTTTGGCTCTACTACGCTTCGATGCTTTTCGACTCTGTGTGGTAACTCTTCAAGTATAGCATATCTTAATTGCCAGTAACAATTATAAACATAGAGCTTGAAATCTCCGATTGAACATCTACTTGAAGGCTATGTAAAATTTAGTTCTAAACATTTATAAGATACATAGTAGTTAGATATCGTCAAAATAAAAAAACATTATTCTTAGAAATTATTATAGGTCATAAATCAATGCATTTTACATATATATTTTAGCTGAATGATTACGATATGAATTTCTTAATAAATCAGCTGGCAATTTATGTTGCTAAATATACATTCTGGAAAGAATCAGCAAAATATCAATAATACTCACTTAGTCGCGCTACCCTTGGTTCCCGTTTGATGAACGCTCGTACAATAGTTATACACATGGCTATAAGACAAAAAATTAATAAACATCGTTAGTCACCTTTTTAAATAGGGCAAAAAATACTTCAGGTTTACATAAATATTAATATAAATAATTTTTCTGTAAAAACTAACGTGTACAAATCCATATAGCGTTTTTTAGCCATACTTTGACGTTGATATACATGGTCTATTCCCGTCCTCAGATCGTCCCAAATTTGATCTAAACTGACGCTCTTCATACCTTGTGCGTTTCCTTGTAATCTCGCCATGTTTTTTTCTCAATTTGAAATTTTAGACGGACGGACCTAACTTGACGACTGTTCTCTAAACTGGTTGACAACGATCTGAAAATTACATGAATAATTAAAAATATCGTCAAGATAAGTGTTAATATAAAGTATATCATGGCAATGACCACGTTTCGACTACATAGGTAAAACTATGACAAATCAACGAAAATGCACATCAATAGCTCATAGGGTTCTTAAATAATCATTCTTCTATAGGTTTACTTACGGATTACGATGGTAAATTAGAAATAAAGGAACATTTTCAGAAATTTTTCTTGTTCTCTGTCTTCGACAGTAGTAAATAGTTTTATACAGAATTTATGGTCGGGGCAAGATAAAATGTAAAATGGTGATTGTCTATAGCTAACCATAGGCGGCCATTTTTGAATCCCTAAATATATCTGTCAAGTAATTCTCTCTATTAGTCAGCTCGAGTATTTAAATAAACGGGTTATGCGGGAAACGAATATTTTGCTTTATAATAAAATATTTAACTATTTTTTTTTGTCTAAAATAAGGAACTTTTTCAGTAAAAATTTTAAAAGTTTTGATGAAGAATGACGTTCATTGAAAGTTTTTCATTATATTTTTAATATTAATTGGAAATAATTTTTACTGATGAGAAGATAATCATGAGGGTATATTGAACGATAAAAAGAGATGTTTTATTAACAAAAAGATGATCAACATCTTTTCGAAATTTATCTTAATATATCTCACAACAAGTATGTTTTCATCTTCATCGTTACATATTATTTTAAAATATTACATTTATAAATAGATGTAGTACATTCAAAAATGCCATTGAAATTTGAAATAAAAGATCCGCTGCTTCAATCTGTATTTAATATTCCTGCGTCAGCTTTTGTATGCTCTAGAAAAAAATCATGTAGCAGAGACGTACACATATTATATCAAGGGCGTAAAGCGTTTTTATGGCTCAATGTTAAGGTATTTTCACGGTCAATGCAACCTGTTACTTTTCAGGTATGTTTTTCTAAATGGCTTTTATCATATAGTTTAATCCTGTATTAAATATATTTTAGCTACAAGAATCCTCATCACCTTCCAAGGAAAATTTAACATGTAGATTCTACGACGAGGTAAATGTATTATCGGGATCTCGCCGTATACAATCCAGTCTGTCATTCAAGAAGAAGAAGCTATTCAAATCTATTGAGTTAACGCTAATGCCAGTAAATGGTTTGTATATAATATCTCTTTATCTTCTTTATGTATATAAGCATTTATATAAATTGTATATACTAATATATATATATATATATATATTTTAGATGTAAATTTCACAAAATCGACAAAGAAGATTATCTATTGTTTAAAAGCAATAAACGAAGCTTGTTACAATCATGATCTTTGTAAGTATCAGTGATAACAACTACTACGAATACGTAGTTTAAGAATTAAATTTTCTCAACTATTTAGCCAAATCGTCCCCTCGGTCAACTCAATGTCGAGACGGTGAAAGATATTGCAATAAGCTTTCGAAATGTACCGTAACAGACGTTGACTGTAACGCTAATTGCAGTATTCTAAATAGCTTTATATGTGATTTAAATACAAGATGTCTGCACTCTATGTACCGTTGTGACGGTGTAGATCAATGTGAAGATCACTCGGATGAGTTGGATTGTTGTAAGTAGTCATATTATAAATCTACCCAATTCTAACTTTTATTCTTTTCAAGTGCCGACTATCACTTACAAATGGTGGGTGTTTATTATTCCCTTGACGCTCTTTTCTATACTGGCTATAATTTGCTTGATGATGACGAGAAAAAGGACGCAAGAACTTTTAACAGTTGTTGCTGCAGCTCCTACAAATGATAACAGTAAGTTTTTACATTAATTTTTATTCTAGTAAGTCAATTTTAAAATTTCAAAACTTAAATTAGCCGTAACAAGATCTGCTGAAGAGAATGATGATATGCAAGTTGAAAATAGACAAGACGAAGCACTAATAATGTCTCCACCGTCTTATAGCGAATTACCTGACAGGCAAACAAATGCATCCCAAAACATGCATCTTTCAACTTCTATTATTCCACCCCTCCCTATTACTCCTCCTCCACCATACGAAAGCGTTGTAGGAGGAGCTACAGAAGTAAGACCTATTGTATATTTAAAGATGATATATTAACAAAATGTTAATTATTTGAAATTGCTTTAGAATCCACCACCGTACAATATTTCAAGGAGTATTCAGCAAACCTCAGAAACTACGTGAGAAAGTTTAGAAACTATTTTATTTGTCACACTGTTTACTTACATTCATTATTGATAAAACAAAGAAAAAAGCATGTCAAACAAGATTATACAATTTCTCTCTATATAATATTATTCATCTACTAATCTACTACTACTATGTTCTACTTTTAATATTTGATTTCTTTAAATTCTTTTGCTACACTTTGCAAAAGTTACAAGATTTTCTACAGTTCATTTTCATATATCTCATATATTTTCTTGTTTTACAATATCTTGGAGCCCATTTTGGGCAGTTTTTGTTATTGTCAGAGCAGTTCGATATCACTTTGGCTAAGAATATTAAAAAAAAGTTGACGTTATTTTAACCTTTGCTATTAGAAAAATATTCTGATTACCTGAATCCGAGCAATTTGCCACTTTACAAGACAACTGACAATTTTTCAGCATATATTTCGGATTTTTTGAACATTCACCTTTCGTAGCCCATTTAGGACAGTTTTCATTGGTATCTTGACATAGCTCAACTGTTGGATTAAAAAATAATCATTTAATAATTGACAATTGAACTATTGCAGAATTGTTTATATTTAATTCTTTTTCCTTTTCTTCTGCTTTTATATTTCTGTTTGCATGAGTATGGTGTACAGAAATGTTACTTGCTAATACTTCATTTAATATGAAACCATAGAATTATCTTAGCATTTACTGCTTTACGTATTTCTTACTATATACAGTATAAAAAGCTTATTTATTACTTCAAAATTCGTTATTTTTATGACTTAAAAAGTGAACATTGAGGCGCTATTTTAATTGAATGGTAATTGATTTGAATAAATAATTGACATAGGAATGAAATTTTCTTAATTCATTCAATTTGAAAGATCGATTAGGTTGTTTTATATCAAATTTGTTACTAAATAAGCTTCTTGATTAGTAACATTTCCTTTTCCCGAATTTTTCTGGAACTGTGGTGAGTTTACTTGAAGTAAGTGTTAAAATACTACTACTGACCTCATTTCGATATGTGCGATATAATATCAATCATCTTAGCAACTCACCTATCGATGAACTGCACATATTACAGGATTTTCTGCAATTCCGTAACATCCATACTGGATTCTTATCACATTCTTTTTTTGCAGCCCAGCTCTGGCAATGTTTGTGACTATCGCTACAATTTACTAGTTTGATAACATATAAATTGATTATTATTAATTATAAATGAATTTAGATATTTAGATTTTCTTACTAATTTTCCTATTACATGATTTACATGATAATTTGCAATTTTTCAACATCCAATTAGGATTTTTACTGCATTCACCTTGAGCAGCCCAAAAGGAACAACTATGATGAAAATCCTCACATTTCTTTTTCTTTGGCTTCTCTGGTGATTTGCAAATTTCTATAGGTTCTCCTGGACATACGCACTGACAATCTTTATTAACAAATCCTATTCCAGGACAGTCAGAGTCTTTTTTTTCACATCCCTTACTGCAATTATACATTCTATGAAGTAATTTTATATCTAAGAAACTTAAAGTTGTTGATCTCCCCATTAAATGTTCCTTTGCTTTAAATTTTGCTTGTATGGTCTTTTTTCCATTTCTTGTAAATGCCTTTTTTCCAAAAACTCAAATATTATATAATAGTGCAATGTACTCAGCGTCTTACCGTAGCTCCATAGTGCATAATTGAGGAATAATCATAAGGAATACCATGATAGTCGACACCGTTAGGTCTAACCTTTTCGAAATTACTTTTAGCAAAGGGAGCAACGTTCTAAAACGGAATCAGTTTGTGTACATTTTAATTGACGTTGAAAGGTTTCTTCAAGGAAAAATTAGTTATCTTTACTTGAAAAAGCACTTGAACATATTTATCTCTATCAGGTCTGTTATGCTCGTGATATAGACCAAGAGCATGTCCGATTTCATGGATTACTATTGATTTCTAAAAAAGCATAAAAGGAAAAAGATGTAACAACTTTTTAAAAGAATTAATTAATTCAAAGAACGCAACTCTAGCACAAAGTTTTCCTAGATCAATGGTCTGACCACGCCAAACTCTTCCTATAGATGAACTACATCTGAAAGAGGATAAAGTGAACGAATTTCCTTAATAATATAGTATTTAAAAGACTTTACCCTCGGCCTCGTACAAATCGAATATGAAATTTTTCCCCATTATAAGAGTTACGGAACTTTATGCAAGTATATTTTTCATAGTCTTTTGTAGCAGCAATTATTTGTAAAAGTTCCTCATTTGCTGTAGCAGAATATGATATATGACAGATTGTAAATGCAGTACCCTCTTCTTATCATTTACAGAATGCGTTTATGTCTACCGTAAAGGGCACAAGTCCTCCGGTCCAATAATTTCTTGCATCGGTAATGGCTTTTCTTTTATTTCTGAAATTGAAAGGATGGATTATACTAAATTAAAACTTCAAATTTCTAGAAACTAACTGTGGTGTTTCATAAATAGCTTCCCATTGTTCTTTGGTTAATCTCATATCAAGTTCAACTAATAACGTACCATTGTCTCCAAGAAATTCATTATCAGTACCTGAAGAATAGAAAGATTGTAATTTTTTACAAAAGAAAAACCTACTGTAAGTTTATACTATGAATTTGATTTAGGTCAAATATATTATCTATTGTCTGAGAATAAGACAAATGAAAGAAGCAAATAATGATAAAGAATTTCATGTTTAGTAGATTATTCGTCTTTTCTATAGAACTGCAAAAATCAATTGTCAAAGATTACTCATTTTACTGCTTTTATTTAATAAAAAAATTGTCAAATAATTAACTTAATATCTTTTAATTTAGGATAATTATTAGTCAACAAAAGAATTTATCAATTGAAATAATTTGTCCTAATACGAGGTTACGAATAAGGATATAATTCCTTCATAAATGGGATGAACTATTGTAAATATTTAGTGATTTCTTGTCCCCAAGAAATACTTATTATAGGAAAAACAGTGTATTTATCTTTATTTCTTTACAATACAATACTTTTATCACTTCAAATTGAGGTTAACGCTCAATAGTTCCGATGTGTTGAACATGGACTAATAGAAATACAATAAAAAATTATTAGACTATCCATTAAAATATAGAAAAAACATCAAAATAGTGTTTATATTCCGTTAAGTGTTCTTCATACGCGATTGTAATAATTTTCTAACAAAATGTCCGTATGATTGGATATCTTCAGAGAATTTTGCTTTCTCATTAGTAAAATTCATCTTGTCAGGAGATACGTAATAGTTGCATGATATTTTTGTCTGTAATCAGTAAAAGCTACCTTAAAAGAAAATGCCTTAATCTAAACATATAAACTTACTTTCTCTGAATAAACACTTTGAAGTAAATTGCCGTCTAGAGTAATATGATTTAAATGTAATGTATCTAAAATTTGTGATACTCTTAATACAGCTTTATATATGTTATATAGAGTTTTTGATGAAAGATTCCAATGAAAAGATTTCATTGAGATATCAAGATGATAAAAATATTTTAAGGACTTCTTGAAGAAGATGATCATTGGTTAAAGAAAAACGGGTAGATAGAAAAGAACAATCTTCTATACATATATATATATTAGATCGAATATAATTACTATTTTCAGTTGTTTCCAATTTAACACTTTCTATTAATTCTTTCCTGTTAAATAATTGTTTATATAATTCTTTAATAAAATATTATCAAGTTGTTCAATGAAAAGAAATTAACTTTAATTTCTGTTGTTTGTGTTTATTTTTTTTAAGAACGGTTATTCCTAAACCAGTTGAATAAATAAAAGGATTTAAAATGCTATTCAATGGTAGAATAATCACAATAATCCATGGATAAACAGAATTTTCCACACCTCCTAGCTTAATTACTGCCAGAATTCCTTTTTTTTAAAAAAAAACTTTAATTAAACCTTAAATATTAAAGTTCTTTGTGTTTTTTTAACCTAGTATTGAAGTTGGCAGCCAACAGCAAAGGTTCGTAAAGACGACTAGTATACTTGTTATTTTGACTTTTTCCTCATTTTTCCTACGAGTTAAATTGACCGCCAAATTTCTAGACTCAATTAAACTTTTAATCATTAAAATGTATATTGTCATTATGATTAAGCAGAATAATAGCATCATTAAACCGAAAATAATGAATGAATATTCCAACCCTTCAACTTTTTCACTAGTTATGTGAAGTGAAAAGCAGACAGTTGATCTAGAATAATAGTTCTAAAATGAAAGGATTAATATATAAAATTTTAGCTAAGATGATAAATTAGAGAGTTGAAGATTACCCAAGGTAACATTAGAGGTATAACTGAAATGACAATGGAAATAATAATGTTAATTGTGATTAATATTAAGATTCTTTGAAAAGTGATATATTTTGTAATAAATGGATATTTTACAACTGAATAGCGAACTATTGTAATATAAAGTAAGGATATAGTTGATGATGTACTTGCAAAAACACCAGCAAATTTACAAACGTTTCCATATCTCCATTCTTCATCATGCTTTATATATTCACCTTTAAATATTATATCAGCTATAGCTATTATTGCTAAGTAGGATCATAATGAAAGATCACTTAAATTTAAACATATATAAATCAATTGAACAGGTCTATGGAATGATTTAAATCTCAAGATGAGATTGATAATATTACTAGTTAAACCCAAGATTATTATTAGCCAAATACAAGTTCTTAAGACTATCCAACCGAGGAGATCGTTGCACGAATTAAATAAAGATCTTTCAGGTGTGCAAGTATGAATTAATTTATGTAATCTTTTAGCAATACAACAAACTTGGAAATTAGTATTATACAAATATCTAATCTTTTGTAAATGTTTCACAATGAAAAAACTATATTTTGTTGGTAAAAATGTATTATTTAAATGTAATTCCTCAACATTAACCAAGTATTGGAAAGTATTATATGAAAAGCTATAAATTTTACAATCAGTTATTAATAACTTTCTTAATTTGATTAGATTATCAAATAGATTTTCACTTAAAATTGTAAATAAATTAAAAGATAAATCAAGATAGAAAAGATTGATAAAATTTGAAAATATTCCAGAATCTAATAGAGCTATTCTATTCTTCTTTAAAGTCAAATATTGAAGATTAAATAGTGTCAATTCTTTAAAATTATGAACAGTTTCAATTTGATTATCTTCAGCAATTAGAATAGCTAGATTTGGAAATGGAATTGCTAATATTTTAATATAACCATTGGATACATTGAAGCTGGTAACAATATTAGAAAAAGCGATGTTTGTTGTGTAATTATTGAATAATTTAATTATTGATATATGTTTGTAAGCAGAGGAGAATGGTATTAAAAAATTATATTGGTTTATGCCATTACATGAAATTTTGTATTTTCTATGACAACTGCAATAAGTAGGGCATTTATAGTCATCACAAACTGATTCATCACTAGCCAACAAACAATCGATTTTACCATCACAAACTTCGTTCAAAAGTATGTATAACTTTTGCTTTGAACATTTAAAATATCCTCTTGGACGGTATTTCTCTATGAAAGGAAAAAGGCAAACATACAATACTCATATATCATAGTCGTTTTCTAGTAACCGCAGTCATACTCATCATCCTGATAGATACAATGAGAAATACCATCGCAAATGTTTTTTTATCGAAATACAGTAAGAGTGATAAAAGCATTTGTATTCGCCCTCTCTACAAGTTACATTGTGATGTGTACAATCTTTCAAATCATAAAAGGGAAATTGAGGCTTTGTGATTAATTTTCCCATAGAGTTGTAAGAGATTTTGCATTTTGTCTTGTTTGTACGATTTGGAAAACGGTTTTCAAGAAATTTGTCCCATAGTTTATGAAAACATCTTTATAAACAAAACAACGTCAATCTCAAATAATATAGTATGGAATTAATCTTATAATTAACAATGGTATTGTTGAGGAACGGATTTTATAACAAATATTTACATCTTCATCTGTCGTATCGCCACTCAGACAGTCTCTTTTTTAATCGCATTGTAAAGATTTCTGTATGCAATTGCTGCGACAACTAAAATGAGAACTTGAACAAGCTGATACAGTTAATAAATGAAACTTTAAATGAAATTTAAAATGATAACTTGTTTTACGTTTTTCACATTCTTCGTCAGAATTATCCAAACAATTTCGTTCACTATCACAAAACTTTTCTTTTTCAATATATTGATTATTTTTGCATTTTTTTAGTCTTAGAAAAAATTCAATATTATAAATCAATGATCTATGAAATAGGTAAATGGACGTTTTCTTATATATTTACTTATTATCGTTTAATTTGGTATAAACTGCAGAAATTTAAAACTCTATAGATTAATTTTAATAGCTAAATTATTTTATGTATTACCACAACCAACTTCATCCCTTCCGTCCGGGCAATGAGGATAATAATCGCATACGTATTTGACAGGGATGTTAATTTTCGAAGAACAATAAAAATATAATTCATTATTACAATCTTCCTCATCCTCTACCGATTCACAATCATTTTCTCCATTACAAATATCAAAAACACTGATACAAATATCTTCATTAGCACAAGAAAATGTATTATTTGGACAAGAGAAAGAAATATCATTTCGTAGCTGTTCATTCAAATTCAAATTTGGAACGAATTCCCACTCTTAGAAAACGAAATACATAATATTAAATTTGACTGTCAATTGAACTTTTTTAATTTATTACTTGATTTTCTAACTTCACAAAAAATATACTTCATAGTTTTGGAAGAACAATCTGATTTGCCTAATCCATAATTTTTGATTACAGGGCATAGACGTTGTGGAGGTAAGAAATCAGTAATAATTTCATTAAGGCTAAGTTTTCGATCGCAACTGCCGTATCTATCAATAGAGGAGATAGGTGATTAACTTGAAAAATATATGCGTTTAACTTCACGTCTCAGGAACTAGCCATAATCCAGCTACCTCCAGGGGTACTTTGTCACTAGTTGTAATTATTTCTCTGTTGTGGATATCCATTCGTCGCTCAATTCCAACAGGTACAGGAGACTCTAGAAAACTGTACCATAGGTTATTGATGGTAAACTTTATTCAATGACTCATATATTACATTCCACGGCGATTTATATTTTGCTCCCGGAGAGTTTCATTTTTAGATAACAACATTAGCATTTTGCGGAGTGAGAGAGCTTCCTGCGTTCTAGATACACCGATTAAGGTCAAATTAAGATTCTCACAAAAACTAAGCGCCTTGTCATATGATTGATGAATAAGTCTAGAACTGCCCATATAACATTTATACTCAACAGACCATAAGTTTGGGGAATGGCATTCTTTAGGGAGATAATAGTAATTTTATGTTAAATATTATCTAATACTTTTAAAATTGCCTTACGCATAGGTATTGTATAGGAGCAAGACAATCCATAGCGAATAGGAACATGTAAAGGTAGTTTCAACTTTGAAAGAATGCAATGCGCAAACACTGTTGCATTCTTTGGGCAAACGAGTTGAAAAGCAGCAAATGAAGTCACTGGAACCTTTGAGTGATAATATACAAAGGGTTCCACTTTTAGCACCAAATGTTTGACAAATAATCTGTTCAATAGGAAAAAGTAAAATTATTGAATAACCCTTATCTATAGAAGTTTTGAAAATATTGTTAAAATAAAACAAACATTTGCTTCAATAGATAAAAATGGCTTTGTAATAACTGAAAACCAACTATTAAAGTATTTGTATTCTAATAAA